CCCCATCGTCGCCACTGACCAGTCTGCCATCACCGGTGAATCTCTCGCTGTCGACAAGTACATGGGCGATGTCGTCTACTACACCACTGGTTGCAAGCGCGGAAAGGCCTACGCTGTTATCGTCACCTCCGCCAAGCACTCTTTCGTCGGTCGCACTGCTACTCTCGTCGCTGGCGCCAAGGACCAAGGTCACTTCAAGGCCATCATGGACTCTATCGGTACGGCTCTTCTCGTCCTCGTCATGTTCTTCATCCTCATGGCCTGGATCGGTGGTTTCTTCCGTAACCTCAACATCGCTACTCCCGAATGGTCTGAGAACTCTCTCCTCAAGTACGCTCTTATCCTCCTGATTGTCGGTGTCCCCGTCGGTCTTCCCGTCGTTACCACCACCACTCTCGCCGTCGGTGCCGCCTACCTCGCTGAGCAGCAGGCTATCGTCCAGAAGCTTACCGCCATTGAGTCTCTTGCTGGTGTTGACATTCTCTGCTCTGACAAGACCGGTACTCTCACTGCCAACCAGCTTTCTATCCGCGAGCCTTTCGTCGCCGAGGGTCAGGACGTCAACTGGATGATGGCCGTCGCCGCCCTCGCCTCTTCCCACAACATCAAGTCCCTCGACCCTATCGACAAGGTTACCATCCTTACCCTCAAGCGTTACCCCAAGGCTCGTGAGATCCTCAAGGATGAGTGGAAGACCGAGAAATTCACCCCCTTCGACCCCGTCTCCAAGCGTATTACTGCTATCTGCACTCTCCGTGGTGACACCTACACTTGCGCCAAGGGTGCCCCCAAGGCTGTCCTCAACCTGACCGACTGCGACAAGGAGACCGCCGACCTCTTCAGAGACAAGGCCACCGAGTTCGCTCGCCGTGGTTTCCGCTCTCTCGGTGTTGCCTACAAGAAGAACGACGAGCCCTGGATCCTTCTCGGTATGCTTTCCATGTTCGACCCTCCCCGTGAGGACACTGCCCAGACCATCATCGAGGCCCAGCAGCTTGGTGTTCCCGTCAAGATGCTTACTGGTGATGCCATCGCTATTGCCAAGGAGACTTGCAAGATGCTTGCTCTCGGTACCAAGGTTTACAACTCTACTAAGCTCATCCACGGTGGTCTCTCCGGTGCTGCCCAGCACGATCTCGTCGAGAAGGCTGATGGTTTCGCTGAGGTCTTCCCCGAGCACAAGTACCAGGTCGTCGAAATGCTCCAACAGCGTGGTCACTTGACTGCCATGACTGGTGACGGTGTCAACGACGCTCCCTCGCTCAAGAAGTCTGACTGTGGTATCGCTGTCGAGGGCTCCACCGAGGCTGCCCAGGCTGCCGCCGATATTGTCTTCCTTGCTCCCGGTCTTTCCACCATCGTCTACGCCATCAAGACTGCCCGCCAGATCTTCCAGCGTATGAAGGCTTACATTCAGTACCGTATCGCTCTGTGCTTGCACTTGGAGCTCTACCTTACCCTCTCCATGATCATCATCAACGAGACCATCCGCACCGACCTCATCGTCTTCATCGCCCTCTTCGCTGATTTGGCTACCGTTGCCATTGCCTACGACAACGCCCACTCTGAGCAGCGTCCCGTCGAGTGGCAGCTTCCCAAGATTTGGATCATCTCCGTCATCCTCGGTGTTCTTCTCGCTACCGGTACCTGGATCATCCGTGGTACTCTCTTCCTCGAGCGCGGTGGTATCGTCCAGAACTTCGGTTCCGTCCAGGAGATTCTCTTCCTTGAGGTTGCCCTTACTGAGAACTGGCTTATCTTCGTTACCCGTGGTGGCAAGACCTTCCCCAACTGGCAGCTTATCTGCGCCATTCTCGGTGTTGACGCCCTCGCCACTATCTTCTGTCTCTTCGGTTGGTTGTCTGGTGACCCTCACAACACCTCCCCTCCTTCCTCCTTCTTCAAGAACGAGCGTCTTGATGGCTGGACCGACATTGTCACTGTCGTTGTCGTCTGGGCTTACTCCATTGGTATCACCATCATCATCGCCATTGTTTACTTCCTCCTCAACCAGATCACTTGGCTTAACAACCTTGGTCGCAAGGACCGTAACAACCACGACACCAAGATGGAGAACATCATCGCCGCTCTCTCCAAGATCGCCGTTGTCCACGAGAAGGATGATGCCACCGGTGGTGACCGCTGGCTCCTTGCCGCCAAGGTTGAGGACGAGGAGGAGGATTAGATCATGCCTTGATGCTCTTTCCATGCGCTGGAGTTCTTATTAATTTTTTATTTCCTTTCTCTTCTAAATACAATGTGTCTATAACACGTCCTCTGCTTGTAGAATAACGCGGAGTAATACACCAAACAAATATTCAAAAAAACCACTCTTTCCCACTGTGCTTCTGTGATTGTTTTGACAGTTTTGCTGCTAATCTCACACAAACAACAAACGTCTTTGATCAAATTAGACAAAGTCATGGTCAGCAACGTTTTCAGTGCCCACTTCGGTGCGATTGCGATCAGCAAAGATGCGACGAGTGACCTTCCATCTTTTGCCGATGGGGGACATCGTATCGACCATCATCGACAAGAAGCAAAATGAAACACGGCGACGAAAATTTTCGCGTCCCTTTATCGGCGACGGCGAGTCGGCATTTCGCAGTTGTGCTTGGCTTGGCTGGCTCCAGAAGCTCGACGAGCCGATCGGTTCAAGGCGGTTTTGTCTCTCCGCCAAAGGCCTTTGTGTTACGAAACGAGAATTGGAGGTGTCCCGCACCAGAATTGATAAAAGTGTGTGTGTGTGGATAGGGCCCCGTGGAGAGCGGCTAGCTAGAACGACATGGGCCCCGTGGAGTAACTATTTGCGGGCTGCTCACGGCCTTACTTCGTTCTTTCTAAAGATCATGTCGACCACCAAGCACCAAGAGGCCCGTCCGAAACATGACACGATGATGGGGCCCTCTCTTCCAGACGGAGAAGGCGTTTGAACAGCACCAAGGGCTTCGTGCTAAAGATCGGCCAGGCTAGACGTTCGCGATGCACACGAGTTGTACCCTTCGTATGTTCCAGATATCTTCCATCAAAACCGCTCTTCTCGTCAAGTTTCAGTGCCAATGGTCGAACTCTAAGTTGTTTAACCAGATTAAGCAGCAACAAAAGTTAAATGGTCAATCGAAGTTTTAACCAGCCAGCACCTGCGAAACTATGCAGACATGAGATGCAGTAGCAGACAAATCCCTGGACCGGTCTTTCCTCGTTCCAAGCAATACAACAGATTACTCTTGGTTGCTTGTCAGCCTTGTTCGTCGATGTCGCCTTTTCGTGCAGGCTTGGCCTATGCTGGTTCGAGACGAGGTATTTTCTGACAAGTCTTGGTGTCTGGCTTGACTGTTCGATGCCGAGACGGCCGACGCCTAGGAAAAAGCCATGAGAGCCCCAACCACCCACAAAAGACGTCCAGCTTGGCTTGAGTTTTGACTTCTCTTCCCGGGCATAACATTATGGTTTTCTGTCACACCTCGGAAATGTCTTGGCTGGGCGCTGCTGTTTGTTCCCGCATGCAAGCCAGATGCCAATGGTATCGCCTAGACACTTGAAACCCGCATCCCCAACCTCTTCTCTCCGCAAATGCCCGTAAACACACTTTCTCTTCATGCATTGGTATGAGGAACGTGCGACGAGACGTGCATCATCTCCAACCTCGCCCTCCACGTTTGTGTGATCTTGCGGACACTGTTGGGGATGCGGAGAGGTTGGTATGGCGGTCGAAGGGAAATATTCTTGGCTGTTACTGACAAGACTCTTGGAAGTGTGACTCCCAACCTCACTTCTTCGTTAGTATGCACAGGGTTGATCGTCTTGATTAGAAGTCCTTGCTTGACTTCCCTTGTCGCGGTGGCTATCACAACAATTGCTCACTCCTGTATCGTGTTTCGAGGGGTTATCACAATGCAGACCATTGACTTGGCAGGTGGCTGTATCCATGGGTGGTATCTGCTAAACAGGAGTAGAGATGAAGGCCTACACAGAAGACCGGTTGGGAAGACATCACTTCTTGTTTTGTGACCATATGCTCCGATCTTTGTTTTGAGAACGATCAACAATGCACTAAGAAGCTGATATCACGCGTCTTACCACACTATATCCTGATATACTGTCGACACTCTCAAGGGCATATACATGATCATGAACACGATTCCACGCAAATGTCTCAGCAGTCAATAACAACAACGAGATCGCTCGCGGATCCTAGAGACCGCTTCGTTTGTTTGTATGTGTATAACGACTGCTCAGTTCTGTAAAGATTGCACCTACTTGCGCCTTTCTCATACCTACCTCTCAGCCACTCGGGAAACGCAGCCGGCGATGCATCAGGAAACAACTCCCTTCAATCGATCACACACACCCACTACACTGCAGATTCGATCTGACTGCGCGAGTTGAGCTTCACTACATGCCTATAAGAGAGCACAAGCTTCTTGCAGCATGCTGAGTCGTCCGCTAATGAAACCTACGCCAATCCAACCAACGCAAAAAGAAGCCTTCAACATCTCGCTCCGCAATAGCTGTGCATGCTTTCATCAACAGATACGATTGGTTATCAGAACTGTGGAATGGCCATCGAGTTCTCATTGCAACAAATCTTCATTCTGTTGAGTTGGTGATTGCACCACTTCCATCAGCACGTAAGTTGCCAGAAGACCGCGACTTGAACCACAATTTCAAGAGCATCGACCTTGCAAACTGCGATCGAGAGACATCAGTAGACGTGAGACTGCGGAGATGCTTGATTGGGTGTGATGGTCTTGAAGTGGTAGGTCCACTTGCGACTGCTGTGATTGGCCAACGACTACATACTCCACAAGTCCCCACGATGTTGACTTTATCAAGAATGGTCATGCCATGTATATCGGCACTCTTCTCTTATAGAGTTAACCATGTAAGCTGTGTTGGGACTCCAATTCGTTCACTGTTCTCGATGTGAAAAGGCTCGAGGATCGCACTTTCCTTTCTCACCTCTTCTCATTCTCTTTTTGCATGAGGAAAGAACAACCATGGCCAACAACTTCATGATGAAGCTTCTTTTGCTGTTCTTTGGGTGCTTGAACCTTTATGGTGCTGTCGCACAAATCTCCAAGAAGCCTGATGTTGCTTCTTCAGCTGTCCAGCCTGGCGGATACCAGCCTAGCACTCTTCTTACCTCCGTGATCAACAAAGCCGACACAGTCCTTCACGAGGCCAACACTCCCAATTTTGATGCCAACGACAAAGGCCTTGCCGACATTAACGACGACGAAGTCCTGACCGACACTGAGGTTAACGATGATGACGATGACGATGACGAACAGCACCCCAGTATCCTCGCCGATACCAAAGACCCCAACTCTGTCGGCCTCGCCATGAGCAACACCAAACACCACTCCAAAGGAGGCAAGGGCATCCGTGCCAGGCTAGTCCGCTACAAAAGTCCGATTGCGAGAAGAAAAAGGAATCGGCAAAGGCAAGAAGATGAGGGAGGGCAAGTGCCACACATTGCACATTCCGAAAAGATTCAACTCTTACGAATTCAACCTCAAAGAAAGTAAAGGCAAGAAAGGAAAGGACGACGATGAGTCCGAAGACGACTCATCCCAGGGCTGCAGGATAGTCATCTATCACGACGGCAAGTGTACGGACGAAGCTTCCAGCGCCAATGAGGGATCTTGCACAGACATCGGCGATGAAGATGGTGACGACAAGGATGATAAGGATGACAAAAAGCTGCACGTCAGGGACTTTATGGGCAAGGGGCCAAAGTACAAGAGTGCAAAGTTCGTCTGCGATGGTCTCGACGCTGGGAACCCCACGTCGACCGAGTCCGAAAGCGATTACTACTCTACCACCTCACTCTTCTCAGACCGATACGTCGACTCTACTGGCTCGTCGTCAAAGATCTTCACTCCACCATCCAAGACTACCACTCCTCTGTCGTCAAAGTCCGTGTCCGAAGAGCCGACTACCATCGATGCACCAGACCCGGATGATGACGAAAAAACCTTGACGACGGTGAGGATAAGGAAGACGACGACGATGATGATGATGAGGACAAGGAAGACAGTCCCAAGCCAAAGGCTACCAAGACCACCAAGACAAAGAAGCATAAGACCAAGTCCCACAAGTCCAAGAAGACCAAGTCCAAGAAACACCACTCGAAGACACAGAGCATCGTTACCACCACAGAGCCAGCACTTACTACGAGCGATGGCCCGGACACGAAGTGGATTTGAATTTTACTCTTGTCACTACAGCGATATCTAGGATACACTCACATGCATTCCATCCTTGATCTTTCCCTCACAAATCTACACCGATCCTTCCACCCATCTTCGAGATTCTCAACACTCATTTAGAATCAAACATCATAGTTTTTGTTTTCAACACTCAGGACAGAAGATTGCACAGCCATGAAATTACATTCATTGGTGTCATGTATACAAGCAGGACTACCAGATGATCATCCCATATCCAAACGTAATCTTACCATCACAACCCGTCTCTTTGTGTCACATGCCATTGCAAGCAGAGGTCCAATCAAACTCCTCAGAGTATGTACGATTCATTCTATTGGCAGACAGCACTTTGTTCCGAGAACTAGTCTCTCCAAACCATTACATTGAACTTGATAACAAGATACAATATCTCTATTGTACCCAAAGAAAAAAGAGACAAGAGCAACGGCTTCGGCATAGATACCATCACCTGCTTCTTACTTAAATCTCTCTAGAGTTCGTCTACAGAGCTCTCGTAAGAGAGTACTGCACTTTGGACGCAGAGAATACTCAGGACAATGAAAACCAGGCCGCAATGTCGCTTGTAGAATCATTGGTCGTATACCTCAGTGGAGAGGTTGAATATGTAGCTAGAAACGTCATTCATTCATGCCTCTCATTGAGTGCATTATCTATATCCTTTCTTACTCTAATCAGAGAAACCTCACACTACTAGCATCAGACGTCGAAGCCGCCAACACACCCTTACGAACACTACGCGCCGACGCAGCATCCTCCATAACCACATCTTCCCAATCATCGTTCTCGATAGCTTTATCTTTAGCAACAGCATCCGGTTCCTCAACCCTAGCCATGGAACTACTAATCCTATTCCCTGCTTTCACTTGCACCAAACTCTTTCTTCCACGCATGTGTCTGGCACCGCTGAAACTGTCGTTGCTGACGAGTTTGCTCAAGCGATCTTCGGGTTTGTTTTCCTTGTCGTCGTCTGAAGAAGAGACAGAGGTCTTTAGTCTCTGTTTGCGGCCTTTGATGCCTGATGCGCTGACACCTGTAAGTGTTACTCGCAGCGGTGATGGGGATCGCGAAGCCAGGTTTCCTGAGCTATTGCGGTTGAGTCTTTCTGCCCATTTGCGGCGTGCGGCTTCGCGGTTATTGCTGGGAGTGCGGAGGATACTGCTGGGTGGCGGTGTGGGAGAGGCTTCTCCTGGCCGTACCCAAGTGCGTTGGTGTCGTGGCAGTTCCATTTCAATGGCGTATTCGGCGTATCGTGCTGCTGCTCTTGCGTCCGAGTTATCACGAGAGAGTGAACTGCTGGTATTGGTGGTTGTCCAATTGTCTGCTGTGTTTGCGGGNGGTAAAGTAGGACTGTTGTTGTTGTTGGTGCCGCGGACTGGTGATGGCGTGATGGCTCGTGGGAGTCCGGGTGGGAAGACATGTGGACCTGAGACCAAGCGGCGAGGGTTGCGGGCTGGTGGTTCAAGGAGTGATGGGGATGTGGTTTGTCGGCGTACGCTGGGGCTGCCTTTGATGGAGCCGAGGTTGCTGTAGAGACCCATGTTTGAGGAGCGCCGTGAAGAGGCGAATAGCACTGGACTCATGACGCCGCTACTCGCTCGATTGCGGATGAATGATTGTCGTTTCTCAGCAAGAGGTCTGCGGTCTACGACGCTTTCAGTCCGGCTGACTATACGGATGCTGCGACGCTTCTCTGCTTCTGTTAGAGAACGTCGTTTATCCGTGTCGGTATACGGTACAGAAATCATCAACGCCGAGTTTCTGTTTGAGGTAGAATCAGGATAGTCTGATGGCATTGTTGAGAGTATGCTGGTGCCGTGTGTGTTGAAAGAACCTCGGCTACTCCGGTCTTTTGTGATAGAGAAGGTGCTACTCAGCCGGCTCTTTCTGTTTGGACGATGTATCACTGTGCCCCTCGTCGTAATGTTCAGACCCGGATGCCAGCTTTTGATTGATCTCGATGCACGTTTGCCAGGAGACAGTCTTGCGAACTCTAACAACCTTTGACGAGAATCTCGACTGTTTTGCCTCGCCAGTTCTGTAGCTGCAGAATAGCTATGGTGTGGTGTATGTGTTGCACCCGATTCTCGACCCCATACTGGGATGTTTGAATCTGCTTGTATCGCTGCTTCACCATCGCCAAGCGAGCTGACTACGGACAACTTGCTTTGACGAGCATCCCTACCACCCAGGAAATACCGTGGCTTCATGGGCGATTGCATTGCCGTTGGAAGATCGATATCCAGTTGAGGAGGTTCATCAGGCGAATGCTTGACAGGCGATCCAATATGCTTCTCTTCGTCCTGGTCGCTTTCTACTACCATAGGTTCTTGGTCACCAAAAGGTAACACCGGTCTGATATCGCTCTTTTCTATCTTCTTGTGAGGATGTTTTCTTCTGCGGCGGCAACACAACATTGCGATGGCGAAGAATAAAGCCAGGACTGCTAAACAGCCAATCACAATTCCCACTATGATACCTGCTGTCATGCTTTTGTCCTTTGATTTCGCAGGAGATGTCGTGGCAGAAGGAGAAGAAGTCGAAGTCGGACTTGCTGTAGTGCTCGAAGTCGTGTGAGAGGTCGCTACGACTGCCGCTGCTTCCAAGTTGATGTAGAAGGTCTGGGTCTCTGTATCTGAAGCTGAAGAAGCAGTCACCGTGATTATGTTTGCTGAAGCCTTGGCTGTGGTGGGTGGGGTGCCCTGAAGCAGGCGTTTGCTCGCATCATATTGCAACCAGGAGGCGGAACCGACATCAACGCTAAGATTCACGTCGTTCTGTGTCAACAAAGACGGAGCGAACGTGCATCTAAACTGTTTCCCAGCTGTTGCAGTCATGTTCCCAATCTCGCCGTTGAACAGCGATGCGTTCGCTGTATTAAGGAGAATGTTCTTGACTGCTATATCCCCATATGTGTCTGTCACAGTGATGGATAAGCTCTGCGACTCAAAGTCTTGCGGAGGTATTCCTGTCCACTCCATGGAGCTGTTCTGGAACATCAACCACTCTGGCGCCTTTGCAACAACTTTTTGCAATTGGCTGCTTGTAGCCTGCGCGCCATTTATACGCAGCTGGTCTGCGAACGGCCCCACAGTGATTGATGTTCCTGGTGTAACTGTGATATTCTCTGTCTGGGGGTCGAAAGCCAGCTGATAGCTGCTGATGAGCAAGCTGAAGGTTGTTGTCGCTCCTGCAAAGCCGGCCACATCCGATGCAATGAAGTCGACACCGTAAGTTTGCGAACCTGTTACCAATACAGGAGTCATACCCCAGAATGTCAAAGAGCTGCTGTCGAACTTGAGCCATGATGGAAGTGGTGTTCGGTCAGCCATAGTGGCATAGTAAGACTTGATGGTACCCGGATCGCCAAACAGATTGTTTGAGAATGTGATTGCGAATGCGGTGGATGATTGCAGTATCAAGGTTGTCGGTCCTGACAAAGGTCCTGATCTCGCAAGATCTGCTGAGATGTTGCCCATCAGAGCTGGAGCGCTGTTGCTGGCCACCACCAGAGTACAGCCCATGTCGACCGAATCATCGTTGCTTGTTGCCACAATCTTGAAGAAATTCGGACCAGTATTTCCTTGACCAGGAGTGCCATATAATGTCCGTGTCGTGCTCTCCAGATTCAACCAAGCAGGCGCACCCGCCAAGGTGTAGACTAGCGTGCTGCCATCGCTGGAGACGAAAGTCGTAGGGGCGAGTTGGAAGGCGTAGGCTTCATTTGCTCGTGCGAGGGCCGGTACCTGAGAGTTGAACGGAAATGCGACTTGTGGCAACGCTGACACCAGCGTGTCGAAGAGCACCGAGAAGAGTAAGCCGCGCATCCTCCTCCGAGATTCTGCGTTTCGCTCGAGGCGGTAACAGTGCTGCGCGAAGTCGTAGGCAGCGTTTGAATTCGGTTGCAGGTCGGAACCTGTTGCTCAGAAAAACGATATTGTGATCGCACGAGCGAGGTACAACACGCACCCCTTCATCGATGGCCCGTACAGCCACCGTACACGTTTCTGACGCGAGAAGACGTGTATAGCGATCGCATCTTGACGTGACCTTGCCTACTGGCTGAAGGGATGACTTTTCGAAGAATGAACGAGGGTGGCCTGGAATCCGTGGGCTGGGAAGCAAGGGAATGATGAGTGACACCACACCTCCAAGACTTCATGTTACCTATAGACTCTTTCCACTCACATTAGGTCTCTGACCAAGCCGATAGACCAAAGTCAGTTCGTCAGTCTTGTGATAGGTTTGTGTCTTGTTTGGCTAAATCGCCAAAGTCGATATGAAGTTGTTAGGCGATATGCGACTGATCTCAAGGCCATTGTTCCCGTATCGATACCAGCCCGAGACACATGCCTACCGGATTGAGGAATGCTCTCCGTGTATATACCAAGAGTCAAGAATACAGGTTGAGTAGCACAATATCATTTGAAGGTGTCAACCATCCACGGAGGTTCGTCGCGATCGGAAAGCATGTATACATGACATTTGTGGACCATAGGTAGGTACTCGAAATTAGAAGTAGAGTATCATCCAACACCTCATCTCAAACGCGGAAGGTGAGGATGGAGACAAACAGAAGTCGAAAGAGCCCTTCTTCGGCAGTCGAGTACAAGCTCTCACAGCAAAAAGTCTAGAAGCCCACAGCCCAAGCAACCTTAGCCTAAACCTTCCACCTTCCATCTCTCCCATCCCAAAAACTCACCGACGGCAAACGTATCTCTTCTTCATTCACACGATCAAATACACAAGAAAACAGCCATCATGTCATTGTCAGACGACGAAAGAAATGGCGTGTTCGACATTGACGAAGAGCTCGTGCCGGTGCGGGAGCTCAAGCAAGCTGCCGTCATGGAAGTGGACTTTGATGGCTTGCTAAAGACACCCCTGAGGTTGGAAGAAGATCTCAAGAAAGGATGTGGTGGTATGTTGTGGCCTGCTGGGATGGTCATGGCAAAGTATTTGATGAGACAGGAGAAGGATGTGTTCAAGGATAAGACGATGTTGGTGTTTGATGCCAAGACACGATAGTGGATGGTTATGCTGATTGAATACAGAGTTGAATTGGGTGCTGGAGGGGGTTTAGTCGGGTAAGACGTATCAAATACAAGCGAATGATGGAATTCGCTGACAGAGGCTATAGTCNTTGCCGTTGCTCTGGGTTTCCAACTCGACCATTCTCTACATCTCACCGACCAAATATCCATGCTCGCCTTGATGCAACGCAACATCGCACTCAACAACCTCCAAGACCAAGTCAAAGCATCAATATACGATTGGGGTGAGCCCGCACCAGAAGGCATACCCCAACACCCAGACATCATCTTAGCTGCCGAGTGTGTCTACTTCGAACCCGCATTCCCTCTCTTGCAACAAACGATGAAGGATCTTATTGGACCAAACACAGTCTGCTATTTCTGCTTCAAGAAACGCAGACGGGCAGACATGAACTTTGTCAAGGTGATGAAGAAGATGTTTTTGGTCGAGCCTGTCGAAGACGATCCTGACAAACCGACGTGGTCGAGGGAAAATCTTCATTTGTGAGTCCTCTAATTGCACGATTGTGAAATTTCGCTGACACCGGATAAGCTTCAAAGTCACTCTGAAGCAGAAGAAGAGCCAGTAGTGGAAGTCAAAGGGAAGTAAAACCAACATAGCATACATGGGAAAGTACAAAGCAGAAATCAAAAAGCGTACAGTATTCGTATCAACATCCATCTTCCATCTTCCATCAACATCATCATAAACATCATAAACCGACATAAAGTTCAAACACATCAACCCTCAATCTCACTCCTCTCCCCCTCATCCTGTTCTTGCCTCAAACCCCTCCTCTCCCTCCTCCTCTTAATAGCAGCAATCCTACTCCCCTCCTCTTCCCACACCTCTGACATCTACACCTCAAACTCCTCTCACATCCCTTCTCCACCCTCTTCCTCCCCAAAACCTCCTGCGGCGCCCTCAAAAACCTCTTATCCTGTTTATTCTCCTCCCTCACCACTAATGCTGCAGCACAAGGCGTAAGAACAATGTCTGGTGCCAGTGACCCTGTAGTAACGAGCAAGATATTTGCTGACGAGCGCGCGAGGCTCTTTAACGGCAGTGCTGGTGGTGGAGGACAGAATGCTGGTTTTGCGCTCTTTCCACTGGCTAGACAAGAATGTAGGAAGCCAAGGAGATTGGTGCGGTAGATGGCCGGGTTGACGATAAAGTAATTGTCGTGGTGCGAGATGTGTGGGTGTATGATGTCGATTGGCATAATTCGTGTTGGAGTGATTTGATCTTGAGATGGCGTTGCGAAAAGAGGAAGCTTCGCATAAAGTGTTGTCTTCTTGGAGGTGGGATGCCTTATGTGGCGGGTTGGCCTTGTGAGGAATGCAAGCGGTGGTAGTATGGAGCAACCGAAGCTTGCTGGAACAATGACTTCCGGGACACCGTTTTGTGTGTAGGATCTGGAACTGGAAAGAGATGCAAGATCGAACAGACATACAAGAAGAATACATCAATTGCAAGAATTGGAGATGGTGAAGAGATAAAAACACTGGTAGCGCATGAAGCGGTGAGCCCCAAAATTTTGACAGGCACCAAAACAACAACTCGATTACCAAGATTTCGTCATCACCGCTCCTCTGCCTTGGAGCAAACAATAGTCTGTGTCTTTGTCTCGATACTAAGAAATAGGGTATAGATGGAACATGAAGAAAGAGAATAAGAGAAAAAACACCACGTTCCGGATGTCGAGAGGCCGTAATTGCTCCAATCGAAGGATATCAAGCTCCTGACGCCATCGCTCAATAAAAACCCAATCATTAATCTCGAGAGGCGGTCTCATGCCTACCATCATCGAGTTTCAAAAGAAGAGAACGTAAAGGTAGTATCACAATAGACCTCCCAGCACCAGTCGACTAAGGCCACCAATCTCGGAGCGGACTTCGCGGCGAGTCGTGTCACCGAGTTCCTGGGTAGCGTTTTGCACAAGCACTTTGCGCAGAATCTTGTCTGCTTTTCCAAAGGCTTCACCGACACCAGGTCCTATCGACTCTGTGTTTGGTAGGAGTTGTACGACTCCAGAATACGTGTCGATAAGAATGTCGGCCAAGGTTGCAAAAGCGGTGTGGAAATCGGGATCAAAGGGCAGAGAAGGCGTTTGTAAGTATGTAAACTCTGGGAGGTTTCCTGACGAGATGGGAGGCATGGGCAAAGAGTCGAGTTGAGCACTCTCGACTGACTCGGACAAGCTTTCGATGGCAACGCTGCTAGATCTGCGACCCTTGACTCCACGCATGCCGCTTTTGAACATGGCGCCCATACGACCACGAGCACCGACCGAAGCGTCAGGATTGTTGAGTTGTTGGTAGGTGTCATATTCTGAGAGCAGAGCGGCAAGGGAGCGTAGATAGTCCAGAGGATTGTCAGAGTTCATGTCGAGAAGCGGAGGTATAGAGGTACCCAGAAGGAGGTAATTGGAAGCGCGACGACCAAGCTTGGAGTATTGCATAGATGGTAGTTGGTTGAGGTTGGTGGGGGTATAGAGAATTGTGTTAAAGTAGTAGATGTGGCCCTCGTGTNNCTGTTGTGTGTCAGTATTGGACGTTTGAAAAGTTGAATGGACATGGACGTACACTTTGCGAAGATACTCGAGAGTAGCTATGCGCTTGCGACAGGTAGCGTGAATGTGATTCAGAAGAGCGGCAGGTACAGGTATGACGCTGGTCTGAGGGATTTGCGTAGTGTTGGAGGGGATCAAGTTCAAGGAACTGCCATTGGTGGCATATGAAACCAAAGAGGGACGATCTGTCTCTGAACGTTTGAGACCATGGCTGAAAGGAGTGGCAAGCATGGAGAAGGGAGTTTTGGGAACAGGATCCGCAAGGCTGGGAGCAAGGCTGGGTCGGCGGTCGCGTGAGAAGCTATCAGACGACTTTTGCGGGCTCAAGGTGGTATTGAAAGGCGGCTTGACCGTGTGAGTGGCATTGGCACTAATAGAGCGGCTCTGGCGGTGGAGGCGGATCGGAGAGCGAGAGGGGACTGCTATCGACGAGCCTCGGGCCTTGTGGTGGTGTAGCGACGACAGCGACTCGTGGGAGCGGAGGGATGCGCTGCGCCGAATGTCTCCTTCAGACGGTAGCGAGATGACCGACGAGTCTCTGCGGGCCGTGGGCGACAGGTCTTCGTTGGCTAGCGGCGAGATTGGGGTGATGGATGTGGTTTCCTTGCGGGACGACTTCTTGGTCGAGAAGATGGAGGGCTTCCTGCCGAAGATGAAGGCGCTGGGCGCTGGCGACGGGTCGGGCGCCATCTTGTTCTTTGTTCCTCAAACGCTTATACTTTTGCACCCTTAGCCACTCCTAGCCCTGCTGACGTCTAACGCAGCGGCGCAATTACTCAGGGTAGACCCTGTATGCAGCTTTGCAACAGGCAGATCGAGATTCGAGAGGTCTCCTTTGATGGTCGGCCGGCCGTGCTGCGCTGCAACTACGTTTGCCTTGGTAGAGGCAGCCTTCTACGACATACAACCAGACTACAACGGCTTCTTGGCGTGTCAAATCTCCCACGCGAGCAAGAAAGGCAAAAAGATGCAGAAGAGCGTGGTAGAAGGTGCTTGGTTTGCCGAAACGGGATGCCCCTGGATCGTGAGCGGAACTCAAGCCGTCGTCCAAGCGCCAGCACCTTCCCCACCGCCAATCTGCACATGCCCCACCACGACTCGACATGACCGTAAACAACCCTTGAACTCTCCTCTCTTGTGCAACACGACTATTGCGCAACACAAGATTGTGACATCGTAGCCATGTCTTCCACAGAGGTACTCCTCTACCGCGCCTTTGTAGGCCTCAGAGACGCTGACCGTCTCGCAGAGCATTCCAGCTCCTGGTAAGTGGCCCGTCGACCCTCAACAAGACGTCCCGATCAGCGACGACCGCGTCTGGGTCGATGGATGCTTTGATTTTGCCCACCACGGCCATGCCGGTGCCATGCTCCAAGCTCGTCGTCTGGGAACCGAACTTCTAGTCGGCGTGCACTCCGACGAGGCCATTCTCGAGAACAAGGGGCCTACCGTCATGACTTTGGACGAACGGTATTCTAATCACAATGCCCTCGGCCTGTCCAAGTGAAGCTGAACCATCTCACTTAGCTGTGCTGCTGTTGACGCCTGTCGCTGGGCCACCAAGTCTATCCCTCACGCCCCTTATGTAACATCTCTACCCTGGATCTCTCACTACGGCGCCAAATACGTCGTTCACGGAGACGACATCACTTCAGACGCCAATGGCTACGACTGCTACAGATTCGTCAAGGAGGCTGGCCGTTTCAAGGTCGTCAAACGCACTCCTGGTATAAGCACAACCGACCTTGTCGGACGTATGCTGCTATGCACGAAATCACACTTCATCAAGGATCTCGATGCCTTGCTCGAAGGTCAGGAAGGTCCAGGCGGTGAAGAGGAGAGAAAGAGCACAGGAAACGACATGAAGGAGAGAATCAGAGAATACGCGACTGACGAGTCTGGAAACAAGCCACTCGTCGAGGTCTGGAGTTGGCGCTCTGCCCACTCGAACCAGCAGCACTTCCACCAGAACGGCTCTTTCCTGAAAAAGGTCAACGGAACATCACCACAGCCTGATCAAAAGATTATCTACGTTGACGGTGGCTTCGACCTCTTTTCCACTGGTCACATCGAGTTCCTCAAGCAAGTTGTCGAGACCGAAGAAAAGGAGGCCAAGCAGAATGGGTGGGACAAAGATTACAGTCCTGTCTACGTTGTTGCAGGTGTTCACAGCGACGAAGCCATCAACGATTATAAGGGTATCAACTATCCCATCATGAACATATTTGAGCGCGGTCTCTGCGTTCTGCAATGTAAAGTAAGCTTAAAACTCGCAACCCAACAAATCCTCTAGCTGACAAAACGACAACAGTACGTCTCCTCCCTCGTCTTCATGGCGCCCACGGTCCCCAGCAAAGTCTTCCTCGACTCACTACCCTACACCATCCAAGCAGTCTACCACGGCCCTACCGTCTCAGCACCTCCAGGCCAAGACTTTTACACCGACGCAAAGGAAATGGGCATCTTCAAGGAAATCTCCTCACATCCATACTCGCAAGTCAATGCAGACTCAATCGTCGCTCGCATTCTGAAGAGCAGAGAACTGTACGAGGAACGCCAGCGCGTCAAGGGAGTCAAAGGCATTGGCGAAGAAGCCGTACGCAGAAGAGAGGAAATGGAAAGAGAAAAGGCAGAAAAGGATAAAGCTGCACGCACATAGATGTGCTCTCCAAAAGTCAGTAATGAAGAACAAACGTCTCTTTATTGTACTTTGACCTTTTCTCACAGTGGGATCCAGTGATTTTGTAAGCCCGTCAAAATACACAGTTGCTTTCCAAGTTAGAAGAATGGCCAGAGAAATACCTCGAAATTAGAGTCTCAATGAACGATGCCCGTCTTCAGAACACTGTTATGTATTTCTATAGCTTACGATACAATTGTCTAGCACACGGAGAGCAGCACGCCAAACATACCACAGATGACAGACTCAGGGACTTCCTCCATTACCTAGTGTCGACTTGTTCTCTCGAACACAGTCGTGCGTTTTGTCAGGCTCTGCTCCAGCCAGTTCGATCATACGAGAACGACAAAGGTCCCTCATGCGGTCATGGACGCGATTCTTTCGCTGGCTCTTACCCGAGGATCAAAGAAGTATGACAAGTGGGCGGATGTGCAAGAGCACATTCTGTTGGTCGAGTGTCTGCGGATGAAAGAGAAGAAAGAGGTTGGGATGCTGGAAGTCTCTGTTTTATAGTGTGAGTGGAGGTAGTTTGATGACTTGTTTTCAGTAAGGTGTCTGGAATTGTCAGATGATGTGGTACTCTAGACCTGCATCTCCAGCTTGCTGTCGTGACATTTTGCAGCTATCAAAATGCAAAAGGATATACTGAACACGGCAGTGTCCACTGAGATCTGTGTACGATGGAGAAGTGGTTGTAGCATTTTTGAGGTTGAAAGATGAACCATCTAAGTAAGCTTCTGCTTGATGAAGAAGTTTCTCAAGTGCGACAGCTGCCAGGCGCAAGTGACACCCAAAATGGCAAGCTGGACAAGAGTCCAGCGCACGACACGAGCATTGGTGTGCTCAGACATGTTTCTGAACTCGGCCTCGCGCTCCCTCTGGAAAACCTGCTCCTTTCTAATATCACTGAGTCTGGCATTCAAGTCCTTGACTTTGGCAACAATGTCGGTAATCTTGTGCTTGTCGTCGCTCTCGATGCGCGAGGTCTCGCCAATAGCCATGTCGACTTCAAGCTTGATGTTTCCGGCGCTCGAGCCGCCTGCGAGCCAGCCTTGAGCAGAAGGGACGTTGGTGGGNGTGAAGCAGATGCGGTGGTCGCCAGAGTCGGCGGCGGAGAAGGTGAAGCGGCCCTGAGAGTTGCCGCGCTGGGAGACGATGCGGTGGTCGTTGTCGAAGATTTCGTCGACGCTGATGTAGAGGCCCATGTCAGGGTTGGCTTCGTATCTGCGGGAGGCTTCGTTCCATTGCGTAGCGGTGTAGTGGCCTGTGACCTGTTAGAGTCATGCACAAGACAAAAGAAGAAGTGGTAGGAATGAAGACAGGGGTCGCAGATACTCACCAACTACCAGGGTGTCCTTGGGGAGCTCCTCGAAGAAGCACTTTTGGGAGGGGCCGTCAATGTAAAAGTAGAGAGCCTGAGTCGGCAGCAGCAGAGCCGCGAATGCAAGCACTGAGAACAGCATCAAGTGCATCGTGAAGGTCGTTATTCGTGAATGACAAGACTGAAGGAGACAACAGCACGAGATGCCCCTAAACACTTGAACAGCTGTTGCACCTTCCACCGGTGAAATGCCAAGAACTGTGGAGGCTCGCCGCAACTGCCCTTCAAACAGCAGCATCTTCACGCGACGACTTTCCACTTACAATCGCGACTTCTCATCTGCGAAGTAATTCACCATGTCGGCACAGGATATGCGCGACATGCTGGGCCTGACGGGCGATGTTGCCCGTCCGCCGCCCTTGAAGAAGCAAAAGACGGCCGAGAAGCGTGCACGTATGTCGCATCGTTCAATCACTGAATGCGCCGCTTGCTAACCAGACGCAGTCGAGAAGGGAATTGCTCGTGAGGTTTCGGCTCTGATGGGTGAACGCGCTCCTCCAATTGCCATGATCCAGGTCCAACCCAAATACAAACAACGACCCAGACGATCACATCGAGTTGCGCCCTGGGAATGGGCCTCTTTCAACAATCAAGCAAGAGAAGACCGTCTCACTCTACATCACTGGCAACGCAAGCACACTCCCCAACCTCGTTCCCAACCAGAACAACAGCCACAGACCGAGTCGGAAGCCGACGTCGAAAAACAACCAGAGCCCGAACACCAAGAGAAAGACTATCAATATGCCAAGTACAATGTTCAGGTCGAGACTCCTACCTACGACCAGGATCTATACGACGCTCAACTACAGGATCCGGATTGGACAAAGGAAGAGACGGATTATTTGGTTGACGCCGTAAAAGACTATGGTCAAAAGTGGCCAGTCGTCATTGATCGCTATGAATACCAGCCTGAGCCTACTGAAGAGGGTGCAGAAGCGCCGCAACCAAAACCTCGTTCTATGGAAGATCTCAAAGCACGCTATTACATTGTCAGCGCAAAGGTCCTGGCCAACCATACCCCCATTTCGTCAATGACTGGCCCGCAATACAATCTCTACTCGACCTTGACATCATTCAACCCCGTCCAGGAGTCATCACGAAAGAAGCTCGCCGAGGGTCATCTTTACCGTACCCAACTCGAGGTCGACGAAGAAAATGTCCTGCTGGCCGAACTGCAACGCATCATGATCAACCAGCAACAACTTGAAAATGAACGCAAGGAGATCCGTGACAGACTGGAACACCCATCAACAAGCAATACCGCTGCCGCTCAGTACAGCACATCACAACAACTCGGCCAGCTCTTCCAACAACTATTGCAAGCCGATCGTATGAAGAAGGACCGCCGACTTAAGGCTCTGGCCGATACCCCTGGTGGCGGTCCCCCTACATCTGCACAACTTCAATCCGCTGCAGGCGCATCCTCTGCCCATCGCGATAGTATCAGCAGTGCCACAGGCGCCCGCAAGGCTGGAGGTCGCGACTCTATGGCCGGAGGCTCTAGTGCAGGAATGGATCCCACAGCACGCGCCCTGACTCCCCACGCCGCCCACCGCTACTTCGTCACCCAACACGAGCGTCTCAGCAGCGGTGTCTCGTTTGCCTCTGACCGTCTTCACCGGGCCCGTTCCGCTAAATCCATGATCCAGACTGAGAAAATATCTGCTATCCTCAATCATCTGCGCATCCCTGATATTATCCCTCTGCCTACTCAACGCGTCATTGAAGACTTTGAGAAACTGATGCAGAAGGTGCATGTTTTGTTGGACATGCGCAAGGTGGCCGATAAAGAGGAGCAAGAGATTAGAGTCAAGGAGGCCGAGAAGAGGATCAAAGAGGGCAAAGAAGCTGTCAAGGAGGAAGGTGAAGATGCCAAAGTTGGACAGAAGAGGAGTGCGTCTGTGATGAGCAATGATGCCCAGGGCGCTACCAAGAGGCCTAAGAATTGAGCTTAGAACTACAGCCTCTTGAGGATCTTCGGCAGAGAACAATGAAGAAGATCAACGAATCTCAAATGTTCAACTCTTGCAAGACAGACATTTATCTTTCTATAGACAGCATCACTCATCTCAGAAACGTTGTGTGTTCTGACAATGGATCTAGTGACAAGTCTTTCACACGGGAGACACATACCGTTGAACAACACACAACAAGGTCGCTTAACAAACACATACACCTATAGTACATGCTTCAACCAATCAACACTTCACCGAACCTTTCATTCCACACAAGACTATAAGAATTTAGGTATCATCAAGCACAAAACACCGTTACCTATACTACACTCTCGGTTCCTCTTGTCGTACTGCGAATTAGAGATATCGTGCATTCCGTCCGTACTTTTACTAACCTCGTCACCAAGATCTCACCTCTCGATCCTTTTCTTTTCCGACAAGAACCCGGTGGTTGGATAAAGGTATCTGACCCAAAGATTTCGTTTTTCCTATACTTTGTGCATCCAGAAGTGTCTCGTGCAATCCTTCCGTACCTCTACTTTCTGACCAAGTAGAGATGAACGAGTTAGTCTTTACCATTGACCCGGCTGTCGAGATGTGGGTACTTGACCATAACTCGTACTTCCTCTTATCGTAGATCGGACAAAAGAGGTCGTGTACGCACTCCGTACCTTGGAACCTCATCAGACCAAGACCAAGCACGTCAAAGTTTACCATTGACTCGGTGTCTGAAGATGCAGGTTCTTGACCGTAAATCGTGCTCCAGCTCGGTGTAGGTAAGACAGAATATGTCGTGCGTTGATTGCGTATCTTCTACCTACCCGCCGACGCAGTGAGCGTATCGATGAAATATCTTGTCGACATCGACCCGACTCTCGAAGGTGAATTGCGTAGTCTAGTTATTAGCTCTAATAGCAGCAAGACCAAAACCTGAGCGGTTGACAGTGCTAGCTGCCATGTTGACGTAGAGTAATGTTTCGATGTGTCTGCAAAGTAAGAGGCAAGTCTTTTCCAGGCTAGCTAACAAGTAGAGGGAGGGTATAAGAAAGGAAGTGGTGGGATGATACTCTTGTGTTTTCGATTGAGAGCGACGTCTCTTCGAGCCAAGGTACGTAACACATATATTAGCTATTCAACTTCACAATACTATTGACAAACAGTGTTATGTCCATTGAGAGGCAATAATTCATAGGCTCTCTCTGGTCACATTCCAAATCTACAAACATTCGTGCATCTTGATGGTGGAATTTCCTCTGTGTCGCTATGGAAAGAAGGTCGATTTTTGCACACGAAGAGGAAGGACGTGTGGTTAAAGATCTGCAACACGATCAACAAAGCAGACCCACAGCATGGTGTTCTTTTTATATCCGCTCTCTGTTTCCGGGCTCGCTCGACAAGTCGCATACCGATCATGAATCGATGAATCGAACGATGAAAAGAGTTTTTGTCAAGGAGAAAACGCGGAATCGGGTACGAGAGGAAGTTCATGGTCATTGGAACAAGTATTAAAATATGATATGAATATTCTTTATATGGTGCATGCAGTAGGCATGCGAAGGACTTTGTATCGCTTCGAAAGGGGTATATGTGATGAGGTACAGGATGTGGCTTATCCGAAAGGCCGGATCAACTCTGGTCGGCAGCGACGATAAGACATCTATTTGTATCATACACTTGGAAGGTGTTGTCTGTGGTGAATTGGATGAGCAGAGACTCGAAAGGCATCGGTCTCCGTCGAGTGATTCTTGTCACACGTCATTCAATCCGGACCCTGATGATCGTATGGAAGCAGTTCCGTGCCGTCTTGTCAAGAGACTCTGCGATTCAGGTTTGGCTCTATTCCCGATCAATGGGGTTGGAAGAGGCTGGGGGTACGCAAGCCGGCGTCATTGCTTGTCCTTGCATCTGAATTGATGCTTGTGGCTGGGCGGCATTTCTACAACATCGGTATAGTGGATGATGTTGAGCTCATAGCTGACACTCGAGTATTCACAGCTCGAAGGAAGCAATCCGCGAACTGCTCGAGCCGGGAACCCCATGAATGCGTAGTGTCGTGTTTCGTGTGGAAAATGCCATGGCGCCTTCAGGGAGCAGTGTCTGTCTCCGAGACCCACGCGTTTATGCGTGCCCTGTCGACCTTCGAACTGGCCACACTCCCGTTGTCTTGGACTTCCTTGATACGGGAGTGTCTGCCGTGCTTGTCGAGTTTTCGTACAGCATCTTCGGTCAAGGGAGCCACGCGGGTAGATTGTCTGGTCGATGTAGGGGCCCCTCTTTCTGCCTCCGTGGCCGTGTCGAGAAGCCACTGCAGTCCGTTGGCAAAGAGATGGGTACGTTCGTCTTGCATGGCAGGAATCATAGAATTGTTCTGTAGTAGTTGTCTGGCGAGGGCTTTCGTGTCTTTTGAGAGACCTCGTGTGGTGGGGCTTGGAACGGGGTTTTGTGCGTTGATCAGGTTCTGGTGAGAGGGAAAGACATGGCTGTAGCTGCCTGTTCTTGCGAGATGGGGTTGTGTTGAATTTGTCGAGGAGGTGATGCGAGAAGTTGTGGATTGAGTTGATGATGAAGTGACAGACTCCATTGGTGAGATGCTCGGTGAGGCCATATTGATGGTAGCTTTCTGAATACTCGATGAATGTATTGTGATAGAGCGAGCGGGAAGAGACAGGGGATGTGATGACAGAGAAACAGCCGGAGCCTCAGCTCATACAGTACCTACTCAGCAGCATGCCTGGTGGCTTGCACATAGGCCACGCGCAAGCGCAAGCATCCAAAACATCGGCGATGATGTACCTTTCGTCACAGCTCCTTCCCTGTCGTTCTCTGTCCGTCCAAGGTTTCGCGTGGTTACCGAAAAGTCGCAGCGCCATGACAGGACCTGAAGCTAGACGGAGAAGAGCTGTGACTAGGCAGGAAGTGGTTTGATCCCCGATTGGCAAATGCTCGCATCGATGATCTCAGGCTGCGATGGGAGAAGATCGTCGATGTCAGAGATTCACGCACGCGCCTGCCGCAACCTCAATTCGTCTACACCTGCCCAAGGCCCCCTTACCGCTAACGACTTCCCTCTGGCAACGCGATACCTGCAATTTCTACATCAAGGAATGCCATTCTCAGCTCATATCAACAACACAATACAATCTTCGGTTTGTATAAAGACCAATAACAATCCACCACGACACAATCTCCAAGGATTTGGGTAACGTTCGTATTCGCCGACAGCCGAAAAGCGCAGCTCCATCTTCGATGCAGACTCCCGAAGCTCTGTTTCTACCTCGCCTACGTCCGCACTACCCAATAGCTCGTTATAGATGACGTTGGAAAAAGATGCCTTTTTCTGTTTCCTTTTCGGTCCTCTTGTAATTAGGGAAAGGGTCGCAGAGGCTTGAACGACCTTTGCGTGACGCGCTCAACCTTGCGGACCTTCCTCCGCAGCGATGTCTGGTGATATTTTGGCGGCATTGAACGTGATGTCTACAAGACTCGGAGACCGTGAGATGACTGTCCAATACTTAAGACGTACATCACAATCGCGCAGGGTTCAGGTGTCAACACAGGAAAACAACGCGAGATCATCGAGTCAGAACACTTACCCATGTCATCACCAAGAAGGTTTGAACAGCACAAGAGTCTCTCTCACACAAAAGCCACCTTTTTGCTTTTGAGAGGTAGACTTCAACAACTCGTCTTCGTGAAACGTTGGGAGGCAGAGTCTATCGCATTCGTCTCTAGCTCATGTCATCTTCGCTTTGCAAAACCTCTGCATCTAGTGAACAGCGTATCACGTCCATGATACCGAACAGCAGAGTAGAGAACACACCATCAAATCAACTCAGGTACAAAAATAGCAAAAGAGAGTTTGATTGAAAGACCAGCTTCTGCATTTGTATCGTTATCATCGTTTCTCATCAATTTTCAGAAAAGGGTATCTCTATGCTTCGTTGCTTCCCAGATTCCACCAAAACTCCGTCCGAAAGAAGAAAGATTGTAAAGAAAAAATTGAACACTCAAACTCCCTTGTTTTCCCATAGAAACACCTTCTATCCCGTAAAACCCTCCTTGAAAGATGCGATGTTGTGTTGCAGATGCAGAAACTCCTCCTCATATCCACCTCTCCTCCGCATAGAAAACACCAAAAGCAGTGTCAAATAAGACCAGGTCAGTTGAACCCGCGACCACGACGCACGCGAGGAGCAGGTTCTTCATTCCACTCCCCCTGCACCTGTCTTGCCATCTCCTCGTCGGCAGCGATTTGAGCAGCAGCGGCGGTGGCAACAATGGGGTCGTTTTGAACACCAGTACCAGCAGTGTTGTTTCTGTTCGAGTTGAAAGGGCTTTCGGTTTGCTCGGGAGTGGGAGACAGACGACCAACGCGGCGAGATGGTCGTGTGCCGAAGAAAGAAGGTCCGTTTGGGCCCCATGGTTGAAGAGGATCGACGTTGGGGCGTGAGTTGGTTCTGTTGGCGGAAGATGTAGTAGATGGAGGAGCTCTGGTCGTGCTTGGCGAAGGTCTGATGAATGAAGAAGGTCTGTTGGCGGTCGAAGAGCGTCTGTTGATAGTTGATGCAGACGTAGTAGGTGGAGAAGGTCTGGTGTATGAAGAACGGCTGTCGATAGCCGAAGAGGGTCTGGTGATAGTCGAAGGTCTGTCGACAGTCCAAGATGGAGAAGATCTGTCGGGTCTGTTGATAGTTGACAAAGGTCTGGTAGTGTTGGACAAAGTTCTGACAGCTGAAGGAGGTGTAGTGTCTGCAAAAGCATTGATAGACGAAGAAGGTCTGGTGGTGGAAGGAGCTCTGACAGTCGAGGAAGATTCAGAGGGCGAATCAGGTCTGACAAAACCAGTCATCAGTCTGCGAAGCTCGCGATTCTTTCTGGTTCTCTCGGCAGGGTTGATAACAGGGTCTTCATCTTCTTCTTCGTCGTCGTCGTCGTCGTCGTCTTCCTCTTCTTGCTCTTCGGCTTGGCGTTGGCGTTCGTGTTCCTCACGTTCAATGGCAAGTCTGGCTTGACGATCGGCAAGAAGCTTCAACCAGTATGCCTTTTGGTGGGTGCGGGTTCAGGTGACTTGGTGAGTGCAGGCTCAGGTGAGATCTTGCGTGTGTAGTGCTTTCTGGGATCATAAAAATCGGCCACGTCGCTGGTCTTGGACTTGTCGAGAGGGCGGCCGTCGTTGTTGCTGAATCTGTTGACAGGAGTGAAGTCGGACATGCGCTTCTTCTTCTTGGGCTGAGGCTCTGAGGTGGATTGTTCGTCGTCGTTGGAGAAACGCTTGCGCTTGGGTGAAGGTGCTGCAGTGGATTGTTCGTCGTCTTCATCGTCGTCGATGGTGCGAGCACGCTTCTGCTGACTTGATCTGGCTGATGGCTTGGGAGGTGGGATGACTTCTTCCTCATCATCGTCGTCACTGGTGGCGGTGATGGGCTTCTGGCGAGATGATCTGGCAGGTGGTAGTGGTGGTGGTGGTGGTGGTGGTGGTGGTGCAGTGATGGTTGGAGCCTCGCCAGTGGGAGCGCGTCTGTGACGAGATGACCTGGGACCAGAAATGATGTTCTCGGTCGAGAGGTCGTAGTAGGCAAGATCTTGAGTCGAAGGCACAGCCGACGAAGACATAACCGAGGTGCTACGAACACGTTTGGCAGGCTTCGAAGGACGAGGTGTAGAAATGAAGTCGTCGTCGTCCTCGTCGTCGGAGTTGGCCTTGCGCTTGTTGTTTTGACGGCGACCGTAACTTGTCTCAATGGAAGAAGCAGGAGTTGCCGAAGACTCCTTGCCTTTCGATGGGGTGCTGGCGACCAAAGAGGTGACAGCGGAGGTGCCATGTTTGGTGCTCTGACCAGGGAGAGCAGAGGTGGTGAGCCCAGAAGCCCGCTTCTTCTCACCGCGATCCTCGAACTTCGAGGCAGCCCGCAATCTGCGGTTCCACTGAAGCTTCACACCAGAAGCGGTGCGGTTGAAGCCAGCTTCACGCTTCATGCGATCGGCGACCACCTCGAAGCGCTTCTCTGTGCCAGCAATGGCGGCGTACCCATCCAGAGTGCACACCTCCTTCATGAACTTGATGCAGGCAGCATCCTCGGCCTGAGACCAAGCGCTTGCCTTGCGAGAGGAGATGGTGGGAGCGGGCGCGGCCGAGATCCTTGAGGGTTGCTTGCCTCCTGCAGCGCGACGAACAGGGCGAGCAGGAGCGGCCTCAGGGTCGTACTCGTCGTCGTCGTCCTCGAACTCCTCATCCTCCTCCTCCTCCTCCTCAAGTTCCTGCTGCCCTTCAGGGGCTTCCGCGATGGGGTCGCCACCTGAAGAGGGCCTCTCCTCTTCGTCGTCACCAGAACCTGCAGGGCCAAAAGCACCCACAGGTCTCTTCGCCGCCAATTGCTTGGGACGAAGTTCATCTTCAGAGTCGGTCTCGTCCAGCAAGACCTCCTCCTCCGAATCACTGGCTCCGACCTCGCAGTCGCAGCCCAACGGTCTCAATCTCACTGGCTCTGCCGAAGCAGGAGACATTACCCGTCTCCACCAGTGGGAGGGGCAGAGGTCGTCAAAGCCAGTGAGGTTGCCGGGCTGGACCACGCGGGACTGGCTCTCCACACTGGCCAGATAGCTGTGAATATCAAGACCGTTGACGGTCTCGACAGCCTCATAGTCAGTGGGGGCAGGCGAAGGAGATGCCTCTAGGGGGCTGTCGAAATTGAAGCCTTCTCCGAGGCCGGTGTCGAGGTCGTCGTAGTGGCGGACGTCGTGCCAGCCGGCAGGGAAGGGACTGTCAAAGTCGGCAAAGGGGATGAGGGGTGTGTCCATTGTTGTTGGTGTGGTGGGCGGTAAGTGGCGAGAAGGGGTACGATGAGACCGGCTCAAGGTAAGATGAAGAGATGCAGAGAGAAGAACAACAATGGATAGACACAGGAGAGAAGAGAAGGAAGGAAAGGAAAGAGAAACTCAGGACGGGTACAAGACCTACCTCGACAATAGCTATACAGGTCTGTAGGAGTATAGACCACACAATGGGGTAGGACATAGCATTGTCAAATACCATTGTGCACAATGACACTGAGATATGCCTCAATGGAGAGAAAGCTGCAATAGGACAAGAAGACAATGACCTGATGAATGAGGACAAAAGAGGGGCATTGTTAGTATACAATGAACAATAGGCGTGAATAGAAACGCAATGGATGTATAGGGACTGTGTGGTTGAGAGTGAGAGTGAAGGAAAAGCGGACTCGGAGGAGGAAGCAATTGGCTATTGTGCAGGGCAATAACAGGCGCAAGGGCACAATACAGGGGCTGAAGTTGCGAGAACCTCAGCATTTGAGCAGGAAAGATGCTGAGTGGTGACAAGATGGAAGTTGGATGGTGGTATATGGGAGACGAACAGCAGGTGATGTGGATGGGTCCATGAGATGAATGTGGGAGCAGGCTCGGCGTAAGACCACTGAGAGATGCTACCTCTCCATGCGCAAAGTGTACAGCGTGTGGAGCTATAAAAATGCACAGCAATGACGAGAAACAAGACTACGTCCACTGAGAGCTGTTGTCTTGAAGAGCTCTCTCTGGACTCATCTTGAAGCTGGAAACATTCGTGCATTTTTTTATAGCACGATTATTGCGTCTGCTTGGCCCGTGAGACGAGCCTAGATGAAATTGGTATGTATATGATTCACGAGGTAGACATGATAATGCAAGGTTGTAACCTCTACTGATTCCCAACATTTCTAGAGAATCGGAACGATCCTTCCATGCGGGCGCCCAGCAACGGGTAAAGTCCATCTGCGCACAGCGCGAAAACGACCTTGCCAATGAAAGGCAAAGGACGTCGATAAGTAATGTTGTAAGCTGGCGATGTTTGTAGAAAACAGAAGGAGAGGGCCGCGCGAAAACAGTTTTGTGGTGAGAGAAGCTGGAGGTCTGTGCGGCATGACGGAAGGAGCCGACGATCTGGATGTCGACCCGGGGGTCAGTTGGCAAGTTGGAGGCAGTCGGCGACGTCTCCAGTTGTTGACATACAGCTATACCGTCAAAGGGAAGCTGCGCACCTTTTCCCCTTCGATTCACTGCAATACACGGCATTGTAGTCCCGCCCCGATCGCCCTCACTCCGACTTTCCTCGAAAAAGTATCTCTACAGCCCAGGGGTAGCTTTATCCACACAACATGGCCGCATTCGCGCCCCACGGAGCACCAGTCATGGACTACGAAGCCCTGAAAGAGCAATGGAGCGACATCGAGGACAAGGACGGCATCAGATTGAGTTGGAACACCTTCCCCTCGTCGCGCATGGTACGCTGTCCGTCATTCTTGACACGAAGCTCTTTCTAACAGCTTCACTACACAGNNGAAGCCTCGAGACTGGTTGTCCCCATCGGAGCTCTCTACACACCACTCAAGGAGAAGACCGACACACCGCTGCTCCAGTATGAGCCCGTTTCTTGCAAGCAGCCCTGCCGTGCTGTTTTGAACCCTTTCTGGTAGGTCACGCTCCTTCCTGAAGTGTCTAAGACGCCATGCTCACCACACGACAGCCAAGTCGACATGCGCGCCAGGATATGGATCTGCNCCTTCTGTCTGCAACGCAACGGCCTGCCGCCTCACTACAAGGACATCTCCGAGAATGCCATCCCTCCCGAGCTGCACCCTTCCAGCACCACCATCGAGTACAGACTGGCTAGACCCGCCCCCGTTCCCCCAATCTTCGTCTTTGTCGTCGATACTTGTCAAGAGGAGGATAGTTTGAAGGCTCTCAAGGATTCCATCATCATGTCGCTCAGCCTGCTGCCTCCCAACGCCCTGGTCGGCCTAATCACCTACGGAACCATGGCCCAGGTCCACGAGCTCGGATACACCGAGTGCGCAAAGTCCTACGTCTTCCGCGGTTCCAAGGACTACACTGGCAAGCAGGTCCAGGAGATGCTTGGCCTGATGACTGGTGGTGGCGCAAGACCTGGCATGCCTGCCATGCAGCCCCAGCCCGGCCGCCCCGCTCCCACTGCTCCCATGGGTGCCGCCGCCAGATTCCTGTTGCCCGTTCAGCAATGCGAATTCCAGCTCACAAACGCTCTCGAATCTCTGCAANAGGACNCCTGGCCCGTCGCAAACGACAAGCGTCCTCTAAGATGTACCGGTGTCGCCCTAAGCGTCGCAACTGGTCTTCTCGAGACCTCGTTCCAGAACGCCGGCGGTCGCATCATGCTGTTCACTGGAGGTGCTGCCACCGAAGGCCCTGGTATGGTTGTTGGCCCCGAACTCAAGGAGCCCATCCGTTCCCACCACGACATTGACAAGGACAACATCAAGTACTATAAGAAAGCCCTCAAGTTCTACGAAACTCTGGCCAAGAGAACTGCTCACAACGGCCACATCATCGACATCTTCGCCGGATGTCTGGACCAAGTCGGTCTCCTGGAAATGAGAAGTCTGGCAAACTCGACTGGTGGCCACATGATCTTGACAGACAGCTTCACTTCGTCAATGTACAAGCAATCATTCGCTCGCATCTTCGACAAGGACGCCAACGACAACCTGCTGATGGGCTTCAACGCTTCGCTCGAGGTCTTGACTACAAAGGAGCTCAAGGTCACTGGTTTGATAGGTCATGCCGTGTCCATGAACAAGAAATCGGCCAATGTTGGTGAGACCGAGTGTGGTATCGGTAACACTTGCTCATGGAAGATGTGTGGCATCAACCCCAACTCAAGTTACGGTATCTACTTCGAGATCGCTGGTCAAGGTGGTCCCTCGAACGTGCAGCAAGGCCCTCAAAAGGGTCTCATGCAATTCCTTACTTACTACCAGCACTCATCTGGCCAGTTCCATCTTCGTGTCACCACTGTTGGTCGTAACATGAGCGGTCCTTCAGGTGACCCCGCCATTGCCCAATCATTCGATCAAGAAGCCGCCGCAGTCCTCATGTCTCGTATCGCAGTCTTCAAGGCTGAGGTCGATGATGGTCCGGATGTGCTCCGTTGGGTTGATCGCATGCTTATCAGGTTGTGCTCTCGCTTCGCCGAGTACCGCAAGGATGACCCTTCATCTTTCCGCCTGGAGAAGAACTTCACGCTCTACCCACAATTCATGTTCCACTTGCGTCGTTCGCAATTCTTGCAGGTCTTCAACAACTCGCCCGATGAGACTGCATTCTACAGACACGTGCTCAACCACGAGGATGTGTCAAACAGTTTGGTCATGATCCAGCCCACTCTTGACAGCTATAGCTTCGATCACGAGGGCAGTCAACCCGTCTTGCTTGACTCTACCAGCATCCAGGACCAGACTATCCTTCTGCTCGACACCTTCTTCCACATTCTTATCTTCCACGGCGAGACCATGGCACAATGGCGCAAGGCCGGTTACCAAGATCAAGAAGGATATGAGAACTTCCGAGAGATGCTCGAGGCGCCCAAGGAGGACGCCAAGGTGAGCATCATCGAATATTGCAATTTGGAAAGTGCACCATATGCTGACAATCGTTTTAGGNAACTCATCCAAGACCGTTTCCCTCTGCCCCGCTTCATTGTCTGTGATGCTGGCGGTTCTCAAGCACGTTTCCTTCTCTCCAAGCTCAACCCCTCAACAACGCATACAACTGGCGCATACGGCGGAGTCAGCCAAACCGCCCAAACCATCTTTACTGATGATGTGTCGCTACAGACCTTCATGGATCACTTGATGAAGTTGGCCGTCAGCGGTAACAGCTAGGCGTAGCGATCAAGCGGCATGATGTGATGAGAAGAAGTGTGTGATAAGTAGTGTAGAGAGAGAGGACGACCAGCAAGACTATTCTCACCAGTGTTTCCAAAAAGACAAATTCTTTACCATTCAAACTCTTCAACTAAACGTTTCCGCTGCAGTCAATTCCCTTGAGTTGCCAATGCTAACAGCTCAACGAAGTAGGAACGAGATAAAAACATCACCCTAGCCGTGCAGTCCACCTCATGTAAGGGCGTGCAAACTATAACGGATGTCTTCAAGCAGCAACTTTTTAACATACATCATCTGCCTTGCTCGAGGTATAGGCGAACTTCCTATCAGTCCTCTCTCTATCGTCTTCTTGTGTTGACACTTTCAATCCTGAGCCGATACGCCCCCTTCTATTCCAGGATTGCGTAATGTTGTTTTTTTCTCGAGTAATTGCGATCGCATCATTGCCGAACCGAGAAAGAAGGAGCGAGCAGCTAATTCCTTCCTTTATATCCCATAGCAACACAACAGATGGCTACTTCCTCGCCGCTGGATCAGATCGGATGAAGTTTTACCAAACATCAAATTCGATGCTTTTCTCATTCATATCCATCGTCGTCCACATCCGTAGTCGTCCACATCCATCGTCGTCCACATCCATCATCATCGTCCTCGTCCACCGTCGTCGTCCGCCATTGTCATCATCACCAGCATCCTCAAAACATCCATCATCATCAAACTAGCGAAGCCTTCAGCGACGGTGCAGCCACGCGACACAACGCTTTACTCTGCCTTTCCTTACGGGGATCGAGAGACCCAAAAGACCTTCGCATTAGCATCCCTCTGTTCTCATGATGAATCCAAGTCTGCTTTTACATTGTGAGTCATGGGGTGCAACGTGAAGAAGCGGGTTGGCCGGGCCTGCATGACGGACAAACGTTTGAGGTGGTGGGTGTGTTGGTGGTGATAAGAGCTGGTGATGAGGATGGTGGAGACAAGGCCTGCGGAGATGCTATCGTCGCTTGCCGCGGTCGATATGAACAAGATGCATCCGGGATAGTGTTGCTTTCAGCTTGGCCAATGTGATATTGCACATTCCAGTGGCTGAGGTAAGTCATGGTGTTAATCTATTCCTTGTGTCTTGCAGACTCAGACCGACGACTATATCTACCAGTCCACGACTGTACATTCAGAGATGTGTTCTACCGGACCAACAAGTTGGTTCCACGCAAAAGACCAGGCAGGCCTCCCGGCTGGTCTGGTTCTGCGTATAGCGTCCACCAAGCAACACCGGACCTATAGTATTCGGACCATCGTACTGCTCTTTCAAACACCACTATGCTCTTATCTAAGCCCTGGTTGTTGCAGGGTATCTATACATTGCTACATCCTATCGTCGTCGTCCTGTTTCTCGTCTTGGGACGGCTGCTTAAGGAGAGCATTCTATTGACACACTTTTGCTGATCTAGTCAGTCTTTCTTCTCTGACCTACAGCATCTTATGCACACTGGCTTAACAAATCCTTTATGTCCTTAAACTTTGTCTTTGCTTTTTAGTAATTTTCTTCCCTTGTTATCACTAGATATACGGCCAGGGTGCTATTCCCAGCAAGCAATTTCTAGCAACAATCACAAATTGTAGTGTCAACATACAGATTATGACTCTTCTATATAGCTTGGAGGGTATCTTAGAAGCACAGTTATTCGAAATCGTGAGTATCTACATGACTTTCCATCGCGTTGACGCCTTGTTGAGCAAATTCGATTTCGTCTGTTGCAAATTCAGGAAGCCACACAAGAGCCGTGGCATATGTGGTCACCATCTCGGCACATACTCACCATTATCCAAGAATCATCTGCAACAAATCCTACGCCATAAACATGAGAGAACTTATCAGTGTATCTTCTCCTCCTTCTGTGTATCTCTCCTGAGCGGATACACGATCTTATTCTGCTGCAGCGGATCGCAGTAAATAGAGAGTGTTTATCTCGAATACCAGCCACTCAAGCATATTAAGCCGCTTTAGCTCATCTGGGAGAGCGCCAGACTGAAGTCAACTTCTGTCCTTGTCACACCCGTGATAGTATTCTGGAGGCACTGTGTTCGATCCACAGAAGCGGCACTCTTCTTTTGCTCCCACACTATCTGTCTGGCCTCTTCTTTTTCGCCTCAATGGACAAAGCAAAGCCAAATGACCGCCCGAGACGGGAAGTGTAGGCTCAAGAATTGCGCATGGCGTTGAAGCCGGTGGACAGCTGGTCATCTGGATTTTTTCCCTTCGTATCTTGCTGCGGCTGGTACGCGGTACGAACTGCGCCTGCGAGCATCGTACTCGTACAAAAGCGTATCCTTCATCTCATGGTCTTGTCGCTTCTGCATGAACGAAAAGTATCACAAGTGGAGAAGAGACATGCACGCAGCAATTGCACAGCCACAAGCAATATGTAGAAACAAGGGTGAAGATTCTGCCCACGAAAAGCATGCAACAAGGTCAAGATTGACGATGCACTTGCTCTCCCTTGTTTAGGCTTCAGAACATGCATGTATCTCCTCCAGAACCTCCTTCTGGAATTTCAACAGCGGGCCAGAAACACCAGCAAAACTGCAACCACGACAAGCCGTATCTCATGCACCGATCTCTGTCGCAAACAAAGCAGAAAGACCCTCCCGATCTATTGACTAGCAGAGGAGAGAAAGAGCAAAAATGGAGTAGCTGGGAATCGAACCCAGAACCTTCTCCACTCAGTAATACTCGAGACGAGCAATGCTAAGAAGATGTCATACCACTAGACCACAACCCCGATTGTTGAAGCACTTTTGGATACGCAAACTTAACAATGCTGGAATTAAGCAGGGGTTATACGCCGGCACATGGTAATATTGCAAGCAAAAGTCCTTCAAGATGTCCTTGCTTACCAGTATACAAGTCGTTGACACTATGGGTGGAGGCTAAGGATGAGCTCAATGGATCCAGACGTGAGCTTGGTCGATGTGGATAAAAGCATGGTTGGCACTATTATTGTTGCTAGTTGCTGTAATTGATTATGTGCTTCAACACCAGACTCCTCAAACAGACTCAGGCATGGAACGACTGCAGACTTCATCAATCGTGATCGCCAACCAGCACATCAGATCAGACCAGGAATGACAGCCTTGCGATTGCCAACTCTGTCCTTGCCAAACTTCTGAATATACCAACGTCTTCCTTGCAGTGCACGAGGCAGCATAGTGCTAATCTCATTCAAGAGGAACGCTCTGGCCGGAGTACATGCCAAACCTCCAATCATCCAAAAGCCCGTCCACTCAATCCACTCACAAAGGTAGTGAGGGAACAAGACATAGTGGAAAAGACCGTTCTTGGGCATCATGTACAGTTTCTGGACACCTTCGATGGGCTTGTTGTCTTTCTTGGCTTGCTCTCTTTGGCGGCGCAGGGCGGAACGGCGGATCTCGCGGAGGTCGTCGTCGTGAAAGATGTTGCCGAGGAGAGCCCAACCCCAGACGACGAGGCCGGCTTGGATCCAGTAGAGGCGGCCGGCCCAGTCGTGGACGGTGGTGGGGCCGTAGCCGGCGAGCCAGCCGGACAGGCAGAGCGAATTGGTCAGGTTGAAGGCTAGAGCCGAGACGAAGACCAGAGGGTGGATGGGTGACATGCTTGGGTTGAGGAAGAGTGGGGAGAGGATGGCGCGGTAGAAGTAGTGGATGGACTGTGAGGGTCATGTCAGCTGAGAGTATGGGACTGAGATGGATGAGGATCGTACGTAGAGGCCAGCCATGGTCCAGTTGACCCAGGGCAAGGGACCCAGACCGAGCTCAGTAGGCAGCGCCCGCATGTTGTAGAGCAGGGTGATGAAGCCTGGGGCCTCCATGATAGCCCAAGCCCATTTTCCAGGAAGATTGAAGCGCGACTCGACCGACGTCTTGCCTTGGGGATAGTAGTCAATGAGCCATTGGATGCCAGTCACGACGGGGAAGAACTGCCAGAGGTTGTTGATGATGACCCAATTCTCGCGCGAGGGCGGAAGCAATCCTGGGACGAGCACCATTGTTGATGGCCTTTGTTTGTGTTCTAGTAAGGACTACAATCTTGTCGCGTCAAAGTCGCAGCAGAAGCTCACGAGAGCTCGCGAAAACAGTGTCGTCATCATTCGTGCTCCAGTGCAACCGCGACGCCGCCAGATTCAAGGAAATCGTTGCGACACATTTGCTTCCCAAGCCATGCCATTGCCAGCACTTCTGTCAAGCTGTCAAGACACAACTCGTTGAGTGTTGGACGAATAAACAAAAACCACGGCAGTCCACAAGATGACATTCCCATCGCCAATTCTTGCTCTTAGCTGAAACACTTGCATCTCTGTATCACAAAAATGCCCAGCCTTTGGCACTCGGCACTCGATTCCGAATTCCTTCGCTGATCAACCTTGGCTCGGTCGGACTTATGCATAACACCGAGCTGCCCGTCAGGTCGGCCTTTTGCCACGGCCTTGGCGAAAACGAGTCATGAAAGTGGTTCTCCTTGGAGATCCACATCTCTTGCTTGGCAGGGCCTACTCCTTCTCGGGTTCGCCTTACCCGGATGGCTCACCTTCCGAATGTCATGTCTTGTGTCGATCTTGCTTGCATCTCAAAACCTTGTTCGGACGGCCAAGATGCGCTTCTGACACTCCGTACGGCATACGATGGCTGTAACGGCATTGCGGTGTAGATCCAGGGAATCTCGTGTCCAGCAGTGACAAAAACGAATCTCAAGTGGCGGTGCCAGAGTCTCTAAGCGATGTAGTATCTGTTGCTTGATCAACAATCAATCCCAAAGAGCAAGCCGTCTGGAAGTTGCTGCAAGCGAGGGTACCTTGCAGTCTTGTGATGGAAACAGAGCATCAGAAATAGGTCATATCGAAGGATGTCGAGATGGGTGTCTAGATGTTTGGAACGCTTTTTGGTTTTCGTGACGGGTCGTCGTCTATGTAATTAAGAAGTTGTGTGTATGTACAAGAAATGTGTATGACATGGATCACGTCTTATCGTTTCCTTAGCCATTGCAATGAGTCTCAAAGACGCTCTGCCTCACTCATTCCGCAACAGCCTGCGTTATGCATTACTAGCCATCATGAAAGATGTGCTACACCTGAAAGATCCTCGTTCTGTTGTCCTGGGATGCTACTGGCTGATCCCTATCCCTCAAAAAGCAAATATTCCATGTAGTCACTGGTTTTGCTGATATGAGTTCTGGTACCCAAAAGAAGTCGAAGGGTCAACGTTCATCATCTGAAAGTCTGCCGTCGGAAGTTGTAGCTGCATCGGTGCAGACATCTGTTGGGAGGGGAACGATGACCACATGTTTGTTTGTGCCTGAACCGGGGTCGTGTTCATAGGAGTAGAGTGCATGCTATGCTGTGAGCCTGCACCCAAAGATATTTGACTGGTCGTCGGCAGGATTGGCATGTTGTGCGGAGCAAAGGATGGCTCGAATATGCCACCCGAATCATGTCTGAGACTGTGGCCATGGGTGGGAGGGGCGCCGAGCGATTCCATAGACTCATTGCTGAGGGTAGCTTGTGTGAAGAACAGTGACATGTTCGGCATAGCTTGATCAAGTTCCGGGGACCGGAAGGGTGCTAGGTTGGCAGTGGCCTCAGGCAATCTGATACCCCACTGGTTCGCAAGTCGGTTGATCACCTCTAGGCAACACGAGGCATAACGGTGGTTCACAGACATCGTATCCAAGTCCTCTNNGATGTGGGGTTAGTATTCCGTCAAGTCAAAGTCAGGGGCAAACTTACGCATTGCTTGAGTGAGCTGTACTGCTGCACCTTGGGAGGGAAGATTCATGAGATGGACTGTACTAGCCGACAGAAGGATGGGGCTAACGGCTAAAGATGTTCGCCTGAGTCCATACATTCCGCGGAGTGCGTTCATAAGTTTTGAGATTTCTGTAGCGCAATAAGTCGCTAGCTCCCGCGGATAGAGTCCAATATCTGAGAGGTCTAGCTTCATGAATGGTCGGAAAAGNACTAGGAATCGGTCAGCAGAGTTCAATATGCATTCGCTCAAAAACACTCACTGTAACACGCATTGATGGTAATACATGTGAAGCACAATGACATGAGGCATTGCTGTGTTCTGAAGCTGGAACATCTCGGGCAGCTCGCTGTACCACATCTGGTACTGATGGTATGCTGACGCCAGCCGGCGTGGTGTAAATCTTTCTCTAGGTGCGTAAAGGTTAAGGTTGATATCGTTGATCATCTCAGAGAGCTTGCTTTGGACGCTGTGGAAGAGCAGGCATTTCATGGGCTGAACAGCGCTGGGGCTAACTGGCAAGTTCGCGTCCTCGTATGGCTGCCAGAACAGTGCATCTAGCTTCTCTGAGTTCATAGCTNNGCAAATGTGTTAGTACTCGCATAAATGCCCAGGTGTTCAGAACCTACGTTTATCAATCTCAATAGCATTTTTAGGAATCGAGGATACTCTGCCTAATGCCAGGCAGCAGATCATCTCGCAGTTGAAGACACCCCAGAAAGTCAGCTTTCGAATGTCCATCTCGCTAGAACGCAGGTTTGGTTCTCCTGCAGTGGTATCTGCAAGATGGAGACCCATCTCCATGGCAAGGCGCACAGCCCTACCGATCAGACGATAGCTGATGTGGTCACGGCCTGCAGAACCCTCTCTTACAGCCATCACTGCAATAGCTTGTACTGATGTCAATTCTGCCGCACCGATATTCTCGGCAAGTCTTTGTGCTTCGCCGAAGAAGTAGTCTCCTGCTCGCTCGCGTGCTGCAGGTCGATCGGAGTATTGACAAGCGACTGAAAGCACTGCGTTGACCAGCATAGCGCTACAATACTTGTTCGAACCTCGTGCCATATCCCGCAAAAAGTGGTCCTTGGAGAAGAAGCAGAAGAACGGATGGCTCCAAGAGAAATAGAGGTTGAGCAGATGGTCCACGAATTCGGCGTCTTGAGGTATGCGGAACCAAGAGGATGCCGACTCTGCTGCTGCGCTCTGGCTTCCTGCATCATTCCATTTTCCTTCAACAGGACTGCGTGAAGATTCATTTCGTGTTGAAGGAGCTTGCGTATGGAAGGTGGCTCCTGGAGTTCCTGTGGGTCCATTGAGTTCGGTATCTAGTGTTCGTAGTTTCTCGGTATCTCCGGCATTGATGGCTTCAGCCAGGTTGTCGAGTCGTTCGCCCCGGCGAAGGCTATGAAACAGTGCAGTAGCCTCGTGCTCTGGAAGAGCACACAAGGAGTTGATGACGACATCGAGCGCTGTGTTTTTGTTCTGTAGTGATGCTATGTCTTTGCGAAGTGCGCCTTTGCGGCGGTGGTCTGTGTCTTGATCGTAGCTGCAGTCTGTGCGGTAGACTGCCATACAGGTAGAACAGGAAGGAAGACCTCCATCACACNNTACAGGACAATTTAATCAGCGAGAGCTCCAATTGCTGCAATACGGTGCAATGCCACTGACCTTGCTCTTGCGTTTGCGACATGGAATACAAGCAGAGGAAACGGCTTTTCGCTTTGCCGATTTTGGAGGCGCCATGTTCGCTAATCCGTCGCTTGAACCTTGTTCATCTTTTGGGAGGATTGTTCTCGGGGGCATAACAGATCGATGATGGAAGATGGAATAAGAGAGTAACAGGCTTGAAGTGCAGGACTACAGAAGGAAGAGCAATTGAACTGTAGGGATGGAAGATGGACAAAGCTTGAAAGGAAAAAGTTACGAGAATAGAGGCAAGTAATCAGGAAAGGTAAGTTGACAGAAGGAAGGACGCGACGGTGAGTTTATGGAGACACGATTGACTCTCGGACAGCCTCCAACGACGCTGATGAATAAGAACAGACGGATGCTAAGACCAGGGAATAAGGGCAGGTCAACCTCGAGGCTTGGCCATGGATTAGTCCATGGCATACGGATAACTAGAGTGGGTAGCCTCGACCGTGTGAGAAATGCACATCACGCACGAGATGCTACCCAAACGCACGATCGTCGGTGACAAATATGGACAGAAAAGATGGGACAGTCTCGAAGGGCACCCAACGCCCCCTTGGCAGGCAGTTTTACCCAGAGTCCGGGCGCAAACACTGTCGTTGCACGCATCTTGGCATAATCCAAGTTCGAGTTGGCTTGCGAAGTGAAAAAAGTTGGGTACGTAGGGCTAAGATTGTGGTGGTTAGTGGTGCCCAGTGTGGCTTGAAAGCGCCGAAGTTGCCGATTTGTGAACACTGCGAATTCAGAAACGAAAGATTGTCCCCTTGGCGTGCTGCTGATCCGCCGACTCTTCCAGCTTAAATCCGCTCTTTTGCAACCTCCGTACGATATGAGTAGGTTGTTCCAAATGTCTAGGCATCGGCCGGAGAAGCAACAGCGAAAACTACGGTACTGGATCCAGTGACGCAAGATTTGACTGGATCTGCGCTCGGGTGTCGGCGCGCCGCCGCTGTTCAGCCACTGGTCCATGCACCCAAGGCTTGTTTGAGTTCAGGCGTGCAAGTGAGCCTGGGGAGACAGGGCCTCGGTCTGGCTATTCTTGTCTGGTGCTGTCTCTGCTGCGATATGTTGTCGTCCTGTCACTGCCATCGGTATTCTTTCCCCCTCGTACAGAGGCTGCGCCATGCTGGACTTCTCCTCAGGTTCGTCGTGGGCCTGATTAGTAACCACATACTTCGTTCAGTTCATGTCAATGAGGGGCTAATGGGTACTTGACTTCTGTGGGCCGTTGCCCGGCAGAGAAGCCTAGTTTCGGCAGGCGAAAATGCTTCGATAGAGTCTGGTGATTCAACTCAACCAAGCAGTCACGATATCCACGAGTCGGGGACCTTCTCTCCTCCACTGTGGCTTAAGCCTTGGCCCTTTCGACGGTCATGGCTGTCAGTAGTACAGTGCATTACTCTGGTATGGATCTGACCATCCAGAAGAGGGGTTACCTTATTGTGAAGTGCATTATCAATGTCTCACACGGAACTGCGGAGAAAGATCTAGGAACGTACGGAGATGGTGAATCTGGTATACAAGCCGCCCAGCCTTCATGTCTAGGAGCCTCTGGACCACATGGACTGTTCGGGCATAGGATCTGCCCATGGCACATGTACCGCATGCCCTGCGTGCGTACATTGTACTTGCGTTCATCACGACTCGGTTTTTAGAATTACTACCACTCTGGTCTTGGCAAGACGTGCACCATCTCTCAAAGCTTTGCGCCGCGCAGAGTGAAAACCTCAGTTTAGCGTGAGATGCACCTGCCTTTCTCTTGGGAAAGCTAAAGCGCAATCATAGCCGAATCACTAAACTCGAGTCATCATGCACGCGAACATGGGTCTTGATATCAACCGCAGATGATGGGAAGAGGCTCGAAGATACAAATCTCAAAGGAGTTAGTTGAGTATGATGGTAGTACTTGGATGTGGATCGGCCTTTGTTATAGAATTCGGAGTAGGCGCCGTTTACTAGGGCAGGATTTGACGACGCCATGAGCCAGGACCTCGGTAAACGTCACTTCGAATTTCTGGTAACTGGTAACTAGCCCAGTGCCCGGAGATAATGCGCTGAGACGGTATACGGTGTACCGTCAATGTCTCTCCTCGATGTCGCAACTAAAACCACAAACGACGGCTTCCCAAATCCTAGTTAGCAGCGGTGCGTACCAAGACGTCAAGGAAATTCAATTTGGCAGAAACGTCTTGGTTGTTCTATGAACAGAGTGTTTCCAGACGCTTGTGAGTGGAGTGGAGTGCAAGAATGACTCGTTTGGTAGAAGGGCTTGATGAGCCTCAAGCCCTTGTCTCAACATACCAGGGCCCACCGGATGTCTCCGCATGCACAGCATACATACAGTATCCACCCCTCCTAGGAAGGGTATGTACTAGCCGATGCCGGAAGCTTCGCACGAGTTCTGTTCCGACGACATCCTAACACAACATGCGCCTACCTGAACTGGATGTTCTGCGTGCTTGGGTCCCACCTGTTGTCGCGCGCGTTTGGCTTAGGAGGAGCGCCATCATTGTTGATTGCGGGCGATGCCGCAGCGCTGGATCCTCCAAAGCGTATACCCATTTCCGGTGTCCACATACCTGGCGTGGGAGACGCGGTCGCTGTTACTGGGGGAGGAGCAATATTGGCTCTGGTAGGCAAGGGTGCTGCTAGCGGTGGCCCCGCTCGTGGCGTTGCACGGGGTTGTTGTTGATTCATCAATGTCTCCTGCTGTTTTTGTTGCCGCAGGTTCGTTTGGTTGGCATTCTGCAAACTCATCTGAGCCATGGCAGTGCTCACGTCGTTCTCGAGGGCCGAAGCTTCGGCGCGTCGTTGATAGACGAAGTTGCGGCAGTCATCGCGGAAGCGCGTAACTATACTGGCAAGATCGTTGTAGAATTTGCGGCCAGTCTCAAGGTTTGAGATAATCTCTTTGTAAGCCAAATATGCGTTTTCCAGATTTTGCAAAGCCTGTTCACGGTCCTTTGTGGATGTGTCTCCTTTTCTTGCAACGGTAAATGAGCTGTTGGCTTGTTGGACACGCTCGAGTAGGTCATCTTGTTCGGTTCTCTCCGCATTAATGTCGTCACGGTCGGCGGTATACGTCTCCAGTCTTTGGTCAAAGAAGCTTTCGAACTGGATCGCCTCAAGTGTTTGCATGGGGTATTCTCTTTCGAGACGTGCGGCTTCACGCAGCAGGTCGGCATTAACATCATCAGCCTTTGCCTTTGCTCGAATGTTTTCAATCTTACGCTTGCGACGGTTCTCAAAACGGGCAATATCATTGAGCACAGCGCGAAGGTTGTTTGCCTCTCTCTCGACTTTGGTGGTCATGGTTGCACGCCGGCTGCTCGGAACATAGTCCTCGAGATCACGATCTGTACCGGCGAGCAGACGAATGAGAGTCTCATTGTCCTTCAACTTCTTTTGAACGAGCTTGTCGCTATTAGCGGCTTGTTTGAGGTATCCGTCGATCTCGGTGACCTGAGAGTAAAGCTTGCGGGAGGCTTCATTCGATGGTGGTCTTGCCCACCTATCGGTTCCGTACTTTCGTCGCGCGGCATCGTCCTCCGCTGACTCTGAGCGAAGCATCTCTACACCTTCCTGATATGTTGCGCGATCGCTGTTCTTCAGCTTCTCCGTATCGGCCATGGCGCTGTGGAGTCTGTAGATGCCGTTCATCTGTCGGACCTCTTCAGCATGGCTAGCAACACTCGGAGGGAGACCGAGAGGCTTTTCAAGAGCCTGCAAAGATCCGGGAAGGCCAATAGACTTCAAGAGTTCGTGTATACTGAGAGTGAGGTCCTCGAGTTCTTGAACAATGGTGTTATTCACCAAACGATCTCTGCGGTCGACGTAGATGCTAGCTGCGACATGGACCGAGTATGGAACGAGTTTTGAGAAGAGTGGCTTGCCCAATTCTCCATGATCTCCGAGCATAGTCAAGGGTTCCGAAACCTCTTTGGGCACTCTTGCGGTAACCATGCTCGCTCTATCAAGCACTTTAAGCTCAGACTTGGGCGGCACTGGCAGGAGATAGATCATGTCATTGTCTTTCTCGGCTCTTTTGAGGTCTTCGGAGACTCTTGCTTTCAAGCCGTTCAGGTCGTCCTGCACAGCCTTGTTGACGTACTTGGCCTCGCGCAAAGCTTCATCGGCACACTTTAGACTATCGCGCAAACGGGCAACCTCTTCGCCATACTTCCTCTTCTCGAGACAATCGCAAGCAGCGCGATATTGAGCAGCAGCGGCGAAGTGGTGGTGCTTGGCATTCATGTGGTGGATCCATTCGCTGCTAACAGAATCACTCTTGATGCCCCAGTCGCCAGCTTCGTTGTAGAAGTCGCTGACCTTAGCAGCGAGTTTTGCGATGCTGGCATCTTTGAGACCATCTTTTACAGCCTTTTGCCAGAAACACTCTTGAGCCTGGGCCAGCATGAGGTATTCCAAGCTCTCCAGCGTAGACGTGTCCATGTCCTCGGGCGGAGAGGTCCTCATGTCCGGGACGATGGTTGTCTTTAGATGAGAAATGACACCGGCAGAAAGACAAAAGTAGTTGCAGGCCGCTTTCAAGCCATCGCTAGTGCTTCTGTTGGAGGACATGGCAAGTTGGGAGTACATGGCGGCCAGGTTGAAGAGGATGTTGGCAAGTTCGAATCGGATGTTGTCCTGGGATATGGGCCGCTGGGTGTTGTAGCCTAGAGCAGGGTACCAAATGAACTCCAGACCGATGTCAACAGGAAATTTGGCACCCATCCAGACGAGCTGGGCAGCATATTGCTGAAGCTTGCGAACACCGCTGGTGTGAGGTTCTAAGGCGTGAACGGCGGCATGTCTGAGGTGGTCTATCTGTTCGAGATCTGTGGTGAACATGTCCGGGTGCTGGTCGTATTTGGTCGAGATGTAGCGCTTGATTGCTTCGGCGATGGAGACATTGTGGGTACGGCGAAAGGGAAGGTGTAGGATGTTGCTCCTGGTTGTGTCAGTAAGATGCGCGGCATGAAGCAACTGAAAGACAGAACACACGAAGCCATGGCGGGAGAGTCGGCCTACGTCGTAGGTACTTGATGGTGCGCAAAAGACCAAAACTGTCTTCAGTTGTTGATGCTGTTCACGTCATGCGGGAAACTTGTGGCTCAGCCCGACATGTGGCGCTCCTTGCGCTCCTGCCTCTCTTATCCGCGGGGTTCACCAAGTCACCTTGCAGCTCTTAGGCATCACAGTGTCAACAGTGACCATCAAGGTAAGGAGATGTCGTCAGTTGCTCGGTCGTTCTGCATCACAGCGTGATGAATACTGTGCTCTACAGCTGCAACAAAGAAAGGTGCAGGACGTTGTTGCTGCTGACTGAGACGAGTCTGGACCGCGTCCTGTGATCAAGCTCTTGGCGCCTTCCTATCCTCTTACTCACCGCATAGCACGCCATCCCTCCTTCCTCACAATCTCACCTCTTGCTGACATTCCTCTTTCCTGGACTTGCTCCTTCTCTGATATCCCTTCTACTTCTCCCACACATCTTCCAACCACAAAGCACCATGTCCGACCACACATACAACTTCAACATCACCATGACTTGCGGCGGCTGCTCCGGCGCAGTTGAGCGTGTTCTCAAGAAGCTCGACGGTTCGCGACGATTCTCTCTCGTGCCCGCTACTATACTAATCGCTGTCTTAGGTGTCAAGTCGTTCGATGTCTCCCTCGACAGCCAAACCGCAAAAGTCGTTACCGAACCCTCCCTCGACTACAACACTGTGTTGGAGAAGATCAAGAAGACTGGCAAGAAGGTCAACTCAGCTGAGGCTGACGGTCAGCCTCAAACTGTCTAAGCAACACGATGCATCATAAAACATGGATTCGGATACCTTCTGCTTGAGCTACAAATAACGAGTCATAAACCGTGGGCAGGTCCCACCTTTAAAATCGCGCCTCCACCTTTCGCTCAGTGTCTGCCAGCGCCCAGTCGCTCCTGTGCTGCTTGCTGCGCACTCGGTTCACCTGGTCCTTGCTGAAGCCCTTGGCCTCGACTGCTGGGTTGTATCCAAGTCCGTTCTTCTGTCCGACCGTCTGCGAGTCCATAGACTCACTCGTCTTACCGTCCGCTCTCTTGTAAACCGTAACCACAACAGCTCCGCCTAGACCAAGGTTGTGCTGTAGCGCCGCTGTCGTACCCTTGACCAGTCGGTTGTTGGCCCAGCCACGCAGATGCCACACCAACTCGGCACACTGTGCAATGCCCGTTGCTCCGAGTGGATGCCCCTTGGAAATGAGTCCGCCCGAAGGGTTAATAACCATCTTTCCGCCGTAAGTAATGTCTCCTTTGCGCACCATTTCATGTGCCTTGCCGTGCTCGCTCAATCCGAGTGCATCGATGACAATCATCTCGTTGGCTGAGAAGCAGTCATGGAGTTCGCAGACCTTGATATCCGAGATCGAGACACCTGCTTCGGCCAAAGCGATCTTTGCAGCATTCTTCGTCATCTCGTAGCCCATCAAGTCGATGCTGCTGCGCGAGAACAAGGAAGTTGCATCAGTGGCAAGACACTGGCCAGCGATGAGGACTGCTTGCTCCCTGAGGTGTGGTCGAGCATTCAAGAAATCCTCAGACACCAAAACTGCAGCTGCACCACCATCTGAGGTAGGACAGCATTGCAGTTTAGTCAAGGGTTCATGAATCGACGTCGAGTCCATGACTTGCTGCAGAGTGTATTCGTCTTGGAATTGCGAGTAGGGGTTACGCTTCGAGTGCTCGTGGTTGACTCTTGCAATCTCAGCAAAGTCTTTCTTCTTTGCGCCGTACTTTTCCATGTACTCCCTTCCAGCGTTGCCGAACATCTGAGCAGCACCAGGTGCGTTAGTGATGCCTCTGGTTGCCTTCATCATGTCCACAGTTGTACCAGTAGGGTTCGTACGATCCTGGAAGAAACTCTGCAGAGAGCCTGGGAACATCTTCTCGAACCCAACTACCAGAACACAATCCGCAGCCCCGTTGGCAACCATAGTACGTCCGAGGTTGAGACCTGTCGAACCAGTGCTGCAGTTGTTGTTGACGTTGTAGATGGGGATTTGGGTCATGCCGAATTGATAGAAGACGCGTTGGCCACAAGTGCTGTCACCGTAGCAGTAACAGGCGATACCTTGCTCGACATCGTCGTAGTTGATTTGAGCATCTAGCATCGCCTTGACACCGGCTTCAAAGCCCAGTTCTGTATAGTCGACCTTGCCCCTAGGCTTGATGAACTTTGTCATGCCGACGCCGAGGACGTAGCATGGTGCTCTTGTTTTCTTGCCCATGGTTGTGTCTGTCGTTTGATTCGTTGTATATAGGTCTGTGTAAGTTTTGTATCTATCTCGAGTGGTCCGGTCTGATGGTAACAACGGACTTGACCTTTGACCATCTAGGTAGCGGTTACACGACGGGAGTCAACAGTGCGGAGAGTGCGGAGAGAGCTCTCACATGCCGAGGTTCCTTTCATCCACCAAAATACATCCGCGGCATCTCTGCCTGGTGAGCCGATCAGTCTATACCATTGAGTAGAATATGTAGAGTAAATCTGATCACTTAGTAGACGTATGCTTCAGACCGTTTGAAGTTATCTGTATACCAATGTAGAAAGCCGATACGGGGAGAAGTGCGTTCAATGGCTGCACGTGGATTGCTTCGCAAACGCCGACAGATGCCGACGTTATCTGAGCCTCGTAGGAAGGGAGCTTCAAGACTCGACGTGTTCTCCATAGACTATACTTCCGTATCAACCCTGTAGGCCATCTAGAGTGTCAATCATGTGAGTGACAGCAGTGTGAAAACCAAAAGCAGAATACCAACTGAGTGTGACAACTCAGACACCATTTCAATACCTCGACCTCAACCTCTATAGCCAATCATGTCAGGCCAACTTCCGACCGACCATCACAAACCAGAGAAGCCATCAATAACTCCTCAGGAACTCAAGACCGAGGCCATCCGTGTGGACCTCAAACGAATGGCTACAGATCTCACCTATGGAAAACAGCTGTCCCAAGGAAAGGGCTTCCGCATCTACGACGACTCCTTTTCCAAACTTCTCGGTTCCAACCCTAGCATCACTCAAGTTCAGAGCCGAGACTATCAATTCGCACATGAAGCAGGCGTGTACATCAAGTCCACCAATCGTGTCTACTTTACCGCCAACTTCCAGACCTGCGATCCAATCGCATTATACTCTGTAGACACTTCTACTCTCAAAGTCGCAGACGATGACTTTAAAGGTGTAGCCCAAGCCAATGGTGCCTGTAACTACAAAGACAAGATTCTATACTGCTGTCAAGGCGACATGACAAACCCTTCCGCCCTCGTCCTTGTAGACCCCACCTGTGGAACTTCGGAACCCCTAATCAACAACTTCCAAGGCCGCCCCTTCAACAGCGTCAACGACGTAGTAATCCACCACGCCAACGACGAAATCTGGTTCACAGACCCTACCTACGGCTACGAACAAGCCTTCCGACCCTCCCCCGACCTGCCTTCCCAAATCTACCGCTTCAATCCCTCTACAGGCCAGATCTGGTGTGTAGCCGATGGGTTTGTGCAGTGCAATGGCCTCTGCTTCTCCCCCGACTACAAGAAAATGTACGTCACAGACACTGGCGCCTGTCAAGCCCATACCGGTCCCAAAGACGGGCATAACTTTTCCATGAATCCGCGTTTGCCAGCTACAATCTATGCCTACGATGTCATTGCCAATGGCACTGCACTCGCCAATCGCCAAACCTTTGCTTTTTGTGATAACGGTGTTCCTGATGGGATTAAATGTGATGAAGAGGGTAATGTGTATTCAGGGTGTGGGGATGGTGTGCATGTGTGGGATAAACAGGGTACTTTGATTGGCAAAGTTGTTACTGGGGGTTGTGTGGCTAATTTCTGTTTTTCGAAGGAGGGGATGTGGATGTTTGGGGAGGAGGAGTTGTACCTTTGTAAATTGGGTGCTAGAGGAGCTCTTGTTAGTGTGGAGTGTGAATAGATTGGAGGAGGTCAAAAAGGAAAGTGTGGTATGAGATATCGATGTAGACGAGTTGTGTTTGTCCCATAGTTGCACTTATGCTGAGACTTGAATGTGAGAATTGTCCCACGAGTGTCTTTCCAATTGACCTCTCTGGTGGATACGAGTCTGCGTCTTAAGGACAGCACGCCGTGTCCACAGCAATATCTCACCATCCCATCATGTGGTCAAACGACATGAACCAGGGAAGTTACGGCGAGGATCCCTCGCTCCTTCCATGTATCATCCTAATCGACTGCCTCCCTGTCCCGTCAGGCACACCCTTGTCACGTCGAAAGGCACGATTGGTCGCTCCTTCTCATCTCATGAACCATCGTACCTTCCATGGTTGACACCCGTGTCATGTTTCATTGCTGAAACCCAACACAGTCCCAGAAGCACGGCCGATATGTCAGTAGGCAGCCCATTAGAAAACAGATCGAAGCGTGAAGGAGTAGATCGTTTGTATTTTGGTATACAACATTAAAGTCCTCGTCTATGATCTGGGAAGGAGTATGGTCATCGCTAAAATACAACAGAGCGGAATGAGACAAAGCCATCCCAAAAGACCGGCCATCTAGATGAAACTTCTAGAAGAAAACAACAAAAACTTTTTAGCATCGGAGACCTCGTGTCGTTGGTATAATGGGAAAGAAGAATGAAGAGAAACACCAGCCCAAACGCCCCTTTTTGAGTAGAAGAAGAAAAACGCCATGGAACACCAATCGCTGGAACGCAGGACGGGATATAAGGCCGTCGAAGAACAATGGCAGAGCAGTAGAGAGAGATAAGAGGCAGAGAGTCGAGAGGATGGAGAGGAGGCGCTTATGCAACGGCAAGAGCAAGACGCTGGCGTTCTCTCTCCATAGCAAACACCTTTCTGCTCATCTCGAGCACAGCCTCAAAGCCCTCACGGCCTTTGATGGCATTTTGCTTGAAGCGCTCGACGGTAAAGTCCTCGATACTGTTCTTGATCTTCTGCCAACCGCCGCAGAAGGCAGTGATTTGGGCGGATTGCTGGAAGATTGTGCGGGAGGTAGGGCCGGCGGGCGAGGGACGGTAGACGACGGTTTCGCGGACGGAGAGGAGATCGTTGAAGGTCATGTTCATGCTGCACATGGTGACCTTCTTGGCGGCAGGGTCGACGTACGAGGTCTCGTAGACCTGCGAGACCTCCTGGCCACCAAAGAAGGAGCTGAGCCACTTGGGTGCGGATTGCTTGCAGGTGATGAGACGTTCGGTGCGAAGCNNTGAGACGAAGGTCAGCAACTGGTCTTGAAAGTGAGGCAATGCAGCAGAAAGACTTACAATACCAGTGTCCGGGTCGACGTGACGCGAAATGGTGTCGACGGCGATAACGTGGGTGCTCTTGTCGTTCCACGGGCAGTACTTGCGCCAATTTGCAGTCGACACCTCCTCCCACGAGTAATCGAACTCATGCTGTGACTCGAAAAACTTCATTGCTGCAAAAATTGGACTGGACGAGCGAGAAACCAGAGTCGAGTGTCGAGAGTGCTAGATATACGGAACGCGGACTATTCGCCGGCGGACGGGAGGGAACGTTGGGGCCTTTTGTTGGTCCTTGGTTTTTGGATTTTCTGGTCGCGATGCTGAAGAGCTGGAGAGCGTCGACGGAGAAATAGCAGATATGGGATGTCGCGTGAGCAGAAAAGAGAGTCGTTCACTGGTGTCGTGTGCTTCGTTACTGAAGATATGGAAAAAGGGAAAAAGAGCGTTCACGTTGCGAGTTTCGGTCTTTGCTGGCGCGGCATGCGTTCTGTGGCCAAAAATCTTCTTGAATCGCGCCCGCGCCTTGTTGTCCGCCGATCTCGACAAGTCTAGACACGCCCACTAGCTCTTGTTTCCATCATCTCACCTGTGCAACTCGCTGTTTTTCGCTGATATAAATTCATAATCGTGCAATTCGCATGTAGCACATCCAGACGATACCAGACATGATCTCATTCCGGGTCGGACAAAGACAATTCTCATCTTCGACAGTCAGCTCCGTTCTTGCGGCCGCTGACTCGGTTTTGCATGTGAAAGTCTCCTCGTCAAGGTTCCGGTTCTTCCTCGTCCATCTCAAACTCTAATCTTCACCCGCAAAGATCTGAAACTCTGCTTGATCTGCTTGCTGACCATGCAGAGGACGAGTGGATCTATACCACAGTCCATCAAGGTGTTGGAGTAGAGGACTGGACATGACGTTTCATTGTTCGCCTTAGGCCTCCTGCATACCTCAGGACTTGTGCTACTTCTCAGCCTGGCCTTCGTAAGCTTGCAATTCGCTATCCTTCTCTTGTTCAGCTTGCCTCTTCTTCTCTGCCAATTCCTCCATCCGTCGCGTCCTTGCATTCCTCCATCCTTGTCCGTACTTCTCGAGCACCCAGAGGATAGGCGAAAACAGTAACACCACACCTGCTACAAAGGTAAAACACCACCCTCTGCCCATATGCTCGATCATGATGATTATGATAGCGGTACCGCCAGCTCCCATAAAGCAGCGCACGAGATTGTTCGCTGCTGTAGCCGTCGAGGGACTGAGCGGATACAGATCAACCAGCATAACACTGTTGCAGTTGAAAGCCCCTGTCAAGCAGAGTCCAATGAAGAATAGCAAAACCAGAGGTGCTGCTAGATTGGTCTCCATGTGCATGACCCACCCATAGCAAAGCAAAGCTGCGTCACCTACGAGAACCAGCGGCCACGTCACTTGGATGCGCGCCTTTTCGAGAGGGAAGTCTTTGAGATCGGTGGCTCGCTTCTTGTCGACCGGAAATCCATGCTTGCCAGCTAAACGGCGAAAGTTCCAATCGAGAAGCTTTCCGCCTAATATTGGTGCAATTAGACAACCGACCCCGAATGGAATAAAGCAGAGGCCTATCTGAAGATCGTTAAAGTTATAGATCAAGTCGAACAGATATGGCATGCTGGCCGTTACATCGTAGAAAGCTGTATACACCAACGAATTGTAGAGTAACAGGAGCCCAGTGTCTTTCTCGAAGACTACTTTGAGTGTCTTCAAAGGATTAGGGAACCGCAGTTTTCGAGCCTTAATCAGGCGGGCTTCTTCGAGACGGATGCTTTCGCGGGTTACTGTGCGAGTCAAGGCAGGTGCTTTAGCGGCCTTTCGCTCATGGAGATAATTTATCAGTGATCTATTCCAGCTTTGAGGTTTGATGGCTCCATTGCCGACAACGTTGCGACCAGTCTCCGGGAATGCGATGAGAAACGGCACCAGGTAACAGGCACAGAGAATGACCAGAAACCAGAAGATAGACCTCCAGCCCAAGAACTGTGCAAGGATGCCTCCAAGCACTGGTCCCAGCGCAGGAGCGACCATTGGACCAGATGTGACATAACCCATGAACGTGCCTCGTTCCGCACTCGTCGCTATATCAGCAACGACACCACTTCCTAGCGCGATTGTTGCACCGCACCCAGCACTTTGCAGGCATCTCAAGATGAGCAGAGAGACGTAGTCCTGACATAGCGCAATGCCTATGCAAGCACCAATGTAAATGACAAAGCATAAGAAGTATGCCGGCCGCCTACCAGCCATGTCAGCTAGGTCGCCGATGATAGCAGGAGCTATCCCTTGGGCAATCATATATGTAGTTAATGTCAGGTTGATTAGTGTCGAAGAGACATGAAATTCTTCGGTCAACGAATTGAGAGCCGGAAAGTAAATATTGGCACTNGATCTTCTCATAGCACGTCAATGATATACATGACCGAACCGAGCACATATACTTACAGCAGAAAAGAACCCTGCGCATGCTGCTAGGAGAACGATAAACCTCTTCTGGCTGGCCGTGAATACGGTGTATGGTGGTTCAGGGATACTGGGCTCGACATCTCGCAGATCATTGTCCTCTATAGATGAAGCAGCCTCGTCCTCATCGCGGGAAGTTGATGTCGAGACATCGTGAATAGATTCGATTGCTTCCTCGGAGTGGTTGTTCTTTCGTTTTACATCTTGTCCGTGGAATATATGTCGGTCGGCTCCAGAGCCAGTAGGACTCATGATTTCGCCTTCGCGGGTCTGTTCATTGTGTCGGCTTTCTCGAGATGATGGCGGGCGAGACATGCAGAAATTGATGTTGATGTTAGAAAAGAAGGTAGGTAGGAAAGAAAAGCGATCACCCAAATCAACCTACTGATTGCGTGCCTACAGTGCCTATCAACGCTTCTAGAGCAATGTCTCGATGCCGGTTTCCGTGCAGGTGCTTCGTATGAATAGAGGCGACTTGCGATAGGGCGATGAGGCTCATCGGTGAACTTGCCGTTCTCCGATATCGCCTGCCGGGATCATCATGATGCTGCCGATGGAGAATGAGCGACGGAAAAGGCAAGTCGAGATAAATGTGATGATGAAGCTGACACGATGGCTACAAGAGTTGGTGAAGGCTTCCGACGCTGAAGCCAAGACAAACGTCAGTCCGGGCAAGAGCTACGTAAGCGAGAGTTTACATGCGACATGATGCTTTAACTCCTAAGGTCAACAACCGCGTCTACAAAACGTAGAATATCATGGCCGATATTACGGCAGTGTTCAACACGGCGCTGAAAGCTCGTAATGCGCCACCAGTCACATCACATCGCTACTCGATCGACCGATTGGACGAGTTTCTGAAGGAAGCATACAGCATTGTACGTCGAGATGCTCTGAGGGAGGCATTCGCAGGGTCTGACTCAAAAACAGNNAATGCCCGTATAGCAGACCTCACTGCATATCTTCGCGCCATCAGACCATCCTACCTGTCCACTGCCCCCGCACCTCGACGACCGCAACGACAGAACTCTACCGACCACAAACCCGCTCAGGATGCAACGCAAAGGAACTTGTCTGACACCGAAAGAGCCTCAATTGACGCCGAGGCAAAGACAGTGTTGCGACAGTTGCATGCCGCTGTCGAACGTATAAGCCAAACCGAGCAGATCAGACAGGACACGGCCTCTCATATTGCGCTACGCAAACGCAATCAAGGTGGCCTCGGTGCCATTGGAAGATGGGCAGCTGGTGGAGCTGTCACTGCGAAGAGTGCAGAAGAAGAGGTGGAAGAGGCCAGGCAAAAGATGCTTAATGCACACCGAGAGAGTATCGTGTGGTTCCTGCAGGCCAAGCTCAGGGAAGCTGGTACTCTTCAGAGCACCATGATGGAGATCAGGATACAGCGTGAGGTCGAAAAGAGCAAGAGCGTGCTATACAAAGCAAAGAGTAGTGTCATCCCTCACCAAGGCCTCGATGTTGCTTTGGAATCCGAGAAACCAGCAGTGCAAGGACAGGAGAGGGCAGAACCTCAGTTCAGTGAAGAACAGATGCAACTCTTTGCACAAGAGAACCAAGACATGATGAAGCATTACCAGGACACATTAGATCAAGTCCGGTAAGTAAGTCGCGCATGTCGTTTCTTGAACCATCACGCTAACCTGAAGAACAGCACGGCGGAACGGTCTCTCATTGAGATCTCAGAGCTACAGTCAACTCTTGTCACCAACCTGACGGAACAAAACGAGCATATCGAGCAACTGGTGCAGGATTCCTTCTTCACGACAGAAAATGTTGGAAGGGGAAACAAGGAGCTCAAGCGTGCAAGCGAACGTCCCAGCGGTGCCAGGATTCTATTTCACAGCACATGCGCATTCTGTGCCTTCCTCGTCGTGTGGGATCTGATATTCTAAGATCCAGCGCATATTCACATGCAGATACTTTTCTCGATAACAGTCAAGTCATTCGCTGGATGATCGGCGTTTGGTCAGAAAGCGGGTTAAACCCGAGCCGGCATGACCAAGCGAAGCGCTCAAGCCTCGGAACGTCGTGGTGAGCACGAGGACGTGGGGATCCCGAGGTAGTCGATAGAGTACAAGCACATATTGGCGTGATGTAGACGACACTGACAGCTCGTCTTCTATCCATGTCCTCCGTCTCTCGTTTTGTTGTAAAGATATTCAACTATCAGTCCACCTTGCACTCAGCCGATTTCTGTGCTCTATTTTCAGGCTGAGTTCGTGTAGCTCGCCAAGACTCGGATCCTGCCCGCCTTTCCCTCCGCATTACTTGATTGAAACCCCGCCGGTGGTGTGCTCCAGGAGACAAAAATGGTTTCGTCTTCGACCTCTTCTGACCCTCAATCTCGCCTCCAACAAATCACATCTCACATGTCTATCACAAACACAATGAAGGCCTCATCTTTCGGAGCAGACACTGTGCCTCAGGCACCTGAAGATCCCTTGTTTGGATTGATGGCCGCCTTCCGCCGCGACACTGATTCAAGCAAGGTCGATCTTGGTATTGGAGCCTACAGAGACAACAACGCAAAGCCCTGGGTGCTACCCGTTGTGAAGAAGGTGCGCATACATGTCTCCAACGTGTCCTCTCTCTGATTATGTCCAAAAATTCATTGGAAACATGTACTTGTGATCACGGCGAACTAATCAAGGTGTTATCTAGNNGCCGATGACCTCCTTCGTCAAGACCCTAACCTCAACCACGAATACTTACCCATCGCTGGTCTCGCCGACTTCACTACCGCCTCGCAGAAGCTGATTTTCGGCGCCGATTCGCCTGCCCTCAAGGAGAAGCGCGCTGTCGCCCTCCAAACCATCTCAGGAACCGGAGCTGTACACTTGGGCGCCGCTTTCCTGGCCAAGTTCTACAACCCCTCCAACTCCGAGGCCAAGACCATCTACGTTTCCAACCCTACATGGGCCAACCACAACCAGATCTTCTCCAATGTCAAGCTCCCCATCAAGAACTACCCATACTTCTCGGCCGAGACCAAGGGTCTTGACTTCAAGGGCATGGTTCAGACAATAGAGAACGCTCCGGAGGGCAGTGTCATCCTGCTGCATGCTTGTGCGCACAACCCCACAGGTGTCGACCCTACTCAAGATCAGTGGAAGGAGATCGCCTCGCTCATGAAGAGCAAGTCCCAATTCCCCTTCTTCGACTGCGCATACCAAGGCTTCGCATCTGGCGACTTGAACAAGGATGCCTGGGCGATCCGTTACTTCGTTGAGCAAGGCTTTGAGATGTTCGTCGCTCAGAGCTACGCCAAGAACTTTGGTCTATATGGCGAGCGCGCTGGCTGCTTCCACTTCGTCAGTGGCCCTTCTTCTGATGCTGCCGATACCGCCGTTCGTGTCGGTAGCCAGTTGGCCATTCTCCAGCGTTCCGAGATCAGCAACCCTCCCGCATACGGTGCCCGCATTGCTTCAGTCATTCTTAACGACGAGAAGCTGTTCGCCGAGTGGGAGGAGAACCTCCGTGAGATGAGTGGCCGTATCATCTCGATGCGCAAGGCTCTCAAGGGCAAGCTTGATGAGCTGCAGACGCCTGGCAACTGGGATCACATCATCAACCAGATCGGCATGTTCAGTTTCACTGGCTTGACCGAGAAGCAGGTCTTGAAGATCAGATCCGATGCTCACGTTTACATGACCAAGAATGGCAGAATCAGTAAGTGCTATCACGGTATTGCTCACAAACAATGTACTAATGATTCGTAGGCANTGGCTGGTCTCAACACTAACAACGTCGAGTACTTTGCCAAGGCTGTCGACAAGGTCGTTCGCGAGACTTCGTAGGTTCGTCTCAGCAAACAACGACAGGAACAGAAGGCTGTCTCTGTCATGTAATCACGAAAGAAAATAGCATTGGTGGAGTAAGTGCATTAATCGGGTATTCGGTGGGATATCACTCTGCAGGACGATTCCTTCGGGAAAGGAATCAAAATATCGTTTCGTGGATCAAACTTCTCGTCCATTGATCCTATGCCGTGTCGGTGTCCAGTCTTTATGAGTGTCTCGTCTGTGTTTGGTCTGTCGTCGTTGGAATAGCATCGAGTAAAATGCACGGCTGGGGCCCCCTAGGTCGGCAGTTATTTTTGAAAGGACCGGGCCGAGTGCAGCCCGCCGATGTCGACTCTCTCCATGTCCGATTTGCCGCCATTGGAGTTCAGGCATTTTCTCTTCTCCATTGACGACGCGTCCAGTCTCACGGCAGACCAGAATATCAGAACAAAGGCGGTCCAACGGATCATATCACGCTCATTCACAAGCGCCAATCACGATCGGGAGCCCCGAAATCGTCCACATCATCTCCGCATTAAATCGCAGAGTGAGAGTGCCTGTTGCACGCTATAGTGATGAGTTTCTGCTTGACACTAGTGACTACCTAGATATCAGATTTAGATTCCGAATTGAGCACTATCGCAATAGAAGAGACGTCGATATGTAGTCGTTGACATTGAATCTAGATTTCTAGAACTACATACACTATCAAAATCCTTTGATCGAGCCGACATCGTAAAAGATCGAAAAACTTGTATGACCGGGACACGTACTAGAGAAAATCTAAGGCGTATTTATTGAGATTAGAGACACTGGAACATGTCATCTAGGGCAAGCACAAACATGTGCTGACTTGTAGGGAGCTTCGGTCTGGTTCGTATGGCGCTCCGTTTTGAGGTACTGCGCACGTCGGAGGTAGGCAAATTGACCGAGAGAGGGCCTCGTTGAAGACTTGCGAGCGCAATGAGCCGAATGGCAATGATAAGTGTTCATACGGGAGATCGTGGTTGGCAACATAGGATAGATACCTGAGAAAGATCATACGGTGTTGACGTTGATGTGGAAAGGTATAACTCCAGTTTTTTTGTGCAGGAGAGCTGTGCCGACCGGGTGAGAGCTGGGTGGTGGAGGCAAACTTGAGAGATGCTCTCGAAACGAATGCCCTTGATCTCTGATCATTGCATTGCCACTCAAACAGGAAGAGACTGTTGAATCGCTGTGCCGAACTGAATTTTCCCTGCGGATTTCCTCCTGGCAAAACTGGCATGCTGTCTTTACTTCTTCTTGGTTCGGGTTGTTTAAGCAATTTTTCTCATGCCGAACCAAACTTTTCTTGCCGATTTCCTTCTGGCAAAACTGGCATGCTGTCTTTGCTTTCTGGACCGTCTCTCGGTTCGGGTTCTTCGGGCAACGTTTTTCATGCTGAACTGCATTCCCCTTGTTGCTGCATTCCTTTTGGCAATGCTGGCACGCTGTCCTAAGTGCTTCTCTTACTGTCCGATTAGGGTTTTTCGAACAATATGGCTCATGTTCATCAAGTCTCACGATCTCCTTTTCGCAATACTGGCATTGCGACTTCTGTCCATTGTTTTCAACGAACGTTAAAGATTCGATCGCTTGGCCGGGCACTGAGGCCATCTTGGTGGCAGTCCATGTAAGCTCGGGCTGAGGCAAAGCCTCGCGACGAAAAAATGTGCTCGAGGTGATTGTGTGCCTCCAATATCTCATGCTGGTAACATCGGAAATTGCAAGCATCGCACTGGCGGAGCTCGAATTCCCGATCCACGTATGGTTTCGTACTGTGTGGCATCATTGCTGGAAGGCTATTATTACCTCTCTGCCAGGCGAATTCCGGTAGTTCTTCGTCTCTTGCATTCTGCACATGGCCAAAGTGCTCGAAACAACTGCCATCGGGATAATCGGACATAGTGTCAAAGAGTGTGATCAAAATGGACTCGGCAAGCTCGTTGAAATGAGTTTCGTAGTGGTCGCTGTCCTCGTACCACGCCACGATACACTTTGGAATGGTGTTGTGCTTTACACACCAGTTGTAGAACCATTTTGTATGGTCGTAAGAACGGTTTGCCAGGCCTCTCATAATCTCAGTAATATGTTCCTCGTATCGTCTGGCCAAACAACCAGTGGAACCAATATAGAACATAATGTCGCCATTTTCTGAATCTTGGCCGACAAGGATATAACCGCCGGCTTTGTTGAATTTCAGCAGGTTCTCACTTGGCGTCGAAGAATGGTCCAAGAAGCTTTGCAAATCGGCCTTCCAGTCCTTACTATCCAGGAATTCAAGGACTTCCGGGGTATAAGCATCAAAAAACACCAAGGCTCTTCTTCCTGCGCTGTCTGCACGCAGATACTGCTTCTTGCCTTGGAAAACCTTCTCATTGCCTCGATAGGCGGTCACGGCATACTCGATATGCTTTTTGGCGCCCACTGATCCCTGGCTAACCTTGTATCTCTTTCTTTCAGATCCACCAAAGTGGTCTTGGATGGTGCCACGCTTGACTCCAGCGGCAACACGAGCGGCGGGAACGGCAGGGAAGGGAGCGGCGGCTGCGGTGGCGGTGGTGGTGGTGGTGGTGAATTGAGCTACTAAGTTCAGAGCGATGTCACACTCAAAGCAACAGCCTTGTCAGACTGACACATTGTCTTTAAAAACGACAAAAAAACGAGTGTTGTAAGGAGTGTTCTGCTCTTCATGTTAGACCATACTGACGCTCGCATATATTTTCTTGTGTGCAGAGGCTGTCAAATGGGTCATGACTGCTGTTGACTGATGCATGCTATACGAATGTTGCTGCAAGGTCTGAAGCCTTGTGGGTTGAACTTGGTCAATCTCTACCATCCTCCACAGTGAGATTTGAGGAAGGATTGATAGCGCTACATGCTTACTTGTTCGATTGACTTTGCTGGCAGAGTTGTTGTTGATTTGCTTTATTGTTACTATCCAGACTCACGAGTACAGGCTTTACGTCCGGGCAGTAACCATTGCTATGCCAAGCGGCTAGATACTCTACAACGCCATCGCATCGCAACTTACGATGACGAAACGATAACCGATTGCAAGGCTATGCCATTCTGCTTGAAGACATGCTGTCTCGCGAACCACCACGAAAGATGCTAGAAAATAGCATGGGTTTCTGAATTCTTTTGTTATCTAACTACTTTTTATATATTGATATAGCATCTCCAGATGTGTATCACTCATACATCTTTCTGTGGTTGACCTGATCTTTGCAAATCAGATTCGTGTCTTAATGTGACTTTGCTGTGTATTCCGATCCTCAGCTTTGATTCCACCATGATGCATGTTGCTGGATGACTTATTTGAGTCTTGATCTTGTTCAGTCCGCATCTTCATCGAATGTATAATCTGCACGGTGCATTGTACAACCGTGGAGATACTGGCAGTGAGTATATCTGGATCCTGTAAAAGGCAGACAACCATATGTTAGAGCAGAGAGCAGGTTTCGGGACGATTAGAGTAGTATATCGCGATAGTCGTGTTATGATTCAGAGCACTTGTGTCCTCATATATTCCCCATACTATCAAGCGACTTAAGACGGTGAACAATTGCGCAGGACAGAACAGTTTAGAGAGGTTTCACACTGTTGAAGATGATCGAAGGAGTAATCTCCGACCCGATCGAGCCAAAAGCTCGGCAAACCTTCCACCAAGCCTCACGTCATGTCGTACTGGGCCAGTGACCATGACCACAATATCGTATGCTCCTAGCTCTTGTTCATGTGTCTTAGTGTGGGATCAGCCTCTAATTGCTTGCCAGGCTCAACATGACTCGTCAGACGCTGCTCATCGAGCCAGAATATTGCTGGAGATGCAACAAGATTGGGTACGAAACATATCGAACGATGTGGCAGACTGAACGTTCGACAGGACAGCGAACCGGTGGATCGCAAGGATGGTGTCAACTACAGTAGCTGGCATCGGCTCAGATATTGCTGTATGTGTCGAGAATTGAACCAGTTGCAGGTCTCGGTATACCAGAAAGTGCGCCGAGAACGTGGCTGTCGAAGATTGACGATTATAGAGTGCGATCGCGTGAACATAACTCTTCCCTTTGTGCTTCGTTGGATTCTTGTGTGTGTTCATAGCTAGATTGCGTCCGTTGTGGTACAGGTGCGGTCGCGTATTGGATAGGTACGAGTTCGAGGGTCAAGAATCCTTGCGAGCATCAGGGAGTGCTGGAAGCCGCATCAGGACACCATGGTTTAGGACTTTCGCAAGCCAGCTGAGAAGGCCATCAAGTGATGTTGTCGAGTGAAGTATATTGTGTCGGCGCAAGAAACCGATCACAGGAATGCTCGTAGAAAGAATCGCGAAAATCACATACTATAGTTGTTGGTGGAGTCAATAGAAAAGCAGTTGACAGCTGCAGGCTTCGAACATTCCGTCATGGTTCAGTCTGGTTCAGTCCAAATCAGGTTTGGCACGATCTACTTGGGCCCTTGATCTGTCACGCAACGTCCTCCTTTCTTCTTCAAGTCAAAACCAATCATCGTAGGTCTACCCTTTTTCTATTGCATCCCCCAAGAACTGGATTCTGAAAATCCGATGGCACGCGTCCGGACACACAGGCTGCCAGATTCGCCCTTGGACTTCGAGGCTCGCGTCTGGGAAACACGAAAAAGCAAGGATATTGGCACAACCCAACTACGGATAATGGACTACGACCGAAACCATCGAACTCATGCTTCTGCCACCGGCACGCGAACCGACAGCATACAGCAGCATTCCCTACAGGATGATCGCCTACCGATATACTCATCCGCATCGCAAAAGGCGCTGGAGCCCTCAGCTCATTCCATATATGGCTGTGTCTAAGTCGACGACTGAGGATCAACGCGCGTCGACAGGCATCTGTAGCTATGCTCATCAACAGCACTGTGTGGACTCCCATCACTGCATCCCACCGTGGAATGGTCTCCAATCGCCTTGCCTGCTTCGATCGCTGTCATTGGATACTGGATTCGGGGCCAATATCGACCACTATCAACATGATTCCTTGCACATTTTGTATTCTTGCATTGCTGACGTGTATATATGCAGATGTCTTCTAAGTTTTTCGGTGGCTCCCATCACCACCATCATGGATTTGTAAGTATTCCCCACATCACTGGTCCAGTTCACCTCCATCATCATGGTTAATGGATCTATGAATCGTTGTCACGACTCCCTCTTACGAGACTACCCACGAGAGTCGTGTGCTCATCTGCTGACTGCTTGTAGTCTGGCGTTGGCGGCGGTGGCCGTGGTGGCAGAGGTGGCCGTGGCGGCCGTGGTGGCAGAGGCGGTGGTGGCTTCAGAGGTTTCATATGCACAACCTTGTCCGGAGTGTTTGGGCATTGTGATTAACCAGCACGTGTAGTGTAATTACTGTAGAGCATGGGGCCACAAGGGCATAGACTGTAGTCTGCGTGTAAGATTGATAGTCGGGATTGTGATGTTGATGGTTCTAATCACTCGACACTTCTAGGCGCAACGACCGGTCAGTTCTGCTATGCACAGAATTTGAATCTGATCTTTATTGACACATGTGCAACAGCAACAGCAACAGCAGCAACAGCAGCAACAGCAGCAACAGCAGCGGGACTCTGCTGCCGACGTGAGTCTATCTGCTCATAGCAGTGTGTGAGGTTCTGTTGCTAATGCTTTGTCAGAATAGCGACGACATGAACATTTCTTGTTAGTGTCTGGCTTGAGTAAACACTATCAAGCGATATGCTAATTGATTCAAGAATCACCAACCTCTGCGCCATCCACGACAAGCGTGTCACCATCCAGAGCAAGAACATCCAACCGCTGGCCGGTTTCAGTTTTTAAGTAGATTTTAGTAGACTTTTTTCCCCCGAAAGGGGTTTTTAATGAGCTGCCTTTTGAAACTCTTCTCTCTCGTGCACGTGATTTCCTTTCTTCGCGTTTTAGCGGAAGCGGAGAGCGACCGACATTCAGCTAGTGACGTCTCCCTGCTCCCCGCTTTGCTTACACCAAACTTACCTAGGCAATGGCCTCCCGCCTCAGTCTCATCTCTAGACACCTTGACCAGAGACCTCAAGTCGAATTGAACACACCATACGCCCACGAGCGTCAATCTAGTCCCCCAGACGACATTCCATACAACCCTCTGCCCGCTGTTCAACAAGACAAGACCAACATGTCGAGCCAACCGCCCCACCCAGCCCTGCTCATTCCAGGCCCCATCGAGTTCGATGACCAGGTTCTGCAGTCCATGAGCCACTTCAGGTACATCAGGCGTGTTTCTCTCATGTCAAACATCGACTGACAGTCGCNNAGCGAGTCCCATGTCGGCGCACCCTTCGTCAAGACATTCGGCGAGACCTTGACCATGCTCCGCAAGCTGTTCCAGACCGAGGATCCCGCGTCTCAGCCCTTCGTCATTTCCGGTTCTGGTACTCTTGGTTGGGATCAGGTCGCTGCCAACCTTGCTGAGCCTGGTGACGATGTCCTGGTCCTGCACACTGGCTACTTTGCCGACAGCTTCACCGATTGTTTCGAGACATACGGTGTCAAGGCTACCCAGCTCAAGGCTCCCATTGGCGACCGCCCTCAGCTGGACGAAGTCGAGAAGGCCCTCAAGGAAAAGAAGTACAAGCTCATCACTGTCACTCACGTCGACACGTCGACCGGTGTTCTCAGCGAGATTGAAGCCCTCAGCAAGCTCGTACACAAGGTCAGCCCTGACACGCTGGTCGTTGTCGATGGTGTCTGCAGTGTCGGCTGTGAAGAGATTCAATTCGACAACTGGGGAATTGACTGTGTTATCACTGCCTCTCAGAAGGCTATCGGATGCCCAGCTGGTCTGAGCATCGTCATGGCTTCTGGCCGTGCCATCAAGTCTTTCCAGAGCCGCAAGGTCCCTCCTACCTCATACTTTGGCTCGTGGAAGAATTGGATGCCCAGTACGTATCATCTCTCGTGCCTTTCCAACGTCAATGCTAATCTGCCGTAGNTCATGCAGAACTATGAAGCTGGCAAGCCCTCATACTTTGCTACCNCCTCGCCTCAGCTCGTCCACGCTTTGCACACCACGCTTACTCAGATCACCTCAGTGCCCTTGGCCGACCGCTTTGCTGCTCACCGCAAGGCATCGCAGAAGGTCAAGAAGGCTGTTGCCGACCTCGGTCTCAAGCAGCTGGCCGAGAAGCCCGAGAACCAAGCCAACGGCATGACCGCCATCTACCTCCCCAAGGGCATGACTCCTCCGGATGTTTTACCCAAGCTTATGCAGCGCGGTGTTGTCTTTGCTGGCGGTCTGCACAAGCAGATTGCTACCCAGTACATCCGCTTTGGCCACATGGGTGTTAGCGTCACCGACCCCAACCGCGACGACATTGACCGTGCTCTCAACGCACTGAAGGAGGGCATCACGGAAGCACAGCAAGCCATGGATATGTCCGCTAGATAGACAAAAGTATAATGATTGTATCTTGTGTACTCTAGAAGATCATCCTTCCCCTATTGAAGAGCAAACATGATCAGTGTCAGGTAGTGATGTTGGAGACGATTTATTGCTGTTCATAAGACATTGCGTCCTTGTTGTCAACGAGTGATTTCATCTGTTATCAACATCCCAGCTGCAAGTTTCGTTCTCAACTTCCAGGAACAACATCAACATGAATCTGCTGTCATGTCTCGGTACAGGCAGGCCCCGGACCTGAGGATCTAAGCATCTGTTACCCACGTGGAATACATGATCAACAAGACGTAGGGTTCCTGGGCATGTCGCGGCGCCAAGCACAGAGACAAACTCTTTTGAGCCTCAACCCGCGGAGTGCCGTCCATATGTTATTCCCGACTCGGCATCCAGCTAGCGACGTCCGCTGCTGGCCGCTCCACTTGCAAAGAACTTACTCCTTGTGCCTGCAGTGCCTGTTTGCCTCCACATTCGCTTTCGAAGTATCTTCTTGCGATGGCCGGATCGGCGTTTATGCCCCATGGTGTCTCGTCATCGGGGAGATGATTTCAATTGATTGTATGCCTAGGTTCGCTTTCTCTTGAGAACAATCTCTGCTTAGACCTGCATATGCCATGAGGTCCGTACGACAGTTGCATGCACAGACAAGCCTATGTCCGTATGTGTCGCATAGATTGTAGAACAGAGCACAGTGTAGTTGGCTACTCGACTCGGCTTACCCCGCTGACCCAAATGCTGATGATGAGTGTGTAGGTTTGTATTGTATGACGCCACATAAATTGACGCCAGCGTGCAGTATATGGTCACTAGACCGAGTAGTGGCGCCCGGATATAATTGCCTCATCTATCTATCAGACATGTCTTCCTGACTCTCTTAATATTGTCAGCAGCCTGGAGTATGGGTGCAACATTACCTTTCTCGAAGGGACGAACTGGATGCAATGCTCAACCATGCTAGCTACAATTCTATACCAGCGACCGAAAAGTCCGTTGTCTCGACGCGAACAACTGCTCCGCGACTCATGGTACTCATACGCCTATCCGATTCTGCAAATGGACCACACTGCTGTTCCCCACTATCCTGCCGATATGCCCCAGAGTTTCATTGAGTTTGACAAAAAGACCTTTGCAACGACACTCCGCGGATCCCACTTCTAGTCTACTACTCCTGACACATGGGCGAAGGTTACACATTCACCTTCTATGCACATACATGATCGCAAGTACACCATCATCCGCGGAGACGTCTCGCGCTACCACCGCATAAAGGCTTTATCGATCAGTCGTTGCGGCCAAGAAGTGGTTCCTCTAACATCTGGAGAAGTCAACTCGAAGCATATAAACGCTCATCTATATGCTTGGCGTGACGATTGTCCTGAGCTGTACTGGCCGCGGTCTCACAAACTCTCTAGTAAGGCCGGAGACATTGGCCATGGCATACCACCAGACGAGATAGGATTGCCTCTACGCCTTATTACAACGATGGCCATGTGGACTTGTTATCTAGCCGATATCTGATTATGACTTGCTGAGAAACGAACAAGGAGCCTGCATAGACCTTGACTCATGGATTGTAACACCAAACGCTGTGCTCTAAGTCCAAGCTTGTATGAACACCATCAGAGTTTTTGTTTACAGCTGGGACTCGCTTGATACCAGGTAATACCTGCGACATACGCTCAGCCGCGGGCAGTTGCTATGCAAATGTTCGATGGCATTGCATCATCGCTAGTTGATTTGCTAGACAGGTGAACCGCACGCTCAACTACCTCCTTGGCAAAGGATGTTATGCTTCTGGATGTCCGCGGTATGATGGCGATCATCGTCAGATGCTGTCTCCGAGAGACAGTAAACCCGCGTCGAAGGCATTCAGCATTTGAAATTGCGGTAATAGACAGGCAAAGCAGGAGAATCCCTGGATATATAAGAGCAATGCTTCTGCTGTCGATGTCTGAACAACAATTTCCATTACTCATTCATCACAACTTCGAAACACATTCGCTCACCCACTCCATTTTTCATCACCCCAAAACAACACTACAGATCAAAATGCGTTTCACTCAGACCTTCTTCGCTGTTGCAGCTCTTGCTGCTGTTGGCTTTGCTCAGGACAGCGACGTTTGCGACGACCAGAACGACAATGGTGTCACCTGCAGCAACGGCACCCCTGTCAGCAGCAATGGCATCGCAATCAACACCAACACAGTCACAAACACCAACACTGTCGTTGCTTCTACCTCGACCAACCCTCGCCTTTCGGTCATCTCGTCTACCGATACCGACATCCTGGTCTCGACTACCCGCAGCGTCGTTCTCGACACCACTTCCCTCCCTCACTCTCTTGATACTCGCACATCCACCTACCTGAACACGGTCGTCCAGACTTTGGACTCGGCGTACACTACCAACACGCTCAACACCAACACCGTCACCGCCACGACCAGAGTTGGAGGGAATGCCGCCACTACCACTGCAGCCACCAACACTGTCACTACTGGTACTTCTGCTTCGAGCTCCACTACCAACGGTGCCGCCGGCGCTTTCCAGACTGGATTCGCTCCTTTTGGAGTTGCCATTGCCGCTCTTGGTTTCGCTGCTGCTCTTTAAGCGTGTACTATGTGAATTTGGACTGGAGAGAGCTCATCAGGAGGGAAAAAGCTGCGAGGGAAATGCAGCGTGGGCCTAGAAATGCCAGGACCAAATGTCAGCTGTCAAAGCTGGACAGGATAGCTATTTGGGGTCGATTATGAATGCAGTATATGTATGTAATAATGTATGTAGACAATGTGTTTTTGTATTTTGAGTCATACTCGATATCGTTACCGATTCTCTCTGTGCCTTTATTTATCCTCTATCGACGAATGGGGTCAAGAAAATGAAAGTAAGCGATCGAGTTTTCCAACATGAAAGAGGTTGTGAGAGCATGATCTGATATTGGTTTCGAGGCGATGTTGGTTGATGTTGGCAACAAACCGGAAAGATGCAGCCGGATACGAGCGGATTTTGCCGTCGTCGACCAATGCGAACGATTCAATTGGCCGAGGCAGACGGTGGTATTAGATGAACGATGACACGAGGGGTTCTGTGCCTCGATGACAAAGTAATTATCAGCTGCTTCTTTAGTATCTCCTGACTCCGACATTCTTCGCCTCCTTTCCTTTGGAACATCGATATTGTTTATCGTCCTCCAACGACAGCCGTCGCCAATTGACCTATTGCCTTGACCCCGCGAACAGGCCTCAGTCCGAAAGCCTCAGTGACGTCTACCGAGCCATCTCCGCCGCCGCAAAACATCTTTCTCCCTTGCAAGCAGTTCGCCCTCAGCAGACGCCAAGACACAGCACAACATGTCCTTCTCATCACTCGTATCCGACTTGACATACCGCGACCGCAATGGTGGCGGCGACGACAAGCGTTCGACCATGTCGCGACAGGTCTCGACCATGTCTCGTGCCCGATCTTACGCCAGCACCGCAGCCACAAGCGTCAGCATCACCGGAGACATCTCAAGTCAATTGCATGGCGGTTACAGCCATCCGCTGGCTCGCGCATGGCAGGCTGAGCGCCAGCTGACCAAGTCGATGCTCATCTACCCCCTTTTCATTACCGACAACCCAGACGAGGAGACTCTGATCCCCTCATTGCCTGGACAATACCGCCGCGGTCTCAACAAGCTCGTACCTTTTCTCCGCCCTTTGATCGCAAAGGGCCTCAAGTCGGTCATCCTGTTTGGTGTGCCGCTTCACCCCGATGCAAAGGACTCCCTGGGCACTTCTGCCGACGACCCGACCGGCCCCGTCATCGCCTCGATCCGCCTGTTGCGCAAGGCTTTCCCTTCTCTCTTCATTACCGCAGATGTGTGTCTCTGCGAGTACACTAGCCACGGTCATTGTGGTATCCTGCGTGAGGATGGCAGTCTGAACAACGCCCTTTCGGTCGATCGCATCTCGGATGTCGCCATGGCGTATGCTGAGGCCGGTGCTCACTGCGTTGCTCCTTCAGACATGAACGATGGCCGTATCCGCGCCATCAAGCTCAAGCTCATCGAGGCTGGCATCGCACACAAGGTCGTCCTCATGTCCTACTCTGCCAAGTTCAGCGGCTGTCTGTACGGTCCCTTCCGTGATGCTGCAGGCAGCACACCGTCATTTGGTGACAGAAGGTGAGACAAACAATTCCTGCGTATCTGCATCTCAAGTACTGATTGTCCTCTTCTTAGATGCTATCAACTCNCCCCTGGCGGCCGTGGTCTCGCCCGCAGAGCAATCGTACGCGACATCAACGAAGGTGCAGACATCATCATGGTTAAGCCCGCCTCTCAATACCTCGACATCATCAGTGACGCAAAAGAGATTGGCAAGGACTTGCCTGTAGCCGCATACCAGGTCAGCGGCGAGTACGCCATGATCTGCGCTGCCGCCAAGGCTGGCGTGTTCGACCTCAAGACCATGGCTTTCGAGGCTACCGAGGGCATTCTTCGTGCTGGCGCGAGTATTGTCGTTTCGTACTTTACTCCTGACTTTTTGGACTGGTTGGAGAACTAGACTGTTGGTGTTTGCGCGAGCAGGATACTGGTTTGTCTTTGCTTCATGCGACCTCCACCTCTGTGTGCCTTCTTTGCTGCATACCCTGTTTGATGGGTAGGAGTTCTTTTCGAGGACGGCGTTTTTGCTCCGAGGTTCTGCTTTACGACCTCGTTGCTTTTCTTTCTGAGCGATTTTCTCTGCTTTTCCCCTGGCTTGTGTCCGACCCCTTTTTGTTATGATACCAAAAACAATTACCAATGAATCTCTCATCTCGACTCTAATTCTTCTTCAAATTTTTCTATGGCTACCGTTATGTGACCACCATCCAGTCTCTTATGCTCCTGAAATCCTATATCCCTTCTCAAGCAGAATTGGCAATATGCTGCTAATGATATTCTATCACCAGGATTGCACTAAAAGATTTCAAGTAAACCTAAGCGTTTCCTACTCTTTAGGGGCGCGAATGCCACCGTGTATCTTTGCAACTGTGTGAAACATGGAGAGAGCTTTGGCAAATGAGTGTGTCATTTCGTTGTCGTCTGTGAACTGACTGCGCATATGTTCGTCGACTAGGACAGGGTCGTCCCTTCTGACTGAGGGCGACCCTGTCTTGGTACCATCCACTTTAGGTTTCGATACTCCATGTCCATTATCATTAAATGCAGTGAAAGCGACTATCGAGTATGCAAAGGCGACAGGCAGGTTGCAACTATAGACACGAGGAAAATCCGACTGACAACAAGTGCCTGGAAACCAACTGTAACGTAACCAATCTTAGCAACAACGCCTCCAAACAGCGTCCGGCCGATAAGGATGTACGCAACATAGGGAACAGCCCTTATGGAGGAGGCCACCGCCCCTCTACACTAAGAAAGGACGTCTACAACATTCGTTACATTGGCACATAGGTGTTACTAGCGTTGATGCTTTACACGGTCTACTGTGACCATTACCTTCCTTCTTATTGAATATGACGGCTGCTATTGGTCAGAATGGGAATTAATTAGCGACAGCTCATACCCCTTGCGGGGTAAATAGCTTGAGAAAATCAAATCAAATCAAATCAAAATCCATTATCATTATGATATATCTGCTCAGAACTCGTGAGATGTCACTATACCATACCATTTAACGTGAAGACGATCAACATGTTCAAAGTTTGGGAAGTGGCTGTCGTCGGCATTCCGATGCGTGCCGCTGCCATTCGAGTTTCGCGTCTATGCGACATTGACAGAAGCTTCGAGGGTATCGTAAAGTGGTAGATTCCAATCGCACGAAGACAGGTCTATCTGCTTCAGATCATCAGTTGCGCCTTGAAGCACGCATCTCATGCTTAACGACGAGGTTGAGGTATTGGGTGTGCGGACGAGGCAAGAGTTGAAGTCCGGACAGTCTTGACGTCTCGCAGCCGCACTTTTCAAGTTTTCTGAACGTCATTCGGTCCTTACGTGATTGTTTGCTCTAACCCTCATAGGCTTATGCACTCTGGACATTGCCAGCCTCAACATTCTCTTGCGAATCATGGAGCGTCAGGATGTCGTTCATGCATAAGGACTTACCGATTCTGCGGACCCCGATCGACCGCCATCTTCAGCCTCTCGCTACTTGCAGTAACTGTCTCGGGTCTTGACATGTCCCAAGAACGAGGTACAGAGATCTCATCCACGCAGCCGGGATTGGTCTGTCTGCTTGGCTTTCGAAAGCGGTCGATGCTCCACCCTGAAGTTTTCCTTCTTCACTCTCATCCTGGTAGACATCAACCTTAATTGACCAGCCCCGAAGAAGCAGCTTCCGCCCTCATCGCATTGTGCCAATCAGGATTTTGGAATGACATTTCGGTCTGCACCTCCGATGGCCATCAAGCGAAGATGGTCAAGCAAGAGTCGCAGCTTTTGGTTCACTATGGACACTTGCGCGTGGTCCCGTCCATGTCCTATATTGATTTCGTCAGGTGGTAGGTCTTGCATCATGGCAGATGATGGTATCTGTGATATCTTGAGCCGGAGGTCAGCAAGTAAGTAGAGATGTTGAGTGGATGTGCCTGCCATCTTCGTGGCCGGAGTACCACTTGCTTCTTCCTCACGATCTGTTCGAGCCATTCACTATTCGAAAATGGTGCGGCGCTCATCCACCACTTCAACTTTCACGACTCAACGGGTAGATAGTAACGACGGAGGTAGAGATGACAGAACTAACTCTACCAACCCTGCTACCGACGTCGTTATACCGTCTACTCTGTTGAACGCAATCACGTCTGGTCCATTCATATCACATCCGAACCAGTTCCAGGGCGAGGATTCAGACGACACGACCAACAACTTTGATGTGCGCGAAGTTGCACAGCAGCTGCACGAAGAAACGTCCCGCATCCTAGACCGCTCTGCCAGTATCTCTATCGCTGAATTAGCACGCAACCCAGCATCCAAGACCGAACATGAGTTTCGCAAGACTAGCCTTGAACCGAACTTTGGTTCGACCTTGAAGAATCAGGGGTTGAGCCCACGCCACAGAGACTCAGGCCGCCATGCCCTGTCCACTGTGACGGAAGGAAAAGTTACGGCAACTCAGAATCGAGCGACCACCGATGACTACTTCGGTAACTACAGCATTGGAGCACAAGGTCCTCGACTTCATCGGCGCACTTCATCAGACAGAAGCGTTTCAAGGAAGGCGCGCATGGACGAACCGAGTCCAACCCATCCAAGTCCATTGCGATTACAGAGCAGGAACCATTCACATGGTGTAGACGACATCGACATCCGGATTAGCACACAGAGATCTCGACGATCTACGGCAGGTGCGTCTCGTAAAGAGAGTATCGTACAGCGCTCTGCTTCTATTGTGCTCGAGACTGTCGAGAATGTGAAACAGGCTATACGAAGGAGCAGTATCCATGACGTCTACGAGAAGGCANAAAAGCGAGGTGTCGAGTTGCAAAGGAGCAAATGGGCCATGCGGATCTTCGAGTACACGTTCTATCTCATACTTGTCGCCTTTGTCTACTTCGTTCTGGTGGGTGTACCCCTCTGGAAAGGCGCTGTGTACTGGTTGTATTGGGTGTTTGATCACAAGTTTGCCGTTGCTGGTACTTGGTATGTTGTACTTTCAACACAAAGGTTTAGATCACTGACACATATAGGTNCCGTCACCATTGGTATCGCTTTCCTATACGCTTACACACCACTCCTTGTCTTTTTCGAGAAAGATCCGCCCATGCCTGCTGACATTGACAACATCGATCCCAATCGAACACCAGGTGTTCACAATACAGCACTTATGATACCCTGCTACAAGAGTGCCAAAATCATTGGCCCTACTCTAGAGGCAGCCTTGAAAATATTTCCACCTTCACACATCTTCGTTATCGCCAATGGAAACAGTCCAACACCTCTTGATGATACCGAGGTGGTATGCCGCCCGTACGGAGTCAATCACGTCTGGTCGCCAGTCGGCTCAAAAATCGTAGCCCAGTTCGTCGGATGCTATGCCGCTCGAGGATTTAAGAATGTCCTGCTTATTGATGACGACTGTGCTCTTCCTCCGAATTTTCCCATCGTTAGCGACAGAATGACACCGATGATCAAGTGTATAGGATACACGATCAAATCTGTGGGGCCAGAGTCATCTCGAGGTACCTTGTGTCAACAAGCCCAAGATTTGGAGTACAAGATCAGTGGCATTCAGCGAGCCTTAGCCGGATATGTTGGTAGTGCGACTTTTCCTCACGGAGCAATCTCTCTCTGGGATCGTGAGTTTCTGATTCAAACATTTTACAAACACCCTGGCTTTAGCGTCTCTGAGGACTGGTTCTTTGGTCATGTTGCTAGGCAGCTCGGTTCCCGGATCACCATGTGCACCTCTGTGTTTATCGAGACTGAAACACCAAATGCCGTCTTCTTCAGCTCTGGAGGCGCACGAGGAGGCTTTGGCGAAATGACCATTTTCAAGCAACGTTTTCACCGCTGGAACTTCTTCTTCGTCAATGGTATGTACTACAATATGGCTTATATCTTTGGCTCCTGGAAACTCGGCTTCTGGGAAATAGGAGCCAAGCTGTTTGTGTTCCAAGAAGTTTACGAGACACTGTTGTATCTCTTGTCACCATTCGTGCTTCCTATCTCGATCATCGTACGCCCGGACTTCTTCGGATACCTTTTTGCAGGCACGTTTGTGCTGTATTTCCTCAACGCCATCATCTTCAACGAGCTTCATCTGAGGTTGAAGAAGGAGAGAGTCGGATCTATATGCGTCTACCTCTACTACATGCCTTACAAAGTCGTGCTTACCTTTGTCAACGTAGGCAGCTGCTACTGGTCATTGTATAAGTACGCACAGTACTTCGCTCGGCGCCATCCAAAGATCGTCGAAGATGAGAAAGCTGTTGATGTGGTGCTGAGAATGGAAGAACAGCATGACACTCTAGCTGACGAGGGACGACGCATGACGATTACAGCAGTTGGTGCTCAGACCCAAGGATCAGTAGTGGAACAGACTCCTTCCGGACCCACCGAGCGAAAAATGACAGTCACCACGCTGGGCCCGAAACTCGACATTCCCGACATCCACGATATTCAGCCCATGTCACCAGTAGTCGAACAACCCGAACAATTCGCCCCAGCAATCAGACTCCAAGGCGAACGCGTCAGTTTCAACTCCAGAAGGAGCAACAGCCCAGCCGTGCAAATCGAACGACTGCCCAGCCATACCTCTGAAGGTATTTCTCCAAGCCAAAACATCGTATCACCATTATCCCGCACCACGACCGTAGACAGATTGGATGCAAGATCCGTCGATCACCGATCCAGACGTTCGGCCAGTATTCGCTCAGACCCTGCTCGTCGCTCTCCTAGTCTGCCTCGCTCGCACGTTTCTGCCGATTTCGAGTCGCCTGGGTTTGAAGAGTTGATGGATAGATTGGCTATCATCGAGTCGAGGATAAATCCTCGTAATGTGTCTGCTGTGGAGGTATCTATAGCTGAAGATGTCGTGCCTACTGCTGCACCACAACTAGCATTTCCCAACTACCCGGATCATGTTAGGACTAGTGCAGGAGATGAAGAAGAGGGAGAGTATGAGATGTATGATTTGGAGAAATTGGATTCGGGCAAGACTGACGACTCGAGGAGTATGGTATAAATGTGTTACGAGGCTTGAGTTGGGAGTACAGACAAGATGGTGTGTATACGAATAGTTTCATGATTGTGTTTTTCTAATGTTAGAGTATAATACATAATGTCATGACATTGCTTTTCAATTCGTACAGTCCATCGGAAAACGAAAAATAGGCCCGTAACAAACATTGCGTTTTCAACCCACGAGCAAGTCTTTTTGTTTGTAGCAAGGGAATCGCTCCCTGTGACACCCTACTGACCATTTTACGAGGTACAGTCCAACGATCGTAGCTTTCAGTTCGAAGCCAAAGCCTTCGATAAAACAGGTTGTCGAAGAATAGTCCTGACGATGCATCTATTTCTTGCAAAGTCTTTTCCACAAACACGTTCTTTACACATTAGCCATGGAGAACACGTAAATTGTCTTTCAGTACAACAGCTTTGGTTCTTCGAGAAAAGAAATACCACAGAACTACTAGAACTTTTATTGCCAACTTAGAAACAAGCGTGGTTCTGTGCAAGAAGTAGTAGTCTAGTTTCTCGTTATGATGTTGAGATTTTATGTTTCATGTGCGAGGAAACCATATCAAGAAAATCATAGCAAGCATGTCATGACAGGCAAGTCACCATCAACAATGTTGAGAACTCAGTTTGCAATGTCATGTTACTAGCCAAGGTACCCACTTGAGTCTGGGTTGGGAGAACGAAAGGCATCCGAGGGAGCAATGCAAGAGAAAAGGCGTACAAAGATTTGGACGTTTTGCAATAAAGTAGTCAAAAGAGGCAGAGATACAATCAATTAGAGTATCCATGTAAGGTGCTCCTAAGTGAACATCGATTGGTCTTGCTCAAGACACGAAGTTTTGTTTACATCGATGCAACCAAAACTCGAACTTCCTTGGGACCATCAAGATCCCTCACTTCACTTCACTTCTCACTCTCCTCACCCATCCACTTCTCACTCACTTACCCCCTAGCATCATATTCAAATCTCCTCCACTCTATTGCAGAGTTCGGTTCTGTGGCTCACACAGGTAATTCCCCTCGATGGAAAACTGGCGTAAATAGAATCCAGAGGTAGTGAGTTCGACTCTCACATAAAGCCTTGTTTGGTCGAACTGCTTTCCCCAAGTTGATACTTGGTTTTTGTGCTATTTTTTCTTTTTTTTCTTTCTTTGTGCGGTGGTTGGTGATTGAACTCTTGTTGTTTTTTTGCTCACCAGATGCAAGAAGAGAAACCTGATGGATAAATGCAGATATGATTTGATCGTAGATGTCGTTACTTGCTTGGTTTGAAAGTCTAAATATCTCCTTCTGCACTTGCGTCTCGCTTGAAAAGGCCAAAAGACCAGCTTCTTGTCCTTTTTGCTACATATTCCCGACTAAAGAAGATCATAACGCCTCGCCCGCAGATTTGCAAACATGTCGTTGCCGTCCTCAGATGCGGAAGATCCACTCAGGAGAGTGTCGCCATCATCATGGCAATCTTCCTAGCCTGCCGTCTCTCCTTGTCTGCCGCTGTAGACACACAAGTCAGTCATGTGTTCGAGATGAAGTTTGCGGTCCACGCAGGAAGAGACAAAAGACACACCGATCACCGCGCAGACCTGACAAGCGCCATCCTACCTTTCCGGTCCTTTTCCACACGAACGACGTCTCTCTTAGGACTTCTGTCTCGTTCAACGTATTCGACGATCTCTCGGTCCGGTCGACGTTCTCTGTACTCAACCATCTCGTAGCCTGACTGCTGTGGTTGGGCTAAGATAATCTGGCCGTGGTGGTGCTGGGCTTCACGTTCGAGACGGAGAGCGCGGGCTTCAGCTTCTAGAGCGCGAACTTCGGCGTGGACATCACGACTGTGTTCGCGACGGCGCTCGGGTAGTACAATAGTCATGGGTTGCTGTTGAGGCGGGGCAGGTCGGGCGGGCTCGTGGATGTAGATGGGAGCAGGAGGTGGTGCAGGAGCTTGCTCCCTGATGTAGATAGGCGCTGGAGGAGGTGGCGGGGAGGANTCGCGGATGTAGATGGTTTGCGGTTGCGGCGGAGGAGCGGGCGATGGTTGACGGACTGTACGAGCTGGAGAGCTACGACGAGTACGAGCAGAGCGAGCTGGAGAGGGAGCGCGAACGCTGGGAGGGTTGATCCATTCAGTCTTGAGATGCTCGAAGTGTTCTTCAGGCGCAGCGGGGTCGTCGTAGCGGTACGTCTTGGTTTCTGCTCTTGTCAGTAACTACGAAGATGGGTTGGTGAAGACAGTCGACGTACTCGGCTCTTTGTACTGCTCACTGATGCGGATCACCTCGTCAATGTGATTTTTGTCCAGAGCTCTCTGCACGATGATGAAATCCTCNCTAATTCTTGTCAGCTCAGATTAGGTGATGGAGGGTTGACACAGTCTTACCTCCTCCTCGAAAGGATAGCCCAGGTTGATGATGGCTTCCTTACGCACCAGCCTTTTGGGCATGCGAGTCTTTCCCTTTTTACCGATCTTTGGTGGACTAGGGCTGCTGTGTCTGCTGTGTCGACTGACTTCGGTAAAACTGCTTTTGCTACTACTGCTGCTGCTAGAGCTGCGAGTGGTCCGCCCACTACGCTTGGTAGTCGAACTACGGGCATCGCTCCTTGCTCTGTCACGGTTTCCACGCCTACGGTGAACGCTCTTCTCTCGTATGATCTCCATATCGCGGTACGAGTCCTGAGGGGAGTAGTCTCGGCGTCTCACATCTTCGTATTCCTCCTCGTACCAGCCACCAGGGGGCCCACGTGAGGGAGAGCGACGACGGGGCAAGGGAATCGGAACGCCAGGAGGAATGCGGTACTCGTCTTGCTCGTATCGGCGAAGTGGTCGGCGGTCGAATGTGTCGAGACTGCTCTGTCTCCTCTGTAGGCCTGGTCTCGGTACATTTCTGGTCTCGCGGAACTCAAACTCGCGGTCGACGATTGACTTTCTTCTGTAGGGAGCGAGCTGGAGATCGGCAAGCTCGCGAGGGTCTCTATCACCAAAGAGCTCACGGTCTGAGCGACGAGGTCTGGCAGCGGGACCGTATGAGTCTTCGGCGAAGACGTCTCGTTCACGTCGTGGAGGCGGACCTCTGTCGATTCTCTCCTCTATGCGGATATCTTGGCGACCCGGACGGTCATGTTCGCTGAATCGAAAAGTCTCGCGTTCTTCGACAGGGGCAGGGGCTCTGCGTGAGTAGCGTTCGAAGCGGTCGCGGTCCCATCGTTGGGTCTGGGGTTCGTCTCCGTAGGCGAGGTCGCTGCTGGAATGGCGGCCGTACTGTGAGCGGGACATGACGAAGTGTGTCTCTGACCCTGACGGGTAGGATGTTTGGTAGAAACGGTTGTGACTTTGTGGGTAGCGCGGGGCGGCTGGGGTGTAAGCTTCGCAACCTCCAGGAGAGAGTTAGATCTCTTTCCTTTGATCTTGTCGTCCTGTTTCTTGTTTCTGATGTTCGGCTTCTTGTCGAGAAAACACTTGCAGAAGGGAAATGAACTGTGCAAACCAAGAAAGTACGCGACGAGGAAGGAGCGGTCCGAGCTGCACGTCGACGCCCAAAAACCAAGGCGCGGTCGCAGAACGTCATCCTCCCTGAATATCCAATGATTGAACAAGACCAACCTCCTTCAAGTCTCACAAGTATCCAATCGCTCCTATTCCTTGCCGCGACTTTATGCCTTGTTTCCTGGTCTGTGGAACTCGCCTCCTCTTCCCGTCAAGATGACTTGCACACTTGCATGTCGCACACCCGCTGCGAAGTTGTCCTACTCCTCATTGACCATCAGAGCTTTCAATCTGTTGAACATATTGTTTCGAGACTGGACAGACCAGCACGTACGGCCACAGTCAGCTGAAAACTGGGCATCCCGTCCGCTCTGCCATACATAAGCAGTTGAACGGCAGATCAGTACTACGGTCGGTGACGACGTGGGAATCCCTGCTGCTGTACGTTTTGCTCTCTTNNGCGAGGACTCGTGTTTTTGCTCCTGAGCGTATCTGGACAACACTCCTCTCCAACAAAGAGGGACATACGCAACATGTCAATTACATATTTAGCCGTAAAGCCAGCCGCTCTTCCCTGGCTATATCTTCCCCGCACACGCATTCATGTCGTTCTGCCACTATTTGCTCCGTGCCTCATCNNACTAGAGGCCATCTTAGCATCATGCAGCAGTCAATGTCACCTACCTGCGGGGTTGACGGCTCAAACGGCAGGTCGGAAAGTCAAGTACTATAAGTATAAGTAAAAGGTATATGAGGCCAAGTGGTCTCGCTCTCATCTCGGCCTGCTATCGTGTAGACCGCCACTACTGCTGCTATGCTCTCGAGGTCTCCCTTCATACTGACGGCATTGCTGCCATTCCTTGTCAGCTGCCAGACTCCTGTAGAGAACAACGCCCTAGGTACCCCAAACCTCGTCCATAATGGAAGCTTCACCAAAGGCACTCCTGGATGGTCGGTTCAACCATCTGGTTCTATTCGTAATGGCATGCTCTGCGTCGTTGTACCTGCCAACACTGCTGCCAATGCGAGCTATATCCAGACCACACAGAACTTCACCCAGGTCAAGAACGACATCTACTATTTGAACTTTACCGCTTCTGCTACTCATGCTACCAATCTTTGGATACAGACTAATGGCTATGATCCTTCTGCTGGTGGTGCTCCAGTCGACCCGAACTTGAACACAACCCAAGTGCCTTTGACAACATCTATTGAGCCTTTCTCATTCACTTTTTCGCCAGCCAATCAGGAAAACAATTCTACTTTGACATTTTTCCTTGGTGGAAGCAATTCTGCAAACGAGATTTGTCTCGGCGATGTTACCTTGCACCGCATCAACCGTCTGCCGTACTTTCAAGACACTGGAAGATCGATCAAGACAAATCAACATGGCTATCTGCCAAATGGCCCAAAGCGTGCTACCCTCGTCTCGCGGAGCAACTCGTCTTTGACGTGGCATCTCCAGGACAATAGTGGTGGATCGGTCGCATCTGGACAGACTATCCCATTCGGTAATGACACGGCATCTGGTCTTAACGTCCACACTATCGACTTTTCCAACTACACCACCAGAGGTGCTGGCTTCCGCCTGCAAGTTACTAGTAACGATACCAGCTATCCTATCGTCATATCGGATCAATTGTATTCGACACTCCGCCAGGACTCCATGCAGTTCTTCTACCAGCAACGTAGTGGAATCGCCATCGATGCCGAACTCGTTGGATTCCAGTATGCCCGACCAGCTGGTCATATAAATGTCTTCCCTAACCAGGTAAGCCGGAGTTATCACAGATGAGGATCCGAGCTGATTGAGTNNCAGGGCGATGTTGTGACACCTTGTCAGTATGAGTGGGAGTCGAACGTCACATACCTCGAACCATGGACATGCAACTACACACTTGATGCATCGCAGGGATGGTATGATGCTGGTGATCAAGGCAAGTACGTCGTCAATGGCGGAATCTCCACTGCTCAAATCTTGATGGCCTACGAGCGATCGTTGCACACGATGAACAGCACGTCCAAACCACTTGGCGACGGATCGCTGAGGATACCAGAACGTTCAAATGGTTACCCAGACTTTCTTGACGAAGCTCGTTGGGAAATGGAATTCATGCTTAGGATGCAGGTTCCTCAAAATTCACCACCACAGTTGTTCAATGGTTCATACATTGGTAAGTATTCATGCACCACAAATCTCACTCCATCACTAACAAGTGTCANNGATATGTCAGGGCTCGTTCACCATAAGTTGCACGACAATCAATGGACACAACTGCCAACGCCCCCAAATCTCGACCCAAAACGAAGAGAGCTACACCGTCCGTCCACAGCTGCAACACTCAACATGGTAGCTACAGCAGCAATGAGCGCAAGACTTTGGGCTTCATTCGATGCTGCCTTTGCCCAGCGATGCTTGAGTGCTGCTCGTATAGGTTATGCCGCCGCTAAAGCCAACCCTGAGATCTACGCTCCAGGTACCGACTGGGATCTCGGAGGTGGCGCATACAGCGATGATGATGTGAGAGACGAGTTCTACTGGGCAGCTGCCGAAATGTACATCACAACCTCCGAAGCCCAGTTCGAGAAGGACGTCATGTCCAACTACTACTACACAGCCAATACGTCGACTCTGTTCCCCGAGGGTGGCTTTGGATGGTCGTCTATGCAGTCTATTGCACAGATGGACCTTGCTGCTGTGCCAAACAACATCACTGGAAGAAACGCCATCATCGAGTCTGTAATGACAGGTGCCGATCAATATATGGCTGTCCAGAAAACGCAGCCCACAGATGTGTTCATAACCTCGTACCCTTGGGGTAGCAACAGCAACCAGCTGAACTGCATTCAAGTCGTCGCAACCGCCTACGACATCTCTCGCAACACATCCTACCGCATCTCCGCCCTGTCAGGCATGGATTACATCTTCGGTCGCAATGCTCTCTCCCAGTCATACGTTCACGACTATGGCACCAAGACCTCGAGCAATATGCATTCTCGACTTTATGCTGCCGAGCTTAGTCGTTTAATCATACAAGACCCGATTGTGCCGGCCCCGCCCAAGGGCGCGATGGCTGGTGGCGCGAACGAGAGTCCTGCTGATCCGCCTGCTGATGATGTGTTGACGGGTTGTGTAGGACAATTGTGCTACGTGGATGATGTGAATAGTTATAGTACAAACGAGGTAGCCGTAAATTGGGGGAGTGCTTTGGCTTGGGTCGCCAGCTGGGCGGCTGATCAGTAGGCTAAAAGCTCTTCGACTTTGTTCACTCAATCTAGATCGACTCTGTACCATGTCTCCAAACCGAGTGCGAAAGAGGCGTTGAAGAATGAAACAGGTATCCGCTTCTCAAGTGATAGGTCTAACGGTGGAAGATGTCGTATGGCTGAGGGGATGATGGCAATGAGATGGTGACTGTTGGCAACTAAAGTCACCTTTATCCTTGAAGGAGGGGGTTCCAAGTGCCTGCCTTATCATCCCTATCGCCCCTGGATTAGCGTATATCATAGGCTCATAGATAGCTACAATAACAGGTAATAGAAATCATATACTTCTTCTTCTTCGCGCCTCAAAAACGAGAAGTCAGACAAGTATGTCTTCCACAAGGGATGGTTGAGACAAAGTCAAGAAGACAGGGTCACAGAGGTCCGAGCTCAGCAGCAGCAAACAAGGAGAGCAGAGGTCGGAAATAATTGTCCATCACATCTCACACCACACACAAGATGCAGTCAATCACAGCAAGGAGTCGACCAGTCCTAAGGAGTGCCCAGCTCTGCTTTCGCTACCGCTATGCGACCGACGCACCCTCATCGGCACCGCCGCTCCTCCTCAAGCTCCGCTCCGACTTAAAGACAGCCATGAAGGCAAAAGACACCAACCGCCTCAACGTGCTGCGCGGTCTGCTGGCCGAAGTCACCAATGCCGCAAAGACAGCCCAGCCCCTCGACTCGGACATGAAGCTCCTGGGCCTGTTGCGCAAGCGTTCGTCTGCGGCCGCGCAAGCAGCCAAGGAATTTTCCAACGCTGGGAGAGAAGACTTGACCGAGAAGGAAAACGCAGCCATCAAGGTGTTGGAAGAGTATGCTGGCAATGTAGAGACTGTCGGCGAGGACTACATCAAGGAGGTTGTGCAGAGCACCATCGACAGCATTAAGGCCGAGGCCCAGGGTACAAAGGTCGTCATGGGCGATGTGCTCAAGAAGTTGTTGGCCCCTGGTGGCGCTTTCGAGGGCAAGCCTGTCGAGAAGTCACAGGTCGCAAAGGCTGTCAGACAATTCTTGGACGCAAAGTGATTGCGTTGCTTGTCCAACGCAGCCCATCATCGGTATGTCTACACATCTCGACACTGTCCATGCTGATTTTGAAGCTTATCCTTCTCTTTCCAGCTCGCCAACATCCAGCTGAGCCACGTAGGAAAGAACGACCCCAAGTCTTTAAACCCGGATATGTACAGATACCTACCCCAATTGTAAAAATAGTTTCCACGCACCTGTCTCGCATGCCGCCTTCCTGACCGCGGAGGAAGAAGGAATTCGTCTGTCCCGCTTTTTGTTTCGTTTTGTCAACACGCCTCTGATCCAACCATCAAGATTGGTTTCTGCAACCCTGGCCCACTCCTCAAGCACACAGTGTGACAAGATACCTGTTCGTCTCAGCTGCTACATCGACAATGTTCCTGATCCTGCAAGAGACGGCATACCACCCAACCTCGACGGGTGTTCAGTCCTGGTCACTGCCTTTGACCAGCTCCATGGTTCTCACGTCCATGAGTCCGGAGCCAATGATCTCCACCCTCTTACTTAATACATATGTGCTATGACGAGCTCCCTCGAGCTGTCTTTTGGTACTCCGCTTTTTGCGCATTGGAGCTCCAATCGAGGATTAGCTTTGTGAGCTCGAGAAACACCCAATTGACGAATCGAATGATTTTCCGAAGAGAAGTGTTCACCGATGAGCAAGACGGCACACCAGGAACACAACGGCTCGCCGTGAACACCTTCCGCGGGCCGGTTGTGGTTGCGTTCGACGACCTTTCTTTTGAATTGCATCCATGGCTTTCTATGAGGTCAGTCGTTCTCAAATGTACGCGGAGCTTTTCCCTGTACTGACATACCTCAAGGTTGTACCAGTAGAGTCAATGGAGGACCTGATCCAATCACGACTGCTAAGAAGTCCACTCAACACCATTGACTTTGACAAAAGCCTTCCACATCATCGATACTTCTTATGGACCTGCAGCAGCCCGTCAAAAGTCACTCAGATCTCAGGTCCTCGATGCTCGTCTACACGTATCCCCGGTCCGCATCCTTCAGCCCCAGATTTCTAAGAGCTTTCCCCACGTTTTCTCGTACCTATTTTGGTGGTTCCGAACATCCGATCCGCGGACATGCTCCCCGTGCCTGGACAAGCGTCAGGTACGCTTATGGCCCAAGCATGACGATCACCGTCAAGGCTGCAACCTCAAGCAACTCGTCATCTGTCTTGTCGTTTGTTGGGCCAATCGTTTTTGAGTACCTGAAGATCCCCAATACAGCACCAGTATTCCCGTTCATGCGGTCTCAATTGACAGCCTGTACAAGCGTCAGTGTGAAGAGCTGGGAAAAAAGACCAAATGGAGGGCTTGCATATGAATGTGGGCCTTTGAGGTCACTCAGTACTTGCGATGTGGAAAGCATATCCTCCACTATACCTGCCTCGATTGAGCTTCGCATGAGCATATTCAGCTTTCATCCTTTTGGCTACCCTAATTGGCCAGGACCCTCCCGCCCTTCGAACGAAGCTTTCCCCCAGATCTCTCTACTGGACCAAGCTACCATGCTTGATGCATGCTTGGTGTCATTGGCCAAACCGAATGTCTCGTCTGCCAAAGTCACACACTTGCTAAGTGCTGATCGTAGATGACAAAAATACGACCGCCGAGCAGAAGCTGCTTGCTTCTGCCAAGAAGACTCTCTAGCTTTGGATATAAGAAGCCTGCTCTTCCTCGTCTCCGTCGGTTCTTCTTCAACTACAATCACCACTTCTCTCGTTAAACATGAAGAACGTATACACAACATTGGGCTTTGCCTTCGGCGCCTCTGCCGCTACCCTCACTGCTCGCGACCAATGCTGCTTCTCTCTGACCGCTGCTGGTGGTAAGAGCGGCGCTGTGGGCGAGCTCTCAGATGGTCAGACTAGGATCGGTCAGACTGCTGGACTTGATATTGGAAACGCAAACTTCTGCCTCAGCAACGGTGGTATCACCGACGGCAATGGCCGAGGATGTATCCTGACCCCACCTACGACCCAGTTCCAATGCGATGTTGGCGCCGCACCTACTACTGGTTTCGCAATCAGCTCGAGCGGTGACTTGACCTACAATGGCAACACCCAATTCTACGCCTGCGCTACTGGAGACAACGGCGGTTACAACATCTACACCACCACTTCCAGCGCCCAGACTGGATGTGTCAAGATCACTCTTAACACTGGTGGCAAGTGCGCTGGTTCTAACGGATCAGGAAGTTCTTCAGCTCCTGCGTCCTCTCCCGCTTCTTCTAAGCCGGCATCGTCGGTTCCTGCTTCGGCCCCCAGTGTTCCAGCATCGAAGCCCGCCTCGTCAGCTCCTAGCGCTCCTGTCTCGGCCCCTAGTGCTCCCGCTTCGGCTCCCAGTGTTCCAGCATCGAAGCCTGCCTCGTCAGCTCCTAGTGCTCCCGCTTCGGCCCCCAGTGTTCCAGCATCGAAGCCCGCCTCGTCAGCTCCTAGCGCTCCTGTCTCGGCCCCTAGTGCTCCCGCTTCGGCTCCCAGTGTTCCCGCTTCGAAGCCTGTTTCACCCCCTGCCGGAAACACCGTGACTGTCTACCAGCCCACCACCGTCTATGTTACCAACTGTGCTGCTGCCTGTACACCTGTCGGTCCCGCTTCTCAGCCCGCTGGATCCAAGCCTGCATCGGCCCCCAACGCACCCGCATCAGCCTCCAGCGTACCCGCATCAGCTCCTAGCGCACCTGCTCCGTCTGCTCCCAGTGCTCCCGCATCAGCTCCTAGCGCACCTGCTTCGTCTGCTCCCAGTGCTCCCGCTTCGGTCCCTAGCGCTCCTGCCTCGCAATCCGCCGGCTCGAAGTCCGCCCCTGCTCCCAGCGGCACTCAGACCGGTGGCAACGGAGGCAACGGTGGCGCATGCCAGACCACCCTTACCGGTGCTTACCAGACTCCCCATGCCATCATTCCTGTCAACAAGGACCAGCCCAGCACCTCGTACGGCACTCAATACTTTGCCTACCTGAGCTCTTCCAACAGCACCGTCTTCAACTTCGACGTCCCCGCTTCGTACTCTGGCAAGCAGTGCAGCGTCATCTTCCTCCTCCCCAACAAGAACGATCTCCAGACCTCTGACTTCACCATGACTGGCTCCGGCGGTATCAAGTTTGACCAGCTCACCTCTCCTGCCCCTTTGAGTGTCAGCTATGCATCCTGCCCTGCCGTCAAGTCGAACCTGAACACAATTGACGATGTTACCCCTGGAAACAGCTACGTGGTTTCTTCAGGCGCTTGCGCTGCTGGTCAGACTGTTTCCATCCTTGCCAGCTCCACCGGTGGTCTTGACCTTTCCGTAAGTTTTTCTCACGTTCTCATACATGTTTTGACACTAATTAATGGTCGGAAATAGCTTTTCCAGGACTGGAACCCCTCAGCTATCGGTCTTTTCATGACCTCTTGCTGAACGTATGAATTTTGGAAAGATCCAAAAGTCCGAAAATGAACGACGCAAAAAGACATTTTACGAAATTTCAACACAACAACCTCCTGGTGAGGAACGACGACTTAAAAACGACCCGAGCAAAATAGTACAGTACATAACTGTCGCTCCTCACCTTGCCTTTCATTTATGACATTTCCTATTTTCTCCTTTTTTTTTTTATATATATTTGATTCGTACCAGGCGACTGGTTTTTACACTCCTTATCTACGATATATAGCTCAAAGTTCTTGTAAATTGTAATTACAGAAATAAAACTGCTGTTTCTATTGATATTTTCACGACCTGAGGTGCCTTTGCATGTGGTAGATCGTAGAGAATGTGGTCAACTCATAGTGCCTGCCCCCTTTCCGCTCGACGCTCTCCTTGTACCGCTTGAGTTTGTGGTAATGCATAATACTCTTTGATTTCAAAGCGATGCCCAAGGAGGGATATCATTCTAGAGTTCTCTCTATGGTCTCTTATCTGATTCGATAAGCAATCGTGTATTTCTATGGTGTATTATAGCACTGATTGTCAGTTTAGCAGAGAGGTTGGGACTGTTCTTGAGCACAGAGAAATCCAGAGTTGACCACATATTGTTCTCTCGAAGAACTCATGAGCTGGATCTCTTATGATCTACTCTATTTTGTTCCTCAATGGAAGATTGGATGGGCAAGATCGACACTAGAGGTTGTTGCTGCCTTTTCTGACCCCGGCCTTTTAAACTTTTTGTCTTGTAGAATTCTTCCCACCACCAGAATTGTCGCCCAAAACTCGTCTTTTGTTGTCTAGATAGAATTAGCCACGAGTTGTTGATTGATTCGTTTACATATCCTTGCTTTCCAAGGCAATCAAGGGGCTACTTGGTGGCAGAAAATGGCGATGTAGTTTTTAGCATATTTTTATGAGATGTAAGGACACACAACAATGATCAAAAATTCGATGTTTGATTCAAGAAGTATGGAAGTTTATCTTGCATAAAATATTCTGTTTTGAAAAGCGCAAAAGGGAAAAAGAGTACAGGAGTTTGCACTTGTAGGCTAGAAAGCAGAGCGAAAAACTGATGATCAAGCAAGGAAAAGAGGCAATGGGTGGTCGTGAGATGTTGAGCTGGTGGGCAGGGGCCTGAGAAGAGCTAGATGATATAATGGTGTTCCCAGCTTGTGTAATTCTTGGATTGCTTAGAAGAAAGACCCGAGTTTTGACTTGAGGATGGACATGGAGATGTTTGCTGGAGACTTCCATGGGTACGCCTGCAGAAAGGATGTCTCACCGACCAAGTGGTCAGGTTCGGTTTATCATCCGCGAGATTCAACCTAAAATCGCGTTGGAGGCTGAAGAGAATTGCTTCTCATAATTCAGATCGTTCATCAAGCGGCTAACGGTTTCCACCGAAACATGTGTGATTTCCACGTCACTTACAGCATCGGCTGGCAGAAGACTGAAGAGGCGATACTTAGCACGGCTAAGCATGAGACGTTCGAGCTGTGCTAGAAGGTTTGTCATGTGATCTAGCAGCTGACTGCGAGCTCTGCTCAGCCGATCGAATTGAGCGAGCTAGCAGGTCATGTCAGGCTATGCTATTCGAGAATGAGATACATCACTTACACATTTCTCTTTGACCTCCTCGGGTCTGTTCTCGTGACCAGCCAGTGGATTGGAGCTGGAGTTGGGTCCACCAGGATCGTTCCCAGAAGTGAGCGGCATTACGTGATCGTCGGCTGTGGTTTTGTTATCATGAGAGTCGGCTCCGACGACCTGATCGTTTGCAATGACGGCAGCGGCGACGTTCTCATCTTGTGAGTCAAGTGTGGTAGGCATGTTGATGGCGGTTTGGTAATTTTGAATAGGTCGTTTGTGTTCGTATGATGAGGAAGAGCAATTGTGGAAGCAATTGTTGTTGGAATGGAAGGTCAAGACAGAGCGGGAAAGCTTTAATTGATGGGCAGACTGGAGATAGGGAAGGGAGTGACGGTGAAACGTGTTGGGATGAGTGAGTGAGTACAGGAAGCTGCGACTGAGCTCATCAACAAGTAATGACGGCTTGAATTTCTAGACTAAGAGGAATGCACAGTGATGGAAAAGCAGAGATTTCAATTTCAAGCGTGAGTAAGTAAGTAAGTAAGTAAAGCAATGAAGAAGAAGGCAATAGCAGAGGAAACCTTGTATGAGGCCCGGGCCTTTCTCTGAGTCTCGAGCGTATTGTTTGTTCCTACCAATACGACCTGACTTGTGCGAGAACCACGTTCTTCAGATGCCTGACCTGCTCGAGACCCTTGTCCAGCTCGAGCAAGCAATTGGTTTCTCTCGTAGTCAAAGCCGGCTCCAAGTCGACCCTCCTGAATTTTCTGTAGATCTCTTCCGCCAGTTGCTCGAGTACTTCCAGCTTGCCGAAGAGTACCTTCGTGTCCGATATCGTAGAAGTGAATTCCTTTCTAACGGTTTCTGAGAACGCAAGACCAGTTCGAGCCCAAACTATTCGGACTGGACCATCGGTATCACGAACGACTGATCTTGACGCCCCAGGCGGTGGTAGAAATTCCTCAGCGATACGTGAAAGGATGCTGCCGCTGTATGCGTACGCGTCCAAGTGTCGTATGATTGGCTGTAAACTCATACCCGTATCCTGATATTCAGACCTGAAAAGCAGTATCTCACGGCGAAGCTTAGTTCTGAGAGACCTCTGATCGATGGTCTGTTGACGCTCGACCATCTTGTTCGTGATGTTGGTGGAGTTTCTATCAGACGATATCTAGCACATGTCAACATTGCAGATTAAGAGTTCTTCTTTCTTGGCAAAACGCACTCTTTGTGATGATGTGGGCGTGTTGGGCACTTCGTTGATACCGTTGCTGTTATGTTTCTGATCTTGAGCGGGATTCGACAAGGAATCGCGCGAGACAGTCGCCATGTTGATAAAGAACGTGATGATGAAGCTGCAGAACGACTCAAGATCGAGGGTTGAGGTTGACGTGGATGTGGATGTAGATGTGGTGCCAGAGAGTCACTGGAGTGGATGGAAGGTTGAATAGAGTCAAGAAGGAATTCAGAAGCGGAAGCCGGGAATTCAAGTAAAAGAGAATCAAATTGTGAGAATTGATGTGATGAAAACTCGCGCCTCGCTCACGGAGCGGGGATTTGCGACAATCACTCTGAATAGATGATTGTCAATCTCGAGGACAAGAAAGCCGAAAGTTCCTCATGGAGTTCTTTGATCACGAAATCGAGATTGTTCTGAGATCGCATCAGCTTGTCGCGGCGTGCGATGTGTTGGAATTCTTCGACGGGATAATGAAGGACACGAAGTTTGTCAAGCAAGACTTCATTTTCTTCAGCAAGACGTTCAAGCTGGTCGAAGGTAGTCCTGATACGTGTGACGCGAGAACCAAAGAATTCTTTCTGTTGATGCTTCTGCCTCGAAAGGTGGCTGCGAAAATCGCGAAAAGTGAAGCTCGAGACTTCCAGAATCTCTTGAGTAGCAAGTATCGCGCTTGAAACGTTGAAATCAATGCGATAGAGATGGTCGTAGAAGTCTCTTGCGCGGCGCAGCTCGTACTTGAGCTCACCATATTCGAGTGACCGTTTCTGGAAGGTTTCTTTCAGGCTCTTAGACTGCTCGACCATCAAACGAAATGCTGGATCGAAGTCGTTCTCATCTTCGGGCTCCTATGAGAGGGCCACTCGGTCAGTCGGGCTCAGGAACGAAGCAAAACGACTTACCTCGACAAATGGTTCAGGNGAAGGGGTTCGTAGAGTAGTATCAAGGGCGGCGACATAACAGACGGTGCCAGCAGACCTTATTGACACATTGTCAGCGTGATAGGATTCATCAGCCATGATGGTAATCGATTGAGAAACAAGACCAAAAGAGGTGTGCATTTGAATGGACAAGATGGAACGGGAAAGAGAAGTCCCAAGGGCGCAGCCACATGTGCCGAGGAAAGAACGACCGCCTCAGCTGGGAAGTATCAAGCTAGTCTACCACATTCACACATGAGTCAAGAAGATCAACGACCTTTGTCGTTGGAGCCTTCATTGAGTATCATGGATACATTGAGATGACTCCGCACATGCGGCAGAAGATGTTTGACCATATTTCTCTCTCCTTTCGTCGACGATATCATGCCGTTCCAGTCTCCTTCCGTATCTGGCCCATGTGTACAATACGCCAAGAAACCGGTTCAACATGTGGCTATGTGAGTTCCGACCCCTGATGGTATCTGCGGTTAGACTGGAAACCAAAAGACGGTCAGATAGTCATTGAATCCGTGGCGAGTCTTCTCAGCCGCCTCAAGAATGCTAGCAGTAGGCCACAAAGTATCATTGAAGGGACAGATAACGGATTGATATAGGAAAACAAAGAGCTCCTCCAGTCATGAGAGTGTGTATAGCAGTATTACATTGTTTGAGCTTGTGTTGTCTAGCCGGCATCATGATCCATGGGCCAGATATTGCAAACGAACTCGATCTCAACGACCAATATATGTTTCATCTGCAGAACATGCAGTCATCTCCAATAAAAGACAAGCTCCAGAGAGCGCCTGCATAGTTTGCGAGTTCTCGCCACAAGAGGAAGTGGTGGACTATGGGAGATCTGGAAGGAGGTCATACCGGCGAGCCAGGATCAAATGTATCAGCCTCCTTGAGAGATTCTTACAAATTATCATCAAGAATGCAAGGATACGTGACGTCAAAGAGAGAAAGAAGTCAATGGCATCAATCAGCGAGATGGATTGGAATACTACCGTCTCGGAAGTGTTGATGGAAGGAGGGTGGTGCATCATCTTGGCATGCTGAGTCATCAAGCATATCAACCTCACCTGCCAACTTGACGTTTGTCTTCCGCCCCTTCTCTTTTTCCATCTTGTTAAAACAAAGGCCCTGTGATGGATTAACCCATCCAATCTACTGGCCATGGATTCCGTTCCTTCCTGGTTGCTTCCAACACCTTCATGAGAGAAAGACTTTCCTACCAGCCCTTCTTCATGTGGTGGGTGTGAATAGTACGAAGGCAACCCATCATCGTTCTCTCTAAGCTCAGTATAGCGCTCTTGACCTGATTGAAGCTCAGCTCGACAATTTTTGGCTCCAGCTGCTTCAATCCATTGTTCCAGATCTTCGACCACTCCTCATTCTGCTTCTTCAAACGCTCGAGACCGTCAATGGTGGTTCTGCCAACCCTATCGAAGGTCATGTGAAGGTCGTTACCGAGCTGAAGACGAGGGCGGATGACTTCGAAGAGCATGGCTGGGGTTGCATCGAGCAGCTTGTTAGGACTGGTGGCAGGTGGCTCGCGCACGTTGGAGATCTTGTAGATGAGGTGAGGAAGCATTGCGTCGTGGGTGTTGATGCTTTGCTGAGTAATCTTGCGGATGATCTGGTTGAAAGCTGCAAGGGAGTCTGGGCTGGGTCTGTTGGCAAGGCTTGCGAAGTGGCGATAGCCGGCACCCTGGAGGATGTCCTGGTTGATGACATGTGAGAATATTATCATCATCTGAGTGTCTATATTGCTCACTTCATTGTTACCACCGATGAAAAACGTGGCAAGCTCGACGGCACGGGAATCTTTAGGCTGGNNGGTCTATGGGTCTCCTGTGAAGCAGCATCAGTAACCCCAGTAGGAAGACGCAGTGCCCAGAGATCTCCTTACCATGAACTTGCGAAGCTCTTCCAAAACTTCATCATATATGGCGATAGCTTCTCCGATGGGCTCGATAACAAGATCATCCGCACTTGTGTCAATGTTCCTAGTCATGGCGATCTGAGTTGGTGGGTGCGCTGTGGAACGAACAGGGGTTGAGTTCATGGATTAAAAGGATAAGTTTGGCAAGGTGCGTTGCCAAACAAATCCTCCTCCAAACAATGATCGATGGGACGCGTTGTAGAGTTGGACCAGTGACGGAGTAAACTTGTTTGTCAACACTTCCGGAACCTTCCAATGTGCCGGAGTAGGCATCAAAGCGCACAACGATCTCTGGAAGCAGGGTACACTCCATTGAGAGGTAACATATGCTAGACTCTCTCTGGTCACTGCTCGGACTTGGAAACTTTTGTGACTTTGTACAGTTCAGGAGTTGTCGCGTCAGGCTATGTGAAATGCTGCAAAGTCAAAAAGGTTTTTGCACAGAAGAAGCAGAAAACTTGCAAATATCAATCTAGGTCTGGAAGGCATCTCTGAAAACACTTCTGTATTGACCCACGGTACACATTGATTCGTGGTAAGCATGAGAGATAAAGTTTCGAGTGTGGTGTTTGACAAACTTTGAAAGTGTGGATATGATTCATTGTCTAGATTGAAATGTCTCCCTTCCAGCTGAGGATTGTATAATGTAGCTGTAGAAATGCACAACGATATCCTGATCCAGATGTTTTATCACAGAGGTTCCTGAGGGAATAGTTCTAAATACGCCACTCCCTCCTGGAAAGGTTCGTGCATTCCCACAGCTTACATCATACTGTGTGCGATGGCTCGATCGTGAAGTCATAACTGTTGGTACACGAGGAGTCGATGTTAGTTAAGAGGTCCCCTTCAACCACCAGCACAAGGCCAGTAAGATCAATGGGGAGCGAGGAGCGCGATGCTCACTCAACCCACGCCGAGGAGCTCAATGCTCAGCTCAAGCCGCCGAAGAGCGCAATGCTCAATCCAGTGCTCCCGAGGAGTGCAATGGTCATCCAAGCAACTGAGAAGCGCAATGCTCAACTCAATGTGCGAGGAGCGCAATGCTCACTCAAGCCAAATCAACCCACAGGTGTATGATCTATTCACGACCTCCTGCCGTGTAGACATCAACGTCTGGTTCTTCGTCTGCGTCGAAATCATGGAAACAATGCTCATACTCTGAGCCATCGGAATGATTGTCCATCTCTTCATCCGCGTCGAAGTCGTGAATGGAAGCTCCTCTGTGGATTGTACATAAAGGGTCTTAGAGATTTGATTGCTGTCACCATCACGGGTCCGTACCAAGAGATACGGTTGCCAGGGCTCGCTGAAGACAACCTGAGCGCGGTTGCCAACACCGTCCATACGTTGGAGTGCGTCGTCGCACATCTTCTTAGTCGCACCACTAACGAAGTCAGTAAAGTGCATCACAGAATTCCCCTTGGCATGCCGGGATCAAAGCGATCGATCATTGGAGAGGCAAGAAACATGATGCACTTACGCTTTCTCGCGCGTGATACTCGAGACACCACCGACCGTACGCCTCAGGGCAGGCTTGCTCCAACCGATGTTCATTTGGTACAACCATGCACGTATGGTTGTTCCGTCACACTGAATGAGCGGAGGAAACTCCTTCTGCGCGAGGAGGCAGTTGGCAATCTTGTCGATGCTGGCCCCGATTCTGGTTCGTGGTGTATCTGAGACGTTTTTCTTTTGCCTCTGGCTTTCGAGCACGGCACGCTGAAGCGTGACGTTCTACTGAGATTCCCGGTATCTTTCTATCACTGGAAAGTTGTGAATCTGCTTAATTGAGAATCTGGTATGCATCCACTCGGACCACCGCTTGGCTTCTGTACTAACGTAGCTTGATACATTTAGAACTCGATTATGAAGATTGATTCATGCCTAGCATACTTGAGAGCCTTGTCAATACCACATTCGGCAAGAAATATCAACAACATGAAAAACTGTCAATCGTGCCATGGTCAACGAGGCTTACTCTCTTGGAGCATATTGAGCTTAGAGTAGACAGAATGTGCAAAACCAGAAGCAAAGGGTGATGGATCGAGTGGGATGTATTTACTGTCTAGGTATGACTTTTCGTGTGCCAATCCATCCATCCATTCCATGGAGATTCTGGTGCTTGTTCAACTCTGTAAAAGCTAGGGGCTGATATAATTGCCCGGGTCTTGCTGCAGTATCTTCTCTCGTTCTCTCAAACTTGACCATGGTTGAGTAGATTCAACATGATCCAGCTGTTCTTGCGAACTCCCTTCACCTTTGAGGCAGCATATCGCGCTGCGACTGCCATCACAACGCCTTCCAGTGTCTCGTCGGCCGATTCCAGGATTTTGGAGCAGGTTTCTTCGATCTCTTCCAGCACTTTGCGCTCAGCGCGGTAGATGCCAATCATGCTGTAATAAGCATCTCTAGCTTTCTTTTCACAGTCGACCATCATTCTGATATGAGACATGTCAACATCAGTAGCGGAGTCGAGATTCGTTATCGTTGGGTCTTGCATGTGAGTTGCGGCTCGGTGGTTCTTTGCGTCGATAGTGGCAATTTCATAGGTCGACCACAGGGCAGATAGCCTACCCTGTCTAGCGTATATCTGCTCGTAACGCTTGTTCATAAGGCTCTGCAGGTGAGCGAACGAGTTCTTCAGATCGCAAATGACCCTGGTCTGACAGGACAAAAAAGTCAGGAAATCTGATGCGCTCTTCAGAGATGTGAGCTTACCTGTTCTGATTCACTTGTTCCACCGCCGGTTTGGAGAGAAGGGGATGCCATGGAGATGTTGGTTCGATGACTTTGATCTTGGAGGCTGGGTTTCATGTCGGCTATGCGCAGAAAACTTCAGGAATCTAGGGTAGCTGTGAGATCAAAGAAGGGCGTCTGCAGAAGAGAGAGCTGCAGGATGTTGAAGACAAACTGGATGTATGGACGAACATATCTCTAGTCCTTGAGTCTGATAAGCTGCGTGTTGTCAAGAGACTGTGATAGGTTCATTACCTCAGTGGCAGGGGTTTGTATTCATGGAGTGGAAGAGTTAAGCCTCTGGACGAGGGTGATATAGGGCGAAGAGGTATGAAAGAAGTTATCCGAAAAACAAGCGACCAGGCAAGCCGGAGAGGGAGGATCTCAATATGAGCCCTGAAGCAAACTATCCTCGTGTTGATTCGGGTGCTTCGAACCAACAATGTCTGATGCTTAGGAAGAGTAAGTGAGATGGAGAGCTTTGAAGTCAGATGATCCTGTTTCGATGATGGGTTACTAGGTACCAACCAGCCCCCAAACAGCCGTCTGGCTCACCCCACGGCAAAGAGAGATGGCCGTCAAACGACTTGCGACAAACAAGGCTGGCACCAAGAACTCGCAAATCAAGAAATACCAGATCATCGAGGCACTGGACCCCAGAAAAGACCCTCAGGGCTAGTTCGTCTTCTGGCTGATATTCTTCAATGAGTTTGTCAATGGTGGCTTTGGAGTCTTCTTCGCTATCAACCTCAATGTATTGGGGTATAGTAACCTGAACTCATCGCTTCTGGGTTTGGCAATTAGTGCTTCTCAGGTCTTCTGGATGGTCGGCGCCGCCTCATTCACACTCAAGTACAATTACATGGCTCTAGTGGCCTGAATTCCAGCTTTCATTGGATTTTTGCTGCAGACTGTGCTACCCGATGGTACCCATGTAGTGGCCAAGACGATAGGTATATGTCTGTCACTAGGATACTGCGGTACATGTGCTTTGTCCTTCTAGCTGGCAGGACAAAATGCTGGAGGATTTACGAAAAGGACAACGCTGACCAGTCTGGCTTTCCTCGGATACTCTTTGGGCAATATCATCAGCCCGCATGTAATTTATGATGGACAGACGCCTGGATTCCTCACAGGATATATCATTGATCTCTGCTGCTTTGCCATTCGAGCAGTATTACTTCTGATCCTACTCTGATGGTACAAGCGGGAGGTGAGAACATCTAAAACAGTTCAGATGATCATTCAGATTAACAAAATATCGACAGAACCGGAAACGAGACCAACTTTACGGTGCTCCCAGAGTCGAAGCCGGCGATGATGCAACCGATCTTACGGACCGGGAGAACATGCAATTTAGAAGTAAGTCAGGCATTATCAAACACTCACGTGCTTATAATGCTAATATCACAGACACGTATTGATATAAGGTACTATGGTTCCCTGATGTAACAATGCAGCAACTTCTGTTACCAACATGTAGCATCTGTGATTGCACTATACCTCTTTATGTAGAGTACATGGTAAAGAGCAAAGACAAAGGGCATCTCGTGGGCAAGTTCAGTTTGAGTTATCTCTATCGTGCATCTCAATAGCTTCTGGTATCATGTTTCTGCCATTTGAAAGAGTCTTTTGGCGAACTATGTTCATGCAAGACGGTGCATTGCAACTTCTTCGTGTATATTTATAGGAAGACACACTGAAGATGTATCGTCATTCTTTGTCTAGGGTACAGTAGATTTGGTCTCTTCCAGCGTCCGAGAACCAAAATACATAATGTAGAGTCCATCGATGCCTTCCTCTTTTTCGCATGTCCCTGAGGAGTTTTTGGTTTGCTGGTCTGAAAATTGTGTGTAGCCAGCTTGTCTCAGGAATTCAACAGCAGAGGGACAAGATAGCCTTCAAGGGAAGACTGCTAATCTCAGGATCTGAACCAGATCGAGCACTGCCTGAAATTTTCTGACCATTCCGCATCCCAAGTCTCTGATGTAGCTGCGGTCTGTAGCGGTCGCATTCTTCACCCTCCCCCATTTCTGTTCGTTCTCTTTTTGCATAATGAAGTGTTCTTCGCGGAAGGCCATCAGTTCCTCCACGAAGTCGTAGTATTGATTCAACTTCTTTTGCATCTCGTACAGCTCCCACATTTCTTGTCCAGTCTTTCAATCGTGCTTAAGAGCCTGGTTGAGTGATTGAATCTGTTCGTCGTTGAGTTGGTTGAGATCGTTGGTTGCAGGAACTTTCTTCAGCTTGCTGGCATAGAGGAACCAGTGAGACATGATGGAAGCGATCAGGGGGCCTCTGTTCGAAGCGGGCATTCTGGCTTTGGCAAGCATCTTCTGATGATCATCGTGCGTTTTATGGTAATTTTCGACAAGAGCTGCCATCTCATTGCGAGTCTTGTTCTACCCTTTATCAGCATGGTAAGCATATCGAGACTCGAGCATCGAACCTCAGGATTCTTGAAGTGAGCACGACAAGTCTTCTCTAGATCCATATCGCCTTCTTTGTTGTAATTTATCTGTGCTGTATCGATGTTTCCAGTAGCAGTGTCGTCTGCACAGGCCGGGGCTCAGGTTGAGGCTTTAGAGGGCTGCTGGGGCTCAGGTGTGGAAGGGAAATAGTGGGGAGATAACCGAGATGTCACTTGAGTACGTTGTTAGTGTTGATGTTGGTGGGACGGAGTGAGATGAGGCCTGAAGAGTAAATCTAGATGAGAAACAAGAAGCTTGATTTTAACCTTGCGAAGGCATCTGAACGGAGAGTGAGTTTGCCGCCGAGCGTATTTAGTAGTCTATTCTGTTGTTGTGGCTGATAACTTGGGAGTATGGTGAGCGAATAGAACAAACATGTGTCGAGCAAGTGAAGAAAGATTGTGAGTGATCATCTCTTGAGTCAGTATTTTAAGATGGATGATGTTGAAATTGCAAGTCTGATGGATGAGACAAATGATGCGAGATCTAGATTCGCCGTCGTTTATGGGGAAGATGTAAGAAAGAGGCCGACCTCTAGTCACCAGATCTGCATGTTGCTGACGTGTCGTAAACATGCAACAACTCGGAAGGTGCGAACAGCAAGAAAATCAACCCCCAAGATCAAGGAGCAAATTTCGCCAACTCCCGATATAAGGGCTCAGCCAGGAACAGCGATTATGCATGATTTCTTGTCCTTTTGGACGTTGATCACTGAAAACAGTCAGTAGGCAGTATCTCGTCGGACGATAGTCACATAAACAAACCATTGTGTACTTCCAAAGCTGTCTCGAAGGGCAGCCGCGACCAGTGCTTCAGGAAAGCTCATCCAACCACTCAAGCCAGCCCTCTCTCATGCCGATCCGAGATTCCTCCATGTTTGCGATTCTGCCTCTCGTTTCCTCCATCTCATCGTAGAACCCGTCAGGGGCGGCACCAGTCTCGATTGCACTGGCCAACAGCTGTTTGATCTCGACCTCAATCTCCTTCATCTCTCCAAGCAAGTTGAAGTATCTCTTCTGTGCAACGAAGAAGGCTCCGAGCGACTTGACTCTTTTGATGTCGAATTCCAACACCTTGGTAGCCAGGACAATCTTCTCGTTGTTGAAATGGTTGATACTGCCGTCGGGACGACCAATGATACGAGAGTTGCCGGTGCCGAAGACGAACTTGTACTGCACTATCTGAAGATGGTGGTCGTTGCATTCGAAAAGGTGTTGATTGACTTCCTCATAGATTCTGGTGAGATTCTCGTGGTTGAAATTGTTCTTGGTCTTGAGATGATTGACTTGCTGGATGATGACTTCGTGACAGTTGTCTTTGGGGACAGTCGAGGCGGAGTCGGTAGCATCTTGAATCACGATAGCTTCGACGTTGGAGGGCTTTTGGTCGGAGAGTGCTGCGTTGTCTCCAGAGACAGTCAAAATGGCAAGATCTATGGCTCCTTCAGCTCCGGTGGCTGGAGCATGAAGAGGACTGCTCTCGACTGACGTATCGGGCATCATGATGGTCGACGATTCAGAAGATCTGTGGATACGGTGTGGAAGTATGTCTAAGGAAAGGGAGAACATTAATTTGAGGGGTTGGTCTTGGGTGATAAACAAGGGTGAAAGTGTGCGAGCGGTGAAGATTTAATAACTGAATAGAACAATCGGCTCAACAATGAACCTTCCGACCACCTTCCCGAGGCCAATGGCTTGCGATGATAGTGAAAGTGAATGCGAAGTGATCAGCCGAGTTTCTTGATGATAGCAGCAAGTCTCTTGATGAGCGTCTCCCAATCAGTCTTTGGCTTGCCAAGTCCTTGCAAGATGTCTGTGACAGTGCCCAACTTCTCGTAATCCGCATTGATCTCCTTCAACTGATCAACAACCGTCTGAGTCTCCTCCAAGATTCTACAGATGTTCTTGTAGTTTTCCTTCATGTTGGCTTGGAATTGAACGGCGTAGATATCGTGACGGATAATGAGTTTACCACCGTCGAGTTGGCCTTTAGCTTTGGGAGAAGAGATGTCGATAGGTTCTTTGATGTCTGGGAACTCTTGCATCACACGTTTGCGCATGTCGGTGAGTCTCACCCATGACTCCATGTTGTTTCTCAACTTTATCTCCTCAAGTCTCAGTTGCTCCTTTTTCTCGTTGATCAGTGTATGGAGACGAGCAATCTTGCGTGCCTTGCTCGAATTAGCAGAGTGATTGAGATTCATACAAGCAAAACTTACATCCATGCTCGCGTCTCTGATAGAAAAGTGCTTGTCGGCTGTCACTGTGTTCTCTCAAAGCGTAGAGGTGAGCTATGCGGTAGCAAGGAGAATTCTAGAGTGTCGTATATTCGGGTGTCGACGCGTCAGCTTTCATGGTGTAAAAAAAGTAGAAGGTGCTTGTCGACTGTCATTAAGGCACCAAGGGAAGAGCAACGACGAAGCAAGTGAGGAAAAAACGACTGAGGCGTCGAGTAACCAGGTCTCGGCGCTGCAGCCTTCGTCGTGTAGAACTGTTGAGAAGTTGACGGAATAGATTCACGAGAACAGATGGTCACGTAGGAGAGCATGATAGTAGCTAATCTCGACGAGTACCTAGAGCAGAAGTGGTTCGAGAAAGCAAGTAACCCCTTATGAGATGCTGTCCCCCTGCACAGAGGTTTAATTTACTCTCTATAACATTTGTGAACAGGTTGAATAGCTATAGAAATGCAGGGAATGATTCAAGTCAGCGTGTTTGTCCAGAGAAATCCCAGTCCCAACAAACTCTCTCTGGACACGTATCATCGAGAGATGAAATCTTGTCTGCTTATAGCCGTATTTGGAATGCCCTACTGGTCCTGGAGTGCTGCTATCGCTACAGACTGCACACTTGTTGAGTAAGTATACATGGTTTGATACCGGCTCCGTTCATGTGCTTGTTTTTCAGGTTTAGTTCTCTTACCTGGCTAATCATACAAAGAATTTGGAAAAGTATAGCTACCCATCAGATTGTTTGCTGGTCTAGGTGCGCCAGCTTCTTATCAGATTGTGATGACAAAGCAAAAGTGCAGAAAAGAGACAATAGCTGCTTTCGACATGAGCACATGAGCTTCATCTCACTGAATTCTACTTATGAGCATACATGATCGATTTCGAGAGCCTTAATTCATGCTTGAGGTAGCCTCTCAATTGGTATTTGGATGGGAACGACCGTTTTCGCACCCCTTATCTGGTCTTGTTTGCTACGATAAGCCAAAAGCCATATTTTGGAGCAGTTGGTTTGCCAGGGATGGACTTTGTAGCGATAGAGCTCGGGCTATCCATGCCAGTTTCTGTCCCGGTCCTTTTAGAATTTGTCACCCGGTTGCCAGTCAGGATCTTGAGCAAACTCGAAGAAGATCTCGGCAAACACAAGGCGGTATGCTTGCATCTCCCTCTCAGACTGCACCCACACCTCCATCCACTTGTTCATCTGCACTGCGTCTCTCCCGACTCCCATCAATCTAGCCTTCTCTTTCAGCAATGTCTTCGTCTCTTCAATGAGCTCAAGGCCGTTCTTGAAGGTATGTCTCATCTGGATCTGGACCTCAACTCTTTTTCTCTCGGCACGGGTGAGTTGGATCAAGCTTTGCACCTCCTCCGGACTGAAGTTGGTGACGTCGTTTCCTTTGCCCAAGATATGGGACTGGAGTCGATATGTGTTGTTGTGGCCGGCCCACTGACGGAGAAGGTCTAGAATGGTGGGTGTAAGAGCTGCCCGCTGGGTTCCCGCTCTGGAAAGGATGTTTTCAATCTGTTGAAGCCGGTTCACGGTTGGCTTAGGTGTGGCTGCGGAGTTTTGGAGCTGTTGATGAGGTACGTCAGCACACATATTGTAGGAAGTGCAATCTAAGAACTTACGGCCGAGCCAGAGGGTGGATGCTGGATTGTGTTAGCTCGATAGGCGTCTTGTCAGACGGGTCCAAGTCAATCTACATCATGGTGGACATCGCTTTGGTCACCAGAGCCGGCCCCTCCAGGTGCGAGATCGTCCATGTTTCGCTAGTATATTTGTGAAAAGAAGGAGATCGTTGAAGTCGATTGGCAGGTGTGGTGAGGAAGATCTCTCGAAGTAAGCGAAAAGCCAAGACCGAAGAGCAAAGATCTTACAAACCGGCGTAGTCTTGCAGAAGTCAAGATTGACGAGATGTTCTGGAAGCAAGGGTGGGCAGTTAATCAAGAGATCCTTGACGTGCTGTTATTGATGCAAGGGATGAAAAAGCAAGGTTTGGAATGTTTTGAGCTGGAGAGGTGTCGGATAGCGTGTTGTATTGACGAAAGTAGAAAGTAAAAGAGCAATGTATGCTGGAATAGAAGAAGACTTGTGTTGAAGAAGAGGGAAGAAGACCTCCAAGGCAGCACCTTATGCGCGCCAAAAATTGGAGTAGTGAAGCAAGAGCGATTCACTATCTTTCCGTTTGCTTATCGCTCGGTTTCAACCATCACTTGAGCCTCCAAGTCTCCTCCTATGAACCGCCAAACAGCATTTCTCTGTAGAAATTTATGTATCGAAGTCGTCTGGCTGACATTTTTCTCGATCTCTTGACAAACCACTTTCTGTTTCTACGAGGAAGCTTGTCCAGATCAGAGCCGTGCATGGTCCTAATCTCCTTATCCAACGCTGATAATTCATTGAGCCTAGACGGTTGCATTCTGTGCTGGGCGTTGAGTGCCGTCTCGCGTCTGAGACGCTCGTTATGCAGAGTAATTAGTTGGCAGTAGTCATCGAGCCTAGAGAGGCTGTCCAAGTCGATGATGCGGGGATCAAACCGCGTGACTCCTTCGAACCTGCGGACGTCCGAAGAGGACTTTTTGCAAGCAAAGTGGGCAGCTCGGAGCATTGGTCTCCTGCTCAGAGCTTCCTGGTACTTGTCGAAGTAGGTTTGTATGAGATCGTTGAGAGTATCGCTGATCATGCCCTTATGACACAACATTAGTCGGAAGTGATAACCATCAAACCTTGAAAGGATAGCAGTACCTTTCCAGACGACGATTCTGTAACCTCAGCATCAGGGCGTTCAGTCGAAGCTTGTGCGTAGTCTTCCATTGGAAAGGCGTTAGCAGTTTACTGCTAAATCTTGATCTTGATGTGTCAAGGAGAGAGAGACGAAGGCTAGCGGAAGTTGGTGGCGATTAGATGGGAAGATATAATTATATACTCTAAGAAGTCGCAATCATGAGTGAAAGGTCGATAAGGATTTTGACGCCCACTCGAACAACTGAAAGATTGGAAGGTAAAAGAGAAGTGGCAGGTAATGGAAAACGAGTGAAAGCAGTTTCAGGTGAACCATCCTTCTCGTCATCCTTCACTCGAACTCTCATGGAAAACCTATGCAGGAAGGTTCGCAGATGCGCGTCCAACTATGCCTGGTGAAACGATCGCATACCGTCAAGGACCATGCTGCTGTGTGTTCAAAGTTGCGTTCATCTTCGAGGGGCAGTTTGCTCAGTCCGGCCTGATGATTGATCCTGATGTCATCCTCCAGCGTGAAGATCTCAGCGATCTTGACAAAGATGACTCTTGCTAGGGCATGAAGCTCTGCAGTACGTTTGAGAGCCTCTTTCTGCAAGGAGAGAAATTGAGTGTGGAAGTCGAGTGTGTCCAAGCTGTCCAGATCTATAACGCGCACGTTCAGTGTCCCGATCCTTCGGTGTCTGTTTGCTCTTGCCCAGGCCGATTTTTCTGCTCGAGAAACAACCCTGCCAACTGGGGTCATGTCTTTCACCTCTCGAGCCTTGTTCCTGTAGACCAACAGCAGAGCTTTGAGGGCGTTGCTGATTGGCTCCTCCTGTGAAGTAGTGTTAGTCTGATACGATACTCGTCAACAGATCACCGATACCTGGACAAAAGACATTTCTTGCTTGTCGGTCATTCCGGTGTCGGCGGCAACCTGATTCGAGTGTTGTGAGCGCTCATTCGTTGTGCCAGCACCGGCAGCGATCTGATCCGAGCCTTGCGGGTGGTTGTCCATGGTGGTATTGATGACGAGAATTGGCGTGAGTTTCTGTGTAGGTCGCACGAGGTGTTCGGTAGGTGAGAGCAGATCTGATGGTTATGCAGTACAAGGTTGTGTTATCTTGGAAAACTGATAAGTGAAAGGCCAACGAGTGTTGAAGTGATGTGATGAGTGACAGCTCTTCTAAGTGGACCTCTGCGATGCTCACTGGCGTCCTTTGCTGAGTATGTGGCGTGTGTTGCTGTGAGAATGCACAAAGAACTCTGGAGATAAGGCAGTACCCACTGAGAGGCGATAGATTATCAGCTCTCGTTGGTCACCTTGCTGGTCTGGAAACTTTTGTATCTTCTTATAGGACAAAGATCGCTCTATACTGTTGTGAGAGCAGAGTGAGAGTTATCGAACGGCACATAGACAGATGCAGCCTATCCGTCCGTGAAGACACATAGCCACTGTCACGCAAGTCTTGCCCAAACAAGATTACGAGCTTGTGAACGCAGCTCCTCCAGCAGCCAAGACAACACGACATCCGAGGATGACATTCCTGGCCCAGCGCAAATCCTCATCCTCTTCCTCAAAGCTCTTGACCTGGTCCAACTCAGCATTGTCCATCAACTCTGCAGCAAACTTGCTCTTGATCACCTCTTCGAATGTGACCATTTCCTCCCAGACCCCCATCAATCTGCGTGTGAGGTGATAGAGCTCCGGAAAATGCTTCGATGCAATCTTCTCGAGGCGAAACCATTCAGCGTAGTCGGTGAGAGAATCCAGTGTGTTGACATTGACGAGACGCAAGTTTAGGTTGCTTGTTTGTTCGTGTTCGCGGACGGCCAGGCGATCTGCTTGTGAGATTCTGGCCAATGCGTCTCTGTGTTCTGAGATATCGTTGGCTTTGTTGAAGAGGTCGTGGAATCGTTGCAGATCGGTGGCTAGAGCTTTGCTGAGCATTGAGTGCTGTGGCATCGGATCAGTAGGAGGCTATCGTCTATGTCAAGTAGCCTACTTTGATAGGAACAGCAACATTTCAGTCATGAGAAGGCGTGGAATGTTGCGTAGAATGCATTGCATCTGCTCCGGACACATAGCCGGCCATTATGTCTGTTCGTCTGCTATGTTGTCACCCAGGTCAGAGAGGGTGGATGATGTGTGCAAAGGAGAACAGAAATGGAAAGGAGCGTCGAGCAGAGGAGCATTTACGCAAGACATGAGGACCAACAGAGTAATGCAAACGGGCCTCGGGGCTGAGTGAATGTTTCGGAGCTTTGTCCTCGCGTTGGACGACGATGCACATATTCAAGAAGGAACGACTTGTCAGACAGGCAGGTACGGAGATGACTTTGAACATGAAAAGAGAAGACATGACATTTTTCTACCAGAATATACGCTGTAGTGATCTGGGATTAACAAAAGCAAAGAACAGAGTATATATCCCAACCCTTTGTACTCCACCAACGCCAGACACATGAATATTGCAACCATGATAAATGCAAGAAAGCTCCGAAGAAACCCCATCTACCTGCTTCTGGTGCTGCCATTACCACGCTTACCAGCAGTGAGCCACTTGGCCAGCGAGGCGGTTGTGTGACGGTCACCCTCTCCCTGTCTGGCGTTGCGGTTCATCTTCTGTTGACCCAGCTTGTGCAGACGCTCGGCCTTGCTGCGGGCAACCTCGTTGGTGACACCGTCCTCGCGTCTGTTCATGCGGCTAACACTACGAGTGCGAGACATGGCGCGGGAGATGCTGTTGCGGTGCTTGGCAGGTGCGTCGCCACCGTCGACATCCATCATGTCGGCGTCTTCGACAGCCTCTGTGCGGCCGCGAGGACGAGATTGCGAACGAGCGCGAGCACGCTCGGAAATGGATGTGGAGTCGTGGCCGAGTGCCTCGAGGCCTCTCTCCATCTTCTCGAGCTGGACGGCCTTCTTGCTGCGGGGGATGACGGCGCGGTTTTTGAGCGACTTGCGCATCTTGGCTTCGTTGCGGATGAGTTGGCGCTTCTCGCGGATGAGCTCGGCCTTGTAGCGGATGTCTGCGTCGTCGGCTTCCTCAACCTCGTCCTCGGATTTGTCGTAGTAGCCCTCTGCCTCGAGACGGGCTTCCTCCTCTTCCAAAGCGGCGAGCTTGCTCTCGATCTCGGGGTCGACAAAGTCGTAGACGTTCTTTCCGTCGAGGAATTCGGGCATCTTGTCCTCGCGCCAGTCGGGGTTCTCGAGCATCCATTTCTCCTTGAGGTTGATGTTGAAGACACCGGCACCGCCGTTCTCTTCCTCGACGTCGCGCATGAGGGTAATACGGTTGGGGTCGGCCTTGTCGTACTTGACTCTGGTCTTGACAACGTCGGGAACGAAGGTCTCGCGAACAACGCCTCCCATGGGCTGGGCAACGTGGATACGGCGGAGGACGTCGTTGAGACGGCCGGTGACTTCACCAGAGGCGTTGGTACCGGCCTTGAGCTTCTGTGCGTTACGCTCGGCAAGGAGACGATCACAAGCGGCGTTACGGACGTTCATAAGGCCTTCGGTGGTTGTGCAAGAGAGCTGGAGCATCTCAACGTTATCGGACTTACAGAGGTCGGCAAGAGCCTGCTGGGTCTCGGGGTCGAGGTCTTCGGGACGCATGGCATCGATCTTGTTGATGACGACGAAAACGAGCTTGTTGGCGAAAAGAGGCTTGATGGACTGGAAAAGCTGCATCTGAGCCTGGACTGAGTAACCACACTGCTCGGACAAGTCCATGAAGTAGAGAATGGCGGAGCGCAAGTGGGCAATAGCAGTAATCGACTGCATTTCAATTGTGTTCATCTCTTCCAGAGGGTGGTCCAGGATACCGGGAGTGTCGATGGCCTGGAAACGGAGCATCTTGTAGTCAAAGTGACCGACGAACAAACTCTTTGTTGTGAAGGCATAGGGCTGGACGTCGACATCGGCGCGGGAGATGTTCTTGAGGAAACTCGACTTTCCGACGTTGGGGTAACCGCAGATGAGGAGGGTGCGGGTGTTGGGGTCGATGGCGGGNAGACGACCCAAATGCTGACGAACCTGCTCGAGGTAAAGGAGCGGGTCCTTCAGGCGCTTGCAGATGGTGGCCATGCGACCGAGGGCGGCACGCTTGAGCTGCTTGCACTGGAAGAGCGACTGACCGTACTTGACGAGGCGGACATAGTCGCGGGCGACAGTTTCGATCAAGTGCTTTGCGGTCGACAGCTGACCGAGGGCGATGCGGAAATGGTCAGCATCGTAGAGGGTGTTGAGCAGATCCTTGTGGAAAGGGTGGATGTCGGCGAGACGAGGGAATCCATCGAGGACGGCTTGGATCTTTTCGGCAAACGTTTCGCAGGTGAACTTGATCTTGCGCATGTAGAAAGCTNNGCGAGTCTTGTTAGTTTCTTGTTCTTGTCGTCTCTTTCTCTCCTCTTGCATGTCCGTCTTTTCCTGTTTCCTTTCCGATGCTCTTGCGTGGTCGCTCATTCTGAACCACCAAAATTCTCCTCCCTCGTACGACGAAAAGTGGCACACACCTCTGATTCTCGAAATCTTGAAACCCGCTCTGATCTGAGTGGGCAGTCTCCTCTGAGTTCTGCTCAGGACAATGTCCAGGAACTCCTGCGACGTCGGCACGGGCGCGATATCCTTCCACGTCGTCTTCATCTTTGCGGTTTGTGTGTTGGTGGTTTGGGTTCTTGTTGCGAGAACTGACCGAAATGCTCTCTGCGACTCGCTCCTCCGAAAAATCTCGCCTCCAGACTTTCAGACAAAGTTCTGCCGGAAAGGCGGTCTGCGGAAGGGACTTTTGGTTCGCCGACCTCCGTGATGGAGTGCCAAGGCTATCCTTCGTTTGACCTCACTTACTGCCGTCTTCTAACCTGGTACTCTGTTTTCTGCTCTCGGATCTTCCGCTGTTGGTTTGTTCCTTTCCTTGCTCATCTGTCGCTCTCCTTATCTTCTCTATCCTGCCTGTCTAGTCTTCTATCGGCTTTCAGAGCTTCCACCTCGGATTGGCCGCCGTTCAAGGCTTCAGCGTCCGTGCACCGCCACCAGAATTTATCCCCTTTGCAACAAGATATACCTCCCTTTCCACCCCTTCTATATCAAGCCTCTTTAGCTCCAGTTGGTAGAGCGCGGCACTAGTAATGCCGAGGTCACCGGTTCGACTCCGTTAGGAGGCATTAACTTGATCTTTTGTCGGTATAACATTGATGAACATCTCATTTTTCATGTATCTTTTTGGTGGACTCTGAAATTTTCTGGATCCAGTGGGGATGACCCTGGCGCATAGATGATCTACCTTCCTCAGCAGACCACTGTGACAATATAGCACTATCTTAACAGCATTTAGTTGTTTCTATGTGAGGAATACTCATGGATCAGTCTTGAGTGCAAGTTAGCTGTGATGTGTAGGATTGAAACCCATTTTGTGTTAGTGTCAGTATTTCTGCATTTGAAGCATGAATATTACACAGCTCTGTTTGCGAACCAGAATGTGAATGCCCGTCTCTCATTCCCAACATGTCGACGGGTTGACAATGCGGTCATGGGCAAAGAGTGACTATTCACGAAGAGTCTCAAGGGATAGTAATTGTTATAACATCGCTTTTCTAAGACAAGTTCGCAGATTACCACCAAATTTCTGGTTCGTGGGGTAATGACCTCTAGACTGCATTGTAAAGATACCCGATCGCTTATGAGAATGAAACAACTATATCTCTAAAGCCAACTGGTCTACAGGCGGGAGATTGTCTACTCTTGTGTCACTTTTGGCCAGAAGTTCTCCTCGGCCCACAAGACTTGCTCCCATATTTGCTCACACTTGACCCATTCTGTGCTGCCTTCATCGATGTTCTCAGCAAGCTCATCGAGCAGCTCGCCAATACCGACAACAAACTCCTCAAACTCGTCACAAGTCCAATTAGGTATGAGCGTGGTATGCAGCACATGTGTCTTCTTGTCCTCGGGTACTTGATCTTTGAAGCTCAAGGCATATCTCCATGCGGTAAGATAACATATTTCCGTAGCCCAGAGAGCTGTCAGGCCGACGAGGATGCTCTGGTTTGGAGCACCTGCACCGGCAAACATGTCCTGATATGCTCTCGTCTCTTTCGTCGCTGTCTCCCCTCCTTCTTTCCAATCGAAATGCTCCTTCAGGACATCTTCGAACATGCCTAGCTCCCTGCGGACGTTGGTGAGGGCGTTGATGAAGCAGTCGGCGACGCGCCATTCGAGTGTCTTCTCACGGGACGAGGTAGAAGGGATGGAGGTTTTGGAGAGCATGTTGCCCATGAAGGGAATGTACGAGAAGATGTAAAGGCGGTCTTGAGTGAGCCAGGCTAACAGAGCTGGAGTGGGAAGCTTCGAGGTGCCAGCCAGACGGAGCCACGGGTGGTTGGTTGCAGAGGTGAAGGCATCCGGGCTGTGGGCGAGGAGATGGTCGGTGAGCTTCTTGGGAGCCATGGTTGCGCAAGCTGCAGACTATCTGGCAGTGTAGAGTTGTGTGTACGGGACAAGACACGAGGTAGTGCTATGTCTCAACAAGTCTTTTGATCGGACTGACGTTGGTCCGATAGCGGCAGAGCATTATAGCTTCGAGGATGCAGGTCTGACTCGGAGCAAGACTGCACCCATGTATATGTCTTTCTATCAGACCATATGGATTTACTTTCAGCCCAGTGCGACGAGGCGTCGTCTGAGTGTCCTGTGCAACATGTCTCGATGTCAGCAGAACGTGTCGCTGAGGAAGAAACAAGCAGGTGTGACGCGAAAGGACGATGAGATGCGCCAAGAATCACGTGCAAACCGACGAGGGACGGGTCAACGAGAGTGGACAGCAAGCTTTCTAGGGGTTTGCATGCCACTCCAAGCTTCTGAATCAATGCAGAAATACTCAGATATTATCAGACACCATGCAGGAGATGTCTGGTCGAGCAAGAATTACACACTGAATCAGAAGGTCCGAAAGCGCATAACATAAACAAACAATGGCCGAACATCCTCGTTCAAGTCCTGGTCCAGGACAACAAAGAGATCAAAGTCCATCCCTGTCGCGGAATCTCGACCGACTATCTATGGTCAGATCAAATTCTCCAGCCGACCGCAGAAGTACATCTCGAATCTCTTCGAGTCCCATGACATCGAACTATCGATCCACAACTCCCGGTGCTTACGACTCACCATCAGCTCTGCGTAGAGCTTCCAGTTCAATGAGCCAAGCAGGAACTCCACCCAGGCGCAAGTCGTCAATGTCTTCTTTGCGTAGCATGACCATGCAAACTTCCCCTGCCAGCTCTCCTCGTCGCGGCGACCGTTCTTCTTCCACTATCGGATCCTATTCTTCACATGCACTGATCGAAGAACCTGCGCCGTTGACCGCTGCCCAAGTCGCATCAGCTTACTTCACCCAGGAGATGGCTCTACACGAGTCCGAGTTCACAACTGCGCATGTCGCAGTCATCCTTCACGATGCATGCTACGGACACAGATTCTCACGGCCAAAGACTTCCAAGGGCATGCTCAGCATGATTGTTGAGAGGCCAGAGCGTGTTCTGGCTGCTGTTCTTGGACTGTCCGCTGCTTATGTTCGTCTTGGATCGAGGCATTCAGGAGGCCAACATGCTCCTCATCCAGACAAGCAACCAGATTCTCGCATTCCCTTCAAAATCAGGAAGACTTCGCGCGCAGTGCCACTGACTTCGCCATTTGTTTCTGCTGTACATGGAACTGAGTGGATGAAGGAGCTCGAGACCATGTGCAATGTCGCAGGAGAGAGACTGGAACAGCACATGAAGGAACTGGCTAGACCCGAGGTTTCTGGCTCAACCACCGAAAAGCAACCTTTCCATGAGGGCGATTTGTATCTCTGCTCGGAATCACTGAATGCTCTCCAAGGTGCCATTGGTGGCGTTTGTGATGCTGTTGATACAATTNTTTCCAGCATACCGACTTCACCAAGACGTGCTTTTGTCGCTATTCGTCCACCAGGTCATCATTGTTCATCAGATTTTCCTTCTGGCTTCTGTTGGATCAACAATGTTCACATTGGAATTGAATATGCTGCGCAAACCTATGGCCTCACACACGCTGTGATCTTGGATATCGATCTTCACCATGGTGATGGATCACAGGATATTACTTGGGACAGAAACGCCAAGAGCGCAAGAATGAACAAGAACGCTTCTTTCACCAAAAAGACCGCAATCGGTTATTACAGCATGCACGACATAAATTCGTATCCGTGTGAGGACGGAGACAAGGAGAAAGTCACTAATGCCAGTCTCTGCATTGACAACATTCACAACCAGTCCATCTGGAACGTTCACCTGGAAGCCTGGAGGACTTTGGACGAATTCTGGGCTCTTTACGAAACAAAGTACTCGATCCTGTTGGAGAAAGCTCGAACGTTTTTGAAAAGACATTCGCAGTTGATCAAGGACTCCCACAAGCAAGCACCGCCTAGAGCTGCCATCTTCATCTCTGCCGGATTTGATGCCAGTCAGTGGGAAGGTGCTGGTATGCAGCGCCATGCGGTCAACGTGCCTACCGAATTCTATGCTCGCTTTGCAAAAGACGTGGTCAAGCTAGCTGAAGAAGAGGGAACGGGTGTCAACGGCCGCGTCATTTCTGTGCTGGAAGGAGGATACAGTGACCGAGCTCTCTGTAGTGGTGTGCTAAGTCATATCTCTGGACTTTGTCAAGATCCGAGTGCAAGGGCTACAAATGGATCGCAAGCAACCCATGCCGATGATGATATTGCAAGTGCGATGCAAAGCATGAACATCTCCAGTTCAGCTAACGGCCATCACACACCTGAGTATGACCCTAATTGGTGGGATGTCAAAAACTTGCAAGCACTAGAGACACATGTTACGCCTCCTCCGCCACCACCTACCATGAGAACCCAACGTACAGCTATGCCAACATACGCCACACCCACTCAATCGTTTACTGGAAAGGTGGTCGATCCACTCAAATTCCAAAGATCGATCTCAGGAACAATGCGACCAATGTCTCCCAGACCTGCTGGCCCGAGAGAGCCGCCAGAAGTCAACTGGATTGTTGCTGTGCATGAGCTCAGCAAACTTATCATTCCTTCGGACCGTCAAACAAGAAGCCATGTGCCTGAAGACCTTGCTCCAGTAAGAGTGAAGAAGGACAGACTCTCTGCGCCAGTCATTGTACCAGCAGAACCGATAGCTGGGNGAAGACAACTCCGTACTAGGAAGCCAAAGGGTGCTGGCACTGGCAGCCCACCAACCGAAACAGACATGTCAATCAAGCCTCTCCCAGTCGATCTTGCTAGGCGCCAGACAATATCGGAATTGCCAACATCACACGACCTTCAGCCTGTTCCTGAGAAGATTCAGCAACCCAAGCGGATGACCAGAAGGACCAGCAACATGTTCGACTTGAAGCCAGAGGATGCCAATGCACCGCCGCCCGTACCCGTCATGCCTGTACACCTACCACTCTCAAGTCCCAAGAAAGTGCGTGGGAAGGCATTGAAGTCGGTGCCACCCGAGGAGCAGCCGATTGTCAAGCAAGAACCCCTGGTGAAGCAGGAACCAGAACCGTTTTTCAAGCTGGAGAATCGCATAGCGCGCCCAGAGCCCAAACGTTACCCATCGGAGCCGTCTGTGCCGACTGCGTTGCCTCTGACCATCGACTTCACCAAGCCAATCAACCATATTCAGCCTATGAGACCAGTCGGGATTAAAAGGATCCACCTGAAAGTGGGAACACGAGAAGAGCACGATCGAAAGATGAAGGAGATGGAAGAGAAGGTCAAAGCAGAGGCTAGACCGCAATCCAACGTGCCTGAAGTGTCAATGCCTTACCAAGCAGCCAAACAAGTTGCGCCCAAGGCCGAACAGGACGTTCTCCAGACCAATGCGCCGAAGATAGAATCGAGTGGTACCCCGGAGATAGCGGAACAACATGTCTCACGCAGACAGCCAGCCTCGGCCTCGGAGACTGTACCTTCTGAGTTGACGCATAGAGATTCGCCGCTATATCTCGACCTGGAGGAGAGCGCAGTGCAGCAGAGTGCTGGTGCTTCTGCCCTACCAAGTCAACCACAAGCTATTGACCCTCACCAGATGACATTGCTTGATAATGTATCAGGTCCACCACACACGGCCAGCTCATCCGTTTATCCAGATGTCCCTCAATCGCAGGTTCACACGCACCAGCCTGTACCACAACAGCAGCCAGATCTACCTTCACGACACAACCACCCTTTCTTCAACCCCTCGTACACGCACCCTCAGAACGATTTACCAACCTTCTCAAGCACAGGAGCAATTCCCTTCGCACCTCCCCAATCTAGACCCAGCGGTCTCAATCCGATATCTGGCCACGGGAATGGAGTGTCGAGATCGATGCTTGACGGATTTCCTACTTTGAGCAAGGTCTTGACACCTGATGATGTCGACATGATGGATCTGGATAGCCCGGAGAAGAGGAGACATGGGAATGGCCAGAAGATCATACCTGAAACGCCACAGCACTAGGTATGCGTGTGGAAGAGAGAATGTAGATGGTAGCCAGGACATTGTAGAGTCTCTTTTCTTATGATACCCCTCTAGAATGAATGGCGATTTCGTGCAGATGAAAATGCACAATACATTTTCGGAACAGCTTGCTGTCCATTGAGAGCTATCAATCCCGCTGTCTCTCTGGGAATATCTCAGGTCTAAGAACAAACTCTGTGATTTGATAGCTTGAATGGATGCAGTGACGAAGGAGGGACAGACGTCCCGATTGGGAAAGACGTCGGCCGGAAACGCGAAATGTTCGCGTTCAAGATTCCGTCATGACCGAGGCAGCTACACCAACGTCTATACTGCCGTCGCAAGACACCACCGCCACCAGATAATCACTTACAATACGTCCCACCCCGATCGCATACATCCATTGCACGACAACCACTTCTCCAATGCCGCCGAAACGCGCTGCAAAGACGGCAGCCAAGGCCGCGCCTGCCAAAACTCCAGCAACCAGAGCCACCCGATCGCGTGCGCAAAAGACAACTCCGCCGCGGGAAGAGGAACCGGAAGTCGGCAGTGCTGTACGCAGTACGAGGTCACGCAAATCTGCTGCCACCGAGCAAGACGCACCCGCACAAGAGGAGGAAGAGGAGGCAGAAGTTGCGACACGCGATGCAAAACCTCAACCACGCACAAAATCGCGTCCCACAACGCTTGGTCGCCGTCCCCCAAGGACTGTCAAGAAACCAGCGCCCAGTCAAGCGAACCAGGGTGTCCTGGACAAGTTGAAAGCGCGTATGGAAGAGGATCGCAGGGCCACAAAAGCTGGAATCGTACCAAAATCTGCAACAGAAACTCAATCGCACCAGGCCGAACGAGCAGTCCGGGAAGCTACCAACAATGATGGAGATGCTGCATTGGTGCCTGCCCGCACTGCTCCACGATCGCCATCGCCCGTCAGACAGACAGCAGTACCTGGGACCGCAGTCAAGGCGCCTGCTAGTGTCGTGCGTCCTCAATCTGCTGTCAAGATGCAGAGTACACCTGGCGCAGAATCGTCTGTCCTGGCCTTGCAGAACTTCAGACGTCGCGCCCGTCAGCCTAGCTTGCTGCAGATGGTGCAGAATCCTGAACTTGCTGGCACTCCGATCGATGACACGACCGACTTTACTCTGGGTAGCTTGGGCGACGAGGATGACTTTGCGCCACACGACGAGGGTACGCCTCTGCAGATTTCCAAGGGCAGACCGGTCGAAGTTGAGCCAGAGCCGGAACAAAACGACGAAGACGAGGAGGAAGTTGCACAAGAGCAGGAGAAGGCCAAGACGCCAGAGCCAGCATTGCCCAATTCTGATGATGAGTTCTACGGTGCGACGCCAGTCAAGACAACACAACGGCAGACGCGCAAACGCAAATCAGATGCCATCGAAGAGTCTGAAGTTCAGATTGCCCGCTCGTCTCCCTCATTACCTTCACCCTCTCGCTCCATCGCCGAACAAGAAGAGCACGAGACCATCCCAGCGACAGCACCTGAGGATGACGATGATGAAGAACCAGCAACAACCGAGTCACAACAACGCAGACTATTCAGCGACACATACGCAGATCCTATGAGCAGCTCACCACCGCCTGAACCAATCAGTCCCTCCTCTCCCAACCAGCCTCGTCAGGCCCCTGCTCTTTCTCCCTCGGCAATCCGCAAATCCGCTCGAGCCGGTGGTCAGCAAACCAAGAAAGTCAAACCCTTGACAACAGCAACATTGCGAGCTATGCTGCCTAAACGCCGCGCTCAACGAAAAGACGAATTCGACTTTACTTCGTCCTCAGCACATGAAGCCTCTTTGTCAGCATTTGAAGACGAAAAGCGCAAANAGGCAAGGACGAAAAAGCCCACTGTGGCCAAGAAGGCTGCGCCTGCAAAGCCAAAGAAGACGACCACAGCAACGAATAAGAGGACATCACGAACTTACGCTCGCAGCAATAAAGAGAATGATCCTGTGCACATCTCTTCTGGATCCTCGAGTCTGTCCGAGCTCAATAGCGATGAAGTGGAGGCAGACGAAACTGCAGACACGAGTATTGATACTATCAAGGGCACAAAGTCTGACGAGAAGTTGTCAGATGAATTGAGGAAAGCGAGGGAGAAATTTGCAGAGGTTGATGATTGGGAGATGGAGTTTGAGAGTGCGAGTCTAGGGGCTGGCGGGNGAAGCAGTCCATGGCGGTGATCAACTTTTTACTGGCTTCTTCGTTCGACTGGGGTGCTTTGGGGTCGAGGATTGTGAGGTGTTTTGGTGTGATCTCGAGCAATCATGCTCTGGGTATTTGGGGTTGTGATGGGGTGTAAGAGTAATTTGATTCGCTTCACGCTGCCGTTTGGGTAGGATTGTTATCATTTGATTGTTCTTGCTTGTATATTTCCCAGTCCGCTCGTCCTTGTCTCTTTTGCTATCAGTTTTGGAAGTCCACCAGGGTGACAAAAAGGCAAGAGTGGGTTGCGGCCCCACTTTTTGTTCAGACGTCGCTTCCTTCTGCTGTTTGCACCTCATCTTTCTTTCTTCCAACAATCATCACGTCGGACTGATTCTCCTGAGGATGAGGAATATCTGATTTCAAGGAAAAAATCGAGATGGACATGGAGGACCTTGCATCCTCGTCAGCGGGACGCATGAACGCGTATTGCTTCTCGATCGTTGGACAAAGCGATATAGTAGGTTGTCAGGCAAGCAGAAAGAGAGAACATGATTTCTTTACTTTTCATTTTTTCCATTTTGCATCCTTCCATTCAAGCAACGCAGAGTCAGTTGGTTGAGATATGTTCACCCAAACGCGAATGCTCAATGTTGGGACGACGTGGTTGCTTGATGGCGTTCACGATAGGATTTGCAGATGAAGCTGTATGCCTGAGGGTGGTCGTGGAAAAGGCTCTCTCGGAGCATTCACTTTCTAGACTCATTGCGATTGTGGCTTGGCGTATCACTCTACGGTATTCAGCAGTCACATGAAACTTACTTTGTTTGCGCGGCCGGCTCTTGGACTCTCACTTTGCTCTGAGCTGAGCTGAGCTGAGCTGGTGCATTCAGCTTCCAGACTCTTGCACCACCCAACATTCCTCGCTTAACCAACACGACGAAGATGGCGACTGCACAAGAACTACTCCCTGGCGGCAGATGGCTGTCGGTGCCTGGAACCAGTCCGTCACCTTCAAAGCTTCTGGTGTGGATCTTACAGTACTGACCAATCTTTAGACTTTCAGAGCGCATTCTATGCACTCGCTGTCGGACTTGCTACAAAACCTGAGATCAAACGTCCACTTGATTGGAAGGTCTCTGGGAAAGCATCTGCGGAACTGGAGGCATATCTCTTTCTGTTCAAGCTGCATGCCTATCACCATGTACATGTACACCTCCCTAACGATTCAATCGAAAACACATTGGATTCCGCACTGTTTCGCAGTCTCATCACAATCTGGAACAGAGACCAGTCGACCTCAAACCGCAAGATATTGTACCAGGAAAAGGATGGGCATCTCTCAAGATTGAACGACGAACCAGCAGCCTCTTGATCGTCTCTTGTTCTTGTTCGTCAAGTTGGTGACGGATGGGAAGGCTTTGGCTATTTTGACGACGAAACTGGTCCAATTGTCGCTCCCAGTCCCAAGACCGTTGCTCCTTCGACATCCCTCGGCTCTGAAAAAACTCGTATTACCCCTGCCGGCTCTGTTGCATACACCGCCAGTGCATCGTCTACCATGAAACCGTCGACTCGCGTCAAGAGGTATTCGGCACAGATCGAGAATACCCACGCTCCCAAGCCTGTTACTTCTCCTACTCCCGACACCCCGAAAGCTTGGTCCAACCTCGCCGTGCCGGCACACCCGTTACCACTTCTCAGCCTTCAACTTCCCCGCCTGTACTCAATGGCGGTACCAAATTGCCTCTGGGCGGCAGATACATCTCAACTCCAGGCACGAGTATGTAAACAATGTTGGCTCTGACGCGATTCCCACTAATCAATAGTAGGCTTTGAGAGCTTTGCGTATGTGTTATCAATCAGCATAGCGGCAACTTTTCATCCAGCCGAAACATGCCCTCTCGAATGGTCAGGATTGAGCTTCCAGTCCATGTGCCCTGGGAGCATATACGAAAACGCTCTCTTGTCGTATCATTCTCATGACCTTGAGATTCGGAATGTCTCAAGAACGAGCTGAATGGATAACCCTGAATTGATTTGATGATCATGCAAGTCCGAATGCGAGTCAAAGCTGTCCCGACAATACAGATACATCACAGCCACTAAGCTACCTCTTCTTACAGAGCTCACTACTTCCTTCTATGCTGACATGTTCCCGCAGAACAGAGACGGGGCTGTTTGCTCAGAAGTGAATCAACGTGACCATCAAGGAGACTATATATGTAGTCATCTTCTGAGGATGCAGTGTGTGCAGTAGAGTAGTGGTTCGGTTCTGTAACATCCCTCGAGTCAAAGAATGACTCGCTGCGTACATTGAAAGCAAGTGCTCTAGGTCAACCCCTGGCCGATCCCTGGAGGGTGACCATTCTATTTTGCACTTTTTGCACTTTTTGCACTTTTCAGTCCTTTGTCACACCACAACGGAAAAATTCTCAGAGAAGGTCTGGATTATTGACCCAAATAGTCTGATGCACTGGGTTCGCTTTTCTCGAAGAATTGTCTATGTTTTGTGAGTTGCGCTGAGGTGGCTTGAGACAAACGCGCAGCTTGGCTCTTTGTTTGCGTGGCTCGCACCTTCCACAAGATTCACAACAACACTTTCGACAACACGACTCAACCTCCAGCACTCTTGAACTGCTGCTCCAAATCAACTGGATTGCACCTCGTTTCTCCCTCGAACATTGAGTCAACATGCCCCTTGATCCCAAGACCAACGATTATGTCCCTGGAGGTAAATGGCTCCCTGCGCCAGGTAGCGGTATGCTAATATTTCGTCTCATCGTAAATCGCAGAGAGCACTAACACAGATAGTCCGGGAATCTGGAGTTTACGCCCTGGCTATGGCAATGGCCACCAGCTCGAGCGACATCCGCTCTCTTGGCTGGTCGTCTATCACGCTCGAGAAACGCTACTATGATGCCCTAAAAGCGGTCCAGGCCCAGCACATCATCTACAACGACCCAGAGAATGACGAAATCCTTGCAACCGCTCATCTTGTTGAGATCATCAAGTTCTGGCATATGAGATACAGAGACCAGTATGAGCTGTTCGTCGACGAGAGGGACGTCATCTACAGAGAAAGTGATCCGAGAGCATCTGCCAAAATCATACTTCTCCGCGGTCTCAATGGCCGTTGGGAGGCCTGCTGCCACTTCGAAGAAGCCACGAGCCGTCTCAACATCACCTCTGTTCGCACGTTGTCTGTCCGGCAGTCTGTCCAGCAGTCTGTCCAGCAGTCTGTCCAGCAGTCTGTCCAGCAGCAATCTCCAATAGACACAAAATCCAATCAAGCCGAACGCAGCGCCACCAACACAGCTGCAAAGGAACTCGATGAAGTCGTCTGTGGATCGACCACCACTGCTCCAGCCGTAGAATCTACCAACGTCAAAGTCATCAACACTCTTGAGAGGCTTGCGTCCCGCGTCGAGAAGCTCGCCCTTGCGGTCGAAGAACGCAACAAATCTGATAAGAACCTCTGCGCTGCTATGAACAAGCTGTCTACTTCGTTGGACAACGCCGCACACGCTCGAGCTGGAAGCTCATTTGTGACCAATGATTCGAGACCGAATATCAGTACTGAAGATCATTCCACTGTCCACGACTCCAATAATTCCGAGACTTACAAGATTTTCGGTCGTCCAATCTCTCCTGAAGCACCCACCGGCAATGGAGTGGCTGATCGCTCGTAGAGGAGGGGTAGAAATATTCTGCCGAGCGCAGCTTGAGACTTCGAGCAAGCTTGCAAGTAGGCACGTTACATCGCCTGTGTCCAAGGCTGTCGACAGAAATTGACGATCATGACAGACCCACCCAAGTCCGACATCTTCCGACATGAGCAGCAACTCATTGAAGCAATAGACACGGTTCATTCCAGGAGGTAACTTTGTCAGGAGCTAGTCCAAGAACTATCAGTAATGCAAAGCGATTCTCGGGCTTGAGCGTCAAATCATTGTATCGCATTGGATTGGTGAGCGGTAACAACCTGCAGTTGGAAGGATGTTGACCAAGCACTGCGATGTTTGCTTGGACACGTGCAAAGATTCTGACATGTCAACCATACACCACTGCGAATGGCCTAAAGGTAATTGTGTGGTACTGATAGCGTTGGTGGTTCGTTACTGGCACCTAGAAGTGCTGTCATGGCTGACCACGCGTACGGGGTATATAGCATTGCTCGACAAAGAAGACTGCCGTTTTCGTTCTTCTAGAATCAAAACGTTGGAAGAGGTTCACATACCATTGACTTCGACACTGACACTTCACGACAACCATCAACATGTCTTTTACCACTATGTCTTTCGGTGCTCTTATTTCGGTTGGCCTCCATTCAGGAGAAGTACAGACTTCAATCTTCCATAGAGACCTTGTGCTGACGCTTGGACAGAAGTTCAGAATGTATTCCACGCCCATGTCTGCCATGACTGCTCGATACTCTGTGACGCTTCCGTACACGCCTCACCAAGCCCCTGAGCTCGATGAAGGTTCAACCGTCAGTGGTTTCGAATTGGAGGCTCCTGGACCACACGGCCAATCTCCTTCTTCTCCAACACAAAACACACCCTCGTCCAGTGGAGCATCTCAATGTAGCAATTTCAATGACGGACAACTCTCTTCCACTGAGACCCAGCGCTATCTGAAAGCAATGGAGAGCCGTATTGAACAATTGATGGCGGAGAACGAGATCCTTGCTGGAGGTTTGAGAACCACTGAGAAGAAGAGAATGCAGAAGAAGCAGAGAAAAAGACAGGAGAAGAAGGTAAAGATGCAAACGGATACCTTCAGAGAGCCGCTGAGAGCTACAACAGCTGTTCTTACTCCTATGCCCAAGCGTTCGCCTGCAAGGTTCGTGTTGATGGCTGTCGAGGCGTTCTTCCTGAGGGAGAGAGTGGTTGTGTCTTGAAGACTGTGCAAGTCAGTGGGGTGGTGATGAGCTTACAAACGAGCAAGAGAGGTTGGTACGCTGATTTAACAGGCTTCTCTTAGAAGTGTTGTCCAAGAAAGGGGTTGGACAAAGAAGCAACAAGCAAAAATTTCTCCAAGCAAACAATCAGAACTGCAACTCTACCAAACACCCAGTCGGGCGAGAGCAGATGTTGAACTGGCTGAGTGAAATTCTGAGACATAGCGCATCGCAGTGTGCGACATACTGTCTTGCCTTTTGCAACAACTTCTATAAGACTTCTTTTGTTTGTCGCAGCGTGGATGTCTCTCTTTGCCTGTGCGAGACATAGCCCAAACCAATCGACGTGTTGTAGTCTTCTGCGTCAGTCTCGAAACTTCCGCTCCTCAAGCCCCTGACAACACTTTTATTGACCAACTCATCTTGGTTACTGTCTCTGACATTTTGATAAAAAGGGCCTGATCTCCTAGATGTTCATCACTTCTTCTAATTCCAACGACATACTCAGCGCCACAATGACTCTAGTCCCTGATCCTCCGATCTCGCCCACGGTCGAACAGCACGTCACCTCCGATGGTGTGGACTATTGTCTAGCACCTTCCCTTGTTCAAGCAATGCAACGCATGTGAGGCTCCTTCCCAGAGTTCCTGCTCACACTCACCGACCCTCAAGCAAGCTCCTACAGCACAGCCAAAGTCCCCGAAATCGACCATGCTACCAATAAGCTCTCCCACGTCGAGTGTGCGGTGAACGGTCATCCCGAAATCACCTCCCATCCGAAAGGTCTCCAACACGCGTCAGATGAGCATTCTGTACCCTCCAGCAAACAATCTGTGGAAACCTCAGAGCAGAACAGCGGCCTGCGCAAGCTGGTTGTCAACAAACAGCAGAACGAGCAGGAAGCTGATGGTGAGAGATCGACGGCAACACCCCTCAACCTGGCATGACTGTGTCAGGTATCCAAATCATGAGGATCATGCTCGCAGTTGGAGAGCCACATCTCAAGCAAAAGGGTCATGAGTTGAGAGAACTTCAGAAGTCAAACACACATCTACGCACAAGGCTTTGTGACGTCGAAGCCGCCCTTTCCGAAGCTGAAGAAGAGATCGACAAGAGGACCATCCACATCGCAGAATGTGAGAAGGTCATCGATGCTCTGCAGAAGCAAATCCATCTTCTGACAGATCCTTTGAGTGCTGTCCGTCCATAGACCAGACTCAAACCCACTGTTCGCGCCTTCGTGGGCTGTCATCTCGTCCAACACGTCTTGCGATCACATTACTTGCATAAATACACGTTGCGAGTGCGATTTTCCCAAGCGCTTTTTCTGACGATGAACAGCTGAAGAAAGTAGATGACATGATACAGTGACCTGATGCTGAAGTTCTCTCAAAGCGTAGACTTTGCAAAAGGATTGGTCTCTGATAGGAGTCGAACACACAACCAACAACATCAACAGCACGTATTAAACAATCGTAACAAAAGTGTCACACTCTACGCGTCACCCTTCACTCTTTGGCCTCAAAACAAACAACAACTCCTCTCTCACACTCTACCAAAAGACAAACAACAAAAGAGCAAAAAGGAAACAAGGAATACTGGGCTGGCTCCTGTAGGCCTGGCCCGACTGCCTGGGATCTTCGATGAAAGTATCTTTTGCTTGTGGCACCGGGTGAGGGCTGCTCTGCAAAGTCATTACTCCCCCACGGCACCAATCGACGCCCGTAGGTCGACCGGCGTAACAAATGTAATTTATTATGCCTATGTGTCCGCTTGACTATCACGCATTCTCGAGTGACTTTTATCCAAGTTGGCTTTATTATGTAGCCTTGGTTCACTGCCTTCACTTCTTGAGAGTTCTTCAAGGGATTAATCGATGTTACTTCACTGCTTTTTGGATATGTTCTTAGACTCTACCTCTATGTTCTGCCCTGATGCACGTTCATGCTCGCTTTCGATCTGTCAGAGATCACAGAGGCAAAATTTTGAGACCGAGAGCGCACTCGATTAGCGCAGCAATAATCAGCCTCCAGGGGCATCAGCGTTTCCAGCGCTTTCATGATTATGATGCAGGACAAACAACTCGTCTGCACGGCACTCGCCTCGAGAGATAGACTGATCTCTCTCCTCGTAGTCTCTTATCAGATACATTGAGAATAGCTACCTTTGGAAGCAATAGACATAGGTCTACATCACAGTATTGCTGTCAAAAGGTGTTCGAGCAAGTTTCCTACCAAAGCCTTCCTGACATGCTTGCTTATTACCCCTGAGAGTGCCGAAGAAGTCTGACAGATCCGTATTCATCACTACATCTCATTCCATAACCAGGATACGGAGAGGCATGAATCCGATAGAAAGCTTTAGGCAGACTTCTAAGGTTGCTTTGTCCAATTAGAAGTAGAGCCATATAAGATTAGCTGCTACCAAAATCTATGTTGAAATCATATCAGATCGGTTTGAGTATCATTCTATGATCGAAAGCATGGACGAGACACCGACCAAGTCGAAATCGAGAGGGCTCAAGTACGAAAAGATCAACCGTGATATGGACATCGTCAGTGTTATTATTCGCCATCGCCAGACCCTCTTATGCAATAGTGCTAATTTATGCCGCAGACCTCGCTGGCTCAGTCTATGACTGATTCACCCCCAATGATCAACCAAATACACTTGCAATTGGCTCAACGGCCTCAAGCATCGGTCAACAGCCTTCTAACAGTACATCAGATCATGAGGATGGTAGCAACCCTCCATCAGCATCATTTTGATTCACTCACCTCCAGTGCTATTCCCTCTGTCCACCGCGAACATGTCAACAGCCATGGACCATTCGTATTGACGGTCCTCTTGACTCCGGAAAAGCCAGCAACGGTAGATAACGCCAGATTTCCGTTACGCAAAACCGACAAACTACCCTTTTGCAAGAAGAACAAGTCCCACAATCAAGCAGAAGAGGGGTCAGAGACTCTTGTTCCCCCAACCAGTCCGTGGAGTTCTCCATCTTCCAGTGAGTCTGCAAATGATCTCAAGAAAGCCAGAGGGTTGCTACGTAGAGCCCACAGAATGCTTGAGTCTGTTGGATTGAAGAGTAATGATGAGGTTTGGCAGCGTCAACAGAATGGCGAAGGAATGGGGAGTCCAAATGATACAACAAAACGCAGTGAGGGTGAGGTCATAAATTGGAAGGCCGAGAAGGCGGCGGAGGAAAGCTTCTGGCAGTCTTCTATTGTGCGACTCTGCTAGACGACAAATTTCTGTCTGATATCCAATTAGATTGGACACGGGTAGCCGCATATCATCTCCACGCTCTTCTCAGAGAGCCACTATCATTTCTAGCCATAATTTGAATATCATTTGCACCACAATCAATCTATCGTCTCGTCGTACTCTTTCCGAAAGCTTCCGATGGGTTTGTTCTCAAGACTCGTGTAAGGCAGGAATGCAGCTGGCGGATTGATCCTTTGTCACTTCCAAATCGGGTACCTACAACTTCCAGTACAAACGACCACCAAGCACTTCCGGACTCCTAATTTTCAGCTTTGAATATCTCCAAGTCGCGGAATATTCTGCCTCGTTCCAACACAGCACATCATCACAACAAATCATGGCATACCACAACATGACATCCGCCGAAGACGAATGTGTCATCGAGCCCGATAAGAGAGCTATTGCTGCTGCCGACATCGGAACTATCTGCTTTTTCCTCCAGTCTTCGTCGCTCTGCCTGCTCAGGTAGGCGAAAGCTGCAATGCCAGTCTAGTGTCATACTGATGTCCGCCAGGCCCGCAGCATCGCACCCACCTCTGGAGTTGCAGCTTATACCGCCGTCCACGATTCCTTTGCTCTAAACGCTCATGCCGACTAATGCTCTGCCGATCAAAACTCTCACGACCAAGACTTCGATGACTTCGTCTTTTCCAATGGGCATGAAGAAGACTTCAAGATATTTCAAGAGCGCATTGATCAATTGAAACTCTTGGCTGGAATCCCTTCAGACGTGCTCCAGTCACCCCTGCCAAACTTCTTGCTGTCCGTCTTGCCCACTCTCCAAGCACCACAAATGCTCAGTGCCAGACTGTCGACACTCACATCCCAAATTGCTGCAACGCCAACTTGAGGCTCCCGGCTGCCGATCAGACACACCGTGATGGGCGCATGATTGCAGCACTCAGCGAACTCAGCGCCCCTCTGGACAAGCACGCCACTGTTCTTGACCGCTACACCACCGCCATGAAGGAGCTGGCTCATATTTCTCCAGATGCTTGAGCACTCACGATCCTGCTGCATCCTCTTCAACAAGATCCCTTTCTGTCACGAGCACATTCTCCATATGCTGAATATCTTACGATACCATTCACACCCAGAAGCATTCTCCAGGCCTTTTCCAGATCAGCCTCCATCCGCCATCCTCTTGGCCCTCTCCANTGTTGCTTATGGCTTGGCTTCTTGTCGCGTGGATGACTGTCACCAGCATTGATATAGATCAACCTATTGTCGCTTAATCTTCCACCCCACGCGTCGAGCCCGACGTCCATTCGGCACAGCTTAGACATCTTCGTGGCAGCACGTGCAACGGCTGTGAATAGCTCGTCAAGTTTGGCGTGGGTCCATAAGCGGAACACGTCACAAGGTTGATTGCCATTAATGATCCGATCGCGTTCCTCTTCTTCGTAGCCGTATGTATCGGGTGGAAGCTCATCAATAGCGAAGGGTTCTGTGGAATCGTATTCAGAGCTCCTCGCACTTGTGGTATCATCAGCATCCGGTGTCCCCCAATCCATCTCCAGTCCAGTGTACCACCCGCCATCGGGTCTAACTGCGACGATTACGACACAGAGCTCCTCTGATGAACGCCATGGTGTATCTTCAGCGAGCTCCTCTCCCGGCCAGAAGTTTTCAGGGCCAACACAAATAGGTCCACACAACATTAACTCTGTCAGATTGGGCGCCTGCGCAAGTTTTTGCAATGCAGCGGATAACTCATCGCCGGGGAGACGAGCTTGACCACGCACATCTGCATTGCTGGATTTCTCATTCCAGGGCTCTTGGTGATGGAAAGTAAGCTGGAATGCGTTGATTTTGGATAGATCAAGCAGCCGCAGTTGCTTTGCAAGGTCTAACCTGAGTCGAGTGCGACGGCTCGATCGTGTCCTTTCCGTATCCGAGAACTCCCAGTTGGCATAAAGCAGATTTGGCATTTCGGAGGCAAGTGCTGGAGCGATTGCTGGCGCGAGTTTTCGTGGGCCGTCTCCAAAGATCGTGAGTGAGGAAATACTGTGCAACTTTGGCAGCTGCTCTGCTTGCAAGAGATGCAGATGAAAGTCCTTGTATCTATCCTCGAATACATCATAGCGTGCTCCCGCTATGACTGCAAGTGTGTCTGCTCTCAGTCTTCTCTTGACCCGTTTGTCGGCATCTAAAGAAGAGTAGCAGCGCTCGAAATGCAGATCGTAAGTTCCGGAATCGCGAACAACCTCGAAAGCAACCAGAACAGCAGACAAAGCAGCAATAGCATGGCTGAAAGCCTCGTTGTTGAGCCGTCTGTCTGATTCCCTCTCGAAACGCCCGCAGGCGCTCTCACTGTAATCGAGAAGTACAATGTAGAAATGCAGATTTCGTATGCTGCTCCGGCGATGTCTGTGAGGTGATTTTACCACGGCTTTCATGAACATATCTAGTTCCATCGATCGTACACGCAACCAAGCGAATGTACGCTCTTCAACGATGTGTTGCCATTTTCGAGATATTGTGGCATACGCTTTCAGTCGCACTCTGTCGACATTGAGGAATGAGATCACCTTGCTCAAAAGTTCTGAAGGTAATGTATCCATGAATGTGTTCTGATACTTGGAATTTCTAAGGTTGTTGAAAATAGAGGAAGAAGTGAGAAAAACAAGAGAGTCGAATGAAGTACTCCCGGTAGATTTTCGGTAAGCAACGACTCGAAAGCCCCTTGCCTTGCTTCTGAATACAGTTCCTTGCTTCAATACGACCGGTGGTAAAGAATTGTCCGCGGAGGATCGGGCGAAAGAAACAGGGGTGGACGGTTCTCCTGAACCTTGCTGTTTTATTCGGGAAAACCACGAGGAAATATCGAACAACTACCTCTACACTATCGTAGTGCTTTCCACATGCTCGCCCGATGGGAAGTCCGGGCATTGTGGTATTTTGGCTGTATTTTTGGACTAAAGCCATAGGTCTGATTCGATGCGGTACCTTGGCTCCATCTTCTGAAGTTTGGTTGTCCTTACTAGCTCCACGACAGCGTCGACGACCTGGTCGCCAGTGTATTCATAAGGTGCCATTCGCTCGAAGTCGTGCCGTATCTCGAACATGGGGTCCGCAAGCGCACGATAGTCCATCCGGTAACTCAGCATGACCACTTTGATCAATCCTTCGTGGAACTTTTTNACTCGCTGCCTCCACAGAGAGTATTTAAGGTTCATATCGCGGATGAACTGCTCATACGTACGTCGTACGTCGCTGAAGTCAGCATCATCACTTTCCGGATATGGTCGCACTTCTCGTTCGATTTCTTTTTGGATGGCTTTGACCTTTTTGTAGTGTTCGATTTCGAGCAGTGACATGGCTTCTTCTATTCGTCGGAGAGAGGTTGCTTCGTTTAGCATGTGGATTGTCAAGCTTATCGTGTCACGCTTCCAAGTACCTCTCAAGGCTTTTTTTNNGATTGGTCTTGCAGCATTGCCATCGGTGAAAGTTTGTAGACGGTAGCTGTGTCGATAGAACAGTTGGTGATGATCAAGCTCTCTCTGGTATTGTTCAGTGCGGAGACGAAAGGTGATACACGCTGCCCTTTCATACATGATCAGGATGTCGAGGGGTTCATCGACCCAATTCGCGTATTTCTTAGCAAAAGACGGTCCCTTCATTTTCCAGCTCTCGCGGTGCAGATAATCGTCTGAGGTGACAGCGCCTGCACCGCGGATACTGCTGATAAAGCCTTGTGTCTGTAGCTCTGGCAAAGTGTGGAATATCGCTTCATCGTCCAAAGTCCGTGTATTGATAGCCTTCGTTATATTCCGTGATGATTGCTCTGAAGAACAGTCCCAGATGAACTCTGTACGTCGCAGACGGAGGCGTAGACCCAGACCTTGAAGCTCGCGGCAGGTAGCCATAAAAGCATGACGGCGAGTAAGTTCCATCATCATCGATTTGGCAAGCACCCCAAAATTATAGTCCCTACCGCAGTCGTCAATGTGCTGGACGTTTGTGGCCGTGGTGTAGTCAAGGATTTGTTCGCGGAGCTCAAGCGGCAAGCGGGACAGTGGTGAGTCGTCCATATTTACTGTCAGATATAACGCCTTGCTCGATAGCACGAACAGGCTCAGTTGTTGACATGTGACTGTGAAGATAGGTGGTGAAGCCGTTGCACAGGGTTGTCGGATGTCTCAAGCTCGACGGTTGAGAACGCTGAGGTAGCATACGTTGAACTGAACCATCACCAAACTCTACTGACACCTTACATACTTTCCTCTTCGTCCATCTAACCTAAAATCTACATACCATATCTACAACAATTGCTCTCGCGTCACTGAGAAGTTTTCACGATGATATCTCAGGCCCTTAATGAGGGACGCGTCTCTGCAAGCGCCCATGGTAGATTGGGTGACGTCGGATCCGCTGGCAGCTAGCTTGGCCATGAACACTTATCCAAGTTTTATGCCAATTTTCGTGTGGAACATTGTGGCCAGAACAGTCTCGAGGATACGCTGGCCTATTACATCTATCCTCGTAGTAGCCAAGTGTCTCTCCCCATCAATGGATCTACAAATGACGTTCTGCTATACCAACTTAATTTCCAGTTTGTGAATATGCCCACTACTGTCATGTGGCTGGCTCGTCATCTCTCCAGAGGAGGACCATCTTGGAGGTATCGCATATATGAGGCATGTTCGCGACTGCTTTTCAAAAGCCAACTCATACAGATTCATACTCACTTGTAATACTTCAGTTACACTACCAATCAACCATAATCCAAGAACCATTCCATAATGGCTTTCACGAGATCAGCAAACAACACTACAACAGCCAGCAAGCCTTCGCTCTTGGGGCGCTTGAAGGGCAACAACCGCACCGTCACTACCACGACGAAGCACTCCACCAACCCAATCACTGGAAGTCACACGACAACGACAACCAAGAAGGAGGTTGGCACTGGTCACCACACCGGTCATCACACTGGTCCTGCAGCCACTACTGGCAGAGGAGTCGGATCAAGCACAAGGCACACGACAGGCCGCCGTACTGCAGGTACAACGACTGGAACTACCAGAGTGCAGAAGCGCAAGCCGACTGTCGGCGACAAAGTCAGCGGTGCTATGATGAACCTCAAGGGTACTGTTACTGGCAAGCCCGGCGTGAAGGTGAGTCCCGACAGATGCAGTTACAAGACGTGAAATCGCTGACGGTCTATTGCAGGGAGCAGGAACTCGCAGAATGAATGGAACAGATGGCAAAGGATCGCATTATACGCGTGCTTATTAGGAGGCCTTGAAGAGCAATTGACGACGCGATACCCTTGAGACGACATGAATGAGATATGTACGAGTAGTTTAGTTGAGCAAATGCGCAAGGAGCATCAAACCTTCAATCAGACAGCTTCGAGACTTGAGACGAGTCGATGTTTTGAAGGTCAGCAGGCGAGGCTCTCGGGGCGCGAGGCGTGTCGAGGGTCGTGTTGCTGCGGAGAGTTCGGAACCAAGTGGACTCTCCTTCAGGTCCCTGCCGCAGGAAAATGTTCCGAGGGTGGGGAGTGGTGCACTAAAAGACCCTCGTTCTTCTGCTTGACAGGACAAGCAGCGGTGCAGCCAAGCGTTCTTCCCGAGCAATATTGGACGACCTGAAGCGCAGCAAAGGTTCTTCCCAGCGTGAACCAAGTTCGCTTTTGTTTCTAGCCGAAATGACATGGCGAGGGCTTGCGTAACACCAGATCGACAGGTGAGGCCGAAGGAGGATCCTACGCCCAACTAGGGTTCCGAGACGNGGGCTAACTGGATGAGGGACAGCTCGCTGTGGTGTTCTAACATTAGCCTTTCTCACACGAAGCTGCGCGNNGCTTGGCTTCCTCCCGGTGACAAAGTCTGTGGCNCCGTCGAACATCATCGTCGCTTCCCAACCCACTTGCATGTACCTTCCGCGCGCACCGTACATACTCTCTTGAATTTTCTCCTTGCTGTGTTCACCGACCTCTTGCTTTCTTCCACTCGTTTACATCGCTTGGACGTGTTTCGCATCGCATCTTGTACAGACAGACCCCTTATCACTCCATATAACTAGCCTCAGCACACGACCGTTGGCAGACTCCTCAACGGCCCTTACGATCCGCGACATTAGCATCGTATCGCCGCCTGACTTGTAGGCAGTCACTTGGATAGAGATTTCTCGTTTGTTCCATCGCCAGCTCCTATATCCTGCAGCTAGCGACTTTTCTGCATGTCGCATACAATGGCGCGCTCATCACCGAGCCTTATCGCTCTCCTCTTCGCTCTCATCATGGTCTTCTCGACAGTAAACGCCAACAGCTTGCCATGGATGCTGAAGCGTCAGAACTCTCTGGTCGGTACAGGCGGCAGCACCTCATCCGCTGCGCCGACGTCCTCCTCCGTCGTGTCCACGTCGTCGGTCGTCCCCACGACATCATCGGCAGAGCCCACGACTTCCTCGAACCCACCTACCTCGACCAGTGAACAGCCTTCGACATCAACTACCCCTACATCCTCGGAGGCTCCTACTACTAGCCAGGCCCCTACCACGTCTTCACAAGCCGCTTCTACCAGCGAATCCGCCACCTCATCAGAAGCCCCAACCTCGTCTACCACCTCTCTTGTTGCCGAGAGCACTAGCTCTGCTGCCCCCTCGTCGTCTGCTGCAGGCTCCTCTGCTAGTCAGACAGCTGCTGCTTCCTCTGAAGGTGCCTCGTCGGGCTCTTCGGCTGCCTCATCTGGTGAATCCTCTGCTTCGGGCACAAAGACATCGTCCACCAAGTCGTCTAAGACAACGTCCTCTGAGATTGTCGTCATCGGTTCTGGAACTGCGGCCACGACCATCAACCGTTCGACTGTGAGCAAGGCTACCACCATCACCTCTGCACTGGTTTCCTCATCGACTCGCCGCTACACAACTACTATTGTCACGGTCACTGGCGGCAGCACTGTTACCACTGCTGTTCCTACCGAGGAGGTTGTTGCATCCACCACTGGCTACGCAACTGCAACCATCTCACCTTCGCTGAACGACAACGGCAGCAGCGGTAGCAGTGGAGGTGGTCTTACTGCTTCTAGCAAAAAGATCATCGGAGGTGTCGTCGGAGGTATCGGTGGTGCCATTCTGCTTGGCGGTCTTGCTCTCGTTGCCTGGCGCATGTGGGGACGCCGCCGTGCGAACGGCCCCAGAATGGACGACGATGATTTCACGGGTCCTCAGCCACACGAAAGCCTCATGACTGAGAAGGACGAGCCTCCGCTAGCCCGCTACCAGGGTGGTGGTGGTCAAATCAACACAGCATCCAATTTCTAACTGGTCTGATTTGATCTTTTGGTTCCTTCAAAATTGCATGGATGGGTGTTTCCTGGGTTCTCTTCTTTCTATTTTTTCAACACGACTTCTTTTTGGCTGTCTTTTGTAATGAAAGCGAAGCGAGCAAGCGATTGGTATCTTTATTCCCACCCTTTTTGTCCTTACATACCCTCCTTTTGAACACTCTATTTCTGTTTTGATATCCACACCTTGTGTCTCTGACACTACCTATATAGCTTTAGATCACATAATCAGTGACTATAACCAATCAATCAAAAAGTAATGCTCATTAAAGTTTCTGATCAGCCTTTTGCTCACTGTATCCTCTGACAAGATTCGCTTCCATGCTTTCACCCCTGCGTTATCTTCTTAGGCACTTCACTTGAAACCTCGCTCGCATCATCAAGGTTTCATCTCTGTCCATAGGGTTAACTGTTTTCTTCAACCCTGTCGACGTTCTCTCCGTCTTGTTTGTAGGAAGAAGTCACAACCATCAATCAGGGCCAATGAACAGAACAGAAACCAAGACAGAGTAGAAAAGACTCCAGACATTGAACATTGGGTATAATACTATTTCCGGTTTTCCTTTCCCATTGATCCTCCTCCTTCAAACCCCACCATCAACCTACAGCCCATCAATAGCCCATACATGGGCACTCTTCGAGAGAGAAAGAAAAAACGAAATCAAATAGGGTGCTCATGAGTGGCCGGCGTGACAATTAGTAACAGGGAAAAGAAAAACAAAAGATGCCATCGAAGAAAGGTCTCCGAAAAACAAAGAAGAGAAAAAAGAATCAACCAAGAAGGTAGCCGAAAGAAAAGCCTGGCAAGAGACTCGCAATGAAAAGCGGAAAGAAGAGTATTGCCAAAAAGAGCCACAAGAAGGATTCGTCCAAGGAGGATAAGGCAACTAAAGGATCTCTTACTCTCTAGGCATGAGGATCGCGTCGCGACACAGCACAGCGACTCGCTTGAATAATCTGCGCCACTCGAGCGGATCGCCCTTTGCCTTGACGAATCTGACCTCGACAAGCCCATCTTCGGCAATGGACTCGAGCACGACGTTCCCGCTGAGCCCCTGCTTGCGGCCATCACTCATACGGATGCGTATGTAGGCCTGTTTCGCCTTGTCGTCGGCGGCAGTGGCGGCGTGTATGGGTACATTGAGTGTGTGCAAGGCGCTGCGTACGGTGCCCAGTAGCTGAGGTAAAGCTTGGTAAGAGTAGAAACGCGCAAGGGACTGTGCGGGGACAATGTCGCGGAAGCGGCGGGCGTTTTGTGTTAGGGATAGGGGTACGTTGTGGCTTTGGCTGAACTGGGTCATGTGCGGTTCTTGCGAGAGTTGAGCGGCGATGAGGTCGTGGGTCATGGCGACACGGGAAGAATCATGTGCTGTTACGGGCTGGGAGGCTGTGAGACCTGCCAGGCGGGGTGGAGCTTCCCAATCGAAAGGTTGGTCAAAGGCCGGAGTTACAGGTTGTGTGGACATGAGGGCAGGTGCGGGCTGCGACTCGACCTGTTTGGGTTGCTCCTGGCTCTGTGACGAATCAGGTACCGTGGTAAAGTCGATGTGTAGGCGCTCGATCATGTTGGTAGCTAGACTGACCGAGTCGGAGACGGTGCCCTTTGGATTCATGAACTTGTTCGGACGCGTGTACCATGAATGGATGCGGATGTCGTCCAGCTTGAATCGTTCGAGTACGTCGACCTTGAGCATACCTCTCAGCAGACTCAATGCCTCGGATGGTATCTTCTCCCAAAGCTCATCTTCAGGACGGCCTTGTGTCTCGCAAAAATGGTAGAATTCCTCGCTCTTCCGTGGCTCGGGCTGGTCCCAAGGAGTGTTGCCGACCAACAGTACAAACAGCACAATGGCGCAGCTCCAAATGTCCGAGATGTTCGGGCAGTAGCCAAATTTGTCCTCGCCATGCTTCCTCTTTTGATTTGCGTGACCGACCTGGATGATCTCAGGGGCAATATAGGGTGGACTGCCACAGACCAGACCGCACATTTTCGAGTCTCCAGTCTTGGGGTTGAGGAAGGCCGTGGCAAGACCAAAGTCGGCCAGCTTCAGGTCGCCATTGGCCGTCAGCAGCATGTTCTCGGGCTTGATGTCTCTATGCGCAACGCCCTTGCCATGACACCAGGCGATGGCATTGACGAGCTGCTTGAAATAGAAGTGCGCAATGTCCTCTCCCACACCCTCGTCGGCCTCGATCTTGTCGAACAGGTCGCCACCCTCGGCCAGCTCCATGGCGATCCAGATCCACGATTGGTCGTCGCCGTGCGACAGGAAGCGGATTATGTTGGCATGGCCCGACACCTGGCGATGCAGACTGATCTCGAGCTCGATCTGCTTGGGCCGTAACCGGCCTACTTTGAAGGCATGCTCTTTGTTGATAAACTTGACGGCGATGATGGGTTTCGGCTTGTCCTTGGGCACTGCCTTGCGAATNTCTATTGGCAATTGATTGTCAGCGACGTCTGTTGTCCAACGGATGTGTGACCATCCTGCAGAAGGGTTGGATACGCACGATGCATATGCGCCGGACCCAATCGTCTTGGAGACGAGTCGAAAGGGCAGATTGCTCGGAAGTGGAGCTGCCTGCGACTGTGAAACGCGTTAGAGGAAAATGTCTAGTGTAAACATTCGTTAAACTCCTTGACCTACACCTGGCGGAACGCCCATGACTTGTGCTATAGCGGGTGATATCTTTTAGAAGCAACTGAAGATGCCACTAACGCGTTGGTTCCTTCTATAAAAAATTCAGGTCTGTGTGTCTCGATAATGTCGTCAAATGATTCATCTAGGGAAGACGCGTTGGCGTTGGCTAGAAACACGCGCTCGGCATGCCCAAACGAGCCAACTTATCGAAGCCACACGACAATCTAATTGAACCTTGGTCGCCCTCTTTACCGTCTAGCCGCTCAGTCCACACTGCCCATGTCTCACTCTATTCGACTCAAAGTCAAACACCCAGGCTCGAGCGTGGTACAAGCACATGATCGAGAGATAAGCAGTCTTGATAGACGTGTCATGTAATGGCGTCAGCTATTGTTACTTCTACAGTCCGTGCCGTTGCGCAGCTTCATCCATGTCCTTCCTCCAGACGTGACCTCCGTGCAATCGCTTAGTCGTCAAAGTGCCGCCCGCCGCTTTGCTGCCACTCATGTGCTGAATGCAGGAATAGCAGATGAAATAGAAAAAAATGAAAGGGACAAAGAAGATAATGAAAGAGCCATCTGAACGAGAAAGAAAAAAAGCAACATCAGATTACTTGTCGTTTTCCTCGTGCAGTGATGTATCCAAAAACAAAAGTAGAGCGAACGCCGATCTGCTATGCACCCTGAGACGCCTGTGATGCCTTTATCCGAATGGAAAGACCAGAAATAAATACAGCGTGGGCTTGACACCCACAAGTTTGAATTGGCCACATGAGGCACGTCCGGCGCGGTATCTGTTGATAGGATTATCCAGATTCGTCGTCGGAAAATCGTATCCAAAGCTGACACGCCTCACTGTGTGCGGCGTGACTGAGGGATACATTGAGGCATGAACTGCGTCGTGTGTGTGTGTACGACGAGGTGATTACATCGTCCGCCATATCTCGGCTTCGGAGACGACCGCTTTTGGTGTGACCGAAATTGCTGAGAGAATAGGTATTGAGGTTGGCGGGATAGGAATTATTAAGTATTGGCGATACCAGCAAGCGTCTTTTATGAGACCGATGCGGCCGAGAAAGCTGCGTTCATTTGGTCGTAGTTTGTACGATTCTCAAGCATTCTGATGTACTTGGGATCTCTGCTGAACTTGGGAACGGAATCNCTGGTTGACTGTTAGCATCGAATACTTTCAAGACCAAGTACAGTACAACTTACACTGGCCATGAGCTTGAAGACGCTGGTCTGAGCCTGATCGAACAGAGTGGCAACCTCGTCCAAGCTGGCGATCATCTCGGTATCCTCTCCTACAGCACGGGTCATGCGGCTAGCAAGAGCATTACGCAAGTTGTGGTCAATGTTGAGCTCACACGGCGAACCGGGAGCAAGGAAAGCATTGTACAAGCCTGAACAAGAGGTTAGTTTTGTCTGAAAACAAGATACCAGTGAGATGAGCTTACTGTAAGCCGAAGCCAGGGTTTCGCGAATGAGATCCAGACGAGGGGCAGGCACTGAGCGCTTGGCAGAGTTGTAATCCAGCAAAAAGCTTCTGACTTCGAGATAGAATGTTAGGTTCTCCTCGCAGTGGGTTTCCTGCAGAAACTCGCGGAAGACCAGGCGCTGTGCGGGATCGTGAATGATTTGCGACATTCTGGTGGTGTTGGAGTCACGAGCAACTCCAGCAGGCAGCTTGACAATCACAGCTTCACCATTGATAGATCCGTTGGGGCTTCTGACCCAGCCAGCAATTCTCATTCCCTTGTCGGTAACGCCGTAATGCGCTGTCTTGAGGGGCTGGAAGCGGGAGGCAGCGGGCGTGTTGCGCTCTTCGGTCAAATTGACAATCAGTTGGTGCACCATGAATTGCTGGGCTATGTCGCAAGCTTCCTTTCTGTTGACAACCATGCAGCAATCCATGAGCCAATCAAGAGCCGACTTGCCAGTGAACATGTAGGGNGTGTCCTTTTCAAACTGCTTGCGGGATCTCATCATGTGCACGCCGACCAGACCGGTTGCGTAATCGTGTAACGATTCGGAGTCGGCCGTGGCAGTGCTCTTGAGGTTGGGACCTTCCTCGCCACAGAATCGTCTGAAAACAACCTCAATAGTGCCGCGATCAATGTTGATGTTATCGTTCTCGGGGACACGTTCGAGGATGACGAGTTGCATGGTGTTGCGGGGCGAGTCCAAGAGCTCGTTGACATGGCGTTGATGGATGCCGTTGCGCTGGCAGAAGCGAGTGAGAACACGCATACCCTTGGGGGTCAATTGCCACACAGAACTCCTCGAGCTAAAGTCGGTCTTGCCGTCCAATGATTCGACAAACCTTGCTTCTGAAAATCTGTTGCAGACGGTGCGAGCCATCTCCTTGGCCATGGAAAAGGTTGTCGTGGTTGTTGTGGTGACGATTCTGGAGGGGTCTTTCGGGTCGGGCATGCGGTTGGATTGGGAGAATTTGAGCGACCCAAGGTTGGTCAGAGCTTCGTCGGTGGTGAAGGTGTGCTCGACCTTGGTGAAGCGGACACGGTGAGGTGTTAGAGGCAGGCTGACCATCAATGTCGAGAAGAGATCCTTCAGATCCTACACAAGCGCAGTGTGAGTGGGGAAGTTTATCGAAACAATGGCGGAAAGCAGACTTACTCTGGTGAACGGACGGTCATCGTCGGTCTGACGCAGCAGACGGGACGAAGTTTGATGCATCTTTTGTCTGGCGTTGATTTCTTCTGCAGACCAGGGAGGAGTTGTGGCCGAGAGGAAGGTGTTTAGCGAGATTCGCTTGTCGTCGAGGCCGGGGCGACGGGGGTGGTAGTCGAGCGAAGACAACGACTCCTGCGACAGGCGGGACGAAGAGCGTGTGGGCGACTCGAGAGACTCGCAAGCAGGAGTAATACGGCCCAGCGAAGTCAAGCGAAGATGCTGAGAGGTTTGGCGCTGAGAGGCAGCAGCAGCAACAGCAGCGGCGGGTGATGGGCCGGGACGATTTAGGTGGACGCTGGTTATGACGCCGGCAGATCGGCTCGCCGAGTCTTGTGTGGTAAGGCTGTCGTGCTTGGTTCGCTGGTGTTCACGTGGCGAAGACGAATCTTCACGGGCACTGTTCTTCACGCACAGCTCGTCGGGCACAAAGGTCAGGCTGGATGGCGACGAGGGCTGCTGTGAGGGCGCGTGGGTGGTGGTGAATGCAGGAGGACAAGTGCTGGATGGGGTTGGATGAGGCATTGCTCGGCTCGTGGCCTGGATATCGTAAGGCCTTTCAAGTTTCAAGTACTGTGGGTACGACCATGCTAGCCCGAGCTAAGAATTCCACCAGCGCCGCTTCATGTGTCAATTTTCGGAGCCATGAGATCAGCTAGCCGGCGCCCTGCTCGCGTGGTAGCAGGGGTTTGATCAACTTTCCCCTTTCCGTGGATAGCGCCGTTGGACCAGCACGGAGGGGGCGGCCACGCTACCTTCGAGCACCGCGTGCGCAATGCCTCATCAACCACAGCGGTGATCAATTCATTATCCACCCGTTGCCCACTAACACCGACTGTTGTCAAACGGCTACAGCTAATTCTTTCCTGTAAATGCACCGTGCCTCTACCCTTACCCGCTCGCTCGGCTCTACGCACGTATCTCGCTCGCCTTCTTCTCTTCTTCACCGCATCCGCTGTCTCGCGAAATGCTTCTAGCACCCTTCCACCTCTTCTGCCACCTCCCGCCGATCGTGCGAAATCGCTGTGTTCCACGTGCATCCACTCGTCCTCCACTTGCCCGCTCCTGTGCGTCGTATGCCCAGGCACCTTCATGCATGTATCCATCGCTCATTAGATCGCATGGCGTTTTGAGTCATCCGCCACGCCTGCAGCCCGCCTGATTTGCTTGATTCGTGTGAGCAAAAGGTTCCCACACGCATGTGTCGCTTAGCGTGTCGCAGCCGTCGATCAAGGAATCCTGCCTTTTCTTGCCAGTCTGGGCAGGGATCTTTGTCGACTTGCCTGCTTCCCTGGTTTCATGCACCATGTACCGTGTGCGTGAGACGACCTCCCATGCCTTTCTCAACACATTCCTGTGGCTCTGTCAGCCCTGTCTTGTCGTCGTGTACGGGAACAAGACCAACAGCTCATCGTTGAGTTGACAGCCAAGATGCAACTAACAGCCTCACGGAATGGCTCCGCTTCGGTATCCTTTCCCATCTTAATTCAGTTACTCAGCGCTAATCCACACTGACTCGACAGCCGCACTAACCATTCACATCTTCATACGGTCCCTTAGAAAATGAAATATGGCTCCAACAGGCAAACAGACCGGTCGCCCTTGCAGGCGCACAACAAAAGGACACGTGTGGATCTCGATTGACCTGGCAAGAGAACGGTTCTCAGCGTATGAAAGTACCCATGTACATTCTCCTTTGTGGTAACCTGAGCTAGGTGTACCATTCTTTGCCCAGGCCATCAACTGTTGGAAATGGATTTCCCCTTGCTGACGGCTTGCCTCGGGCTTCGACGAGCGTTTTCCGTCGTCCGAGAGATTTTACAGGTGAGGGCTCCGTTCGACGCAATGCTCGTATATGCCATCCAACTGCTGGCATAAACGCCCGATTCAGGCGGTGCCCTATGCGCCAATCAATATCGCGGGTATGAGAATAGTATGACGGGTTCATGAGGCGTATCTAAGCTTAGTTTTGGTTCCATCCTTCGTCCTAAAGGCATGCTTGTAGGCCTTTCTTTTGGTCCCGGCTGACCAATGTACTAGACTGATGTTCGCCGTACGTGTCATATGTTGCAACGAAGCAACAGAGTTTTGGTAGATCGTGTCCATGTGGCATTGCCGGTGGGCAGAGATCAAAGCGTAAGCGCATTGCCGAAAGCGTATGTACACGAGATGGAAGCCGAGGCCAGCGCTCATGTCGTTGACAACAGAGGAATTGTGACCAGTCACCAAGCGGTCAGGCTCAGAGCATGAACATGGGAAGAGCTCTGCCCGGGTTTGCATGCAATCGGCGACTGGGGTGCAGTAGAAAAGGCCACCCTGATAGCTTTCGTCCGAGGGTTCGTGGAAGCGAAAAGTTGATATGGACGTCTGGTCTACATGCTGCTTCCGGTTGCTAGCTATTGTTTCAAATCGCACAGCTGCAGGACCACGAGCACTGATGCCACGCGATGGAGGAGAGATCCAGAGAGTTGGTCGTTCCGTGAAGATCACACGGTTGACAGGCGGAGATCTGCATATGCAATTTGTCCTTTCCGTCACCAAGAGATCTGAATCTGGTTCCTTCACTCCAAACGTTGGCGACTGTGGCTGACTTTCCCTCTCGAAGATGCTGACACCAGCACGCCAGAACTCGCATGCTCGACCTGCTGTACAACCACAGTGTCGCAGAAAGCTGCCTTTTGGTGCTAGGCCCGGGCAACGCCTAAACGTAGCTCCGAGGAAGCTCTTCTACACAAAAACAAAAAGCCACAACCGATGCTTGCTTGTAGGAATTCGACGCTCCACCAATCACCTCATACCCTCCCGCTCGGTGGTCTTGTCGGCTGAGTTTTTGACCAACCGTTGGAACCAAGTCTTTTATGGCACTGCCATCTCCTGGAGGCCAACACGGAAGCAGACCCGTAACGGGTGAATTAGGAGCAATAGCATCGGCGCATCCGTAGGGCAAGATCTCGTTCTCAACAACAACCAGAACGAAGCACATTGCTGCTCGTTCTGAACATCTTATCAACAAACTGCTCCGAACAAGCCCCATGCTCTGACCCCAGTTTGAGTCCGCACGTGGACACTAATTGAGGATAGTGTGTCTGTCGATCATACTAAGCACGTTGCTGAGTCGTCTCACGTCTCTGCGTCGACCTCAGAGTCATGCAGAACTACACCAAGAAAATCCGAGACTGAGCGGTACGTACTGGAAACAAGAAGAGATGAAGAGCGGAACGCTTGATCTCAAACTGGACAAAGACGCATGTGGCTTGCATGCTACAAGCTTTCGCACGTGGCAGTCGCGTGGGATAGCTTGGCACAGTTTGTCCATGAGTCGTGGTGACACGCTGGCCAAAGAGATACTCGACAAAAGAGTCAATGCGTGTTTGACCGCCCCCAAATGATGTGTATCGAATCAGTGCTCATCCTCCCATCGGATATCACTCGCACATATCGCAGACAGAACTGCTTCTGACTGTCGGTTTCAAGAAGTATTTTTTCTTCGGTCATCTCGAGCCAAACTTCCTCCGACCAGGCTCATGAGTCGGAACCGAGCGACCCGGACTAACAGCGAGCAACCAAATGCTTTGACAGAAAAAGGAAATGGACTAGAACCCGAATCGAATCCCGCAGAAGGTGCACCAGCAACGCCCGACTATCAAGCGATTCATGCCCGCAGCCACAGAGATTCAACCACCACTTGACATCATCTTCCGATATATCGAAAGAAGTTTTGACTTCTCAACTCATCTTGGTGCCGCGAGAGGGCTTCTGTTCTAGAAGGTCTGGCTTTTGGTTGCCAAAGCTTCCATCCCTGTTCCACGGCGCTTCTAGCGTCCTTTTAGGGTTGCTATAGGCGAGAATGGAAAGCGCCATCCGGGGTGGCTTCCTAATTTCCACACAGTCTCCCAACACCTGCTGCAGCCACAGTCATTTTCTGCGTTTCTCGTCAACATAATTTGATTCGAGTCGATGCTTGTCGTTTCCGTTGATGCGGCTGCAGGCAGAGTGGCCGTGGTCGTTAGTTCAACATCTCTGTCAAGAAACGAGGGCTTGCTTCATGGTTCCGTGCGGACCGAGACTGGACAACAAAGATGCACTTGCCGACGGCGTTGTCCAGAACCCGAACGGATGGAGGCTTGACAGTTCGTCTATCGCGAACAATGTCGTCTTGGTACCGTGCTACAATACATTTCCTGCTCATGAGGCGCACCATGCCGAAGACAAGATTCGACCAGGGTGACCCAAACACGTGATGCGAGATGTTTACCGCGAATCGTACCTCTCAGATGTTCGATCTCGTCTAAGATCGCCTAGTATGTCATCTGGTTACTTTAGAATATCATCTAGTCATGGTCTGCCGTGTGTCGCCCACTTGTTGTTTCCGTTGGCCCATTCTTGCGAACGCAGAGTTCTTCATCGTCCATCACTCGGTGCTTCTTGCAATCTTCCGCAATAGCCGTCATGCCCGCTGGATCCGATCTGTACTTTTCTAGGATCAGCATGATCCGCCGCCACGACTCTACCATGATGACCGTGTGGCCAGGGTCAGGTTTTAGAAGAGCACGCCTGACGCGTACTGTATGTGAAATGCCACATGTATGCAGCATACAGCCTGGCGAAGCGCATACATACTGCAGAACTGTGACCTGCGGTGAGAACACGCGAGAGGTGTTTTCCCGAGAATAGGCGCAGCGGCAAACCATGCAGGACACGAAAAGAAAGAAACAAACACGAGATGATGTGCATGACGGTTTCCCGATAGCTTCTGCAGCATCAATTCGGAGGCAAAAAAGAAACAGAAAACAGAAAACAGAAATCCTGCATGCTTTTGGTCGTTTGGTGGTTTGTTCTTTCTCTGAACCAACCGTTGAAACAAACGAAGCGATCGCGATTTACAACCACGTGCGAAGAAGGGCGGAGGAGTGACCATTCCATTTTGAACACCTATGATCCAAAATGATTCATACAACATCCATAGATTGGAACAAGTGGACGATCACGTTTTTCGGACCTCCGAAAAGAGACAACGCACATCAACCACGAAACAGCCAACTTCAAAGTAATGCCTTGCGATAACGATCAACCCAACATATAACTAGAAGGACGATCTTAGGAACAGATATCGGACTCTTTCGGAGGTGTGCAAGATGTACTCTTATCCAAGTAACAGGGTATGGCTCTGCATACGGCAGCCACCATGGTGTGAAACGTTAGAACGTGGCTTCATGAACGCGAGTACTTGTCCGTTGCATGTTCAGCTGTGCTGGTTCGACATTATCCGGGCGGTGAGCTGGACTTTTGACCGTTCTTTGCAGGATATCACGCCCACCAATAACGTCGTTGCATGTATGTTCTCATGTTTCGAATATAGTGTGTTGAGCCCTCCATGGTAAGGTAAGTTGTGTGTGTGTCTTGACCGACTGCACGCTGTTGTTCCCGAGCAGTGATCTTATGCAGGTGTACATACTGCACACCCATACTCGATGTTCTACGTATGTTTGCGAGAGATGTGCACCTATCTTTGCACCCTGAACCTTGGACTGAAAAAACCCACATTATGCCATTTATCTCGTTTGCGAATCCACGACTCTGAATTCCTGGCCATCAGTAGTAGATGGTTTGTACCGCTCTTCTCTCCGGTACTGATATACAAGGCAGAGGGCGTTGTAAGTATACAACTGCACCAGCGAATCACACAGCTTACCAACTCGCCAAATCTAACAGAATCCACTATCACATCTACCAACCAAGGAAAATCGATATCGATTTTAAGCTTTCCTTGACAGCGTGAGCGAGTGGTATAGCTCCAAGCATAGACATATCTGTCAGAATCAGATATAGGTATATCCCTGTCTATACTATTGCTTCAACTCATACAACCTCTGGACTAGTAAGGATGTCGCAATGTATGGCCCATCTTATAAACAAGGCAACTGTGCTCGTGACCTGTGCTACTGCTCACCGCCTATGCGTCCCATGTCGAGACCTGAGAATAACTGATAGACATGGCGAATCAATTCAGGGAGCGAGGCGAGAAAGAGAAGGGCATTATCAACTTATCGTCAAGATTGTTGCAACAACAAGACCTACTCCGCTTACCCTGTGAACAACAACACCGCTCGGTTGTCACTTGTCTATTTCAGATCATCTGTTTCCAATCACCTCAAACCAACCGATAGTCACACGAAACTATTAGGGCTAGAAGATCGAGACACAGTCCGTAGCTTGCAAACCTCATCACTAGCTTTATCACGGCCAACAACAAGAGTCTCAGAGTCATGAGTAGTCTCCAGGCCTTACAGGCAACAAGAAGAGCCGAGCATGCTCTGCTATAAAGCACATACAAATATTGCACGGCCGATTGTGTTCCGCATTGACCATGGAGACAACGAATAGTCACAAGTGCCGACAGTACAAACCACGTTCCGAACTTCGCTCCGTTCGCATACGATATTCCCGCGGTCCCGTGTTCCAAAGGACTGATTTACGGAGGGTGGTTGCGTACGGCCGAAGATATTCATACCAAGTCAGTTACACTTACAGCTAGTATTGTGAGTTTAATACCACGTGCTATCCGCATGACCGTGAACAGGTTTCGAAGATCGCGGCATGCGGGTAAAAGAGAACGGGATACGACGTTACACTGAATCGAGGACACTTGAGTTTCGACTTGGTCCCTGTGGAGTTCAAAGTTTATGGTAAGGGAAACTTGATGTGCGCAGATCATTACGGTATGCGTACGAGTTGCACCATTTCCCCAAAGCAGCAAGCAGAGTGAGAAGACGGGAGATATAAGTGGCAAAGGAGGTTGATGAACAAACGTTGTGAGGATAGATGGCGAATATCGTGGGTTGTATATACAGATGACCAAGAGACTACAGAAGAGAGCAGGGGTATAATAGAGATGTGGGTGAGAGTTGGACAAGAAAGGGCGTACAGCCGAAGAGTGAGAGAAGGGGAAAGTGCAAGTCTAGAGCATGATAGCGCATCTAACCAGCAACAGCAGCAACAATGACGACGGTCAGGATGACAGCCAGGATCAACAGCAGACAGCACATCTTGTTCCTTGCATTCTTCTGATGTCTGCTGGCAGTACGCAGCTCACGATCGGCACCTTGAGTATCGTCTCTGGTGCTGGTGACGTTGTTGCTAATAATGTCGAGTTGGCCGCCTTGGTCGTGCACCATGTGAGCGACGTCTCTGAACAGCTCGTTGAGCTCGCCCACGGACTGCTCAATGTTGCGAATCTCGGCCTCGCGCTCGACGATCAGAGATTCTTGGAAGTCGACTTCGGACTGATCTGCCAGACGCAGCTGTTCCTGCTGCTGCTGTTGTTGTAGTTGCTGTTGCGAGCGCTCGACGGTTGGCGAGCCAGATTCCTCGAGAGCGGTACGGGCAGCGGTGGCAGAGGCGCGTTGCTTTTCGAGAGCGGTTCGTTGCAAAGATTGAAACTCGGTCAGAGAGGCCTTGAACTCCTGGTTCAACTTGCCTTGGGTGTACTTTTGCGCAGGCNNTATGGTCGTGTTAGTACGAGGGGGATGGGGCTAGGACACAGGTGAACATACGCCCAAGTCGTGCCATGCCTGGACCTTCTTCAGACCATCACCAATATCCTTGAAGCTTGCCGACGTCTCCTCGAGCAGATCCTGGACTCTTTCGCGCACGCGATCGGTTTCGCGCTTGGTACCGAGCAGGGCGACTTGGCTGGACAGGCGCGAGATGTTTGCGGTGAGGGAGAACAGGCGATCGGAAAGGTCGGTGGTGAACTCGTTGAATTCGGGGTCATCCTGATATTCAGGGTCGTCGGAGCGGCGCCATGTGGTGGGTTGTGCNTATCAAGGTGTTAGAGAGTGCGAGCGATTGGGGATCAGGCAGCGCTCTGTCTTGCCTTCGAGGTTGGGCGAGTCTTGGAACGACATGATTGTATGTGTCTATATCTATCGCGTCTTGGTGGTAACGAGAGTGAGTGTACAGAGTTGGTGCCTGGACTGGGTTGCAAGAGGCTCGGCCGTCGTCGTCTTGGTCGTCGGAATGCGGAATGCGGAGAGACTCAGTTGCGGAAGGAGCGAAACGGCAGGGTGACGTCGAGGGTCGCGACTGCGCGAAACGGTGCTTGCTTGGCGCATGAGCAGCTTCTCTTTGTGTTTTGTCTGTTGGAGCTGCCATCAACAAACTGCAAGACCTCACTTTCGTGTTGTGGTGTGAGCTATGAATCCGCCCGCCCCTGTCAAGGCGGCGCCCTTGGCTCGCCCATACCGCGACTTCCTCACCCCGTCGTTGCACAGAAGATTTACGAGTGCTGCCCTGGTTGGACTGGCAGCATGCTGGCTCATCTCTATTCCCATGGCTAGCCCTAGCCTGTTCTGGTCCTGGTTCCCTCTTGGTCCTGCTGGTGTTCGCACTCTCTTCCTCTTCATCTCGTCGCTCTCCATCTTCGTCCTCCGAGTCGCTCAACTGCACTTTGGCCCGCGAACCACCATCTCGACCTTTGAGTCTTTCTGGACCTACCTAGTGTCCAAGAACACCATTCTGACCTGCTTCTGGTACTCTCTCTCGGCCTTTCTCTTTGCCGAGCTTTACATCTTCACCACTGCCAAAGATGCCAATCTTGCGTGGATCGACCCTGGCAGGTGCGTCTATCCGAACTTGCTCCTTCTGTACGCGCGCTGACTCTTGTNNAGATCCTACGAACGTCCCAAGTTGAACGAGCGACCCATTCTTCTCCGCTCCCAATTTCTCTTCCTCGCCCTGGCTCAATCCGCCATCCATCTCTACAAGGACTATGACCTGATCCGCCTGCCACAATCTCCATCCAAGAGCTCGCCAGTTATGCAGTTAAAGGACGAAATTAAGAACATTGTCGCCCACACGGCAAAGCTTGTCACTCTCACCTGCTTGTTTGGCCCCTTCTTCTACTTTGTCATCTGGAGAAACCTAGCATGGGCTCTGGCCTTCAAGATCGGTCGTACCCTGTTCTTCCTGCCCAAAACAACAAGACCCGCAGGTCTTACCGACCCCGTCTCTCTTATCGCGCGCTTCCTCTGGTCTTCGATGCTTCTGGTCGCTCTGTGGGAACTGTCCAACCGTGCCTTTACCATCTACACTGCTCAAGAACCTGTCAAGAAGGACAAGCCTCTGACCGCCGACTCTAAAGATCCCAATGGTAGTTTGATTGCCGGATTAAAGGCAAAGAAGGAAATCCCTAAGACCATGGCTTTCTGGGAGCTTGCCATGATCACCAAAAAGTTCGAAGAACGTAGAAAGACTCTGTTTGCCGAGCTCGATAGAAAAGGCGGATCTACCTGGTCTCAAATCTCTGGTACTTGTTTGATCGAGATTCAATCCGTCATTCAGCGCATCCAGGACTCGCAAGCAGCCGTTTCTAACACACCCGAACAACCTCAGCCAATTCAGACACTCCCGAAGATCTCGTCGCGCCCTGTCAGGGAGGACGCCATCTTCATGGCACCACCTCCACCCTCAACCGGCCTGCAAGCTTTCGAAAGTTCTGTTGGCTTGGTCGCTAGATCCTACGGCCAGTCTCATGGCGCCACCAATCCTGTCAGCCCACGAGCACAGAAACTGCTCGAGTATGGTGCTGACCGCATCCTCACCAAGGAACAACAGGAACAGCTTGGCCGCGCTGGCATGGTCAACAACGCGAACGGTCTGATCTCTTGGCTCATTGGAACACCACTCGGCATGCCCTTCCGTCAATCCTTTGCCCGTCGCATCAATGCGACCGTGTTTGGTGTTCCATTCAGCACTGGCGCCATCATCACAAATGCCGTACAAGCCGTCTGTGGCCTTGCCGTCGCTAGTCTGAAGGAAGACAACCTCGGTCAAGTGCAGAAAGATATCTCGACCATTGTGCGCACTCTCATCATTACCACACAACAGATCCAACTTTTCGTCCGAAACCTGCCACCGCATTGGACAGACATGGACTTTGATGGCAACCGCCGAGTCCCAGAAGTCGAAGAACTGTTGAAGGTTTTGCGTGATGGCTTGCACGAGATTGTCGTTACTTTTGGCGAGTATGCAGGTAACCTGGGACTTTCAAGGTCCGAGATGATGATTGCTAGAGAGTTGGCGGGTAGAGGTCCTGAGATGGAGTCTGTGAAATAAACGACACGGTTATTCGCATCTTCTAAACTAAATACAGTCCAAACAAAAAAAAAAGTTCAAGATTCTCCAAACTTGTTTCATGGTTTATTCATGTCTATGTTGATTGCCTCTTGATGGACGCTGCCTTGTTGCTGAAGGCTACCGTGCATTTTTATAGCTATGCTATATGCATCGACCCAAGTATGGGATGCCAAAATCGGCAAGAGCGTTTGATCGGTACCTTCTTCATCAAGTGAGCTCTGCAATTTACTAATCCAACTTGCGACTCCGCCGACAGCCTAGAGAATCCAACTCAGCATGAGACAAAGTGTCAAACGAATATTTTGCTTTTCACAATGGTCCTACTTGCATTATGGAAAAAACGATCAACAAGTTTACTTGATTTTCTTCTCCTTCTCCGGGCTGGTCCGCAAGGACTCTGGTAATCCTACTGAGGATCAGAAGATCCTCCAGAAGATGCTGTGACTCTTGCGACTTCATGGGCAGAAATTGCAAGCACACCTATAGCGAGGACGACAACGACGTCTATGACCAACAACACAATCAGCTGTTGTCTCGGTAGAGAGTTACGAGGTTCATCGTGTGGTTTGTGCAAGCGAGCAAGAAATGGCAATCTGGGATGAAGAGAGTTGGATAGTTACCCGGCCTCCGTTGATCAATGTACATCAGGGAATACGGCATCTCAGTGACGCGGTAGACACACTAGTCTATCTGCCATGGTAGCCACGAAGCTTAGGTGGCTGTTCCTCCAAGGCACGTTTTCGTTTCTTGTTCTTGATCTCCAACCACGAGGGTGGAGTAACACCGTCTTGTTCAGGCTGGGCTTCTGTCTCCGAGGTAGGGTTTGTGTTCGGATTGGAAGCCGTGTTGTTGGATGCCGTGGTATCTGTAGTCTTGCGAAATTCGCGGCCGACATGGTACACTTCTGAGCATGCAAAGTATCTGCCGCCTGCTTCCTCAAAGCGTGGAAGCTCTTTCATACTTTGGAAGACAAGTTTGGTCTTTGCATCAGGCGCCATCTGCCACATTTTATAGTGAGCAATCGCCCGTAAGCCATCGCACCTGTGAGTCTCGTCGACCAAATCCAGATCGTGTGTATGATTCGGACACTGGTCGTGAATGCTGGTCCGGTCAATGGTGTAGCTGAGTATAGTCTCGCGATCCTCGCATAGTGAGCGACTACGCTCATTGTGAACGGGCATGGTTTCTCCAAGGGTTGCCGAGTTGTTCGTGTACGAAGACCTTTACCAGAGGATGGTGTCGCCTTTTGTGTGTTAAATAGACACCGGTAGTTCGTTCTCTGTGTATTGAAGCGAGGTGCATATGGACTGGCCTTCTCATTGGTAACTGAGTGGGAATCATCAGCAGGAGTTTGTTAGAAGAGATGATGGAAAGGGGTCATCATCTTAGCGATGGCATCTTGAGAGCACGTCTTCGAACACCCTGATGTAGGACGTAGGCAGGCTAGAGACATTGCAAGTGAAAGCTATACATTAGAGGCATGGTATTGGCGACTCCTTACTTACACCAATTTGAGATCCATGGCTTGATCTCATCGTACTCTTCAGACACTTGACAGCTTCTTTGAGGTCGAATGATATTTGTCGTCTCCGAGCAATATTAAGAGGTATTGACTCGATGACCAATCTAGCAGATGGACGCAATAGGAAACAGAAGCTCTTATCCGACCGGGAGTTGTTGAATGTTTACGATGGTCCATGCTTCTACCTATCTCCTTCCTCAAAACAGCTTCCTTTCAACACAGTATTGACACTTCTACAATCGTCTACATCGTAGCATATTGAGCCCACAGCTTATTTCGCTCGAACTTCTCCCAGTGATACTGGTCCAGGCCGATGACGACCTCCATATCGTCCGTTGGTAACGCAGGCAGAATAACCTGGGATCCATTGAAGAAGCCCTCGTAAACGGTCCTTACACGATCACAACGACCACCTCCAAACATAGGACCCCAATAGATATCATAGAATGGTACACGGTACCATGAACTCATCATAATACTAGTATCCATCAAACCAGCGAACGACGCTGGCGCAATGCAATCATAGCTGTGGACACCATTCAGAAAACCCACCAAGGACGCGATGTAGTGCTTGTTCGTTCCAAGGATAGCCTTGTGGATTGCGCGAGCCACCTCTGTCAAACTGGTTGTTGCAAGCATCTCGCAGACGCTGACACATGGAGTGGCATATACCATAGGACAACCGATGTGATGTTCTGGCAGTGGCTCTGTGCAACGTGACCTGCCATCGACGCAGATGGTGTTCAACGAAATTGTGTCCCGTGTAATATTGTCGGAATTGATTTGTGCTGCCAATACGCATCGCCAGACGAGTGCACATACAGCATCATTGGTCGATATATGCTCTCCATGATCCAGATTACCTGACACATCCATCTTTAGTTTGACAAGGCTAGCCGCAGAGATTCGATACACTCTGGTCCGGAAAGTCTGTTTGAACATGGCCTCTGGTGGAGCAGGAGGCGAGCCAAAAACCAGGTATTCGGGATGGGCACCTGGCGTGTCAAGACCATGATGAAACGGCATCTTCTCGAACACAGATAGGGGAAGCTGCTCGCACGCAGAAACCATGTTTGGGTCCTGGAGGTGTCTACAATTCTGAGCCCAAACCCTCAAGATCTTATAGATGGTTCTGGCATCCGCAACCAAATGCATAATGCAAATATTGAGAATCAAGCCGCCGTCGATAAGGGTCGCCTGAGCAGCAAAAACCGGTATAGGAGGTGCATGTACAGGAAAGACGGGCATAGGACAAAAACGCGTTGCGAAAGTGCTTCTGCAGGAAATTCCCGTTCCTTGAGTGTTTTGTAGGTAAGAGGAAACAATCCTCCTCGTAGGTCTTTTTTGACCAGCACGCCTTCATTAGAATTCTGCTGCAAATTGAAGCGACCTTTCTGTTGTGCCTCCATATCGGGTACCATTTCGGCTGTCAGGATCGGAATTGCTTTCTTGGTGAGCTCTAGGGCCGCTTCGAGCAACGGCAATACATCGTTGTCCTGCTCTTCCAGAGGAAAGAAGAACAGTGGTCGGATGTAGCCACGAGGACCACTTTGTTCGACAGTGGAAAGTTTCAACGAGGGATGTGAATCGGCCATGATGCTCCTTGCTGCTCTCCGGATCCGTGTAATTTCGTAGTACCGGAAGCGAAGTGGTATGCTTCTGGTATATGATCGAGTTGCGTTGTTACTCGAAAAGCATATCAAAATCTAGACAATGGAAGTACGTGGTCATCTGTATTATAGTCAGTCTCGAGCCCAGCCATTCTGTGGCACAGTAACCTTAGTGCGGCGGGGGTCGGCGAAGAACATAATATAATCATAATATACTTCTGTGGGTCCCATATAATACTGAGGCATCCATCCTGACGATGTAATGCTGACACCCCTCATACTCGAATTCAGGGATATTGAGCTCAAGTCTGTATGGTTGGCTCGCTATTCACTACCAAGTAAATCTTCAGCATTATCTACCACCGACATACGAACTCTTTGGGAGTATGGTGGGGGTTCGGTACTCTCTATGGTGATACGATATGATGTCTCATACTGCGAGGGAGGTTCGAGGCATGGACGGGATGCATGAGTTGGCATGCTCGCCTGACGATTGTATGGTCCATCAAAGATTCAGCTGGCTTACCTGGTCTACGTTATCAAACATAACGATGAGCAAAACGACACAACGATGGCTCGGTCAGCAATGCTTGAAAACTCCATAAAGTAGACCACGCGGCCTGTGGATACAGCACCAAGTGTCACAGAACAAGCTAGTTGTGCATATGCATAACTATACAAAGCCATTGTGCATCTAGGATTCACGCACAAAAAAAAGGTCCACAATCTCAAGTCCAAAATCGCATGAAATCGATTTTCGACACATTCCAACCTCTTCTTCTGCTCTCCGAGATAGTCGCATCGAGAGCAAAAGGATATTGACGAGAGTGGGATTTGAACCCACGCCCTTTCGGACCAGCGTATTGGATTAACCTTAAGCTGGCGCCTTAGACCGCTCGGCCATCTCGCCCTTGTTGGGGTAAGAATTTGAGGTGGGTACAAGTCCGAACGGAAAAGACCACGCATTGACCATTCCTAGCAGCAGTAGACTGTGAGCTTGACAGAATGGTTGTTGATACAGACATTGTCCTCGAGTCTGGCAGGAGGGTTATTGATGGAGACATTGTCCTCGAGTATGGCGACTGTAGAGACAGATAGTACAATGTCCAATGATGCGAGTTCTGGCTCCGGATGCTGTTGTGGTTGTTCTTCTGCGAACTGGAAACGCGAGTGCTGAGATCTCTTGGCGGGTACAAGTAACCGGCAATCCTCATGGATCATGTCCTTGTCGGGTCGTCGGAGTTCGACAGACAGATCGTTGTAGGTGGATCCAGTCCGTTCTAGAGGGTCTATGTTATGTGGATTGAAAACACTGGACCGGTGGAGAGATTGAAGAGAAAGATGAAACAGAACTCGATTTCCGATAGGCCAGGGTGTTGGTGCTTACGTGAAGAAGGTTAGATATAACACGCTGTTCAAGGCGTATATGGCCTCGAATATGTTGGAAACACGTCGAGAGTATCAGTTGCTGTGTCCTATAGCTATGACCCGAAGTGTTTGTTTTGTGTTGTGTGTGTGGCGAGTGCATAGCATGGTGAACTACCATGTTGTTTGACATAGACCAAAGATGGCTGACCCAGCTGTGAGTACTGTTTGACCTTCATATTAGCAGAACGGGTATTCCTATCACAGCGCAGGTGTGACTAGGCAACTCCAGGGAATATTGTCATGCAATGGTTATCAAAATAAACACTCGTCGGTGAGATGGAGTGTGATGTTCAAGAGCAGACGCATTGAAGTTAATGGGCAGTCGCCAAGCTTCGTCGGCGATGACGACCGACCCTTTGGGCAACTCGCGACGGCGAACATTTGTGGAAGGACCATCTCTCTTGTCCACATACTCAACATCAACATGGCTAACGGGTATGCCCAGACGAGTCCGGAGCGTTTTAAACACTTGAACTGGTAGCTGACGGTGTGCGCGCAGGTGGAGTCTTCTGGTCGGCCTCCTCTTCATCTTGGCCTTCTGCGCCGTATCCTGGTTCGCCAGTCCCAAGGGCGAGACACAAACGTGAGTTGTTGGCCCTCTTGGATTGTCGTCGCGAACACACCACACAATCAAGGAGGTGGATACTACGAGAGGAGTCTAGGCTAACGATGTACCAACAGTGNTCTGGCGTTCAACCCTCATCCTCTCGGCCTGGAGCTGTTACCTCATGTGGGGTATGTACTCGACACTGTCATTGCTGGACCTCCCAACTGACGGAGTGGATANNGCTATCACCTTCCTTGCCCAGTGGCACNCCCTCATCCAACCCCAGCGAAGCGACCTGAGACCCGAGTACGTTCACCATGGTTAAAAGATGGATGACATTGGAAGATGAAGACGCAAAGGGAGAAGCTACAGGCGGCAGCAGGACTTGTTTCAACATTTTACATGGCATTGGCGTTGCTTGACTTTACTGGGAGATACACTGTGACATATCACTCGTAATGGGCTTGTCACATGGCAGCCCCTGTTTCTGACACTGCATCCTCTGGGATATGTATATCGTTCAGCTGTCGTACCCATTTCATTGTCCAATTCCCACATGCAACGCGAGTCGTTTCCACAGCTCAAGCAAATCGCCCGTCTCGACGACTCCGGCAGCTGCCACGCCTGACCCAACCCCAGCAGCTCTCAGGATGCCCTGCAATATCATCAGCTCGGACCCATTATATCAATTTGTAACCGGACCTACCCAACCAACGCCTGCTCGACACACTGCACCGACTGCGGCCAGTATAGCAGCTCTGATGACTCCGCACTCAAGCAAAATCTCCAAGGCGGCGACATTGTTGATGATGACAGCCCAAGAGACAGCACTTGCGCTACTCGGCAAATCATACTTCCATATCAACAGCAGTAATGGGAATAGTTTCGTAAAGCTCGATACCAAGAGTGCCGTGCTTATGACAGCAGGATGTGGGTAGTGAGGGATAAGGTAAGACAGAGGTCGAGGCAAGCGCAGTGACAAGAGCGTGCGAATAGGCAGGTGAAAGGATACAGTCTCCAGTGCGCACAGCAGGAGGAAGAAGACGTATTGCAGGATGATAGGCTGCTCGCTAAGGAGGTAAGAACTAGGTAGCAGACCTGATGTACTCGAGTCGCTCGAGCCCGTGGCATTGCTCGTGGGGTGAGCAAATGGATCGGACGGAGTCGGCATGGAGATACTGTCTGTGGCTGATGATGAAGGCGTGGCTTCTTCTATACGAGCCCAAGTCAAGTAGACATCAAACAAAAGGAGTAAAACACCAAGACGTATGATGGATGGNCTGCTGCAATGAGTATTGAGTTACGAGTATGGCATGCTGAAACGTACGTTGAAGCGACCATCCTCTCGACCCAGACGGTTGAACAAAAGGTGCCTGTAAACNCTATTTGTGTAGGTCAGTACAGATATTGCATAGGTGGTGTCCTGATGGCGGCAGAATGAATGAAGAGCCGATTCGAGAATTGGTTTAGATCGAAACGGAAGACAAGTCAAGATGCATGAGATAAGATGAAGATGTTCAACGAGAATGGAAGGAACAAGGGAACATGAAAGAGTACAAAGGCCTACCTGTGGTTTGATCAAGACCAGATCGATGAACAAGACAACAAAATCATGCTCGACATATTTGTCTGCAAAACGCTTGCATCGTGGGCATTGAGTCAAGCGGACGCCCTTGCCCGAGGTGCGGTCATCGGCCTTACTGTATGTCGTGTACAGACTGCTTACAGGGTACCGACACTCGATACATATGGGCATTGTTTCTCGAGACAAGGTGTTGGTCGAAGGTACTCGTCGACTTGTACGTGTTTCTGGCGAGTGACAGCATCGGGCGGTCCGTGCGGTTCGGCGCGTCTGCGTCGCCAAAGCTTGTCGTTGCTCGCATTTCATGGTCGCTTGTGCTTGGAACAAGTCCATGTTCTCTGCAGACCATCTCTTCTGCATCGACAATGGCTCTGGCAGCACCACAACCGACGCCGCAGCGTCCTCTGCCAGGTGCCTTTTTCAACACCCCGGCGCCTGGTAGACCTGGCAGTTCGGGTCAGATGCAGCAACCATCCTTCCGCTCCAATGCCGCCGCGACTCTGGCTGGATACCGCACCGGCCAGCCTGCTTCACGCGATGCGCCCGGCTCGAGACCTGTCACCGCTACCCAAGATACTCTTGCGCCCATCGAACGCGCAGCCCGCACGGTCAATGAAGCCCTCCAGAGCGAGGCCCAGTACCCAGCCCTCGACAACTACGTTGGCCAGGGCATCTCGAATGACTACGACACGACCTTCAACAATGCCTGGCAGCCCTTCCAGCGTACCCGCAGCCATGACATCCCCGAGCAAATCTTCGAACAAGCAAACATGGCCCAAGTCTCGACACATCTGGGTCTGTTCGCCGAGCTCAATCACGCCTTCATTGTCATTGACTCGTCGCTATACCTCTGGGACTACACACATCCAAACCCCGAGCTCATTGGCTTCGAGGACCAGACCAACGCCATCACAGCCGTCAAGCTGGTCAAGCCGCGCAAGGGCGTCTTCATCGAGTCCATTACACACTTGCTGGTTGTCGCAACCCATGCCGAAGTCCTGCTCATTGGCCTGGCAGCCGCGAGATCTGCCCATGGTGGATGGGCAGTCCAGCTATACTCTACCAACATGAAGGTACCCGTCAAGGGCACCTCAATCAGCTACATCGAGTCATCCGACAAGACTGGACGCATTTTCTTTGGTGGAAACCAGGCTACCGATGTCTGGGAACTCACTTACCAGCAAGAGGAACGTTGGTTCGCCAGCCGATGCTCTAAGATCAACCACACAAATTCGGGCATCACATCCGCCTTCCAGCTGTTGCCTTTTGGAGCTCGTTCAGAGCAAGAGCACATCAAGCAGATGGTTGTTGATGACTCGCGCGATTTACTCTACACCCTTTCTTCAGCTTCGACGATTCGTGTCTACCACATGAAGCCAAACAACGTCCTCGACCTCGCCTTGTCACGCCCTTTCACCAGCCTGCTGGCCCAGATTGCCCACATGGTCCCCAGCTCCGACCTCCTCGCGCGCAACACTGCCCTCGTCTCCATCAGTCCCATCTCGGCTCAAGAGACTAACAGACTCAGTCTGCAGGCTCTGACCAGCACCGGCTGCCGCATCTTCCTCAGCGCCACCTCGGGCGCCTTCTATGGCAGTTCCTCGTCCTCCGCTCCCACCAGCATGCAGGTCCATCACATCAAATTCCCTCCAAAGGATGGCGAAACCGCTGCCCCTCAACCTCAACAACCACAGTCGGCTCCCACCTCGCTCGGACCTTACTCTTCCAACCCTTCGACCATGGATACTAACACTCGCTTCCTTGCTAACACAAAGGCTGGCGTTAGATATGCCCCTGGTTACTCATGCTGGGTCGTTCCAAACCCGCAAGATCCTCACAGAGACTCCATCTTCTTCACCGCCCCTGACTCTGGTCGCATCAAAATGCCTCGCGACGCCAGCCATGCTACTCTATTCCCCGAGATCGGCATGTTCCTCGAACTCCCTTACCCTTCCCAAGGCATCGGTCTAGTCAGCCCTCCTTTTGCCGCAGCCTCTACACCTCTAGGCTTCGCCAATGAACTCGCCGTTCAATTCGACCAATCTCCTACTGAGATTGCCGTCCTTACCAGCACCGGTGTACAAATCATGCGTCGTCGCAGACTGGTTGATATTTTTGCTTCTCTTGCTCGCTACGGTGGTGACGCAGAAGGCCGCGATGGACAGGTGAAAAAGTTTATCCGCAACTATGGTCGCACTGAGACTGCTGCCACCGCTCTTGCTGTCGCCTGTGGGGAGGCTTNNTCTGACGGCAATGCCGATTCTCGCATTACCAACATCACGGAACCAGACATTGTCGATTTTGCAAGAGAAGCCTTCATCACCCAAGGAGGCAAGCCCATGCTCAACGAGAACTCCGTCTTGGACAACAACACTCCTGCTATTGACAACGTCCGTCCCTCTCCAAGACACGATGGAATGGCACTGTACATTACTCGATTGGTCCGATCAATTTGGAGAGCCCCAGTCCTGACACAAAAGGTCACTCCTGTTGGTGGACTCGTTGTTACATCGACTGTAGCGCTCACTAAGCTGCAAAATATTCAACGTGCTCTGAACTCGTTGCAAGAGTTCTTGAACAAGAACAAGAGCTCCATCGAGGGCTTGTCTGGACCCGAGTCTTTGGGACGCGTTGCCAACAAACAAGACGAACTCTCTTTGCAAGGTGAACATCGTGCGATGAACGCTTTGATCCAGCTCATCTCGAGCGTTATCGAAGGCATTGCTTTTGTGCTCGTTCTCTTTGACGAGAAGGTCGATGAGATCATCCTATCTCTCCCTGAGGGCTCTCGCGATCGTGCAAGGCAACTCACCTATGAAGGTCTTTTCTGCTCACCCGATGGCAGGAACTTGGCAAAGGAGCTTGTCAAGGCAATTGTGAACCGTAACATCGCCAACGGGTCGAATGTCGATACAGTAGCAGAAGCCTTGAGAAGACGCTGTGGCAGTTTCTGCAGCGCCGATGATGTTGTCATCTTCAAGGCTCAAGAGCAGGTCAAGAGAGCATCTGAGGCCGGTCCCACATCTGAGGCAAGTCGCAGATTGCTGAATGAAAGTTTGCGACTTTTCCAAAAGGTGGCTGGCTCGCTCTCTATGGAGCATCTCGAGTGGGCTGTCTCACAATATATTCCTATGTCCTTCTATGCTGGCGCTATCCAGCTTGCTTTGACCGTGGCACAAGAGTCTGATCGCGCAAATCGTGCCCTCTCTTGGTTAAGGGACGACTGCCCGGAAGAGGTATGTTCGCTCAAATCTCTGCTTCCCGATCCACACTAACGTTCAACAGNNGACCCACGACAGAAGGCCTTCGAAGGCAGAAAGCAATGTTACGATCTGATTCACCAGGTCATCGTTTCCCTCGAGCAGACATCTGCTGCAAACCCTGATGGTACCTTCTCCGTTACCGCCAAGAGACAGTCCGAAGCCTACGAAATCATCAACAATTCCGAAGATGAAGTCTTCCAGAACAATCTCTATGACTGGTACATGGGTCAAGGGTGGAACGACAGGCTTCTGGACATCAGTTCACCATATGTCATCAGCTATCTCCGCAGACGCATGGACAAGAACCCCGATCATGCAGACCTGCTCTGGCGTTACTACGCACACCACAACAACTTCCTCGAAGCTGCTTCAGTACAATTGCTGCTTGCTAAGAGCGGCTTCGACCTCAACCTCGAGCAACGCATTGGTTACCTCAGCCGTGCAAGGACCAATGCCTCTATTCGCACCGTATCCTTGCTCGATGCCGCGCAAGGTAGACAGCAACTCCTTCGTGAGATCACCGACCTCTTGGAAGTAGGCAACATCCAGGACGATATCCTGCAGCGCATGAAGTCGGACACCCGTCTGAAGGACCCACGCCGACCTCAAGTATTGAAGGCACTCGATGGTCAGATTCTAGAAGTCGCCGAGTTGTACAACCAGTATGCCGACCAGGCAGGTTACCACGACATCTGCATTCTCATCTACCACTGTGCCGACCACCGCAACCCTTCAGACATTTCATCAACCTGGCAACTACTTATCGAGCAGGTTCACCAAGAAGCAGAGAGCAACGACCAGATGAAACCATTTGAAGCAGTAGCTCTCAAGGTGCGCTCAATAGGCCAACGTCTGCATATCGCAGAGGCCACCTTCCCCATCCCCATCCTGCTGCCAATGCTCCTTCGCTATGCTCTCCAGCACCAAAACAACGCCGCCTCACCAATGTGGGTTATGGATACCTTCCTCGAACTCGACATTCGTCCCTCGGCGTTGGTGCCTGTCGTTGAGCAGATGTACTACACCAACGAGCAACCCTTCGTTGGCAAATACCGTCGCATCCTCGCTGCCGACCTCATTTATTTGATCCAGGCTTGGCTACGTGAAAGTGAGCGTCACGGTGACAGCATCCTGTTCGGCAGCGAGGAGAGTGCTACCGGTATTGACGATCTCCTCACTGGCCTTGCCGGAAGCCAAGATCTGGACGCGGACAAGCAACAGGCCGTGGACACTCTTAGGNGCAGAATCGCTCAAGCCATGCGTTGAGCGATGGATGAGATGGGAATATGTGTTGTTTGCAATCAGGATAGGTGTGCGTTGACCAGGGTTTTGGGGGGTTTCTGCGAGGTGTGGCGTTCTATCTCGAATTTTGTCGTTTGTAACAAAGCCTTTGTTTCTTTTGGGGATTAAGATAGCGAGAACGAAAAAGTAAGGAAGCTTTATTGTACAATCCCATCAACATTTCCTCTCCATGTCATCTTTGACGGCTCATTCGTACGTTCTTGCTTGAAACTTCTTTCATTGCGAATTGTTCCTGATTTTGGTAGGTTGTGTATTTCCAACCCATTGCGCTTTCCATGTGTTTTCGATAGGCACGACTTCTTTTCCCTCACGCCCCCTCTCGCACCTTCTTCGTTCACGCGTACTTGGCATCGCACAAAATAAAAGATTCGCGTCGCCCCTCTTCAAGTTGAGAAAGAGGCACTAATGCGCTCTTTCTCCTTTCCAACTCCCTGGAAGCAGCGATGTGAGGGAGTCGATGGATAACAGAGAATGAGCCAGAAAACGTGCAAGAAGCAGTCTGATCGTCCGAATCACAACAAGACAAAGGTGCTAACAAATCTGGGTCTACAGTAAGAGAGAACGAACCCTTGCCGAGAGAGGGATGAAAGTAGTGAGTCCTGCATAATCTGATTGTGAGGAAAGGGGTCGTCGACTCCCTCGCACCTGGCCAAGCTATCCCAGACCAGAATGCCTGACAGACCAAGAGATCGAGAGCAAAACAAGACAAGATCGTGTGACCAAACCTTGAATCCGAAAAGCAAGGTTGTGAAACGCGAGGCATGCATCTTGCGGTATGAAACCAAGACATTCTCGGGGATCACCAAAAAGCTGGAACATGGCACTTTGTACAAAACCCAAAAAGGGATGAACCAAGCTCACATGACGCTTCGAGGTATGCACGGCAATCACTTGAAACCAAGGGATGGATTTTGATAAATGACAGTAGTGGTGGATTCTTGCGATTTGCTGGAAAAAGGGGTATATGGAATATCCAAGCGGGATTCAACGCAAGAGTGGAACCGAAGGAGCTATGCCTTGATTCTGAAGGAGCAATAGAAAAAAACACATTATACACAGCCAGTGAGCGAATACATGTAAAAGACGAATTGCGACTCAGAGAGGTTTGCAAAAACGGCAGAGAAGAAGTAAAAGAACAAAAGAGGGGAAAGGTAGACAACCACAGAGGGACCAGAGATAATCCAGTGCGATCCATGAGAGTAGGTGGGTGGAGGTAGAATTGATGTATAAGAAGTGAAGTTGGTTTTTGCCTCAGACCCTCAACTTCGGAGGGAGGATGTCGATCGCCCAGGAAATGTAAAACGCCTCGCTGGAACTATTGGAGAGAAAAAATTCGACGCGGCTGAAGTGCAGATGCAGAATCCAGAAAAGAAAAGCGCCCAAGTCATGGTTCATGTGTGTGTAAGTCGTGTTGGATCGTTTAGAGCTAGGGAAAGAGAAGCAGTCATTCTTTCCAGAGATCATGACCAGACTTGGTTGGGGGCTCTCTCGCCATTGTCGATCACGTAAGAGGGCTTGAAGTGAGGATCGTGGTGCACAGTGGGTTTCCAGGGTACGTGTGTGGCCTTGGGGCGGGCGACGGTGTTGGAGCCTTGCATGTCGGCGCTGCAGAGTCCAGCCAAGCTAAAGCAGTCTGCGCCGCAGAAAGCATCTGTGATACCGCTGTGATATTTGTTAGTCTGAGACTCGGTGTATAAGATTGCATCTTGGACTTACCAGAATCCGTATGTGTTGCAGCAGTCACCGAAGCGAGAACCGACGCAAGTGTACTTGGTGTTACCACCACATGTGCCATCAGGAGAGACGAGTGTCCATGGGTTTCTCTCAACCTCATCCGAGGAGGCAACAACTGCCTGAGGCACGATTTCGTTAGGAAGAGTGATCTCCTTGGGAAGAGCGACAGCCATGGCGGTAGAAGCGGCAACAGCCACAGTAAACAGAACACGAGAAAGCATCTTAGATGTTGATTGTCGAGTCAGGAATTGATCAATCAGATAGCGGAAATCCTCGGGGATGAGAGAGATCGATTTCTTGGAAGGACGCAGGGAGAAGGATTCTGGCTGCAGCGACAACAGTTGGTAAATATGTAAAATCCAAAGTCGTTCGCACAGGGTGAACTCTTCAAAAACGTTTGGTTTGATAAAGGGTATTTGCTGAGCAAGCTTTTGATGTCCTGAAGGCCAGCCCAGATCCGTGATGGGAAACAGATTGCCCAGTTGTGACCGAAATTAACGACCGTTAGATAGCAAAAACAATGCCGTTCGCCAGATCCAGTATTCNNCCAAAAGTTGATATTGTTTCAGCCAAGCGGAAAATGACGGNNCTATGAGAGCGAAGACGTTGCTGTCAAAAAGTCTTTTGAGGTCCAGATAGTCCAGCTAATAGCAAAAATCNNACGAGATATCTTCNNAAGTATCCAAGTACCAAGAGTGAGGTTGCGGTATGGATATGCTCTGTGCAAGCGAAAAGTCCGGGGAAACGCANNACGTTATATGTTGTCTTGCTTTCAACGTCGATGCAGGCCGAGATGATGGAATGTAACGAAGGGAGTCTTGTTTCGTGCCAGGCGCAAAAGGGAAGAAGCCGACCTTTTAAGTAACGCAGAAAGAAATTGCCCCGAGGCTGCTATCAACCTATCTCTGCGTCTACTTTTGTCACTACTCTTTTCACTTTCATAAGGCGCGACGGCCGGCNNGCGGCGGGGACCTTCGTGAATATGGGCCTAGCCAAGCCGCTTCGGCTGAAGGTTCGACTCGTACAGCTTGGAACGTGGGAATCAAAAATGGAATGGTGGATACGATTGTCACCACACCATTGGTCGGGAGCGACAGGCTTAGACAACNCATCCTGTAGTCAACCAGCCAAGNTGAGGATTGCGCGACCGCCGAGCGCAGAGTGGAAATACAGATTGTCATGCCAATCGGGCCTCTTGCTGAACAGCAATATCTGCCAAAGTGCTTCCCCAGATCTCCTTCACAGGGGGTAAGTGGAAATGAAATGAGCGGCACATCCATCAACTCTCAATTCAAGCTTTCCTGATCAAAAGACCCGAACGACAACAATCGGTAAACCTGGTGAACACCTTGAGGGGCCACCGGTATGCAATCATTTTTTTTGAGTTTGATTCGAATGTTTTGTAGCAGCATCCCTTTTAGAAAAAGGGTTTTGTCGCGAACAAGATCTGCTGCGGGCCGAGGCGCAAAAAAGAAGGTGCGCTATTTGCAGAAGTGTCATGAGGGCCGCTTCCCAAGGATCCCTCTCGTAAGATCCTACAACGCGATCTGCCTTGCATCAACACCACAATCGTCTCATCGCAGCACGTGGAGAAACGAAACAATACAGCACAGCTGAGAGAAACGGGTGGCTGCATGTTTCTGAATCTCTATCACACCAAGACATTTTCTGGAGAGAGAATCGTGAAACTTGCTAGCCAGTTTGAAAAATGCATGGAACGGTCAAGTGTCGTGTGGCTATCAATAGTCGCATCCCCCACCAAAGGCTTGTTTTGCCATCGCATACCAGCTGACTCGAATACGATGCTGAGAAGATGGAAATCCTTCTTGTTAAGTTTCTTCTGGTATGCTGTAGAGTTTCCATAGATAGAAAAGACTTTGCACGGAAATGCTGAACTTTGGAGATATTTCCGGATCGTCCTGCATGGTGACAGCTAGGATGACAGCTGGGACTTTCGATCCATAACCAGGTAACAGTGATGTATACAGACACGACGACAAGCAGAAGCCAAAATTTGGTGATGATGAGAGTTCATGATGACATTCAGAAATAACGCTAGAATACTACAACACTTTGATCACGATATCCATTACAACTTGCTCTTTGGCGTCGCATTGCGCAACTCGGCACCGGCTCCAGAAATGCAAAGCTTGCCGGTTTCCTTGACCTTTGTCTGGAATACGACAACGTTGCCTTCCTTCCACATCTCGGTGATGAGGGTCTGTCCAGGCAGGACAACACCGGCAAATCTGACCTTGACGTTCTTGAACTCGCCATATGTCTGCAGCACAGCCTTGCCAGCAAAGCCGAAGAAGCAGAGACCGTGGAGAATGGGAGTCTTGAAGCCACCGACCTTGGAGAACTCGGGGTCAATGTGCAATGGGTTGCGGTCACCAGACAAACGGTAGATGGCGGCTTGGTCTTCGCTGGTCTTCTCTTCAACCACGGCGTCAGGCTTGCGCTCGGGAGCCTTGTAAATACGGGTCGCGGCGCCTCTGTCGGTACCCTTCTTAGGGCCACCGAAGCCACCTGAACCGCGGATGAAGACAGTCGATTCGTTGTAGAACAACTCCTTGCCTGTGTTCTTGTCCTTGGTCATGGAACCGTATGTCACGACGCCAGCGTTGCCCTTGTCAACAACCTCAACCAGCTTGGGGTAGGCTACCAAAGTGGCCTCAGTAGGGATGGGGAATGTCTTGATCTCGAGGAACTGCTCTCCGTGGAGAAGCATGTTGGGCGAGAAATTGGGTACGATCTCATCGAAGGAGAAGGGAGGAGATGCGTTGAAAGGAGGAATCACACCAAAGGTGGGGATGACCTGGAAGTTGTCGTCACCTTCGTAAACGAGAGGTAAGTCGGTACGCTTGGCTCCAAGACCAAGGTTGTAGAGGATGACATCTCTCTCGTCGTACTTGAACTCAGTACCTTGAGCAGTAGCCTTCTTGGCCTTCTCGATGTTTGCAAGGAATTCACCATTGTTTCCACCCTCCTGCTTGGCAGGCTTGGATTCAGAGCTTCTGTTCTGCATGTTGGCCATGATCGACTTCAAGCCATCGTTGCCATCAGCAGGGTGGTCAGCACGACCGTCGCTGAAGTCGGTAATTCTCTTCCACTGCCCAAGGACATGTTCAGGAGTCAGCTTGACATCAACAGGGAAGCCGTGTCCACCGGTTCGCTGCCAGCGAGTCTGTGCAGCCCAACCGGAACCGACTTCGTACAGACCACCAGTACCGGGCTTGGGCACCATGTCGGAGCTGAGAAGCACGACGAGAGGGGCGACGTAGTCAGGCTTGAAGGCCTGGACCATCTCTTCAGGCATAATAGTACGGGTCATGTTCGTACCAGCGTTTGGTGCAATGGTGTTGACCAGAATATTGTACTTCTGACCTTCTCTAGCAAGAGCTCTGGAGAAACCGAGGATGCCACACTTGGCGGCAGCGTAGTTGGCTTGACCGAAGTTGCCGTAGATACCACTGGTGCTGGTAGTGTTGACAACTCTGCCGTACTTTTGCTTCAAGAAGTAAGGCCATGCAGCCTTGGTGACCTTATAGGTACCCCTCAAGTGAACATCCAGAACCTGGTCGAACTGCTTGTCGTCCATGTTGGCAAAGGCCTTGTCACGGAGGATGCCAGCGTTGTTGACAATGATATCAATGCGGCCATAAGCGTCAATGGCGGCCTTGACGACTGCGTCACCGTCTTCTGCCGAAGCCTTGACACCGACGGCCTCACCACCGAGCTTCTGGATCTCCTGCACAACATCATCGGGGTTCATCAAGTCGTTGACAACGACCTTTGCACCGTACTTGGCAAACTGCAAGCAGTAAATACGACCGAGACCAGCACCGCCACCGGTGACAAGGGCGACCTTGCCCTTGAAATCAGGGTTCTTGGATGGAGGGTTTGCTGGTAGCTTTTGGGCGTCCTCGAGCAGCTCCATGAAGTTTGCAACTCCGGTAGGGTAGCTGGGCTCGCTGAAGTCGTTGACGCCATCCCACTTGGTGAGCAAAGCACCGGGAGTGTAGCTGTCGTCTGCACGCAGCAAAGCACCCTTGGCTCTCTCCCAGCGGAGCTTTGCAATGTGACCACCACCGCACTCGAAAATGCTTCCCGTCTCTTCTGTGTTTGAAGGGTGTACAAGGACTGCAACCAAGGGGACGACCCAATCGGGCTTGAGGTTCTCGAGAACATCCGGAGGCATAACTGTTTGTGTCATTCTGGATGCGGCGATCGGGGCAATGACGTTGGCGAGGATGTTGTACTTGAGACCCTCCTTTGCAAGTGTCTCTGTGAAACCGACCTGTGCGAGTTTGGCGGCNTGGACTGTGTTAGCTGGTTATAGGAAGTTCTGTGCAGGTAGATGCTCACCAGAATAGTTGGTCTGGCCAAAGCTACCGAACAGACCAGCTGCGGATGCTGTGTTGATGACTCTGCCATACTTTTGCTTTCTGAAATGCGGCCACGCTGCTCTGGCACACTTGTATGCACCTCTGACGTGGACCTTCATGATCAAATCCCAATCATCATCCTTCATATTCTTGAAGCTGATATCTCTAAGAATGCCAGCATTGTTGATTAGGACGTCGATTCTGCCAAAGGCCTTGATGGCCGTGTCGATGATCTTGTCGCCATCCTCGACCGAATCGTAGTTGGCGACGGCCTTGCCTCCAGCTGCCTTGATCTCCTCGACCACTACGTCTGCGGCCNNTGTATGAGTTATTAGAGAGGTACTCCACGGCCATGTACTTCAAGTTTCACTGACCTTTGATGACTTGCCCTCACCCTTGAAAGAGCCACCGAGGTCGTTCACAACGACGTCGGCACCGCGAGAAGCAAAGAACAGAGCATATGCCTTGCCGAGGCCACCGCCAGCACCAGTGACAACGACTGTTTGGCCATCGAAGCGAAGCGGATTTGCTGAAGATTCAGCNCCTGCGAGGCCGTATGAATTGTGTGCCATGTTTGATGGGACTATGTGATTGGTATATCCCGAGAGATGTGTAGAGGGGAAAAAGAAACGACTCGAGGGACAAGTCTACATAAAGGTGAGCAGCGACAGCGCTCATGATCTCCAGCTTCGTCGGTCATTGACATGCCTCGGCCCACGGCAGCTTCACGGTAGCCGGATAGCCACAGTACGAGTGTTTTGGCGTCGCAATGGAGCCCAGAAACGGCAGGTCTTGCTCCCTCGGCTACTACTTTGAGTATCAGCGCTCGCCGAGCTCTTGGCCTTGACTCAAAAACACACTAAAATGGTCTCGAGGTCTGTTTGCTTTGTTTCTCTCCTTTCACATGCCAACTGCCGAAAAAGTGCGGGGGATGATGAAATAGAAAGACGATCCAGGACTTGCGAACGGCCACGATCATGTGAGAGACTTGCACATGAATACACGACTGTAAGCATGAGAGTCCTCCACCGGTCAAGTACATTACCGGTTCAACAAAGCATCCAGGTGAAGATGAGATTCGGAAAACGACACAGAACTTGAGTCGTTACCTGTGCCAAGACGTCGTCCGCCCGGTCGAGTGTTTGTCCGCATGTCATGTGGGGATGTTATCTTTCTTCCAGCCCTCGACAACCATCATATGTATCTGGACAGACACCGAAAGTGAAGAGACACAATGGCAGTTGACATCCTTGACGACAAGTCTGAGCACTGTATACCTTTCATCCTTGACAAGATCAAGGCACATTGCGACTATCACAAGAAAGAAGGCACAGATGCCCCGCCATTCTTCCTCGGTCTGAATGGAATCCAAGGTGCCGGAAAGACCACCCTGGTAAGCATTGATTCTACTTCTTCCAAGTCAAACGCCAAAGATCAGGGACCGGACTCGTTCTTTGGTCGCCGTGTTTCCTATCTTTGTTTGTCCCACCGCAAATTGATCTACCTCACTGGATGCTCTGCATTGTCAGATAGCACTGTGCATTCGACAATACGTCTAACCAATTCAATGCCAGNNGTCTCGACCCTCTACAAAACCCTTACATCCTCGCCTCACAATCTGCCCACAGTAGTTCTCTCGATTGATGATCTTTACCTTCCTCATGCAGCCCAAAAATCACTCGCAGAGACCCAGCCCACGAATCCACTAATCCAACACCGCGGCCAACCCTCCACCCACGACATTTCCCTCGGCAAAGACATCTTCTCTCAACTCGCAGCCCGCAAATCAAACATCCGCATCCCCAGCTACGACAAGTCTCTTCACAATGGTCAAGGCGACCGTACAGACTCAGAGACTTGGGAACTGGTCAACAAGGACGGAGAACCACCGGTCGAAGTTGTGATTTTCGAAGGCTGGTGTGTGGGCTTCAGGAGTCTGAGTGACAGAGAGTTGGTGGAGAAATGGGAGGGTGCGAAGGCGGCGAGGATTTTTGACAAGGAGGCTTATCATGGAAGACTTGCTTCGTTGGAACTGGAGCATGTGTCGTTCATTAACGATGCATTGAGGCAGTATGATGCTTTGACCGAGTATGCATTGGATGCCTTTCTTGACCTCGATCTCTGCTAACTTCCGGTAGCTNACTTCGGTGCTTTGATCCATATCGATGCTGTCGATACGCTTTTCGTCTATGAGTGGCGCTTGGAGCAAGAGCGTGCCTTGCGAAAAGCAAAGGGAACTGGCATGAAAGACAAACAGGTCATCGAATTTGTCAACGGCTNNGTGAGTTGTCTGAGAACCATAGTTGCTTCGCAACGTCCTGTACTGACCCTCTTGTGCACAGATTATCCAGCCTACGAGCTCTACACGGAAGTGCTTCGCAAAGGCATCTTTGAGAAGACTGGCAAACAGCTGCGTCTGATAGTCAACAAGCAGCGCAAAGTAGAGGAAGTGGAAATACAGTAAGCACATTGCGCTTCAAGTGCTTCATCTGTACATACAGTATATATAATCGATTGGGCAATGCCAATGCTTCCAGAATTATTTTCGTAAACCAAGCTGCTCTGATTATCCCATCGTTGCGTGACCAACGATCCAAGTCGAAGAGTCTCTCTCTGGATACTCATGTAGTACGCTAGGCCAAGACAGCATCTTCAAGACTCTTCTGCAAGGCTGCGGCTACCAAATTACGACCAATGAAAACAATCTTGCCATTGCCTCTATCAGAAGAGTCACTGTTGTTCGAGGCACCGACGTCTGCAGCATCGATGAACTCAAAGACCTCGCGCACACCCTGCAGAAGCTTGACTCCACCTTCTTGCATCACAAGACGTCCCTTGGTACGATGGATCTCTGGCCTCGAGCCCGCAGACTCGACCGACACGCCCTCGGCTTCCGGGTGTGAGATGAAGAAGCGCGTCCATAAAATGTTACGCAAGAACATATCCAATTTCTCCAGTTGAGCTGACGATAACGGCGGCAATGTCAACGTCGTCGTTGAGATGGCGGGATCTAGGTGGCTATGGCCCTTGCTGGCAAAGTCAATGCTGTCGGCGTCCACTTTGTCGTAGGCGTGGAGGTCGAGCAATACGCCTTCCAGTGCTGGGACCTTGCTATGTTCTGTGACATATATCTTGGCCAGAGCGTTGATAGACGAGATTCTGGCCTTGACTTGGTCGAGCTCGGCTTCGGAGACCAGATCTGCTTTGTTGATGACGATCACATCTGCGTGTGAGATTTGCAGATGCGCGGTGCTGAGATGAGGGCCATGGGCGTGTTCTGTACCATCCGTTTGAGTTTCCGACGGCGTTGGCTCAGACAAGCAGCGCATAATGTTCTTTGCATCGACCAGAGTTACAATGCCATCGAGGTAGATTGTGCTACCCAGACCATCGTCAACCCAGAAGAGAGGAGCCAGGTTTCCGGGATCTGCCAGGCCTGTCGTCTCCAGCAAAATGTAGTCGAACTTTCCACGCTTCTCCATGAGTGATTCGATGGCGCTGACGCCAGTATCCTTGACGGAGCAGCATAGACAGCCATTGGCCAGTTCAAGCCATTCCTCGACTTGTTGGCCTTCTTGGCTGACGGTCAAGCTCTTTTCTATGTCTGCGGAATCACCAAACTCTAGGAACTGTCAGAGCCTTAGTCCTGAAGGAGCAACAGAGATGCGTTCAGACATACCGTTTAGAATTACGGCAATTTTCTTTCCATGGCGTTCATTCAAGATATAGTTCATCAGAGTAGTCTTGCCAGCGCCCAGATAGCCNTACATCACATTAGGCTCACTAACACATGTAACAAGATCGAGCGAAGTCTGGTAAGACTAGAGCTGCCTACCAGTAATGATGGTGATGGGAACTCTGGTCAAGCTCATATCATCAACTTCAGCAGAGAGGTCCTTGGTGTCGTCTGGCTGGTCGGCAGTGACGAGCATAGGTGGGCCATCATCATCAAAGTCCATATCGGGATCCATTGTTGTTATTGTCGGGTAGCGCAGCAAGACAAAATAGTGGAGGAATAAATGTTATAGACATGACGTGGGAGCTCGGGTCGGATGGTGCCGAGCTGAGTGTTGGCTAGGCCCGTCGCGACCAGCGTGTGTTTGGACAAAGACAAACACATTTTTGGTCGCATGTTTACCTTTACTCGAGCACGAAGACGGCCTTTCTTTTCCTTCTGAGCAGAGCATCTAGACAATGGCTTCCCCGTCCAGTTCGCCCAGGCTGCCCAGCCCGCCGCCCATCGCCGAAGACCAGATCTCGCCCAGCGCAGGTCTCGACAGTGAAGAGAGGATGCTGGGAGCTTCACACAAGGCCGATGTCGACGCACAGAGGAGGATCAGGCCTGGTACAAAGGCTGAGGACATGCAAGAAGGACCCCCACTGGTCGAGCTCCAACAAGTGTGTTGATCTGCCGACCTTCAACAATCAAACAACAACAGCTGACAAGACCTTGTCCAGATCGATTCAGCGTTCCAACTGACCGAGCACCTCAAAGCCCTGCACAATGAACACACGCAATCATGTCGTATCGCCATAGACAAAGCCATGGCGCAATCGCTTGCCCAACCACCACCCGGAGTCGACCGTGGAATCTGGTTGTACGAGCTGTGTCGCTTCCTCACACAAAAGGCAAACATGATGGCCTGCGGTCTCTTCGCCGACGACCCCCTTGCTCGGCTGCCACATGCCCCGAAATGCGCGCAAGCGAGTGGCAGTACCTCTGCGCCGCCCACGAACCTCCCAAGTCATGTTGCGCCATCGACTATTGCTGCCATACTCTCGACTGGTGCGCAACCGCCTTGACATCTACCAAGCTCTTCCCCAGCAGACTCGGCCTGGGCACTGAGACGCTCTCGGCTCAAGCGCAGATCCGTAAAATGACCGAAGTCTTCCGCCGTGTATATCGCATCTTCGCCCATGCCTGGTTCTCGCACAGAGACGTCTTCTGGAGAGTCGAATCCAAGACGGGCTTGTACCTGTTGTTCAAGACTGTCTGCGACGAGTATCGCTTGATCCCCGAAGACAACTACACCATACCGCCCGAGGCCGAGGGCATCGAGACCACTCCTGTCGCTACTCGTGCTGCTCCCACCGTTTTGCAGAGAGACTCTGCTGATTCAGAGCCTGTCGGAAACGCCACGCTTGCTACAGGAAATACCACAAAGAGACACAGACACACCATGAGCCACGATCGATCTGTGTCTGTTTCGACTGTTATCCACGAAGAGGTTGAGGAGGATGAAGACCCTGAACAACCCACTGGACATGGTCCTCTCCTGCTCACACGAGTCGAGACTGCCCGCCACGAAGAAGAAGCCGCTGCCCGACAAGCACAAGAACAGGAGAAGGAACCAGAAATACCTGCAGAAGATCCTCCACCTTATGCAGAAGAGTCTGCTGCAGAGCAATCCGAGAAGACACAACCGCAAGAAGAAGAATCGACCTCAAACCTCGAGACTGACGCTGGGGAAGCTTCCACATCAAAGTCCACGCCAGATGATGAAACGGGAGACGAACAAGAGACAAGTGAATATCCATCAAGCGATCCACCTTCGTACGCAGAGATAGCTTCGGCTGCCAGTACATCGGAAACAGCAAACGATACTCCCTCCACCTCTGCCGCCAGTGAGGAGCCGGCCACAGATCCAGCATCTCCTATAGAGGCAGAATTGACAGAGACATCCGTACAGAACGCGACTGAAGACACGAAGACGGAAGAGTCAGAGCTTGAAGCCGAGACAGAGACTACAGAAGTGCCAAAGGAGTCTGCAATTCAGGCCGAGGTCGAAGCTGCTCCCGAGCCCGCAGAGGTTGCCGAAGCAGATGCTGCGGATGAGACGGAGGCTACAAAGACTGTCGCCGACTGATGAAAAGTCCTTCATGATGCATTCATCATTCTTTAATTACATTCAAATATTAGATACCCTTTGCAGCAGGCATTCGTCAGCATGCTGCTTTTGTTGATAAGTATCCTGTTCTTCATCAGTGTCGAGACACGTAAAAGACGTACCCTGTGTAGCTAACCGTGCTTCAAGCACATCTCCTGCGTGAACAACTTATCTAATATATGGACATGCAGGGTTGTCAGCAGTAAGGGTCTGGTAGAGATCCACTGTCGCACAGACCATCCGTCTTCCTTCCAATCCTTCAATGCCACCTTCCTATTGTGCTCAAGCCGTAAGGGTACACGGTTGCCGAAGATAGAGGGCGCTCGGTACTTCGGGACAAGACTCCAATTTATTCGATCCGAATGGTCTTGTGTCTTTCGTGTGAATATTTGCGACATTTCTTCTCTCGTCATCACTCAAACGTTGCATTCGTATGCTTGTTGATGCCTTGCCGGCGGTATCTTGCTTGAAGACGTATCAAGACCCGCGCAACATTTCTCTCATTTGACTCGACAGATCTGAGAGGAGTACTGATCTCAAGGATTGTTGACTGTAAGACACATCTCTGATCGCTTTTGCGATATTGTTTTTGACCATACACCAACCTTACGGGCACGATATCAACCATGTCTGGGAGTAACACCAAAGATGCCTTCATAGTGGCCTCAGGAGGCGCGGCAACCCATACACACCCAAAATCGGCATCAGCCAGGGCCTACGCTTCCGAAACCACACCTCTACTGGCAGTATCATCAGAAAACCCAGTCACCCAAGCCGACTCGGAAACACTAGAGATCAACAGGATCGGAAATACAGCTACTACTGCGGAAGAGCAGGATACCGAAGATGAAGACAAACCTCTGCCCGTGGGTCAGATTATGCTTCTGTGTTATGCTAGACTTGTTGAGCCGATTGCATTCTTTTCCATCTTCCCATTCATCCAGCAGATGATTTTGGAGGTTGGAGGTGTTAGAGAAGAGGATGTCGGATTCTACAGTGGACTGATCGTAAGTGTCGTATCTCATTCAGAATGTTGAAAGAGCATAAATCCAGAATATGCTACACATAGAAGTGGCCGAACCACGGAGGGTCTAAGAACGCTAACAAGTTTGCTTCAGGAATCACTTTTCTCTCTTACACAAATGATGTTCATGATCTCCTGGGGTCGTGTTTCGGATCGATACGGTCGCAAGCCCGTTCTTGTGTACTCCGTTGTTGGTGTTTCCATAATGACTTGCTTGTTCGGCTTCAGCAAGTCCATGTGGCAGATAATTTTGTTCCGTTGTCTGGCCGGTGTGTTTTCTGGCACCATCGTGTAAGTGTCTCAAATCTGACATAAAAGCAAGTATACTGACAAACATGCCAGTACCGTCAGGACCATGCTCTCAGAAAACTCGACCTACAAGACTCAAGCACGAGCGTTTAGTTGGTTCGCATTTTCAGGCAATATGGGCATCTTTCTAGGACCTGTTATTGGTTTGTGTTGATCATAAACTTGAACTTTTACGGTCCACTGACTCCTGAGTCAAGGCGGTGCCTTGTCTTCTCCTGCAAGCCAATATCCTCGCGTTTTCGGGGGCATCTGGTTCTTCGAAGAATATCCGTATGCGTTGCCCAACATCATAGCCAGCATGTTTGGCTTCAGTGCGGCTGTTATATCAGCCATCTGTCTCGAAGAAGTAAGTCCACGTACCCGTTCGTTGTTACATCGACTGACCATCATCTCGCAGACTCTGGAGTCAGCAAAGGACAACAGCAAACCCGTCGAGCCACCCATGTCAACCTGGCAACTGGTAAACCAACCCGGAGTCTCTTTTACTCTTTTCCTTTGGTGCTTCGTCTCCCTCCAAGGCCTCGCGAACACTGCTGTCTTCCCGGTCTTCTGGTTCACCAGCATCTCCAATGGCGGCTACGGCTTCGCGCCTATCCAGATTTCACTTATCCTAGCCCTTGGAGGCATCTCACAAGCACTCTGGCTGCTTTTTGTCTTCCCACCGATGCAAAGACGTTACGGTACCGGAGGCGTTCTACGGTTCAGTGGGTGGCTTTTCCCTTTGGGTTGCATCTGTAACCCACTGCTCCAGTTTATGCTCAGGAATGGCGTTACGACGCCTTTCTGGATTCTCCTTCCCATCACCACCATTGTTGGTACTGGTGCAGCTATGGCATTTACTTGCGTACAGCTTTGCGTCAACAATATCTCGCCCTCGGCTGCTAGTTTGGGAACGATGAATGGACTGGCTTTGAGCATGGTTGCTGGCATCCGTGCTGTGGCTCCAGGATTGTTTGCTAGTCTGTTCGCTACTGGTGTCAAGACGCAGATCTTGGATGGATATCTGGTTTGGTTGGTTATGCTTAGTATGACTTTGATCTTGGTTGTGACGATCAGGTTTACGCCTGCGAAGGCTGAGGGGAGGGTTGCTAAGAGTGCTGATGAGGGTGATGCTTGAGAGCCTGTTGATCTAGATCCTATGGTGTCACACCAAATTTCGCCACTTTCCGCCGTTGATTCTACTACCCAGCAGCGAAATGAAGCATACAATCCACAAGTCGTCGTTCCGAATAAACAAGATAAAAAAGAACAAGTCAAGATCAACCCGATCATTTCTCGCACCCGTGAGTCTCTCATGTATGGCTTGGGAAGCACAGGCACAACACGATGTTCCTATCAGATGTGTAGTATTGAGCATGTGGTAGATGCACAAAGTCTTCAGAGAGACGTTAATTCTGTACGCATGTCTACGAATGAGTCTCTATTCTTCAATCCGTCGGCTGCGATCTCTTGGTTGCAGCCTTGCGTAAACTAGTAACTTGCGATACTCATCTGACTAGAGATCTGCTCCCCTTCCTGCTCCAACTGGCGGAAGATCCAATGCATGTCTTGAGCACCGTATTCGAACAGGACGAGCGCCGTACAGTTAAAAGTGGCCTTTGTGCTCCAAAGATCTTGCTCTGGACCAATGCCTAGTCTGAAGTGGTCCAACATATCCAAAGCCCTCTCATTCAGATGATCTTTGGCGAAGTTTCCTGCTGCAATGTTCATGAACGTTTTCATTTCTTTGTAATCGTCGCTGGTGGCGAATTTGCTTATGAGGGTGTTCTCGTCACCGGGTAGGGTTTCTGTGCCTAATACGACCAAGTCGGATTCGAGTACTAGTTCGATGCGCATGGTGTCGAGTTCGTGTAGTTCGCTGGCTGGATCACCTTGTGCGATTTGTTCCTTGATGTCGGCTCTGACCTTGTTTTTGTGTTGACTGATGTCGTATTTGATGTTGTCTCTGACGATTTTAAGGATTGAGTTGCCAGCGCTCAGACATGTTCTCCAAGAAAAGTCAGGATGCAGAATGTGAGTCACCAGGGAAGCCCAGAGTTCGATGACGGTGGCATTGTCGATTGTCATGATCACCTCTGGCCACGCCGCGATCGAGTCATGGGGAAACCCTCCTCTGATGGGCACAGGTTTGGGGTACTTTCTAGGCGGTGATGGTTCGCTCGTCCTTTGTCTCTTACAAGGAGGTTCTTGGTCTGGTTGTTCTGCGGATCTGGACCTCCAAGCTTTTAGCAATTCGACTTCGGGCTCAGGCGACAGGGACTGTGACTCTGCCTTCGTCCTCTGAGAACGTCGTTTGGCCCACCCTGGACATGGGAAGAAGGTGGCTCATATAACTCGGCTTGGCGCGTTACATCATCTTACTGAATCCTCCAAGTCGATGTGTATTGTTGAGTGCATGGTAATCGTTGCTTAAACTCGGTATATACTTCTTACAAACGGTAGTCATCATGTTGTCGAAGACGAAGCTTCCAACGTTTTTGTCGACTTGGTCTGTTGCTTGTCCTCCAACGAGTCTAGGTCTCCAGCATGGAATGCCTTTATCTTCATATGCTCAGGATCAGGGGATGCTTCGCCTCATCTTGCTCGCTGCATTTGAGCTCTTCCCCAGCCCATTAAATTCTCCCTGGCGAGGTCTCGGTCTTCGATGAGTGTACCAATCCGGCCTTCCTGTTGCTGCAGTACATCTGCAGGGGCGGACTCTTGCTCTCCTTTATGCAGACTCTTCTTTGTCTTGATGATTTTCTTGTTGGCTTTGGCTTCATAGGAATCATCTGTTGTACACTTTTCGTCTTGAGAGATGTCGGTATTCATGGTGGGTCTCTTTGGCTTTTTCTTGCTTAGTGGCTCTGGGTCTTTGAGGTCGGAGAACTCTTCAACCTGTGATTTCTTAGCTTCACTACGTGTCAAAGGCATCTTTGATCTTGATGGTAAAGTATGCTCGGGGGTGAGGAAGACGTGACTTGGGCGCGACAGGGTGACGTTTCGTCTTGGCGCATGAGATCCGACTTTCTACATCGGCAAGCCTAGAGTTGCAACTCTCCAACAACAACCAAAGTCACCATGTCGTCGCCAGAGCAGACAATACACACACATCACTGCATCTGCACGCAGCTCGTACTGGCCAGCACGTCGACCCTCGAGAGCCTCAAGACCCGCTCCTCCGACTTGTCGCATATCCTCCCTCTCCCAGACCTCTCTTCAGTCTCGACAACCTCGCACTATGCATCGCTGACCAACACCGTCATCGACACCAAGCCCACTGTCATTCGCCTTGACGATGGATTTGAGAAGCGCTACTTCCACAAATGCGGCCGTTGCGACTTAAACATTGCCTATACACTTGACCAGAGCCAATTTGAGGATACAAAGACGTCTTCTGGAGCTAGAGAGAACGTCGCATTCTTGATGCCTGGTGGCCTGATGTCGACTGAGGATATGAAGAGTGGAAGGGATATGGATGCTGAGATTGCCAAGGTCGGCGTCAAAGCTGCTTGAAGAGCCCGCACGCAAGATGCATATCAGAAGGAAAGCACTCCCACTGCACGGCGCATTGAAGACCTATTGCGCAAAGCAATCGAAGAGGATCGAAATCCGACGGCAAAGGATAATAGCGTGAAAGGCGTGGAGCACAAGAAGCTCAAGGCTTGGGATGGACGAATTGGAGATGAAGAGGGCATAGCAAGGGGCACGTATGAAGGGCCCAAGAGAGCGACACCACCTGAGGATGCATCTGTTCGAGCTGCGCAAACATTGAGACAAGGAATCTCATCCATCTGAGAAGGACAGACAGGGTCACCACAAGCCCACAGATCGAGGCGTATGCTTGTCACCGATATGTCGGTTGACCACGACTCATGTCATACCGACACGATTCAAAGCCGCGACGCTCACCCTTCGACAACCGATACACAGTTTGTGAACTGGTTGCTTTCTCCCCTGGGCAGTCCATTGACAACTGGGCTTTAAAAGAGGAAGCTTGTTTTGCTCTTTTGGTAATGCTCAGCTTGCCGTGTTGCTGTCTTGGAATCAAGGGCCGCACTACGATAGAGAGATGGAGGTTGGAAGATGTTCAGATGCAGTGGTTATCAAATTTTTCTCAGACACAGACTTTGGTTTGTCTCGGTCGTTGTAGCTCGGCGTGTTGCGTCTTTTGACTTGTCTACAGCTCCGAGGCAGATGCCGAGGGACATGTCTGTTGCTGCTCGAGTTGGAAAGCCGTCTGTTCGGCCTTCTCCCCAAGCAGCATCCATGAGATGTCCGGAACGGCTAAAGTCCGTCGGGCAAACAGCCGCCGAACGCAGCGGCAGTGAAAGACGGGGATCGCACTTCTTCCCGGTGGGGGTTTGGAAAGTACCCCGCGACCACTTTCCCGAACTCATGTTTAATGCCGTCACGCCCTTTATATTCTTTTGAGGCAATAACTTTCTGCTGTCCTCTTCTGCTATAGGCGTCTCTGATTTCACTTTCTCATACGAAAAATCTCATCTCGTCCATCTGGAGAACGTGATCAGTACCAAAGCAACTCCCGAAAAGAACAATCAAGACAAATCACACACGATGGGTTTGAAAGATGTCGGTTTCATTGGCCTAGGTGCCATGGGAGGCGGTGTTGCCATCAACCTTGCAAGAGAGGGATACAATGTCAAGGGTTTTGATTTGGCACAACCGCTAGTCGATGCCCTGGTCAAGGAAGGCGGTAAGGCAGCAAAGACACAGCAAGAGACGGCCACAGATGTCGACTACCTCTGCATTATGGTCGCCAACCACTTCCAAACTAGCTCGGCCCTCTTCGACGGCGACAACCCGGCCATCAAGGGTCTTGGTCAAAACAAGACTGTTATCCTGTTGTCAACGACCCCTCCCTCTTACCTTCACGAGCTGAGGCAAAAGCTAGACGACGCTGGTAGATCAGATGTCAAGCTTCTCGATTGCCCAGTATCCGGAGGCACTATCCGCGCTGCAAATGGCACTCTCAGTATCTTCGCAGCTGGCAAAGAAGAAGAAGTGGAAGCATCAAAGGACATCTTGAACACCATGTCTGGCAACCTCTACCGCATCCAAGGCGGCATCAGCAGCGGCACAAAGGTCAAGACCATCCACCAGCTGCTCGCCGCCACAAACATCATCCTCTCATCAGAAGCCATGGGCCTCGCCGCCACTGTCGGCCTCAACACCCAAAAAGTGTATGAGCACGTCAAGGCCAACGACGGCACATCCTTCATGTTCGAGAACCGCGCACCTCACATGCTTGCAGACGACTGGTCGCCTCTGTCAGCACTAGGCATCATTCTCAAGGACGCAGGCATCGTCACTGCCACAGCTCGCTCAGGATACTTCCCTACTCCCCTCGCCGACTGTGCCGAGCAATGCTATCTCCAAGGTCTACAAGCCGGTCTTCTCAAAGACGACGACGCAAAGCTGGTTACCATGTACATTCCCTCCGGCTCGCCCTCGCTGGTCAAGGAGAACGCGGCCGCAGACGTCAAGATGCACTCGAACCACCAAGTCAGCGCCGACACGGTCAACGACCTGCTGGCCGGCGTACACCTCGCTGCCAGTGTAGAGGCAATGGCTTTCTGCAAGCATCTGGGCATGGACCGCAAGCTCATGTGTGAGATCATCTCCAAGGCTGCCGGTTGGTGTGACATGTACACCAAGCACATCCCTGCCATGTTGGAGAAGGACGACTGGAGTTTGGCGTCGTGCGCTGCCTCTGAGGATGTGAGGAAGAGATTGGAGACTGCTGTTGAGAAGGCGAGAGCGCTTAGATATCCCGTTCCCATGGCTTCGGCTGCTCTGCAGCAGTTCTACTTTGCCGGACTCAGGGGTTAGAAGTAATACTGTATACACTAGGAATGGCAAAAAGGAGTATTAGCTTGACACAAACCATCATCTTACTCTGCATCTTAACGCATATCTTCACATTGACTTCGCATTGGGGAAAAGTATCGGCGTTTGATGTCATATTTCATTTCGAAGAGAGAAAAGTTAAAGAGCTCCCAATCATGCATAAGCTTCCAATCATGTTTTGTTTTAAGCGATCAACGTCCCAGTCTCGCAGCAAGCTATGCGCTTAGTAGCTGCGACCGAACATGACCCACTTCTCAGCCTTGCGCTCACACTTGGGGTTGGTGCACTTGGTCTCGCCCTGGACGAGTCCCTCTGCGGGCTGCTCGAAGGGAATGCACAAACTCTTGGCACCCATGGAAGGAGCACGGGCATCGACCTCCTGGCCCTCGATCTTGCCTGAACTGAGCTCCTTGATTTCGTCCTCGCAGTCGGGGACAAGACAGTGGGGGATGAGACAGGTGTTCTTTGCGTTGAGGGCGGGGACAAAGTCGTCCCACTTTGTGATGATCTTGCGGTGGTCGCGGAACTCGTCAGAGGCCTTGCGGAACATGTCGCTCTGAATGGTTTCGAGGAGAGCGGGGACGTCCTTGCCAAGGTCGGCGATGGGGATCTCGCTCTTGCCGGCGGCGAGCTGGTCGCGGCGGGCGACGGTGACGACGTGCTTGGCGCTGTCCTTGGGGCCGAACTCGATACGGAGGGGCACACCCTTGAGTTCCCAATGGTTGAATTTCCAGCCGGGGGATTGGTCGTCGCGCATGTCAGTTTCGGCGCGGACGCCAGCCTCGAGCAGAACCTCCTTGATGGCGTTGGTCTCGGCGTAGTGCTTCTCACGGTCCTCAGGGGTGGTCTTTGCGGTCATGCCGACGGGGACGATGATGGCCTGGATCTCGGCGACGCGGGGAGGAATGACCAGACCCTTGTTGTCACCGTGGGTGAGGATCATGATACCGATGGAACGGGTGGTGAGACCCCATGAGTTTTGCCAAACGTGCAGCTTCTCCTTCTTCTCGCCTTCCTTTGCGTGAGGGTCCTCGATAGTGATGTCGAACATCTTGGCGAAGTGCTGGCCCAAGCAGTGAGAGGTACCAGCCTGGATACCACGGCCAGTGGATGGAATGAAACCTTCAACGGTGGTGGTGTAGTGGGCGCCGGGGAACTGCTCGGCGACGGTCTTGCGACCTTTGACGACGGGAACTGCCAACAACTCGTGGTAGATAGCCTCGTAGTAGTCAAGAATCTGGAGGACCTCCTTGCCGGCGTCCTCCTCGGTCATGTGAGCGGTGTGGCCCTCCTGCCACAAGAACTCGCGCGAACGGATGAAGGGCATGGGGTGCTTGAACTCCCAACGGACGACGTTGTTCCACTGGTTGAGCTTGAGGGGGAGATCGCGGTGAGAGCGGATCTTCTTGGAGAAGTAGCCGTACATGGCGGTCTCGGATGTGGGACGGACGGCGAGCTTCTTCTCCAGTTTGTTCTTACCACCCTCGGTGACCCAGGCGACCTCAGCGGCGAAACCCTCGATGTGATCCTTCTCACGCTGCAAGTTGGCCTCGGAGATGAACAGGGGGAAGTAGCAGTTGCGGACTCCCATCTTTCTGATGCGGGTGTTGAAGAAGTCCTGGATGCGCTCGTAGATGCCGTATGAACCGGGTTCGTAGATGTAGCAGCCGGGGACGTCGGTGAACTCGAGCATCTCGCCCTTGGTGATGACCTGCTGGTACCATTCCGAGAGGTCGTCCTCCTTGGCCACGTCGATACCGATTAGAGCAGCGCCTTCCATCTTCTTCTTTCCACCGCCTTGGGCGACTTTGGGTTCCTTCTTTTGCTTGGCCTGGGACTTTTGTGCCTTCTTCTGGTCCTTTTGCTCTGTGGAAATGGTCCGTCAGCAGCTGACTATGCGATTTGGATGCCATTGGGTAGCGACGCACCCTTTGCATCGGCANGCGGGCTTCTGCTGGGGCTGGGCGCCCTCGACTGTGCCTTCGGACATCGTTGTGGCTAGCGAAAGCTGTATTGGTCGCGCGGGTTTATATGTCTTGAGGAAGGAGCGACTGGTTTGTGTTGCGACGGGCGGTATCTGAAAGCGACAGGAAGGTGCACCGGAGCAACAACTTGACTCACTTTTCGTGCGTGCGGCGTGCCATCGAGACCCAAGCTGCCCCACCTTCACCCTGTCCGACGCCAAGATTTACAACCTGCCGTTTCCTCCTTCGCTCACCGCAAACCGCCCTCAAACCATCTCACTGTTCTTCGTTCCACCGAGCNTCACGGGGCCATACTGGCTCTTTCCATGCAATTCTTTCCTCGTGTTCCTTTCTGTCCTTTGCGAGTTTTGCTTCCCATGACCACACAATCGAAGCTTGAGTTGGCTGATGTGGATAGTCTGCGAGTGCGATCGAACGTAGACTTCGCACCTTTGGATAAAGTGTCATCGTTGAAGGCCTGCTCGGTATGGTGGTGATCGGCTCCNNTATCGACAAGCTGTGTTAGAGTCACCACTGTCTCCGCAGAGATCGAGTACATACCTTGTCCCACTGTCGGTAACCTAAACCCCAGACACAAGTATCCTCCCAGGATGGAATGTCCTCACCATCTATTCGGTGAAAGAATTTGTTCATGTTATCGTGACAACGATCCGGCCAGGAAGCTTCAACACGATGGTCACTATAGATTAAGGGTAAGGACTTCCTTTCCTGTTCTTCAGATCGAAACGACAAGGTGTACATGTCTCCATATTCATCGCTTCGTCCGAGAGATACCGCCGTTGGGTCGAGCTGGGTGATGAGGTTGATGAAGATGTCCCGGCTTTAACCCTCTTCCAGTTTGATGTCCCATGCCAAAGGGACTCTTCTATTTGGGAACATTGCATTAGAGAGTTCCTTTGCCTCAAGGTTGTTGACCAATTCTTACCTCCTAACGTACATGGACTCGATGATCTCTGGGTCTCGGCGTTGCAATCGACCCCATTGATAGTCAGAACGCAACTTGTACTCGTAAACCTCGTCATGGATTCCGTCTGGTCCAGCAGCGATGTGCTGGTCGAACTTGCGGAAGTAGTCCTGAGGAACTTTGACTACATAACCAACGCTTGGATCTCTGCGGATTGCTTTCAGTGTCGCCTTGTCGTCGTTAGGAATGAAGGCCGTGTATCCGTTAATCTCCAGCCTGCGTTCCTGGATAGCCATTGAACGATTTACCATGAGGAGGTGATCCTCAACTGTCTGATTCGCGCTGAGTCCGACAGCCCACACCGAGGCACGACATGCGTAGGCGAAGGAGCTGGAGCTGAGCAAGGCAAGCAGAAGATAGGATAGGAAGAATGGAAGCATTGTTTCGATGTGCTGAGTTGTCGAAAGCAGAGTCGATCGCAAAGTTTGAGGTAGACCGCGCTTTCCGCAATGCGCTGTCACTGGTGACACGAGTGAAAGTGAGGCAATGGCGGCCTGAAACTCGAATCTCGATCTCTTGAAATTCACAGTGTATCGACTCAAGTGAGAAGCCGCGCTTTATACCTTCTGACTACTCGACATTGAACATTGCTTCGCTGCTGCTTTCGCTTTCTCATACCGATTGAAATCTGACAACCACCATTGCGTTCTCGATCATGACAACATCAAAAATCATCCTGATCATGCTGGCTCTCCAACTTCTCTGCTCGGGCTTTCTTGCTCAGGCATCTTCTTCAACGTAGATTCCATACACTTTTCGGTCTAAGAATTATTTGGTCTAACAATGTTCATATAGAGTGATTCCGCACGAATTTACGGTCTGCCTGGAAGAAGGCTACCCACTGGACTCTCATTTCAAGTACATTGGCAAGGAGCTTAACATATCCCAATATCTCGAGTTGATCAACTGCTACAACATCAACTTCTACAATACCACCAGAGTACACGACGATTCCGAGGAAGCCATTCTTGACTTGATCCGCAGTGATTCAGAGGTTGTCGGCGTCGCGCGAAATATCGCATCGAGTCTAAACGATTTTGAGTTTGTGAGACTGTCTGTCTGCTTCACACACTCTTCCGAAACTAATCAGTCTTGCCAGAACGCACCTATGAAGCTCGTTTCCGATCAATGGAGTGTCCATACTAGAAAGCACGGCGCCTTTTGATAGCTAGAAAAATTCAGCTTTAGCAAAGGGAGAGAAAATGCTATCCAACGCAAGCTCTCTGCAGACTAGGAGCAGCCAATGTCTTAGGACTGGAGTATGGCCAGGAAATTTCAGTACCACGAAACAATTCAGTAGCTTCTCTCAGCGGTCAAAGCAGTAATTTTGGTAAAGACTGTGTCTTTTTGTAGCTGAAGAATGCTGAGTCGATAGAGGGGGAGCGTTTATATCACGATGAAGGTCCTGCGGCCTCGAGGCAGTGATAAATTGATGACAGGCAGATGTACAATTAGTGTCACACATTTCAAACACAATCCTGTTATACTTGCACATCTCACACGTCACAAGTCACGATACAAGAGAAGGATCGGCCACAAACATGATATAACATATCGACTAACATTAAATACAACAATAAAGACTGGGGGTATATCGTTCGCAAACTTTCCTAGCCCGAAAAAACAAGAACCATCCACCATACATTGCCACAAATCTGGCCATCACAAGCATTATTTTGGTTTGTCTCGAAAAACAAACGTACATCGATCGACAAAGCAAAAACAGACTTAAGCCTGCTTCTCAATCTCGGTCAACTCGACATTGGTGTTGGGCCAGAAGTGGCTGAGGTCGCCGACGGGGAAGTTGATGCCCAGACGCATCTCAGCAGCCATAATGACAAAGGTGATGTACCAGCCCAACACTGCGACGACGAAGAGAAGCGCGCCACCAGTNCTGAGAGAGAGGTCAGTTATAACCACCATCATATGGAAAGCAGAGGATAGACATACGATTTGGAGGGTACCAGCCATAGCGTAGTCACCAGTGGCAACGTGGAAGTAAGCACCGGCAAGGATGTAGACGGCAATGGCAGCGAAACCAAAGATACCAGCAAAGATGGCGTTTGTCTTCAGCGAGAAGATGAAGTAGGTGACAAAAGCAAAACCCCAGACGATAAGGTAGAGACCGATGGCGTTGTTGTAGTCAGGGCTGGCAGCACCTTCGGCAGCGTCGCCAGTGGGAGAGTAGGATGCAGCAATACCGAGAGAAGGAAGTTGGATCATGCCGAAGGAAAGCCAGAAAACGCAGAAGAGCGAGAGAGAGTTCATCNNTAGGCAGCTGTCAGTACGATGAAGATGTGTAGTCGATAAGGTCTGACTTACGGTGAAGAAGTTGCCCATGATCCATTCGAAGATGGCAGCGAGACCGAGGAGAACGGGACCGGTGAAGAAGAAGATACCAACGACACCAGCAAGACTGCTAGTACCAGCAAAGCCCATGAGGATCATCGAGAAGGTGAAGGTCGAGATAACGAAGCCAGTGAAGCCCATGGGTACGGCATTGGCGAAACGCTTGACGTTGTTGCCATGGCGGGGGGTCTTGGGAGTCAGGTACAGCTTCTCGAACAGCTCTGGCGAGATGGTCATGCCATTGTGAGAGGATGTGATGTTGAGATTGTGGTTGTGCGACTTCTCAAAAACAGCGTCTGCTGAGGGTCTGTTCACGTCGGTGGCTGTGGACGACATATTTTCCAGTTGATGTGCGGTTTCGGGCGGCAGGATGGAGAAAAATGTTAAGCTTAAAACAAGGGGCTATGAGGTTTTCAATGCTCTTCTTATAACTGCCATCCAGTGCCTACCTTGACTGCCATGATTGGTTGCGTGGTTCGAGAGGGGTTTTCGTAGCCCACACTGATCTGCAGTCAATTTTCCTTGTCAATGGGTGGTCTCTGAATTTGATTAAGCCCGATTTTAGTTGGTGTCCAAGTGGTAGTATAGCCTCTCTAAAATATATGCTAGTGGTCCAGATGCTCGAGATGTAACACATTCGCCGTCCCCAATCGTCTTGGCCTCTCCACTTGTCCGTGCCCGGTACTAAGAACCGAGACTCGGTCCAATATGGCGTTGTGAAGACAAACCATTGGCCTGCCGTATCTAAAGAACGTGTGCTGTCTGTTGACCCATTGACTACCTGAATACCACTTGGGCGATAGTGCACACGAGTGCATGGCTGTATGCATGAAAGTTCGAGAATCATGATGGGAAATGACAAGTATACTCAATAAGAGAGAAGGAGGAAAGGAACACAGTATCCATTCGATACTGGATCTACCGAAGCCTCTCCATCTTGGGACATACCAAGCACATGTTCTTGACGACTGTGAGCCTAGGCCAATGGCGCCGTGTGGTCGCAACTCCTGCCGCTGATTGAAGACTTGTATTCGTCTCAACAACAATCAGGGTTGTACGCTATAAAGAGCTTGGTAGCGAGACTCGAGTCAAGGGTCGTGAGTCGCGACTCAGTGATCGTCAGGGCCCATAATGCTCAATCAATTATAACCACGAGATGAAGAGACATCAGGTGAATGGCAGATTGACAAAGTCAATGAGCTGAACTTCACGCGGTCCGCGAAACGTCGCCTCAGTGAGTAGTGAGTGAGGTGTAACCTGCAACAATGGATGTGTGGTGTACATATAGAGGACTCTCCGATCTACAAGACCCGTTATCGACTTGTTGGCTTGAAAAAGTGCGAAAGAATGGCTGAAACCGACCACGACTGCCGTTTCTCCTCAGCGACGAAGAGTCGTGCGCGCGGGTGGAGTTTGACGGACAGACACGCCATAGGGTCTAACAAACCACTGACCAGAGCTTGTTCCCGTGTTCATGGCCGTGCGTATCATCAAATTGAGAGGCGATTTGCAGTTTGCAGAACACATGAGCTAGCATGAGTCGATCAGGTCGGTTGCAAAGGAGGAAACCACCGGAACTTCCAGCTCTTGCAGCAGGAACAAGAATGATAAACCACCGGATGCGGTTATTCAAGGAGTAAAGGTTCGCCGAGAGTCCTGTGCTCGGTAGTTGGCGGCGTCGGTCAATGTTAGCCGAGCGCATCGACGACAAGCGACCAGGGTCCATATTGCTCTCCAGCCATCATTCGTCTACGCAGAGTGTTGAGCGCGGACGGAGATTGAGATATGTGTGTTCCATATAGTACTCGAGGAGACCCGCGGCCTGAGTCGAGGTAGCATCCGAGAAGTTGATGAATTGATGTAGGACTAGAGGCAAGAACGACCGCATGGCTTCGTGGTCGTTCACCAGTGGCAGAAAAGTCACCGCCTTCTGAGATTTGAAGCGGGATCTCTGGCAGCAGATCAACACACCAACAACTACGCTGCTGAACAGCATAGGAGTACACATCAAGACAGACTCGAAGACTTCGACAACCCGCGCAAGGCACGCTGCTCCCAGACTCCTGGTCCAGTGTTTCTGCAAGTCACACCATGGCCTCCTTGAAGTGGACACAGTGGAGTGGGGGCACTTGAATTTGATCTGGATTGCTTGCTCCAACAAAGTCATGCACGCTCAACAGTTTCATCTTCTTCCCAAGTTCTACCTTTGAACAGCACGGGCAACACCGAGTCTATGATTGCGCCGTATACCTGTGGCGCTCTGGGACATTCGTACCGGACGCTCTATCGCTGTTCAGCTTGACGATAAATTTAGGGCGGGCTCTGCAATCCATCATCCAAAGTCGATGTTCAATCCGCGGTCAACGGTGGTCCTCCCGGTGCTGCATCTGAACTCGTCACCGAAAGTTGCAAAGGATGTTGCAGACCAAAGAACGTGGGCTCTCGATGTCTTTGAGTATTATGGCTATCCTTGCTCTCGAGCGAGCAAATCATACGGTGTATTCTTCCTATCAGGGCTTCATCCTTTTGTTGTCTTGTAAGGATTCTTCGTAACGCTGCGTCATGTTCGTTCTGAAGAGTGCCAATTCAGCTGCATTACCGGTGCTTGGCTGTTCGTCATTGAGATCGATCTGGCTATCATCCACAACCATGCCTAAACATGAAGGACAATGACGATGATTACGATTCCGAGTAGAGAATGGAAGGGGATACTGAGCCGTACTGAACCGACCTGATCCGTAAGATGATGTGCTTTTGTTGACCAAAGAGGCATGGATGCTCTGGAAAACATGTAATCGGGATCTGAATTGTGAACACTGTGTCTGAAAATTAGGTAGACGCTAACTTCCTTGTGCGAAGTACAATAGGTCGGTATGTACTCCGTAAGCAAGACTTGTCGGTGGTGTAGGTACTGCTTGGACTATCACTACATCAGTGGCGTTTGCTTGGCGAAGCTTCCCGTGTAACTCTACCTTCGACCCGTGAGGTTTCGTCTACTACATCTGCTGGAAACAGTCTAGAGCAGAGCAGATCTGCCTTGCTCCGACAGATCTGATCGCGAGATATGATCATGTTTGAGCGGCTGAGTGCGCGCGGCTGAGTCTTCTGTGGACCGCAGCTCCGCTTGACGATACGCTGGATGGATTTGCAACGGTAGGTTGCCTTCCTACCCTAGTTTTTTGCATTTCAAAGATAGGGGCCCTTGTCGTTCTCAAGCAGTATGTTCGTCCTTGCTGGATTCGTGTCGATCCCGAGGTGATTGGAAACCACATAGGCATGCTGATGACGTAGCGAGTACCTCTGCATGTCGAGCGTCCCTTGTGCTCCCCTTCGTGCGTAAAGCATACAGGCTTGGAACACTGGAAGAGATCGCTACTCACTTAGCTCGTCATCCCGGTGCACGAGCAAGAGTTGTGGCCCAAATGATCGCACGAAGTTCAGTAGCCAAGTCCCAGCGAGGAGAGTTGCAGCCATTTGCTCCGTCATCCAGTCGCTCAAGTGAAGTGACCATATAACTTGAGAAACCATCCCCTCCAGCATCCTTGCATCCACAAATTGCCTAAAACCCACACAACACGACTCGCGATAATCGTCCTTCATCATGACTTCGCTCTTCAATCGCATCCGTAACAACCATATCTTCCAGAAGATACTGCGCGTTCTCCAGTTCCTCTCCTCAGTCATGTAAGCCCAAGTGTATCCTGGGCTCAAATCTCTCCCTAACATGGTCGTTGTAGTTNCTCTCGGTCTCTTCTCTTCTCGTCTCTACAAGGTCTACCGTCTGGTTCGCAATGTGCAAAACTCTTCGGGCGCCGTCGAAGGCATTTTGGCAGCTGCAACAGCCTACACCATCTCCACTCTGATCATCAACTTCTGCCTCAAGGGTGGCGCACCCAAATTCCTTCGCTGGCTGCTTATCGTCCTCGACCTGCTCTTCGTTGGTGGTTTCATCGCCGTCGCTGTCTTGACTAGACCACACGGAGGCCTCAGCAGTCTTTGTGCTACGCCAAACGCTCGTCAGGATCCCAACAACCGCAACAACGCCTTGTGCAACCTGCCGCTTGCGACCTTTGGCCTGGCCATTTTCAGCACGTAAGTCAACCTATCGTCAGGCTGCTGTGTACAATTACTGACCCGAGATGTAGTCNTCCTCCACGCTATCACTGCCATCTTCCATGAAGTTCGTGATCACCACAAGAACAAGGGCTTCGTCTCGGCCGAGGAAGAGATGAAGCGCTCGCACGATAGTCTGCATGATTAGGTGGACGTGAACTTGATAGAACCACGAGTTCGAAACGCATTGACACCTCTACATCGTCGAGGCTTGTAGCTTGATGTTTACAAAACGGAGATGATATCACGACCTTACGGCTATTGTAATCTGCTCGTTTCTTGAGGCTAATTGATAACTGCGCTTAATAAAGTTAACGTTCTACAACAAGCACGATCGTCTCCTCATCGTGATCATCTCAAGATTTAAACGTGTTCCAGCCCATTCTGATTAAGACTTACTAACATCTCTAACAGTGGCTGTCTTACTTGGTTTGTCAGAAATGATCGGTCTATACTTGAGACTTTACAAAGTATGTTCCCAGTATATGGCCAAACTGATTACTCTAAGAGGTCTTGTCCTCTTGGACCGAGATCAGTCATTGAGGTCGATCAATGTCACAATCCACCAGGTACGAGAGACTAGAGATTTTGTTGCAAACCATGGTAGCTGAGATACTGTAGTATAGAAAAAGGAAGAGCGAGCTAAAGAGATGCGAAAGATCAAAACAAAAACAAAAACCAAGATCCAAACAACAACCAAGGAAATTCTATCATCTGCTCCCAGAGCTGCCCCCATCCGCGCCCCTTGAGTCATCTTTCAGATATACTCCGATAGTCGAAATCGTGCAAATAGATCAATCCGTCTAGTGGAAGTAAGACTGGAGCTCTCTCATCTCCTCGTCGGTAAGGCCGCTGAACTTGAGAGAGTCGGCACCAAGAGGAATAGGAAAGCCGGCGTTGAAGCTGCCAGTCAAAGCAGTAGCGAGAACCATGCAAGTGGAAGGAACACCGGCAACCTGGAAACCGCCAGGTCCAGCAGGAGTGAAGGAGAGAGTAGCACCGTTGAGAGATTCGTGGCACATGTCGTAGTTGTACTGAGGGACAGAGTCGAGAGGGTCGGTCTGGCGCCGCTCGTGGATGCCGCGGCGGCCGACGGCGCTGCCGATGATGCCGCCGATGAGCTGGGCACCGGCGCCGAGGACACCGTCGCCGGTGAAGCCTTTGCCGTGGAGACCCTTCTTGGCCTCGACGGAGGTGGCGAAGGCCATGGCGAGGGAGATGATGATAGTAGTGAACTGCATTTTGAATGTGGTTTTGAAGGAAGTGTTCTTGAAGATCGAAGTGTGGATGAAGGTGTTCCTGAAAGATGAGGAGTGGTTGAAGAAGTTGTTTGGAGAGTGGTGGATGAGTGTGTAAGTTGAGTTGTTTGGTTGCTTTGGTTGTTCGGTTGTTTGGCTGTTGAGTTGCTTGATGATTTCCTTTTCGACGGACATCAAGGAGGTTTATATACCTTGTCGACCATGGAGTCTTCTTACCAAATCTTCTAAAGAGTCGAAGAAGTGTCTGCCCATGTTAGTACAGCATGCATCAAGGTGTCCAGAATAGAAGTGGATCAAGTTGACGTTGGTGGATGAGCCTCCAACAAGTCTCAGGATTTCAACATGCTATACCAGGTGTTGTTGGACTAGACAACGCGAGTGGAGCACAGGCATGTGTAGAGTGTTGCTTCCATCTCTGTATCCAATTGAGGCCCACGAGCACTATAATGTAGTCAAAAATAGATCACTCTGATAGAAGCATTAATGTTTGTCTTGTAGAATTGGAAAAATCGGAAGTGCGCAGCTTTGTCCCCACAGCATTTGGTGGTGGCTGCGCATCGAGTTTTCTTGCTATGCGGCAGAAGCGTGGAGGATGGATGATGGGTCTTTCCTGCACCATGAATACATTGCTCAGCCGCATGTTTTCGAGCTAGCTCTACTGCACAAGCAATATGCTATATCGTCTTGAAACAATCGGTAGACCATGACAGACGACGATAGTCTATCAACACAACCTTCACGTGAGGGACGGCAACATGGTGACCGGCGACTATGTTTGGTATGCAGCGCGCCACTCACGCATCTGCATCCAAATGTTGCAACCAACCGATGTTGGAGCAAGCTCAGTATCCACAGATGTCGAGAGGCCGAGCGCGCGCTGTATACCAAAGGAGGTTACAGCAAACAACACCAACACCAGTACATCAATTGCTTGTCAAGACTATGATCTTCGGGCATATGATCGGCAAAGGAAGATCGAAAAGTCGCTATATCAGTCTTTGCGTTGCAGAGCGTGGATGAAAGTGGTGGCTGTGTAGCTGTAGGGAGCTGCGCATTGTTGTTCGCGCTTTCTTTTTCTGCCATGGGGTTATGTTTTGTGTCAAATTAATGCCAGATATATCGGGATTATGTAAGTTGTGCACGCAGGAGTAGCAGGGCACGGCGCTAAGCTGGAGGATCCTGCGACCCAACCAGGCCAACCCAGAAGGATTCAGGAACAGCATGCAATTTATTAGACGACCCGGTTTCTTTGTAACAACCAACCGCAGCTTTAGGCGCCCTGCATACTGGATTCAGTAACAAGCCCCCTTGCGATCAACATGACTGAGAAGGCTCTTCGAGCAGCCCACACCGCTGGGTGACGGGCGTCGACAATAGATAAAACAACATGTCTGCATGCGTCTCCGAGGATTTCTCATCCTCGGTCGTTCTTCTTGGCCTGCTGCCGTCGACTACATCTGATTACTATTTGCTTTGATCGACATAATGAAGTTCGCTGCGAGGGCGATTCCCTCGTACTCTCTGCTTCCTCAGCTCTAGCTGCAGGTACGCTCGAGTTCTCCCTCGGAAGCGAACGACGCTCGTACTTTCCAGACATCGCCGAGCGTGATGTGGAAGGCACTTCCGAGTCCGCCTTGTCCACCAATTACGCCAACTCCGTTGGGATGAGATATCTTGTCAATCTCACCGTCGGGACACCTCCTCAGCCTCAAACCGTCTTGATCGATACTGGAAGCAGCGATACCATATTTGTAGCTGCAGATGCATCATTTTGTACAGGGAGATCGAAAAATCATTGTCCGGGCGGGACATACAACACATCAGCCTCTTCTACGTTCAAGATGCTCTCTCCCGATGGAATTGACGCACATTATGGCGAAAATGCTACCGCTACATCTGGCGAAGGTGGCATCGACGCGGATCTGGTGACTGATGTGATTCAAGTTGGGGATATCCTCGTCGGAGGCGCTCATTTTGGAGTAGCACATCAGATGGACGGTAAATTCCTCGGAAATGGTGATTATATCGGTCTCCTGGGACTTGCGAACACACTCCAAGAGGCTGTCAAGCCAGGTCAACCAAAGTATCCCACTTTTGTCGAGTCACTGGTCGGAGCTGGCGCCATCGCTTCGCGCGTCTTCAGTCTCTATCTCAACGAAGTGAGCAGTTATGGCTCTATTCTGTTTGGTGGTGTCGATACTGAAAAATACACGGGTGACCTCATGACCCTGAACTTTCGCCCCTCGGTGCTCTCCACGGGTGAGAAGTTGGTTTCATATAGCTTCATGCGCATGGAGGAAGTGTCCATGACACTTGAAGACGGCACACAGACTGCGCTCATCGAGTCCAGCGGGCCGGAGCTGAATGTTATCCCTGACTCCGGAACATCAACCTGGAACATTCCAACAGACGTGTACAACACAGTCGTCAACTTGACCGGCGTCACAGTATCAGGCTCCAACGCAGTCCTGCCCTGCAGCCAGATTTCGAACAAGACAACCTTCACCTATACCTTCTCCGGCAAAGGAGAGAACAAGGTCAAGCTAGAAGTCCCACTCTCTTCATTTTTCATCCCTGCATCAAGGGCCGATGGCAAAGGAGTCGTGAAAACGGGTGGACAGGATATGTGTCTCTTGATGGTCGCTCCATCCAATCCCAGTTCTGGAATCTTTCTCATGGGCGACCCCGTCTTGCGTGCCGGCTACTGGGTCTTCGACATGGACAACGGACAAATCTCCATTGCGCAAGCACGTCTCTCGTCCACCTCCTCCAACATCGTCGCCGTGGAAGCTGGTCCCCACGGCGTCATGAACGCAACACATCAACCCAGCGGTCTTGCTGCCAATCAGACTGAGCAGGTCGCCAAGACTGCCACTGCATCGGTAAGCTTTTCGCTGTCGACTGCGGCTAGTGCTGTGGGACAGACATCTGGTCCTCAGTCTACCGTTCTGAGTGGCGTTGCTGCTGGTTCGATGCTCGATGTCACTGCCATGATGTCTTTGACTAGTACCCTATTGTTGTCTGTCACTTTTGGCGCTTTCTTGTTGTAGAATTGGTCTATTAGACACTTGCATACGAAACAACTCCTTTGATGAACAAACAGTCCTCTCCCAATACAACCCTTTCAAGCCTCTCCTTCGGGTCCTTCGCTCCAATCCTTACAACTTCAAGCAACTTTCTTGCACCTGTCACCCCCAATCTGCTTCTAGGCTACACTCTTTCCGGTATCAGCCCTTTCCGCGTGATTATGTCAGGCATCTTAGGAAATCAGTGGACCAAGTCATTCATAGAGAAAGGCGCTGCGGATAAACAAGCCACGGTTGAATTATGTGTGGGAGGGACAGCCCGAGACTGAACCTCGAAAGTATTGTATGAAGCTACTGCTAGTGCTCAAAAACCTTGGTCTCTTGTCTGTACTCGCAGAACACCATGACGCCTCCCTAGTAGCAATCGATAATCAAAGTTACATGGAAATCGTACTATATCAAAATCATGCTTCACCTCCAGAATTCATGATCTTCGAGAGTCCACAATGGAATCCGAACGTAAAGAGTTAGTACCACACAAGCAGAAGCAAGAAGACAAGCCTAGATAGAACAACAACACTGTAACACTTACTCTTATGTCTAAAGCCCTAGGGAGAGATATACACACGATGCATCAGATATTGGTATTGCAAGGTTAAAGAACAGGGTCGTTACCCCAACAACACATCTACGCAAATATATAGATCTAACCTATACAAATGCTGTGTTTGATAGAGTTCTACCTGAATTGACACGCCGAGAACATGTATGATCATAAATCACAGCCATTTGTCCTGGAAGAGAGGATCACCGCGCATTGAGTAATCTTACCAGAATTCTGAGGCATCATAATAGCACAAGAGAAAAAAAGGGTACTTGGAGAGAACGAATGTAAGAAAAGTTCATCTCGAGGATCCCGCCTCGAGGTACAGGTATGTAAACCGTCTAGATCTAATCATCAATACTCTAGATTGCGAACCAACTGACAACTCTCTGGAAAGAACATTCTCAAGCCTGCTGTAGATTACCCTCCCTAATCTCATTCAGCGACTTGGTGAGTTTGTCCAACTTGATGGGTTTCGTCAAGAACAAATCGATGCCCGAGACAAATGCCTCTTCCTGCGCCTCAGCAGATCCCAAACCCGTCAAGGCAATGATGGTAGCCGGCGTGATATCATTGCTACGCTCAAACGCTCGGATCTGGCGAGTGGCTTCGAAGCCATCCATCACTGGCATGGATATGTCCATGAGCACGACTTCAGGCTTAGGGATTGGGTCGTCAGTGTTGCCGAGAGCGGCGGCCTTGTAAGTCTCGAAGGCTTCGAGACCATTTGTTGCGGAGAGTCTGGCATGGCCGTGCTTTTTTGCGTATGCGGTAATGAGGCGGAGGTTTACTGCNCTGTGTCATGAGGAAGGTTAGATTGATCCTTGGAGTTCATGTAGCGAAGAACTTACGTTGTCGTCGACAAGCAGCAGTGTCGGTTTTGAAGGGTCGATCTCCGTTGCCTTTTTCGTCGTCTTGACTTGTGTAGTCTTTGTCGTAACAGTCACGGTCGTTTGTTGCTCGAAGCCATCCATAGGCGAGTCTTTGGGAAGCGATGGAGGCTTGTCTTCCTGGCTTCCCTGTCTGAAAGAAGCTGGTAATGGCGGTCTTGGTGTTTGCATGTTGGGGTCTTCTGATGGGCGTCTTGTTGGGAAGGGGAAACCAGGATCAGAAGGCCTTTGCAACGAGTTGGCCTGGGGTGTGGTAGAGTTCTCTGACCAAGAATCATCACTAGGAGTGTTGCTGAGACATCTCCTGATGGCGGCGGCGATCTTGCGAGGACCGCAAGGCTGTGCCACATATTCGATGTGGCCATGGACCAATTGGTTCAATGCCGATTCTTTCAACTCACGGCGAGATCTGCAGTTTCTACAGATGACCAGAAGAGGTTTTACCCGGATAGCACGCACCGTGTCGGGGCCAGCATGAGGCGTCCTCACCAAGGTCGGCTGCAGAAGTCTTAGAAGCTCTGGCACGTCTTCCTCAGTGACCACAGCTAGATCGAAGCTGCCAGGAGCAGACCAACTCGAAGGTGACACCATGACGTTGAGTTGTCGACACGTTTTGCGGAGTGTCTCGATCTGGAAGTCGCGACCGGCCATGATAGTTTTNTCTCGATGTGGCTCGGTAGGTGCGAAGCCCAGACAGTGCATGGAAACCATCGTTAGCCCAGATGATAGTGTACGATTGTGAATACGCTGCGCATCTCCAGTTCCCCTGACGTCGAGCGGCATAGTGACAGAAACTGTTGTGCCAACATCCTTCTTGCTTTGCACGTCGATGTGTCCTCCGAGGTTCTTGACAATCTTGGCGACCATACTCATGCCCAGACCAGTGCCTTCTGACAGGTCATCCTCCTGAGCGAATGCACGGAACAGCTGACTCGTCATGAATTCCTTGGAGATACCCTTGCCACTGTCTGTAATTGTCAATCGTACACGAGAACGTTTTTGCCGTTCATTTGGAGACATCAGTTTGAGTGAAGCGACGATATAACCTCGCTCGGTATATTTCAGTGCATTGTTGATGAGGTTGATGCACAATCTCTTCCAGGCTCCCACTGCAATTATGCAGCTCAAAGACAAAGCGCTAGGGTCGATATCGGTAACGACCGTGACTTTGCGCTGCTCCAAGGTTTGGCCATCTTTGGAGCAGCAGAACGAGTAGACTGCTGTATCGATCACCTCCTCCGTCAGTTCGTCAAGCAAAACATTCGTCTTTTCAACGACCATGCCGCCAAGTGTTTCGGTCCGGCTCAAGCCACCTGAGCGGTTACGGATCTTTTGATCAAGCTGTTTCCTGTTTTGCTTTGAGACAGAGTTGACCTTCGAGAAGTCGAGCAGATGGTCCACTACGTCGAGTAGAGTCTGGCCACAGACTTGGATTTGCCCAATCATGTCCGCGGTATCGTCGTCATGGATTTGATCATGAATGAATTCAGCCGTTCCTAGGATTCCGTGTAGTGGGCTGCGCAGCTCGTGACTGATCGATGACATGAAGTCTGACTTGACCTTGTGCGACATTTCTACATCCAGTCGTCCAATTTTTGCAGTGATGACATCGCAAAACGCTTTGAGGTAACACATCTCGGATTCCAGAGAGAAGACTCGAATTGGCGAGTTCGAGTACACGATACAACCAGCATCCCATCGATCTCGGGACATGTTCCAGAGGCCGAGTAGCATTAGACTCCTTGCTTGCGGGAACAGAGCACCTAATTTCTTGCCAAGGGCAGATCTTGTTGATCTTTTGCGTCTTTGGAACGAGGAGTCTTTCGCGCCACGGCCTGTGGTGGATGTCATAGAAGTGGATTGCATCTCGACGAAGCTTGATCCGTCCGAGGTATGAGTATCAGAAGTGTAGTCGCCTTCAGCCCCGTACAAGAAGACTTTGCCGTGCTTGTGACATCTGAGAAGAGATTGTAATAATTTCTTTGGAATCTCGGCGTGAGGTGGTGTGAAATTGGCTGGTACCAAACCATAAGACGATCCGAAGACCGAGCAAGGCTTTGAAACATCTTCCTGGTTGTTAGGCTTTTCAAGTGAATCCGTAGCACTGCCAGCTCCTTCCGTGTCGCTAGTCCAAAGCTCAGGCTCACGTCCTGGTTTCGTGTTGTCGATGGCCTCCTCATCTGCTAGTTCTCCAAAATTCGACATTGAAGCATCAAGGAACAGAACACCGTCCGCACCCACTGCCGTTCGAATGAAGTCTGCAGCGGACTGCATCGCACTACTCGCGACTTGGTCTCGCAGCCGGAGTGGATCTTCTTCCTTTTTCGGAACCAGACCAGTATTGGATTTTGTGCTATCTCTACGTGGCATCGAGGGTCGCACAATCTCGGGTGTCATCGGCACTTTGTTGTTGTTATTGGTCTCGGCAACAATTGAGTTTAGCGTACGACCTGTCGTCAGTAGTGCATTCTCGTCTTCCAGTTTATGTTGTAGAGTCAACTGTTCGACGATATGTTCCGAGGACTCCGTACCCTCTGTGTTCGCTATCTCCGTAGCATAGGCAATTGCTTCCAGTGTCTTCGTGGTGGAAGGAGGTGGCGATTTGTTTGGCTCTTCTCGGGTACCTGGTTCGTTCTCCATGAACGAGTTGAGAGCTTTCACCATCAGAGTGCCTCTACGCTGTTCTGCGCGTGCCTTTAGCATCTCCAGATGTTCCATTACTAAGGAGCCCATCTCTTGGACGAATCGCACATGCTTCTTNTTGAGCCCATCTCGAGGCTCGTCATCCAGTATACTGTTTGGTTATTGTTAGCTTTGTCTTCTTTGTCATACAAGCCGTACTGATATGTAGCAGCGCTTACCACTAATTTGAGTTAGCGAAAAATACTATGCTCGCTAGGGAGGGACAACTNNTACAAAAGCACCAATGTTAAAACCTTTGCTAGTTGTTATCGGTACACCAGCGTAGAACCGAGCTTTGATACCTCCAGCAACATATGGTTGGTCGCAAAATCTTGGGTCCTCGCGGAGATCGTTGACAATGTGTATCTTTGTTGTGTTCTCATCGTTGGTGTTACCACCGCGATTTGTTGGTAGATTGGCGGTATGCTCACAAACAGTGAAACCGCGGGGNATCTTGGTCATGCCTAACCAGAGGTCGTCGCCCTTATCATGAATATCATCATCTTCGAATGACAGAGTTCGAGTGGCTTCGCCGAGGATATATGCATGCTGACTATCGAAACAGAAGATCATGGCCCGCCTGGCCTTCAAACGGAGTGCCGCAAGTTGGCAGAAGGCAGTCAATGCTTTGTCCGTGGAAGAAGTCGGATTATGTTCTGCAGCAGATTCAGGAGAGACGGGATCGGTCCATTTGATGTCGGGTCCAGCGAGGATTCGGAGCGGTTCATAGTAGCTAGAAGGAGCTTAATTCTGACGCCGAACGAAAACGTGGATTTGGCTTCTGTCAAACCTGTAAAACTCATGTTCGCGTTTCCTTTCATAACGGGCTCGGTCTTGAGGGCTCATGGCCTCGACGTCGATTGTGGCGGACATGGCTGTTCAGCTGCGAAAGGCTACCCCATAGGCTCGTGGACCGGTTTGTACAAAGGACAATTCAAGATGTGTAGAAGAAAGAAAGCGATGCATCCGCCAAGCTGTTCGTGACCGCAAGCGCATGTTGATGGCTCCTGCGTGTGCCAGTCTCCAGATTGCGCTTATCAAGCTGTCAACACGATCAGACCCTGACAGAGGGCAACTGCCAGCCACTGGCGGTTCCCGGGTATCCATCTTCACATGCTCCTTCAGGTATAGTACCGTGTACGTACACGATAGACGCAATAATGAGTCGGCGATCGACGGTGCAACAACAATGATTAGGTGGAAGGGCTCCACCCAAGCCTCGGGAGAGGGTCCGCGGTTACAAAACCGTCACGACATCCGCGTCAGTATAATGACGGCCTAAAGGAGACCATATTCTTTTAACTGCCGAATCGAACGAATGGCGTCAGACGATGGAAAAACATGTGCAAAATCTAGTATTCAGAGCATTTCTCCTCGCATGACGATTCAGCGTCAGACAGACAGAGCCGCATCTTTTGACATCGAAGTTCGTTCGTATGCCCCTGACTCGGCGAACAGCCTACTTCCGATGCTCAGGTACACTTGCCTCGGCACGTCTTCTACGTAACGAGGCTCGTGTCAATATCGGGGGCCTAACGACGCTCCGTGCCTTGATTTTTTCATGCAAGCGGCTATTCCGATTTCTGGAAACAGAATCGTGCTGCGAAAGGTTCTTGGAAGTTGGAAAGAACAACACACAACAGATGAAGATCAGCGAAGGAATTCTCTCCGATGATCGATTGTTGGACGGCAAATCGCGTAGACGGAGAAAACACGGAAATAATGTATCCAGTCAGAAGAACTAAATAGAATGAATGGCTACAGCGAAAGGAGTACCCGTATGCAGGATAGGGAACGGATACATGCAAAAACAAATCAAAAAGTGGTCATCCCCATATGTTCAGTTACAACGCCCTTCGTTAAACATACAAAGCAGTAGTAGAGTGGGTGGCCCTACAAGCGGCTCTCGAGGCCATCCCACTGTCTCTCGCCCGGCCAGTGATCATCAGGCCAAACTTGACGCATGGCCTCCCAGATATGACCAACGTGGCAGATTTCAAGGCCTGAGAGGACTTCTTCAGGCAGATCCTTGACGTCTTTNTTGTTGGCGTTTGGCAACAGGACTTTCTTGACGCCGGCGCGAAGAGCACCAATCAGCTTCTCCTTGATACCGCCAACAGGAAGCACCTTGCCACGCAGACTGAACTCGCCAGTCATAGCGACAGTGGGTGGAACAGGCTTGCCACTGAACAGACTGACCAGTGCAATCGTATGTGCTAATCCTGCAGAAGGTCCATCTTTGGGAATGGCGCCACTTGGACAGTGTACATGAATACTGCGACTCTTCATGATGTCCTCGCTAGGGTCATGCGTCAAGGCCAACTCGAAAGCATGAGCTTTCACCCACGTAAGAGCGACCTCAACTGATTCTTTGAGCACATCACCAAGCTTGCCGGTGAGTTGCACACGACCAGAACCAGGCATGTCGGCCACCTCGATGAACAGAATACTGCCCTGGCTGCCAGAGCTATAGGCGACGAGGCCGGTGACAACACCAGGACGAGATGTAGTAGCTGCAATCTCTTCCTCAAAACGTTCAATGCCCAGGATATCTTCGAGGTCCTCCATTCGTACTGTTGGACTGTAAGACGAGGTGGAGTTAGAATCAGACGCTTCTGCATATGCTACAGCCTTGCTGCGACAAACAGAGCCTATCTCACGCTCGAGATTGCGCACGCCAGCTTCCCGAGTGTAAGAAGTAATGATCTTGTCAAGAACATCTTCAGCGATTGCAACCTGATCGTGATCCAGGCCATTGGTGGTGGTTTGCTTCGGAATAAGATGGCGGTTGGCGATATGTCGCTTCTCGACAGTCGTGTAGCCAGGTAGTTGGATAGTCTCCATTCTATCTAGTAAGGGTGCTGGTATCGTGTCCAGAGAGTTTGCTGTGGCGATAAACAAGACCTTGCTGAGGTCGATGGAAATATTGACATAGTGGTCGGTGAAGGTGTTATTCTGCTCAGGGTCTAGGACTTCGAGCATGGCTGCTGAAGGGTCACCGTGGTGGTTTGACGTAGCAATCTTGTCAATCTCATCCAGCAAGAAGACAGGGTTTGAGACTCCGACCTTCTTAAGGCCACTGACAATCAAACCGGGCATTGCCGCAACATACGTTCGACGATGTCCACGTATTTCTGCTTCGTCTCTTACACCACCAAGAGATATTCTGTGGAACTTGCGACCTAGTGCAGTGGCGACTGACTTGGCCAGACTAGTCTTTCCTACACCTGGTGGTCCCACAAGAAGCAGAATGGGCGACTTGTCCACCATACGCTTCTTGTCCAAAATTCTGACCTCTTCCGGGGTTTGTTCAGGCTTCTTTTGCTCGGAAGTCTCAGCATTCTCGAGCTTGTTCGAAGCATTGGCCTCTTCGATAATCTTGTCAATCTGAGATTGAAGGTTGGCGTTTACTTGTTGCTTCAATTTCAACACAGCCAGATATTCGAGTAGTCTCTTCTTGATCTTGTCCAGGCCATAGTGATCATCGTCTAACTGCTTACGAGCTCGAGATAGAGTTGCAGGGTCGAGTTTGTCTTCGGTGAACTTGGTCCAAGGAATTTCGGCAATGTTCTCAAGATAAGTTCTGCAGACCTGGTAATCTGCTTGAGCAGGATTCATCTTAGAAAGTCTTTTCAGCTCTCGCTCGGCAACTTTAGCAGCTTCAGGTGACAGCTTAGCATCGTCGAGGCGCTTCTTCAACTCATCGATCTCGTTGGGTTCTTCGTCGTCATCAGGTTTACCAAGACCCATAGGCGAGCCAGGACGGCTACCAGCCATGCCGCCTCCAAACCTCTTGAGCAATTGCTGTCGACGCATGCGTGCAGCTTGATCCGAGTCTCCATCGTTCTCTGGAACGGCAGACTTGATAGACATGATGCGGTTGTTACCCTGAATGCTCGAGACATTTCGCTGTAGCAAGTCGACAGCACGCTCGAGGCGAAGCTTAAGCGGGAGGGCGGAGATGATACGGAGCTTGTCTTCCTGCGAGCACTCGATAATGTTTGTCATGAAATCAGCGAGGACTCCAGCTTCTTGTAGGTCCTTCCTGACGATGAAGAGTTCAAGACGGCGAGCGAGGAGTGGCGAGAGCGAAGTGGGTGGGGCACGTGGTAGAAGGGAGGAGAGTCTGATCAGAGCGAGCAGTTCACGGGAGAGCTGCTTGAGTTCAGCAAAGAGAGCCTGGACCTCTTTGTCTGATTCATCGACATGTTCATCGGTGTGTACGGTGACTTCGGCTTCGAAATAAGGACGATCCTTGACAAAGGTGTTGAGCTGGAAGCGGCTTACACCTTCAACGACAAGAGCGAGTTCGCCTCTTCTCTTTCCCTGGACGCCCGAGACCTTTGCGAGGGTGCCGACAGAGAATAGCTGGCCTCTAGTAGCCTGAGCAGGGTTTATGCCTGCGATAGGACGTCTAGTCGAATCTTTGCCATCGTCAAGGAGTTTCTGGCCATCGGAGCTGAGATANGGAGAGTTGACGGGNAGACATCCAACACTGATTGAAGTGTGATCGGGAGTCGGAGTGGCAGCTTTACTGTAGATGTTTGCGAGAATGGCGGCGATATCGCCACGACCCTGGAGCGGAATGCGGAGAGTGAGGCCTGGCAAGAGGACAGACCCTTCTGCCAGGGGGATTATAGGGATGATTGTTGTCTTGTTCGAAGTCATGGTTGTGGACTTGCAAGATGGCCGAATACGAACGTGGCCTCCTGCTTGAGAATCACAAGATGGATGAGTTGGTAGGAAGATAGGATGATTGATTGCACATGTCATGGAGTCGTTAATGCGGAGAGAACGGGCCGAGGTCTTTTGTCAAACGCCGATCAACGGACTTAAACTGTCTTGGCGGCGAGTCGCGAAATCGTGAAACCATCGACTTTTGTTTGCTGACGCCGTCGATGCTTTCGCCTCGCTCATTCCAACCACAACAATCATGTCTCTGAGCAGCTGCATACGCCGCTCAATCGCTAGCCAAAGCTTGCGAACATTCACCCGTCCGTCTATCGTCTCGACCATTCGCCCAGCAGCATTGGCCTACCGCCCATTCTCCTTGTCCGCAAACTTCGCCCACGAGCAGCCAGAGAAGCCCGAACACGATGCGCCCGAGGCCATTGCTCAGCCAGCCGGCAACGCCGACGATGCAGTAGCTCCTGCATCCACAGAGCTAGAGGCCGTCCCATGGTACCTCCAAGTCGACACTCCTACGCCACAGCAAGAGCACCCTTTCGCCGAACGCCAAAAACTGCCCGAACTGCCTGACACTCCTCCCGCCCTCCTCCAACCCATCCTTGTGCACGTCTCGGTCGAACTCGGACTGGACCACCTCTCTTTGATCGATCTGCGCGAACTCGACCCTCCTCCCGCCCTCGGTGCCAACCTCCTCATGATCATCGGGACTGCTCGTTCAGAAAAGCATCTGCATGTTTCGGCTGACCGTCTGTGCCGCTGGCTTCGTACTGAGCATCGCCTGACTCCTTACGCCGACGGTCTGCTCGGACGCAACGAACTCAAGCTCAAGTTGAGGCGTAAGGCCAAGAGGACTCGTTTGTTGAGCGCTGTGGGTGCAAAAGAGACTGCAAGTCAAGATATCGACGATGGCATCAGAACGGGCTGGGTCTGTGTTAATGTTGGCAGGGTTGAAGGTGGTGCTCTGCAGAAGCCTGCCGAAGAGTTGGACAACATCGTCGGCTTCGGTAGTCAATCGTCTGGCTCCAGGATTGTCGTACAGATGATGACGGACGAGAAGAGAGGCCAGATTGATCTTGAGACGCTGTGGAGTGGTATCCTCAAGAGATCCGTCAAGGCCAAAATTGATAAAGACCAAGAAGTCGATGATGCCGAGAAGCGTGTGCGCAGTGGCATGCTGCTTGAGGAATCGACCGACGTGCCCGGTTCTTACCGCTACCGTCCTCATGCTGCTGACTATCCCAGTGGACAACAGGCTCGAGCATTCCACTACTCCGCCAGATCATCAACACAACAAGGTGCGCAAATCTCAACAGCTTCACAAATCAGCCCTCAATCTGACAATCTTATGAAAAGTGCCGTCATCCTGAACCATATGGTCGATCATCTCAAGACCATGAGCCCAAAGGACGCTTACCAGGCGCTTGGCAGTGGCAGCAAAGACCAGGAGTCTACTCCTTTTCTCCAAGCCTTCTACAGCGCCATGCCTAGATTCCCAGAGACAATGCACTGGCACGCACATATCTTGCTCCATTGCTATGCGGCTCGCTTAGGCCATTGCGGCTACACCTCTACTTGTCTCATCCAAGACTTGGAAAATATGCGTCTTGCTTGTCTTGTTCCAGGCGAAAAGACCTATCTAGCCGTCTTGGAGGCTATCATCCTGCCTCCTCTGGGTGGCGTACCAGTTGCCGAGACTCATATTGACCGAACAATAATGCGACGAGCTCTTGCTGTCTTGGATCGCATGTTCGAAGACGGCTACGATCCAGTCAGCAACCCGGTCTGCCAGATTTTGTATCAGGCGACCTCTACTAGACCTTCCATGATCGAAGAAGACCAAACCAACGTAACCGACGAATCTGTATCAACAAATCAACAACCATCTACATTACATCAACTCACTTCTGCTCTTTCTGTCTATGCTCTTCGCGCTGCCGCTCAGACGTCTGCTTGGTCTGAATTCTGGGACATGTGGCGCTCCTTTCCTCGTCGCATGTCACCTCGCTCAAGTGACATGTACGTGACCATGTTCGAGACGGTCGCCGAGAGAAATAGTNCAAAAGATGCTATGGACGCCTTGCGACAATGCGTACCAGATATGCTGCGTGAACAGCCCGCCGTCAGACTTGGAGGTCAAGTAGCCACTGCGATCTTGCGTTGTCTACATGTTGCCGAACCTCGAGCTGAGAAATTGGCTAGGGAAGGTAACCGTGGTGAATGGGCAATAATCTGGTTGCGATGTGCTAAAGCTCTGGAGGTGGTATGAAAAGATGTACGGATTTCTCTGTTTCATGACTTGACGACTCTGCTATGATTTGCTTTCCCAGCATTATATCTATCCCCTTACTCATGTATCAATAGCATCTTCTTCTATCTCATTCCCTGTCCCGACCAACAAGCCGAACTTGGACTCGCTTGTCGGCCAAACGTCAAACATGGAACCTGGAGATGTGGAGAAATCGATTCTTCCCCACCACAACGACCCGTCCCACTTTGCCGTGACGAAGACACTCTAGCTAAAAAGTAGCTTCATACCGCGGGGACATGCCGTCGTTTATGACCGTAAGCGTCTGTGTGTACGGTTATGAGGCGCGGCTCTTGAAGCCACCAAAGGTACAAAAGTGATTTCGGTCGGCTGCGGTCGAGGTTCCTTTCTTTCTTCTTCTTTACACCACATTGTTCTGTTGTTCCTACACAGTACTCATTCTTCTTGGACGACTTATACACTGTACTCTTCCTTCGACTAGCATACCTTGATTCAGTAGTGCAATCAGTCATTGCAACAGCTTCAACATGTCAAAGAACGTCAAGGACATGCACATCTGCATCGCCGGCTCAGGTATACCACCTCCTCCTCTTCTTCGAACATACCCACTGACCAACTACANNGGCATGGGCGGCCTCGCATGCGCCCTCTCCCTCGCCCGTCAAGGCTTCACCAAAATCTCCGTCTACGAGTATGCCTCTTCTCTCGGATTCGTGGGCGCAGGTATCCAGCTGGCACCCAACATGGCACGCATCCTCGATCGCCTGAACGTGTGGGCACCCATTCAGAAAGAAGCCGTGGATCTCAAGGACACTTCCATTCGCCAGGGATCCAGTGATGCCGAGTTGGCAAACGTACAGCTGGGCTATGTCAGGGAAATGTATGAGTACCCTCACATGGTGGGCCATCGCTCTTCGCTCGCGGGCGAAATGTACAACGGGTGTAAAGAAGAGGACGCGGCAATCACCTTCCACTTCTCGCACTCGGTGCAANAAGTACACTCTTGGAGCCCCAAGGTCAAGTTCGAGGTTAAGCCCAGAGACGGCGAGGCCTTCGACGTCGAATGCGATGTTCTCCTCGGCGCTGACGGTGTAAAATCAAACATCCGCGATCAAATGCTCGCTCTCCTCAACATCGATGCCAAGGTCGTGGACTCGGGACAAGCAGCCTACAGAATCATGCTCAAGAGAGAAGACATGGCCCACGATCCCGAACTCCTCGAACTCATCGATGGAGAAAGGGCAACACGATGGATAGGAGAACGACGCCACATCATCGCCTACCCGGTCTCCAACAACACAGTCTACAACCTTAGCACCGCGCAGCCCGACGTCAATTTTGCTGCTGCACCATCAGCCACCTACACCACCAAAGGCAGCAAANAGGAAATGCTGGATGTATACAGCGATTTCTGCCCAAAGATCCAGAAGATGCTGAATATGGTGCCTGAAGGCGAGGTTTGTGAGTGGAAGCTGAGAGTGCATGCGCCGTTGCCCACTTGGGTGCATGGAAACATGGCGCTTGTGGGTGATGCCTGTCATCCCACTCTGCCGCACATGGCACAAGGAGCCGCGCAAGCGATAGAAGACGGAGCCGTGCTGGGTGTCGTGTTGAGCAAGTTGCCTGATACGAGTGCGGAGAGCATCAACAAAGCCCTCAAGGTGTATCAGGAGCTGAGGAAGAACAGAGCAGAGGCAATTGTTGCATTGGCAGCGGCGAATGGAAGAGAGATGCATTTGGGCGATGGAGCGGCCAAGGAGGCTAGAGATGCGGCATTCAAGGCTATCAGAGAGGGAGCGGAGGGGGCCAAGGTGCCGGATAGGTGGGCGGACGCTGATGTGCAAAAGATGGTCTATGGGTATGATTGCTGGAAGGATGCCGAAGACCAATTTGAGACTTTGTTCACTGCTGCTTGAGGCAGATGGTTGATGTCCATAGTCACGTACGAACATATGATGATTAACTTTTCTTCAACGTTCTAAGTCATGTCCAGAGAGGAGGGATCGATTTTGTAAGAGTGTCTGTGAGTACAGCATATAGAACGCACCCCATCCAAGCAAGCTCGAGAGTCGTGTAGGTTTTGGTGATCATTTCAGGGTCGTGAGAAGGGCCATTAATAAAGTGAGGTGTGCTCAAGCACCACCCTCGCGCTTGGCGTACTCATCCTCCATAGCCTCCCGATACTTCTTATCCGCATCGCTCTCTTCAGTCACATCCTCAACTTCAAAGTCTTGCAGACGACGTTGGCTGTTGCTGTTCGAGGGGGCAACCAACTGCTCGCGGCCGTGGCTGTCGTAGTGTCTGGTTTCTTGGATGGAGGGCCCGCCCATGTTTTGCTGTGTTGTGCGTATGGTTGTGCCGTCAGAGTTTGTGTGAGATTGGGTGGAGTGGGTGACGCCTGTAGTTTGGCCGTTGTTGGAGCTGGAAGCCGAACTGTAGGAGTACGAGGTCGAGGTGAAGGAGCTCGAGTGGCTGGACATGGTTGTGGTGTCTGTTGTGTGGTATGGTGTGTGGGATGTTGTTGATCAAGTGGTCTTGCGAAGGGTGGTTTTTGGTAGAGTCGAGTAGGATGTAAAGCGACTTGTATGTGTGAAGAGTGAGTAATGATCAGACGAAACAGGAAAGAACAAAGCGAACAAACCGGAGTGCGACCCCGCTTCAAACTCGACGTCAGCCAAGCTCTTCTTGATCTAATCGCGGGTAGATCCTTCTTCAACATGGCCGCCGCGTTCTCGAAGTGAAGCCTCGCACCCTCTGCAGATCGATACAAGCAGCAAAGGCCCAAGATGGGTCGCTTCCATCCCGTCTACATCCGACGCTCGGATGGTATGCTGGAGACAGCTACCAAGAACGGCGCCAGGATCCAGAAAGAGGCCAACAAACCCACGCCTAAGCAGCTGGACGACAAGCCTAAGCCCGATGGAGTCAAGGACTACTACCGCGAGGTCGCCATCGACGAGTCCAAGCACATGGACTGGAGGAGGAAGCTGGCTGCCATGCTTGCGCGCGACCTCGGCCTAGATCTCGGTGTGTTTGCGCATTGCGACACGAAGCCTCGACGGCACTGACGACTCGTGCAGAGAAAGNGTTACATCCTCGCCCACTTCCCCGAGAACTACCGACTCTTCGAGCACGTCAAGACGGCAAAGAAAGGAGAAGGAGAGCCAAAGACAAAAACACACGCTGGTGGCGGCAACGAGCGTCAAGATGCCTACCTGTACGGCCACCCTCTCGGCCGCAAGAAGCGCTTCAGAAGTCCTGGTGACTTTTACCCGCATCTGCTCTGGCTGGCCACCGACCCGGAAGGCGACTCGGACAATTGCGCTTGCAAGATTTGTTGCCCGGAGGAACTCGATGCTTCGATGAAAGAGAGGGAGGCCAACACGAACCCCGTCCTGGCTCGTCGTCCAAGCACACAAACCAGACCGTCCAACACTCCCACTCCCGCCGCTCAGTCCTCGACTCCTACCACGCTCCCCAACCGTGTCGCTACTACCCTCGCTCCGCAACCAGCTGCTGCTACTCCCGAAGCCGTCGCCGCTGCTCAAGCATCCGCGCGCACCGCCAACAAACCCGTCGACTACGACATTGATCGTCAATATGGTATCTTCCTGTTCCGTCAGGGCGAGATGGTCTGGTTTGACCGTCAAGGCGCATGGGGTCTAGGCGTCATCACCGAGAGGTCCAAGGTCGGGAACAATTCCAATTACAGAATACAGCCTCTCTCTTTCCCCAACCATCCAACCCAGGCAGTCACTATCACAAAGGATCGCGACCTCCGCCCGTGGCTGGCATGGTCAGTTCCTCCTTACACCCACCAGGCTCTGAATCAGGTCACACATCCTCTGCACTATAGCACTTTCGACTTTAATGCCTTGGCTCAAGGAAAGTACGGCCCAGGCACTACTGAGATCGATGCTAGTATCATGGCTGCAAAGGCCATTGACGCCACATATACTCCCTTTTGCCCTACATCTCGCTCCGAAACCCAGTCATATACCGAGACCTGTTGGGATGCCATCTACCTGGGAGCCGAGAAGATCTGGGTCAACGAACCCGTACGCTTGCATACTCCTGCTGGACAAGAAGCCCCTCGTGTCCTTGTTGTCAGAACCATCGTTGAGCGTACGCAAAAGCCTACGCAGCAAGTCTATTCTTCAATTTCATTTGTTGGAGAACTCTACGTTATGCTGCCAGCACCCATGGAGCCCATCACTATGAACCGCGCTCCTAACGGCATAGTTGCTGGTTCCGACACAGCCAATGTCCCACTACGTTTGCTAGAAGATATACGTCGCCGCAACCTCGCCACCATCCATGCCAGAGGCAAGGCTTACCAATGGAAGCTCCTCGAACGTAACAAAGTTGTCGACATGAAGGACGTCAGAGGTAGATGGTATGAGTCTACCTTATTCCTCCCCATCCTCCTGCCACGCCAAGCAGAGGAGTACGAAGAACGTGTTAGGGATGGCGTGATTCCAGAAGTTCTGGTTCTCATGAACGGCCACGGCGACTGCAACACAGATTCAACTGACAAGCGACGTTTGATCCCAGACGTAAGGGCGCCTACACGCGAACAGGCGTTTGGAAAGGCCGTGCCAGCTCGCACTACCGTCCAAGATGGCTTCAATCGATCTGCGACGCAGCCATCAGGTCCGCTACAGCAGCAGCAACCATCACGCCTTGTCAGTGGAGGTGGTGTTGCACCCGCCTATCAGGCCCATAACGAACATCAAAGTCATGCAAGTGTTGCGGCTGCGAGTAACAATGCGCCGATATCTGTATCTGCCGCACCTTCGGCTCAGCAGGTATCAGAGAACCCAGCAACCGATTTTGAAGAATTCATGGATTTGGACGGCCTTGGTGGCGCCGACATGATGAGTGGCTTTGATCAGTCTTATGTTTGATCTTTGCATCCTCGCTTCTCTTTTCGTTTCCAATCGTTTTTGATTCTGCTTGATCGAACGTGGCGTTCTGTGCCTCTCTTCTTTGCTGTGGGGGTTCCTCCGAACAGGCGCATGGTTGTTTTGTTTCGCGATGGTATTGAGCATATTCTATCTGCTTTGGGCGTTTTCTTCTTTCGATAGCATCTCGTTTTATCTGGCATGCATCATCATGGCGGTGTAGTTAGCTAACATTGTAGTTTTTAGTCTACCATCTGCATTTTCTCCTTTTCGTCATTACACTGAGATGTATCCCAAGCGACCCGTTGCTGATAGCCGCACTCCAGACGTAGCTCTACGAAACTGTAGAGTCTGCAAACGGTATACGATGTACGGGATGTTGCTATGCCTATGAGTTTTTGTACGATCTGCAACGGTATACGGTGTACGAGGACTTGAGGCCTTCTGGCCTTCTCTCGTCCCCTATAAGTACATGCATAACACTATTGGATTTATGGCGCGTTTTGGGCAGAGGGGGCTTTTTGGATACGGTACGCGGATACGGCTGCTTGCAGTTCCGTGTTGAGGTGATTGCATATTTGCTGCGTTGGTATCGGAAGAAGGGTGGTTCCGAGTGAGAAAAGCCCTAGTTCTTCTCCGCTGTGGTGTTTGATCAAAGATAGCATCGAGAGTTGCATGAAGAGTAGAGACGTGCGTTGCATAATAGCTGATGATTCTTCTGCTTACGATGCGTGATCTATCGTTGATTGGATTGAGGCTGAAGTTTGTCCATTGTACTTGTACCAGTGCCATCACGATCGCCATAACAGATGGCAGGTGTTTGTATCTCACCTTTCTTCTCTGACGTTCTCCACGAGTTTGGGAGTGGATATAAAACGGGCGTACAGGGCAAGCTACTCGGTCGGCAAGCAAGCGAGAAAGTCAATTTCTTGTCGGAGCGACAAAGCAGTTAGCCCAGGTCCTTTCCGACTGTGACTTTCTGCTGGTCAGAGTGGGTTTCTGGCGTTCTTTGCGTGTCTCTTTTCTCCCACCGCTTGGAAAGGCGGCGCCATCCGTTTCGTGGGGGTGTGGATGGGACAGGGTTCGCGGAAGGATTAGCCGCTGCTCTGGTTTGCTGCAGCAAGGTATCACCAGAACTCCTTCAGCCAACGCATAGCCAAAGCTTGGCTCTTTGCGAGCGTTTCTCGCGAAAAAGGTCATGCATTGAAGCGGCAGGAATGGGGTGAGTGTGGTGAGAAAGAGAGGATGGAGGAAGCGGTTCCAAACAAGGGCAGCCCTGATAATTCCCGAGCCCATCCTGACTCGCTCATCCCCATCCCCATCTTTCTTCACCCCATTACCCAACTCTCTGGCCGGCGGGAAAGAGTTCCTGGTGCGTGGGATTCTCCTGACTGACACTTCACGCAGGCAGGCGATCAGGCAGCTCCATCTTCGTATCTTCTCCCTGCGCTTGCCGCGCTGCGGCCAACCAGCCACAATATCCATCTGTCGTGCTTCTGGTTTCGTTTGCTCCAAACCGATAAACACATCATCCCCCCCCCTTTTTCGTCTGTATAAGGAAGAGGCTCCACGCGGCGGTACACGCTATTTCCTCATCCACTGGTCATACCCTCTACGCGAGCAAAGGACGAAGAAAAGGCCGGCGTGCTGCGAGAACAACAAGCGACTCAAGCGAGCACAGACTAGACCACTTTTATCGGCCTGGCCATCTTGTGATTTCGCGCCGTCGTCCAACCGCTTGCTCCGCTTTTTTGATTTGGGGGCTCCAGTTCCAAACGAGTGACCTACTTTGCGTGCTGCAGTGATTGTCCTCGGTTTAGCGAAACAATCTTCCGTTCTTCGCGGCCAGTCCCTTTTCCCTTTCCTCTCTGTTATTTTATACTACAGCAATGGCCGCCTTTTTCGCGATTTGAGATGCCTGGTTCCCTTGGCAGCTTTTCCATCTTGCCTTGTTCTTACCCGCTCATCCCACCCGGACGTTTGTCTCTTGGTACCGTGTAGAGTACCTTGCTTACTGTCGTTGTTGGAAACTTTTATAATCACCCGCCTCGAACCATATCCATCTGCTTGGGCTCCGACTGCTTGGGCTCCGACTGCTTGGGTTTACGCTAGATCTGGAACGCCAAACTACTGTTCAGTGCTCCAGGCCACCCTGTCTTTCGGATTTGTATCGCTGTCGTACCGGCTTGATTTGATTGCTTTGCTTGGTTACCGCCACGAATATCACTGTCGCAGCGACGGATCCTCTCGTGTCGCTGTCGTCACATCTTGACCCGACTCTACTGGATTCACCTCAGGAATAACAACCCTTCTGCCAGTATGCCATCGTCTCCACCTCCAAATTCTACCTTCGAGCATGGCCGTCGAGGACAGATTCGTAGGTACCTTCAGAAATTCACCACCACAATCCGGAAGGGCAGTAAGGATTCCGATGCGGATAACAACATTCCTCAATCGAGTGCCGAGACAAATGATACCCAGGAACATTCCCATGATGATACATTGTTCACCAGCATAATCGATGCCGGCCAGCCGCCACCAACACATGATGTCCCTGAGGAGCAATCTCGACCTACCCCACCGTTCACAACTGAAACATTCCACATCGATCGTGCTTCCGTGTATCAAGAGAGGGCCCAAAAATTGCGTGACCGGTATGGGATGAATATTGCTGGCGGTGACCGCTCCACTTTCCCTGCCACTGCTCGCCGTGTTCAGAAGACTGCAAGGATGCGTGTTCACCGTAGCTGTCATGAGTGTGGTGTTGACTTTGGTCACGGCGTCCACTGTCGAGCTTGCCATCATAGGCTGTGTGGAGAATGTCCCCGTACCCCAGGACGAGGGATCAAGGAAGCCATGGCTCAAGCGAGGGAGTTTCCTTTCCACGTTGTTTCTGCAGAGTCGACGAGTCCAGACCTCCTCATGGCAGAAGCACCTGCCGTTGTCTCAGATCAGCTCGACATCTTCGGCAACATGCCATCGACCAGCAAACAGGTGTCGAGACCTTCGACTTCTTTGGAACCTATCGTCGCAGACGACAGCTTCCCGCCGAGATTGGAAGTTGACGACAATATTCCTGACTGCGCTCCTATCCGTATCGCACACAACTCTCTTCAGGGCAAGGACAGACAACCTATTCCCTCTCCACCTCGTTCGTCTCGTCATGGTAAATTCTTCCGTTCGGAATATCGAGATCACTCTCTAATCCTGCCAACAGTACCTCGCCCTATTACCACCATCAGGGATCCGATCTTGAGGGCTCCCAGTGGCGTGCAGCGTGTCTACCGCAAACCTCGCCAGCGAGTCCGCTACACCTGCCACGAATGCTCTACACCCTTCCGCAGCCACGCCCGGATGTGCGACAAATGTGCTCACGAACGTTGTCTCGATTGTCGCGACACACCATCACACAAGTTGCAGAAGTCACGACCAGACCCAAGGTTGGTTGAAGCCGTCAACCAACGCCTCGCCAACGTCGGGAAGTAATGTCTCCTTTTTCCCCTTCCGTCGTTGCTGTTTTGCGATGCATAGCGGCGGGACCGTTGGATGGATGAACGTTATGAACTACTATTATTTCCTTCCTCTCTCTCTCTACACGTAATACGAGCATGCGAGTGTTTTCCTCTGTTCTGGCCACTCCTTCTTCTCGTTTGTCAGATTAATACTGCAGTGGAGGTTCTATTGGTGGCAGTTTTCCTTGTTTAGTATACAAGCATGGAGGATACCCCTTGTCTTATGTCATGAAATGGAATTTTTTTGTTTGAGTTGTGCTTTTGATGCTCACCATGTGCTAAAGACTGTCATGACTTTAGTGTTGGATCTTTTCTCCCACGGTGGTTGATGGTAGTGTTGGAAGCTATCACAATACACAGTCACTTTCCTATTGGAAGTGTGACCATGGAGGTGGCCTGAGATGGTGTCATCTCCGTGGATCTTGCTTCGTTCCGGATTGTATTGTGTATTTCCACAACTGAACTTCTGAAGGCCAACGTCACACGGAGAGCAAGTGACTGTTTTGATGCGGTCACTCGATACTTTACTCTCCGTTCACTTGACTCTGCATCACTCGAAGCGATTGGCTTATCACTCGCTGTCGCGACTTTTGTCTCTCACCTCGACACTTTCCGACTTTTCCTTCCATCCTTAACAACCACAGCCACAAATATCCAACATGTCTCAGCCTCCCAGCGGTAATTTTTCCACAGGATTCACCTTTGGTGGTGCAGCACCTCTGCCTACGCCATCCAATAACAACACAAGCGCCGGCTCTGGACCTGCATCAACCAACACTTCAAATGCCTCCAACAAGTTCACGCCATTTTCCTCCAGCGCCTCCATCGCACCAGTCGCTACTGAGAACAAGGCTCCGTCAACCCAACCCAAGGTTGCGGTTCCAGCCAGCAGAGCAGTCTCTACACCTGACAAGAGACCTTCCAGGTATGCTTTCCTCTTTCCCACGTCAATCAATAGTACTATAATATGCTATAAGAATGGACAGTTGCTTACCTGAACAGACACGAGACCTTAGAAGTAGCCATGAGGTGAAATTATCACTACATTCCGAACGGTATTAAGTAACGGGAGGACAACCCGGGGGCTAAGTTAATTGGAAACCGACTTAATACTACAGAGTCAAGCAATGTTGTAAACGAGGGCCTGTACTGAGAGAATCTCGCGCGAATTCTCAACATCATGTCCGCTAGCAGAGAATATGACGTGTAGCTAAGTCAGCCGTATGTGTGTTTACATACCTACACGAGCGAAGCAATTGGTGGATCATATCTCAAGTGTCCTTGTCAGACTCGCCTTCGACATCATCTTCGCCTTCCTTGGTGACGCGCTTGCCTTGGACACCCTTCTCGACCTCGGGGACCAGGCTGTCCATGTACTCCTTATTTCTACCAACCAGCGTGACGGTGTTTCTCGCCTTGCCCCATCTCGGGTAACTGTATGGAATCATTAGCATTGCTACATTGTGAAATATCAAAAGCTGTTTTACTCACCTGCCAACCTTGATACCCTCAGGCTCAACCTTCTTAGCCAGCTCAGTCAAGTAAGAAGCAACACCACTCTCAGGCAGCGGAGTCGAAATAATAATTCGATAAACACCTCTGCCTTCAGGGTCGGTCAATCTAGGAAGCAAGCTTGGTTTCAAGCCGGTGAGCATGCGCTCAAACAATCTCGGCACACCAGGAAGAATATGCACGTTTCCATTGACGACAGCAACGGGCACCCAGAGATCCTCGGCTGTGAAGACGACTTGCTGCTCACTAGACAACTTCTCATCATACGGCAAAATGACCATACGTTTCTTGGCCTCAAGAGCAGGAGACGGCGTGTTCCAGTCAAAGTTTGGTTGATTGGGGTGAGGTCTGCTAAGACGCTTCATACGTGAAAAGGTATCGTCGTGAAGCACCAATGGCAGATTGAAAGCATCGGCAATGCTCTGGTAAGTGATGTCGTCGTGAGTGGGACCGATGCCGCCAGAGGTAACCACAAAGTCGTAGTTGGAAGACATGCGGCGGACCGCTTCTACGATTTCTGACTCTTCGTCGCCGATGACTTCGATGCGCTTGAGATTTATGCCTAGGCTGAAGCAGAATTTGGCGAGGTAGGCGCTGTTGGTGTCGACTGTCNNTGAAATGACGTTAGCCTTGATGTTCATAACAATGCTTCTATGTTGTTCATAGTTCCATCGATTGACAATCATGGTTGAGATATCCCGGTGATTATTCTCCATCGAGAGGTGATTCGGAAGCATAAATATAAAAGATACGAGATGACCAACCTTTCCACCCAAGACCTCATCACCAATGATTAAACACGCGGCCGTGTTGATGGTGCGCTTGTTGTTTGCATCTGCCATGATTGCTGGACTGCTGGTGAGTCTGCTGGTTGCAGCTGCTGCGGAACGATGCAAGTAGTTTGGTAGAGGACGACTGAGATGACGTGCCACTTGATTGATACGGGCGAACATGTGAGAGTCCTAGAAAAAGACTTTTGATAGCAAGAGGAGGAACAACACAGGTCTGTTGTGTTGCACGGAAGGTGCAGTCAAGCATGTCATTGTCGTTTGCGGGGGAGCGATTGCCGGCGGGCGAGTCGTGTTGCAACGATCGGACGTTGTTGAGTCTGGTATGACCCTGCTCTTTTCTTCGAGTCGACCATATTGTCGCTATAGCTAGAATGTTCGACCAGTCGGTGCTGCATGGGCATTCTCGTACACTGCTCTCACTGTCTTCCGGGTGTATAGCAGTCTCTTGAGTCTGATGATTTAGATATGGAAAAACCAATAATATTCTGTGCTTTGTGCTGGAACCACATGAACGCAAGCCCAGCTTCAAGCAGAGGCTGCCTCTGCATTGGAGGTTGTTTGGGTTTAGATATCAGCGGATACAGCCACAAGACAGACCCCTTTCACAAAAAGACAAGAACAAGAAGGTTCACAATGTCCAAACCTCGTGGTCTTGAGCAACATGCATCGGAGTCGCAACAATCGAGACCGACGTCAACGACTGCGGGGCATCGTCAATCCAAAGCTCTCTAGAGGTCCCTAAGACTCGTCACAACTTGACTTTCTCACGCTCAACATACTTGTTCAAAATGGTATACACATCTCAAGATGACTGACAAGGCGAATGTGAAGCTGACTGCTACGAACTAGGCATCCGAAGCACGCCTCTACACCTTCTCCNCCGAAACCAAAACCGCACTGCGCAAGTTCCGTCTAGGGACCTCGAGGGCAAAGGACCCACAAGCCGTAATCTGTAAGCAGCGCACCTCCTGAACGAAGTACCAGAGTATATACAAAAAGCGTCCACCACAAGAGGCACGACAAGAGCTCGGGAGCGAGAACACCACAGCATAAAGAGGAGCAAGAGGAGGAGAGCAATGGACACCAGCAGAGACATTAAATGGCTGAAACGACCCTCTACAAGGAATAGACCAAATCGACAAANAGACTCTAGAAATCTCAAAGGCCGACGATGAAGTCTACACTGATCTGAGCCTGCTGGGCGAGGAGCTGCCCGACCACTCGCCCAGATTCATCTTGCTCAGTTATCCCTTGACAATGGTATGCTTGCTCCTCTCCTCCAACTTCTCTTTCTCGGTCCTCTTCCGAATGGTCAGAGGTGGTGAGTGTTTGCTGACTTCGAGACACAACAGGNCATCCGGTCGTCTATCCGTCCCCTACGTCATGCTATACTACCTCCCCGTCACCTGCAACAGCGAGCTCAAGATGGTCTATGCCGGCGCAAAGGAGTTGATGCGCAACCAGGCAGAGGTGGGTCGCATCATCGAGATCGACAGCGTTGAAGAGCTAGAGGAGATTGAGGACCAACTCAGAGGAGAAGAGTAGATTGCCTATGGACACCGGACATGGGGATTCGCGCTGTAGAGGCCCGCGGAAGAGGAGAGAGAGCCTGCAAGACGACGGTCCCACACCTTGATGGAGTAGCACCGTTGGCAGATCGATCAAACCCTACGCATACATTCTCCACATGCAATGCTTGAATCAGGATGGAAAAGATGCCGAAATATTTGGTATAAAAGACATTTGAGATTACATCTAAGAGTGCCAGTTAGTCGCCTATTGAACGCCCATCTTTTGTCCCACCGTGCAGATACATTCAAAAACTGCAGAGACACATGCTGTTGGAACAGAGGGAAACAAAACACCTGCAAAGCGCGAGACAGAGGCAAGCCAGAACACAAGAGCACGGCCGAGGATAGTGCTAGTGCAACATCTGCTGCACACTGGAATCCGCCTGGCCACCGTGTGCTTTCGAGAAGGCGAGCAGAAGTAAGAAGACTCAAAACTGATTTGAAAAAGCAGACGGGTGCTGTCGTCCATTCATTTGTTGTTGTGGTTTTTCTTTGTCCTCCACCTGTGCTGTCATCATCGTTGCCGCCTCTTGTAGACCTTTTCACGGCACCGTCCCTTTGACGAGCCTTTAACGCGTGTGCCGAACAGAGCACCGACCTCTGCCGCCGCTCTGAGGTTGGTAAATTGGTATAAAAGAAAAGATAGAAAGAAAGAGACATGGGGGAGTGCTAGGGGGAATCGAACGAGTAAACAGAAAAAAGGAGAAAAAGAAGAGACAACCCAAGGCTCTAAAAGTCAGATCAAAAGGGAAGATTAGAAGCTCCAGGCACAGAAAGAGGTTCAGCGAAGGGCGGCGTGCGAGCGTGACGTGCGTGTGGGTGTTTTTACATGACGGTGCACTTGCAGCAGCCGCCATCTGAGTCGCCCTCGTCCATGTTCATCTTCTCGGCAGGTCCGCCATTTGCTCTTGCGCCTGGTGCGCCGCCGGTGATGTCGCGGTTGTATTTGCGGATTTCGCGGACAATGTCGTAGAAGGCATTCTCAACGTTGATGCGGGATTTGGCCGATGTCTCGATGAATTTGCATCCGAAGCTGCGAGCGAGCTCCTTGCCCTCNTGCAGGGGGTGTCAGTCAAACGGCCAGAACAAATAAACACAAGAGCGAGGGGGAGGCGCACCTTCGACCGAGACTTCTCTCTCTCCATCCAGATCGCACTTGTTTCCGACGACGATCATGGGGAAGTAGTCCTTGTCCTTGACGCGCAATATTTGTTGTTGGAAAGTCTTGATCTCTTCAAAGGATTGTTGCGAGGTGATGGAGTAGACGAGCAGGAAACCTTCGCCGGTGCGCATGTACTGTTCTCTCATGGCCGAGTATTCTTCTTGTCCTGCTGTGTCGAGCACATCGAGAAGGGCGACCTCGTCGTCAATGACGCACTGCTTGCGGTATGAATCTNNGTGTGGAGAAGACGCGGTCAGGACAGAGATGGTGGGCGCGGGGAGCGTCGATATCTACGAACCTTCAATTGTCGGGTCGTACTCATCGACGAAATGGCTCTGGATGAGTTGGATGGTCAAACACGACTTTCCGACACCACCACCACCGACTACTACGAGCTTGTACTCGCGAAGGAACTGGNNCGACAGGTGTGAGCAGGCGCGGTCGCGGCGATAAGACAGCATGGTCGGCACGAACCTTTGAGGCCATTGCGGCGATAGGACAAGAGAAATGGGGAGGCGGAAGATGCGTTTGATGGATGAGCGACGAGAGACGACCGACGGAGGTTATTGTCGAGTCGAGTGAAAGAGAGCGATGATGTTTCGACGTCGGCTGCGGAGAAGGCTGGTTTGGCTGGATCGGGCGTAGAAGCTAGAGGCTAGAGATCTAGGACTGCTGTTGCTGGTGGGCAAGAGCGGATGGGAGTAGAGGAAAAACGGGCACCGGCAGGCTTCAACGGTTGATGCAGGTGAGGTGAATGCCGACTTGCAGAAGGTCGAAGGGTGCGTGTGTGGTGGCTACAGGCGGTCTCTGGAGCGAGGGACAGGGCGGTGGCCAAGACAAAGACGAGCAGTGCGGTAAACAAGCAGCAGGGTTAAGAGATAGACGAGAGAGTCAACGGGGGCTCGGACTGCAGGTTATGGATTTGAGTTGAGCGGCGGACGGGCCTTGACGACTATGGACGGTGGGTGCACAGTTCACTTGCAATCAATGAATGGCCGTGAGTCTTGGGAGGTGGTGCGCTTGCAATCGAGTCAAGCCCAAGGTCAATAGCATCGAAACCTGGAGAAGGCAAGAGCCTGCTCTCTCCCTTTGGCACTCCACGCGCCACTTGATTGGCTGTTGCCGCTAGAATGCCCATCATTATTTGATTGTTGTCAACAACTACTTTAGCCCGCGCCCTCTCCTGACCACCGACACCCAACAGGGTACATGTTAATCAATCACTTTGCACGCTCGCCCGCCACTCGCTCGACCCTCTCGAATATCTCGGCTGCCGTCTCACCGAGTCTTCCTAGGTTACCTGTATCGCATCTGCCAAACGCCGTGCTTCTAATGTACCGCACCTTCCAAAAGTCTTTGTCGTGAGCCAAATAAGCCACTTTAGGCGTCTCTCCGCCGGCGGGACAACCGCCCACCCCAACTGCCTTGGCCTCTAGAGCCGCCCTAGCCAAAAACACCCTTCACCAATCTTGCCCGCTTCCCTTTTGGCCCTCGAGCAATTTCATCCTCCTGTCTCTACCTGTACTACTCTATGTCGCATCACGTCCGTGCTGTGTCCATATATCGCTTGACCAAATAAAGAGCATTGATATTGCTGCAAATTCTTCTCGCCTTCTAGCTGTTTTGCGTAGACACGTGTTTCCCTGTCGCCATCTACTTGCTTCGCCTAAACCTACTGACATCATGTCTCGAGCCCTTTCTCAGCTGCGCAATTCCTCTCCAAGACACCAGCGTCACCGTCACATTTTTGCGTTCCAACCAGCAAATTTCCCATCGCCGAGCTGTGACACTTTCTCCATGGCGCTTCCAGAAGCCAATAGTGGCGGCCGCTCCCTTGTACGTCCGTAACACTCTGCCGCCGAGCGGCAGCGTGGGTCCAATCCACGTGTCTCCAAAACCACCGCCTTCGCCGACAAGTCACTTGTCTCTGGCGCATAGAACGTGCTTCACCTGCTTGCTTCTGGAAACAATTTTGGCTTCTCTGTGCTATATATGGCTTGTACAGTCCGGAATTTGAGCTAGTTCATCTCAGGGACGACGTTCTGCACGTCGTTTTGCTGTTCGCCTGCTGAACAAATGATCCACAGACTTCATGTCAACTCTGATCACGAGTCGAGTCTCCACATGTCGTTATATCCAATCTTACAAGATCGCTGGTCGCTGTCTTCAGTAAACAAGGTATGCGGTGAATGCTCTCGTGCTTGGTCTCATTTAGTTGCCATCTGGTCGCATGTCACGAACCATTGGGAAATTTCGGCAAGTAGCTGACTAGCACCGCATTGACGCACTCATGGGTCAACGTCCCGCATGGGTTTATCGATTCAACACCCGAAATCTTCTTTTCCATGTATGCCTCACATGTCATTGTGCATATCGAACAATCTCAATCATATCCTACTTTCGACATTGTATTTTCGAATATCAAAGAGACTTCTTGACGATCACACCGGCTTCCATTCCCCTATCTTCTGGTCCGGATGCAACTCCTTAAAATTACTGCCACACGTCAGAACGTATCACTCCGAGTCTAGCAGCTTCAGAGGTTCAAACGTCTCGCAGAAATCGACCTCATCGTACTCGGCCGTGCCTCTTACGAACGGAAATTACGTGCAACACAGCTCGACCAGATTTTGAAAAGGAGTGGACGAACCACTCACAGTGGGACAGGTCCATCGATAGTGAGCACTCATTGGCAGATCTATGCTGTCATGGCATACCATTTCACGTTCCAGCATCGGCAATTCTCATCCATGTAGATGGCTAAGCTGGGTTTCTATCTTCTGCGAAAGGAAGAATCCAAGCATTACGACAACTAAGGTCAACAATAACAACAACAAGACGAAACAACAACAAGACGAAACAACAACAAGACGAAACAACAACAAGACGAAACAACAACAAGACGAAACAACAACAAGACGAAACAACAACAAGACGAAACAACAACAAGACGAAACAACAACAAGACGAAACAACAACAACAAGACAGAAAGAAGGCCCATTACGCCAACAACAAGCAGGTGTTCTGTTGACAAACCCAGAACAACTGCAACTCTCAAAATGATGTCCAAGTAGGAAGGGAAGGTGTCCGCTCGCTCCACATATCCTGTAACAGCATTCTCGATACTGATCAAGGCAGAACCAGTAGTGAGAAAAGACTCTCGTACTCAAACTTTTGGAGAGTCTTTACCTCTGTTCCGTGAACCTTATCACAAGACCCACTAACCCTTAGTGCTCGCGTATATAGGGCTCAAGAGCAGCAACAAGAGGCGCATGAAGAGGACGTCCCACTGGGACTTCTCTTTGCGAGAGCACGAACAGGAGTCCCAGCTTCGCTGTTGCCAGCGCAGCACGGGATCACGGAGAAGAGTTTCTCGAGTAAGATCCTAACGAAATATATCTTGGTTCAATGTAGATGTGTATAGAAGGGCATGCCAGGTGAGAGCTTTGTTGATGCATCTAAGCGTTATGTATCGAGTGGATGGCGCTACAAGTCGTTGACATCTCTAAGGACCATCCTCAAACCATCACATCCAAATGACGAACTTGCTAGCAAAGCCATCGCAACCCAAGGAATCGAAGATATTATAATGAGGTATGGAGGTTGCTTAGACCGTTCGGCCAAGGTGAGCATACACCCTTGACTTGCACAAACACCATATTCATGTAGCGCATGATATCGACATATGATACATCTCGTATTCGTTGTCGACGAATGACCCTGTCCATAGTCAAGCTCTCAGAAAAGGAATCTGGTCCGGCTGTGATGGCAGTGACGAAGATCAATCATCTAATCCAAACATGAAGAGGAAACTGCGACTGCCCTCAACATTTACGTGATCTATAAGTGTTACAGTTTACTGCAAAAGGCAATTGCGACAGCGAAGTTTGTTTCCTGCCAAGTGGCGTGCTTTAAGGTAGGTATCAGCTTCATGTACCTTGTACATTGTATCCTTCGGAGTATAAACTAACATTTCACGTCTGACAACGTTATTCTTGAAGGTTGAGAGATAGGAGCTGATGACAAGAGTGTAAATATGCTTAACTCAAGTCTTGATAAGGGCGTGAATATGCTTAAGTCAAGTATCGAGTATCAAAGTATCTGTAGTATGCAAACCCTAACGTCAAATATTCTTATGGGCCTCTCATACTACTTTCCACCGAGCATACCCGTAAACATCTCCAGTCCTTGCATTCTGTTGCGTCTCTCAAGCTCACTGAGAAGTTCCTCGTGAACTTCATGATACGCCCATTTTGGTGCTGCCCAGAACCAGAATGTGAAGACCCAGGTGAATCCCACGGCCTTCCAACACCATCTGGGCAAGAATCGTCGCATTGGTGAGGCAAGCCCAGTGACCACTCCTTCCACTGCAATGACAGCAAAGTTGATGCAGTAGAAAGAAACGTCATCGACAGCCTCGACGAGATTGCCTCCGTGGATAGACACAATCGCGTGAGCCAGACCTGAGATCAGGAAGACCAGAAAAGCGAGAACGAGCTTCTCGAATCGAGGTCGAGATTTACTGATATGCAGCTTCCTAGACACCACTTTTGCGAGACCGAGGTAAGGCTTGTGGACCAGACGATGCCAGAATCTGCCCCAGTAGCGACGAAGACTATATGCTTCTAAAGGGCTACCAAACATTGACGGCCACTCTTCAGGCGAGTCAAGACGTAGTAGGCCGACGAAGATGATGCTCAGAAAAGTATGCGCGGCATCGACATCGACAAAATTCAGCCAGATCCAGCGAAGAGTAAAGACAACACGAATCCAAGTCTCGCGGGCAGTAACTGGCTCTCTTGACTCGAAGAAAGGTAGTCGTCGGAAGTAGGTCTGCGCGTAGTGGTCGAACTCCCATGGCTCTACCGGGCCGAAGATCAATGGTATGAGGGGAGTCATCAGATGTGCTGTTATTTGCCAGTACACGAAAAGCTTGAACAGGCGAGAAGCGACAAAAGTAAGCAAAGTCCTTGTCGGCATTGATCCAGCGTCTGATACAGAAGTCGTTTGGCTGTGGCCAAGATGCCGCACATCAAACAGAAGCTTATAAGCCGCCTTTATATCCCAAAGTTTCCTGCTCTTGTCTTGCGGAGGTATCTTGTCAATGTACAGCAACACCACGATATGCGATATCCAGATCAACACTGCCAATCCCCAAATCCCGGACAAAGAATTAGGCGAGGTGAAGCCTTCAGATGTTGCGAAAGCGCGCCATGCCGGTACAAGGAAGATTGGAAAGCATAGATTTCGAAGTTGTTGTTGGATGTTCAAGAGAAGATAAAAGGCCAAGCTTGCAGTCGCCAGATATGCGACTGGTATTGTAGGTGAGAGGTAAGCCTCATATCTCATTTTTGCTGTTGACTCTGCTGCTAGGTTATGTTAAGATCTAGCACGCTTGAGAAGATGCACTTTCTCACGATTTGAGTGTTCGTCTGTCGGTCAGATAATACATCGTTAGCGTTTCTGCTTGTCAGCATTGAGCCTACCTGGCTTGCTTGAACGCGCTATTCTTGTTCATTTAGGATGAGAGTGTTGGTGAGTTGGTGTTGGTTAAGACCAGACAACCGCCCAGTGCCTGGAGCTGTTGGCCTCGCCGATGGTACAGCTCATGGTTGGCACACCGGTTCATAATAGTTCTTATGATCCTTCATGGATCTGCGGGACAAATTAGGGAATCTCAAGCTGCTAGGGTAGTCAAAGTCGTGGGTACGTGTCTTGGGCAGAGAGCAGCAACAACAACAACAACCAACACAGCCCCTCACTCAGGCGTCTCATCGGTCATTCGTGTTTCGCTACGGATTTGGCAGTTTCCCATCCGACCTACCAGCAACGCGCTCTACGACTGCACCATATTGCGAAGGCGCGTTCTCAGTGACAGCACATATAGTTCTCGTTATCGTTCAGGAGCAAAAAGCAAATCGCGCGCTGTGGAAGCCGAAGTCGCAAGAGCCAGTTGGGGAGCAAGGGAGTTTTTGACAAATCCTCGGCTAAACTTTCCCTTCCCGCAATCTACCCGGCTTGAGGAAGTTGCTCCCATCGAACCATAGACCCGACGGCGTGAGCCATCTGATCACAGCAAATACGCGAGGTCAGTGTCTTGTGGTCAGAAACAGGCCTCTCTAGGTGAAGATCAAGGACATGAGTTGCTACAGGTTGAAGGAGAATGGAGCGTTGAGTAGAAACTTGAGTTATTAAAAAGATGCTATATGTACAGCAGCAATAGCAACATGTGCTTAGACCTGGCAAGGGTTCAGATCTACTCGGATAGCGAATGTCGATCCGACGAATGGTATTGAAATGCGTTCTTTTTTGTTTGTACGACAAGAGGTTGTTGCACCACCTACTGCTCGAGGCAAGAATGCGGCAGCCCAACCCTCTTATCAAAATCGTAGCCTAGCTCAGAACACAGAAGTGAAGACTCCCTTGACATATTGCATGGGAGACCTCTTCTCACCAGGTAATCGATCATCTCCCATCGTCTCACGTTCAAGCTCTCTCATGCCAGTGTAGATGTCGATATCTCTTGTTCTGATGAACAGCGGTCGGTCTGCTGGTCTGACGAACCAACTGTAAACCTTCCAAACCAGGTAAAGGAAGACAAGCAGAGGACCAGCAAGGTAAGCCTGGAACCATGTGGTAGGGTCCAAGTTGGGGCCACCAACGGGATATAGTGCGACGTAGAACTGGGCGAGCAGAGCGAGTACGGTCACAAGCATGACGAAGTAAGAACCCCAAACACCGAAAGCAGCTTTGTAGGGGAGTTCGTCCAACGAGCGACCGTTGTGTTTCCTGTCGAGAGTCAATAATCGACATTAAAAACAGTAGATAAAAGCTTACCAGGCTGCACGGAACCGGACGTGGGCAAGACCGATTCCGCCGTAGATGAAAAGAATCGAAAGACCCGACAATGCAAGGAGCCAGTTGAAGATGTTTCCGCCGCTTTCTCCCGCCAAGTTGATGAAGGCAAGGCATCCGAAAAGCAGCTGGAGAATAATGACGTTCAATGGACGACCCTTCTTATCGACGTAGGCCAGGAATTTGGGGGCCATGCCTNNGATATCAAAGTCAGTTTTAACGATTCATATGCAGCAGAGCTTGTACAAACCGTTGGCAGCCAGAGCTTGGATTGTTCGAGTGGAACCAAAAGTGCAAGAATTTGCGACACTCATGACGGCGATAAGAATGACGGCGTTGAAGATGGATGGGAGGACCTTGATGCCAGCGAGCTGAATTGCAATGACGAAGGGTGAATGGCGCGACGAAGAGCCTTCGCCAGTGTACAATGGACTGTTTGCTGGTACAATCAGACCAACGAGTAGAAGGTTGACTCCATAGAAGATCAGGATGCGGAAGATGACCTGCTTCGAGGCCTTAGGAATCTCTTTCTTGGGGTCGATAGTCTCGGCTGCGGCCAGACCAGTCAGCTCAGTGCCAGTGTAAGCAAAGGCTGCCGTGACGAAGACGCTGCAGAAGCCATGGAATCCGTTGAGGAAGGCCGAGTAGGGTGCGTTCNNCTGCCAGTATATTAGTTTGTGGGTTTAACAGTCTCGGAATCATAAAACAAACCAATATCTTCCACCGATATAGCCTCTGTCGTCGCTTGGTACACCGCCGACATCGATGATAATTCCGAGGATCATAAAGCCGACACAAGCGATAATCTTCATCAGACTGAGTGCGTATTCAACNCTGTTCAATCAGTTTCCGTCTCTTCGAATATGTGGCTGAGAGCTTACCTCGGCGTAACCGCGCACACCAAAGAATTGGATGATGACCTATAGTTCAAATTAGTTCTATCGATGTTCTGTGATTGACAGACTTGTTACTNNAACCAGCGCGACCAACAACGGGACAATCCAAGCAGCGCTATTGATCTTTTGAGATCCTGTCCAGTAGTGGATGATGTTGACAGCAGCCGAGATCTCGTAGGGAAGGACTGTCAGCCAACTGATGGCATATTCCCAAGCGCAGGCGAAACCGAAGGATGGGTCGACGAAGCGACAGATGTACATGGTGAAAGCACCGTTGATGGGGTACAAGACGGACATTTCTGCGAGAGCTTGCATCATGAGGTATCTNGCATGATCATATTAGTCGGGACAGATGCTGAGTATGATAGCAAAGAGCATACACTTGGATACCTGCAGAACAGTTAGCAAGCGCATTGTGCTTGTTCGAGAAGACCACTCACCAACGACCATGAAGCCGACGAATACAGAGGCAGGACCACCAGTCTGAAAAGCACCACCTGAACCAATAAACAGACCAGCACCAATTGCGCCGCCANNCTAGAAACATGATCAGTACTATGAACATTTCCAGACGTCTCAGCAAACTTACATGGCAATCATCTGCATGTGTCTGCCCTTCAGCTCTCGGTGAAGCTCGTTCTGGTCGCCAACCACCAGATCGTGGACCTCTGGGTCTGCGCCGAGTTGGCGGCCATGCATATGTTCGCCGAGTGTGCCATGGTGGGCGTGCTTTTCGCCGTATGATTTGATTTCTTCGTCACTCATGTTTGCGACACACGATCAAGGAGAAAACGTGGCTCAGAAGTGCGACTGCGGCCACCCTAGTTTTGAGGTCTCTCGGGGACTGCGGGAAATAAGATGCACTGCGGAATGCAAGCGTCCGCCAGCCGTAACGTTCCAATGATAAGCTCTCCTTGTCCAGTGAACTGCACGCCACCTACGGCTTTGAAGGATACTTATCTTCTATAAGCCTCGGTCAAAAAAAGTCTCGTAGCGAGTCGTATCATATGACCGGCCAACAATCCTACAAATCCTACGTACATCATACAAAGGATTCGGGGATTATCTTTGTGATACCGTACCTTCTTGACCTTCCTCTTCCGGCCCCAGGATGATCCCTACCTCATGCAAAGATACGATGATGACCATCCATCGGTCCTTGGTGCTCGCCACCTGGTCGCATACCAAGAAGCGCCTCACTCAACAGTTGGTGAAGCTCACTCGCTCGTTTGGACGTCTGGCTGCGTTGTCTTTGTCATGAAAGAGGCCTCTCGCCGAACATTGCTCAACACGATTGGCTCGGCGTCTTGGGGACACGTGAGGGGAAATATGGGGATGATAACCTTAAGCTTCTGGCCAATCAATGATCAGCAGAGTCTAGACTCGGATATAGATCTTCACTGCATAAATTCTAGCTACTTTTATGCACACTAACCACCAAGGCCTATATATATGCTTATCCGCTGCGATTTTGACTGCTGATCAATTCAGAATGAAATGCAATCTGACATGGAATTGAAACGGCTTCAAGAACAATTCAACAATCTGAAATGAAACTACAAACAGGTCAGAATCCAGATGATCCCATTCATTGATCCGTCTAGTTCTACAGAGAGACCAGAACAGCTGATCTCACGCTGTCACTACCGGTATGTCTTAATCTTGTGGTGCTTGGAGCTCCCCAGCACTTCTAGAGCGTATGGCAAGTTTGAGTCATCAGGACTCAGCTCAGAGCATGACTCATTCGCTGGCTGCTTTCGCTCTCCATCAGCCAGACAACTTCCAGTGATTCCTTCCCATCCGCAGACACCATCTAAATTGCTTCTCAAGATCAAACATCCGCAATAAGGAACGCAAGCTCTTGCGCTACTGCTACTGGAACAAACAATGAAGCTCTCACTGTACCTTCTCGCAGCTGCAGCTACCATGGTTCTTGCCAGACCAGTGGAGAGAACAGAAACCTTTGCAACTGGGATCGTCGATGTCACATCAGCATCGAATCTACCCTCAACCAGCATCACCAATGCGACATCCAGCATCTCAAAGAGAGGCATCGGTGATTTCTTCAACGGCGTGTTCGGTCACGTCGATCCAACATGCGATACATCAACGTGCCGGTGTTGTATCATCATGATCGCAACCTGTTGGAATATGCCCATGTGCACGAAACCGCCTTATCCTGGCTCTGACCACGAGAATGTACCGAGCACGGATTCACCAAAGATGGTGAAACCAGGGAAGACTGTTGAAGGGGTTTCTTGTCTTCCTCGTGGGGTGGGTGTTTTCGCGCTGATGCGTCGCCCATAGATGATGGCTTCTAGTAAGGGGTCGAGAAGGACAGCTCGGAATAGGGGCCTAGTTAAGGAAGGAAGGAAGGTATCTAGGAACATACGTTTGGTTGCTTCTCTGAGCAATAGAGCATGCCACACAATCACAGCTTAGGGAAGCCATCGACCCACAGGTCTCGGACATCTAAATTTGAGGTTACACCAAGTCTAGTCTTAGTCTGAAGCATTCGTATATGACGTGTACCAAGGCTGATAGACAAAGCAATAGGCCTCTGATGCTTTGGTACAGTAGGCGCAAAGGTGAAAACATGTCAAAGAGACGGTGAATGACACGCCGATCCTCCACTCTGCTCTGCCAAGACTCCGCCGCCAACTTCCTATCTCTTTATAAGAAATTCGCATCTCACTCTCACTCCAATTCAGGACCTGGAGATCTCAATATGAAGTTTGTTGATCAATGCGTGGGAAGACAGTGGATCGTAGGCGAGCGCTTCGAAGGTGGATATCCAGGGCCTTGGTACCGAATGAAACATGTGTCTGGCGCCAAACTATATGTCTCGCAGATTCCTTACATCACTTCAAGCAAATCATGTATGCGTTCTGATATGCTTCGATATTGTTATGGAGGCATAGAACGCAAACGCGCACGTCAAACAAAGCTCCGTCCTTGAGCCGCGTCAGATAGAGATTGAAACATATTACAGCTTCTCTACCCCTGTTCTCTGTCATGATTCGTTCCTTGTCATCTACATTAGCCCTCAAATCCTGTCGGAGAGCAGATTCCATTCGTCATCCTTCCAGTTCTGCGAGTGGTGGACCAATATCTAACTCTGCCAGTGGTGAGCCCACACCCAGATCTCTTGGTCGAAACGGCATTCGGAATTTAGGTGCAGACGATGGCTTGCACAAATCTTCGAATGCTTGACGATCTGCTCTCTGAATCAGTATTGAGATGCCGCAGTGAAGCAATGCAACCGCACCTTCTTGGTCATAAAATTCGCAATCGAGGGCTTTGATTCGATGCATGATGTTGATGTGTAAATCCTCGCTCGACGTTGAATCATGTGAGAGAACAGAATCGATGCTACCGATTGTTGACCTGCGTGGCAAGCTANNTCTCGACGACCAAATGTTAATCTTATCTTCTTCTTTCCTTCTTTCTTGATCTCTTCGAAATCATTTACTGGGGAAGTCAGTGTGATCAACAATATCAAGGGCACCGTCCACTTACAANGACCACTCAACAAAGCCAGAGCTCGATGTAGCGGACTTTGATGGCATCCTATGAGCATAGTACAAGAGTGACCTTTGTCTCTCTGCATCTTCTAGCATACGTAATGTCTCGGACGCGCAGTGGTCCTGGCCAGCACGAGTTGATATCCTTACAACGTCGAAGGTCGCGACTACGCTTTTNTCAAGCAGCTGTTCCTGTACCTGCCGCAAATCTCCTTAGATCGTTAGCGATATAAAGCGCTTCCCTTATCGAATGATGCGAGCCATACCTTCGGGTTCATCGAAGCGATACACTGGCCTCATATTGTAGATCGTGCTTCTGTGAGCCTTTTCATCCTTGACAATAACCTGATGCGAGCCCTTGAATTGCAGCCTGGACTCAATTATGCTTGATTTATGTACACGAGTGTTGTCGATCCATGGAACAAAGGCGTTGGTTTGGTGCGCGCCACCATGTGGTACATGGTAGATTGTGAACTTTTGATCTCTCGTCTTACTTCGAAGCTTCTCAACAACTCCAGTATGGGAGATCAATATCTCCAACAGCACATCAAATGTTCGCTTGTTTTCGAGAACACTGTTCCTCGTCAGAAATGTCAACTCGGGATGTATCTGTATACTCACATAGTAACGGGCCATGTAGCGAGGGGCCACTGCGGGTTTTGTTCGACGTAAGAAGATCCGAGACTGAAGGATGAGAATCTTCTTTGGCTGCTAGCCGAGGTAAAGACAGTACCGGGCGTCNGAGAATGCTTCGGTACCGGGCGTGAAAATTGGTTCTGGAAGCGGGCTACCTACGATAGATGGAGAAATATCTCGAGGTTGTCCAGTGAGTCTTTGTCGTGGAGCTTCAGGAGCACCTGGACTTGTGGGAGGGGACGAAGCCATCGAGATAACTCTCGGAGGTAGCACGGGGCGAGTCGATCGAACCGGTTCAGGATGCAGCATGTGCCACTTGAGCCACTGCCCGAAGACATCCCAATCATCGGCACGAGCTCCCAGGCTAGCACTCGGGGACCGCCCATGAACACGGCTCTGCGTGCGAGGGAGACCAAGTGCAGTATTCGCAACGCTGCGGGCACTGTCCAGAAGCTGGAGGACGGGTATGATTCGTTCGGTTGTTACAGAACCTTGGCTACTCGGTACCTGATGCCTAGCTTCTGAGCGCACTCCGCCAGAGTCCCTCATTTTCAAATACTCCATCTTTTGCGAAAACTGGTGGAGGAGCTGAAGCATATCATCTGGCGACTCGGTTCGATCTAGATCTACAATGATTCGGTTAAGTGTATCCGGAGCATTGAAGCTAGTGTGCGATAGTGTCGCGAGATAGTCCAGATCCATCTCAGATGTGGATGTTGGCGCAATTCTTTTGAGGACGAAATTGACTTTGTCACTCAAGGATNNCTGGACGCACAGTGTCAGGCAAACACTATAGAAGGTGATTGATATGTTGTACTTCACCGCACGCATGATGTCTTCCGACTGCCTCTCGATACCTTGGGTGTTTTGCAGGGTAGTCGTCGTTGCGTGTAGGGTCGCAATGGCAACAACCCGGTCAAGCTGTCGATGAAGCTTCTCGGCCTCCTCGCGATATACGGGCCACGTTGCCGTCTGATATCCATGGCCGACTCGCTCTAGAAAATCCTTGAACCTACTGCTGCTTTGTGGTAGATTGGTAATCAAAGGGCGCGTCGTTCTTGCAGTGAGGACGCGGTGCTTGTCGATGAACTTGATAGTATCTCCAAAGGTCTCGTCGAAACCTGCAAGAGAAGCGAGATCGGGACTGACATTGACAAGCCTTTCGAGACAGGTGATTACTTGTCGATATTCTCTCTTGAAACACTCGTACTCGTTGGTAGCGTTGTAGCTGCCATCCGCGAAGCTTTTATACACCTTCCAGCTGTACTGTGCGAGCAGTATGACATCGCTGATGGACCAGCCGAAGCTCATGGTGCAGAAGTAGTATGTGATTCCAGGTGCGAGCGACGAGCATTTTGGCTGACTTCAGCTGGACTTGGTTGACAAGCCAGCCAGCGCCTGGTCAAATCCATCGCATATTATCAGGTGGCAACAAGGCTGAGAAGGCACACGTCCCTTCGATACCGACTGATAATAAGTTATGGAGGACTACTATGCGACTGCATAGTCAATAAAGCAGCCAACGAATGGAAAGTGCAGTCTACAGAACGTGGTCGACGCAAAGGCTCGTTTGTGGCCCTGCCAAGACCGACTGCTTCTCTCAATCTCTCTTTGCTCCTTCCTTCCAGCCTCCTCGCATCTGCACCATCATTCGGCGATGTGAGCTCGAAGCACAGCTCCTTGAATCAGATGATTGTGTCGGGCACCATTGTTTCCTTAGCAAGATGGTAAGCAACGGGACGTGATGCTTGATTTTCAGCTGTAGCCTGTATTCTTTAGGATATGACCTTTTTCGGTCAAAGGGTTCATGCGCCTGCTCAAAGCACTCGAGGAATAGGAGCTGAAGCCGACGCCCGATGGGCGCAGCGGGCACTCAGGCAGACACGACGATGTACTGCTGTGCGTCGCGGCTTCCACGAGACCTTCTTCAGCCTCGCTGACAGAACATATATCCTCCTTCAACAGCAGTGCATATTGTGGGGTTCACCACATCATTGTCACCTGTAACCACCATTCTTCCCACAAATCATTCTCTTGACTCGGGTTCAAGCAGCCATGGCCGGACTGACTTGGATCAGATTGCATCTCAATCCGTGGGCCAATGTATCCAAATTCGAAGATGTCTCGNGTAATACGATCAGTCGTCAAGCTGCGACTGTGCAGATACTAATAAACTGCTAGCCCGCCGACAGACGTCAGTATGTCCTTGATTCTCTCGAACATTCGAGACGAAGGGAATGGTTGTGGGTCGTCGTTGTCGCTGGAGTTGGCTTCTTGACAGATGCATACAATGTAGAATACCTGACATGAAGCCTGTATTCCTCCACTCACGTCCTACAGATCTTCGCCATCAACCTCGTCATGCCTATGGTAGGGCATATCTATTATCCAGACTCGACACCTCAACCTGGTGTTGTACCTCAGAAATACACGGTGGCTATCAATATCGCGACTCTTGGAGGAAGCATTCTAGGCCAGCTGGGCTTTGGTCTTGCCGGGGACTGGTTAGGTGAGGCGCCTACCTGGATCTAATATTGCTCTTACTAAACTACTGTAGGTCGAAGAAAGGCTTACGGCCTTGAGCTGATTATCACTGTTGCCGCTGCCTTAGGCTCGGCCATGGCGTCAAACGGTTATGCCTCAAATGAGGACAAAGGGTCCATGTCACTCATCGCGTGGCTCGTATTCTGGCGCCTGGTGATGGGCATCGGGATCGGAGCCGATTATCCACTGAGCGCCGTTCTGTGCTCGGAGTAAGCATTCACATGTCCTTGGCTCTGATCATGAACTTATGCTTTCAGGATGGCTCCAACCAGACTTCGTGGCAGAATGCTGACTGCCGTTTTCATGTGTCAACCACTCGGACAACTTCTTGCTACATTAATTCCTTTGATCGCGGTATATGCCGCTCGCGGATCACTACCAAACAGCACAAGAGTGTGCGATGGAGATTGTGCGAGGACCCTGGATATCATATGGCGACTTATTCTCGGGCTTGGAGCGGTACCTGCTGCGGCTTCTCTCTGGTTCCGTCTGACCATTATTGAAAGGTACGGCGCGAAAGATTGTGTGGCGTAGCACGTGTGCTGATCAGGTCAAAACCCANGTCCAAGATACACTGTTGACATTGTAAGAGATGATCATCAAGCAGCCGTTGATGTCAATCGTTACTTCTACTCAGGCGACCACTTCTCGACTAGAAGTCGTGATTCCTTCCAGCAAGACCATGAGGATGGACAACACATGGATGGAACAGACAACCCGATCTTCCCTCTATCAGTTGTGGATTCTCAAGAAGCGCAACAGCCGCCTCAAGCCTCTTGGTCAGACATCGTGGACTACTTTTGGCACCAAGGGAATTACCGCACACTGGTAACGACATCGCTGACTTGGCTATCTCTCGACCTTGCATTCTACGGCCTTGGCATGGTGTGTCTACCCATCGCAAAGTAAAACATCTGCTGACTCGTTCCACAGAACGATTATAGGGCTCTTGGTCAAATTTGGTCAACCAGTTCTGGAGATGATCCAGAGAGCACTTACAATCCTCTTGATCCACCATTCTTATACCAGTCATTACTAGCCAACGCCTGGCAGAGTTTGCTGATTGTTTCACTCGGAGCCATCCTCGGAAATCTGATCACACTTGTCTCGATTAATCGCCTAGGACGAAGAACAATCCAGATCAATGGCTTCTTCTGGCTGTTCGTCCTGTTCCTCGTAATTGGTACAAGCTATCACAAGTTGGTCAACACGCCAAGATCTTCGGTGCTCGTGATATTGTACATTCTAACACAGATTTTCTTCAACTTCGGTCAGTTCATCAGAGATCCAGATTTTCCAATCAAAGGCTAACGTTGCAAAATAGGACCGAATACTACTACATACATAATTCCTGCAGAAGTGTTCCCCACTCGCTACAGATCCACGGCCCATGGCATCAGTGCTGCCTTCGGCAAACTTGGAGCTGTGGTGTCTCAATGCATTCTGATCCCACATGGTATCAGAGAAGACAAGTACTATCTGCTTGTGTAAGTGTTTTCATAAAGGAAACCGTTGTAATCGAGCTNNTACACCTGTGTCCATAGCTTCTCGGCATTCATGCTCGTCGGACTTGTATTGACGGTATACTGGATCCCACGCTCGCGCGACAAGAACGGACAGACTTTGACATTAGAGGAACTCGCACTGGGCCGAGCTGCTGTCAAATCGGAATAGACGAAAGCGCGTACGGAGACCTTGCGATCGATTTTTTACGCCTAGAAGATTGTTGCTTATATCTAATGCTCTAATTATCCCATGTTTATCACCATCGACGCCTGAACTCTTGACTCTACGAAAAGAAGAAAAGGATCGAAAGGATTGTTGTCATAAACTCGTGACGGATGCAAGGTTAAATCTTGACAGCGCCAAGAATGTATTGACCGAAAAACTGCTTAAGTGAGCAAACAGTGCCATTCCAGGTAAGACCGGTACACCCAGCAGTGGCATCACAGAGCACAGTACAACCATCAAAGTTACTGATGTTGGACGATGTCGTGATAACATTAGCCGAAGTGTCGTAAGTGCACAGTATGGTGTATTGGAGACCGCCCGCATCAGTATAAGTGGTGCCGTTCGATGCTGGACAAGAAGGTGCAGCGACAGGTGTCGAGGAAGGAGCAACTACAGTTGATGAGATAGTAGAGCTGGAGGTGATCGACGATGAGCTGGAGCTCAGCATAATCGATGAGCTTGAGCTAATCGATGAACTGGAGCTCGATACACTCGAAAAAGGGGACGCAGCAGAAGTCGAAGAAATCGTCGAAGTGCTGAAGGAGGTCATAGATGGTATAGTGCTGGAACTCAGAACGCCCGAGCTACTCAAGACCACTGTTGAGGAAGTACTTGCAGTCGCAGCCGCACTTGCGCTCGTTGCCACTGAGCTGGAGGTGGTGATAAATGGTCGAACGTATCCGGCGATCCTCGTGCTTAGCATATTGACTGTGCTGACAAAGGATTGAGGACTGTCCGTCTTGATCAAGCATTGACCCACTCCGTTGCCGAGAGCAGCGCCTTGATTGTAACTGAACCCAGTACAGCCATTGTAGCCATCGCAGGCCAGGAAGCAGGCGGTCCAGTTGGCGACATTTGTGATTGTTGAAGCTGTACCTCCAGCTGAACCTCCACCGCACATGTATAGATAGGGTTTGCCGCTATTGTCTGTCACCGCATAGATGTTGGTATTGATGGCAGTGCAAGTAGGGGGATAGCTTGTCGTTGTGTATCCATCAGCACCAACTGAAGGCAAACAGCCTGATGGTGATGACGATGACGACGAAGATGATGATACAGGAGTGATTGCAGCTCCGGTCGATGATGAAGAGACAAGACTACTGCTGGTCGAGACGATGATACTTGTTGACGTTGCCAAAGAAGACGACGAGGTCAACGATAACGACGACGATGAAGATGTTGGAGATGTCGACAAGATTGATGAGGGCGATGATGATGTTGGGGAAGAGGACGACAATGTTGAGGCGGTACCAATGAACCTAGCGCCCAAGATACCACCATTGTTGACAGCTGCACCGAGCGTCTTCTTCAAATAGCAAGCCGTACCAGATAACGAGACATCAACACAGCCATTTGTAGTTGCGCAAGCAGCGATGCAACCTTCGAGGTTCTTGACGGAGGTGCTAGCCATATCACCACCCGAATGATCGATGCCACACTCTACCACAAATTGTGCTCCATTAGCCACGTAGGTGTATACCTGGTTGTTTGAAGCAGGACAAGATAGAGCCGAAGTAGCGGTGGCGGTAGACAAGGAGGCAGATGAACTGATCGACGATGCTGACGACGTGCTTTGAACAGCAGATGAAACACTGTTTGCAGGTGATCCGCCAGATACCCTGACTGCAGAGATGGTGTTGCTGCCGGACGCTGGATAGGTACCCATGCTCTTTTGAGCCAACATGTACCTGGTTTTTGTGTCAGCATGAAAGAGTCAACGGAAGTACGAAACAAGAATAACCAACCTGAGCCGACACCGTTCGTGCCTCCGACATACGTAAAGCCTACGCAGCCAGCCGAGATTGCCGCATCGCAAGCATTCATGCAATCAAGATATGATGCAGAGGCTTGGGCATTCGCATAAGATCCAACGCTGTTATCTGCCGAACAAGTGACCTTGTAGGTGTTGCCGCTGGAATCAGTTACTAACTGGCCGTTCACCGATGGACACATGTTCGCCGCCGGCACGCTAGAACTTGGTGTGGCTGTCGAAGATACCCTNGTGCTAGAGGTAGTAGTTGCACTTGGAGTGGCATTCACGAAGTTGTAGGGCGTAGTGTCTAGGGTCCATTTGTCCCAGAACGCGAACAATAAAGGAGTTGCGTCAAACGATGACCCAGCTGCGATGGAAGGCCAAGTATGTCCCAGACCATGCACATAGTAATGAGCACTCAACTGCGGGAAGCTGTCGTTTCCATAGTCATAGCGCACCACATTGTTGTTATACAATGAAACCGAAGTATTCGAAGATCCTAAACCATTGCGAGTCGACCAACTTGTCATGAAGAGCGGAATGGAAGGTAGACAGCGACCGCGGCGACCTCCTCCAGTGTATGGAATCGTCGTGTCAGCATCTCCATGGGTTGTGAAAATTGGCACAGGATAGCGACCAGGATTGCAAGCGATTGACACAGTGGCATCGTTACAATTCGCGTCTGTTGTACCTTGGTAGTATGCACCCGAAGCACCAGCGAATGCTGCGAAGAGTCGGGAGGCCTGGGTATCGCAAGCCAGGACGTTGGCAGCGAATCCACCTCCATTTGACTTGCCTGCAGCGTAAACTCTAGAAGAGTCTATGCACAAAGTGCTTGACAGGTTGGCAAGAAGTCCAAGCGTGAAGCCAACGTCATCATATCCAACTGCAGCCGGATCACCTTGCCATTGCAAGCTGATACCTTGGGGGTAAACAACAAGATAGTTTGGGTTGAACGTCTCGTTAGACATGCCGGAGATGTTCTCTTGGTCCTGAGGAGATTCGGTTCTGCCATGATAGGAGAAGGCAATCGGCGCGGGTGTGTTGATATCGTAGGAGGAAGGAATATGGAGTAGGTAGCTGCGAACAACTCCGTCCGAAGTCGTGAAGCTTAGAGTGTTGGTTTGGCTGGAGCCTCCCCGAGTGAGTTGAGGAGATAGTGGATTTCCACATCCCGTAGATGCTGCAGACTGTGCCACAGCAGCGAAAGCCGCGGAAAGAAGAACAAAGACCTTCATGTCGTCGGGGTTTGGCCTTTGAGTGACTGACAATTGCATTTCCGGACACGGCACTAGAGCTTTATACCCAGATCTTCAACACCTATAATCCTCCTCAACAGCCTAGAGCTCTCCTTGAATATCATCCAGGACGCCATCAGGGAAGTGTGGTTGCCAGAAAAGGAATGAGAACTCCATGCTAGTCATTCAGAGATAGATGCATACTGAAGGCTGACGAGACGGAAGGTTAGAAGCACGAACGTTTACTCACAGCGAGTTAGTTAGCGGAGCCGGCATGGCCGCTGTGGAGATCGCAGCTGAGCTCTGCATCGCAGTATTTGTCAAGCTTGCACGCTTGGAGTACCTGCTACGCATATAAACCAATACCGAGAGATATTCCTGATCTCTGAGGCAGCCAAAGAATGTTTCTGTCGCATCATCAGAGTCAACGATCTGAACGTCGCCAGTGACCTGCCAGGTTGCCAGAACGAAGAGGGCGTGAACGAGGCTACAACTATGTCTCCTTGCTACATCCTTGCTACAGCAGGCAAAATGTTTCTTCTGCATATACTTAGCCAGCCGTTGAGAAGTTGCATGATCCAGGAATGGGGGCTGAAGTCGAATCATGATGGAGGAAGATTGGCGGGAACCGAGATCCCGGGGAAATATCGGCAATTGGCCATCTGTAGCATGGCGTTCGAGGGCGTTGTCTGGACCTTCCTTCCTTCCTTCCTTCCTTCCTTCCTTCCAACCATATTAGTGGTTGACGACTAGCAGATTCAGCAAAACTATAACCTTCCTATCGTTGGTCCTGCATGATTCAGGAGCCATGACCAGATGCGCGGTTCCGCAAGAACTTTGTCTCGGTTGAGTGCAACGACTATGCATACCTGCAAGCCTTGGAAGCCGGGTGGTCAACACCGATGCCTGACTGACGAAGTTGAAGCATGTTTATCCCGAAGGCGGAAGTGAACACTTCTAGACTTGGGCCGTACTGCATCTTGCTGACTTTCGGGTCCTCGATTGAACGGAATCTTGGAATAGTCTCTCGAGTCTCAAGGCACACGGCACCATGGCCTATAGCAGGTACTACGACAAACACTCGCGACGCGCCTTTTCCGCGAATGGCTGCCGTTACAGATTTGGTTGATGAAGGACTAAGTCGTATCGCTGCACGTACGACAAAATAGATGGATAATCCCTAGCACACTACAAACTTCTTTGGTATTCCTGATGCTAATTCGGCACATGGATATGTCACATGCAATTCTTGAGCTCCTGTCCTCAGTAAATGCCAACTCCAGATTATCTCGGTAGGTGCGTTCAACCATCAGTGTAAAGCCGAACCATTGCCCCGGGAAGCACATCTGACGAATCTATCCTATCGAACGGCGCCGTCATGCTGGCACACGGTTTCAACACGCGGCACACATTCGTGTCGCTCGGTACTTCATGTATGACGATTGTTACAAGTCTTTGGACAGCATCATCCAGGACAGGGTCATGGTTCTCTGACCGTAGTGACTGCCGTTCCTCCACATCCCGGAGCCCTAAGTTAGGGCTCGGTTGCTCAACCGAGCTAAACCAGTACCCCTCTTCGACTATCATTGTATATATACCTAGAGCTCAGAGTGATTGTTCTCCAGTTACATAACTTGCTCCAAGATCAATCATACAATGCATATACTCGGTCTGGCAAACGGTACACCTTCTGGAAATTCTGAGATCTTACTCAAGGCCGCATTGACAGCAGCCACCGAGTTCGACTCTTCCATTACAACATCATGGATACATGTCCCTTCCATATCCATACCGACAAACCCAGCACCTTTGAATTCTCCTGTCGGATTCGACCTTGCTTCCAAGCTCAATGTCGCTTCCAACAATGCACCAGATGATCGAGCGGCTGTCCGCGAAGCCATCCTTGATGCTGATGCTATAATCGTTTCTACACCCACATATAGCCATCAACCTCTAGGCACCTTGAAGCTACTCATGGACAGGATAGGAGGACCTTCTCTCGATGTTACTTTTGGCAAAACATTCAATTCCGACAAACTCGACCCACGACTCCCGAAGCCAAGAGTGTTAGGTTTCATTGCTGTGGGAGGATCATCGACACCAGACCAATTCACTATGGTGTTGCCGACACTGCATCTCTTGTTCTATGCTCTGCATGCTAGAGTTGTAGATCAATTCATTGGTCAAGACTTGGGAAGCTCGGGTGCGGTCTGTTTGCACGAAGACCTGATTTCTCGAGCACAGCGCATGGGCAAGAACCTAGCCAGTCAGATCGGCAAGTCCTATGACGACGCGGAGTATCTGGGTGAGGAACAAGAAGGTGCATGTCCGCATTGTCATCTCGCTAAGATTGAGCTTTTGCCTGAGCATGGTAAGAATGCGATTGGCTGCACGACATGCGGTACTAGAGGCAAATTGACTGTTGATGAGAATGGCGACATACTCTCAGTCTGGGAAGAGGACTCGAAGTGGAGTTGTCTGACCTGGGCTGGCAAACTGCAGCATGCAAAGGACATCGTGAGCTGGGCCAAGAGAGACGAGCCGAGGAGAGCGGATATCAAGGATGGACAGGAAAGGTGGAAGAAAATCTTTGTTCAGCAGGTCACTCTGCCCAGTCAGACAACAAAAGAGTAGACTCCAAAATACTGGCACAACTCGTACTTTATGGTCACCTTGTACATTGAAGCCGAGAAAGTTCGAACAGCTCAAACGACTTACAGCTTCTCACCACTCCTCAGTGCTAACGGATCAAAACGGAAACAGAGGCTATTGTCCTTCAGCTAGATCTCGGTACTGATACAAGTGATGAGCGATAGATGGGCAGCACAAGGCAGAGACAGGGTGACCCTGCCCGAATTTTTCTGCTAAATTCTCAACTTTTCCTTACAAATCACGCTCCTTATACCACGGATCCTCGGCACGTCCACCTCGTACACCCAATCCAGGGGCAAGCGCAGACGAAATCCCGCAAACACAAAAGCGCCAGCATTCGTCATCCACCATAAACTTCAACGTGGTACAGGGGGATGAAGAGAGCCCCATAGCCGTTGCAAAGCGGGTGAACGATACCAATTGATTGCGACAACAACGACATAAACAACAGGAGTACATCCGAAATCAAAGGCAATGTCGGCAAATCGCTAATCGATTCTATCGCCGGCGATAAGTGATAAACATGAAACTTGTGGTCGAAAAAGACTGATGACTAGGGTTTTGCAGGGCAAGATGATGATCATCTTGAAATGAGAGGAGGAGGACATACTGCCAGGTAGATGAAACAGCTAGAGCTACTCTGCCCTGAGTTGTTTGCCAGACCTTTCCAGCTTCTTTCTCATCAAGGGTAGGAATGGCTGCGATGTGGAATGAGGTTTGTTGATATCAGTAGAAATTCTTGTCTTTCCTTCTATCTGTATACGAAATATCCATATCGTTCCAAGAAAACAGAAGGAAAAGAGAGGCAAAAAGGAAAACCAAAAGACCACTAAGATAAAGCGCCTATTCGCTTCCTGTATATAAATCCATCCCTCCGCTTCTGCTTTTGCGAAACAAATGAAAATCGATATACAGAAGAAAAAGAGCAAAAACACACATCGAACGATATCAACAGGTGGAAAGGGAACAAACTTGGTTCGTGCAAAGACGCCAAACTGCGTGAGCGGTAGGATTGCATCCAAAGACGATGGAAGGGTATAAACGGAAAGAACAACAAAAACAGTGAAAGAGCCCAGCCCTTTCTAGACCGCAATGCTAAACCCTCAGGGTGGGGACGAGAATGTAAAGCCAAGCGCGAGGAAACAGACAATAGATATCCTGACAGATGGAAGCAGTGAGATGATTATATCTCGAGCCAATATCTAGGAGGATAGTGCTTAGATACACACGAGTGGATTTGTTGGGGTCGGGGAAGGATCATCAATGCCGGATTGGGGTCGTTACAGCTCGGAAGAGCGCGCACTTGCTAGAGATATCTAGTAAGCGGTAGGGTAGGCGGCACCCGAGGCGCCCGAGGGCTTGTGGATGGTGATGAAACCAGTGGAAGCGCAGCTGGAAGAGCTGGCGGCACCGGAAGTGGTGGGGTAGTAAGGAGCAGCGCTGCTCTGCTTGGGGACAACGCTGGCACCGGTGGCAGTGCTCTGAGCAATGGTGCTCAAGGCGGAGTCAACAGTGATGTAGACAGTCTCGTTGGCAGTGACGGTAACAGTAGAAGCGGGAGCGCAGCCAGCCTCGGTGGTGCTGGCGCCAGTGCCGGGAGCGCCGTAGCTCGAGCCGTATCCAGTGACGGCGGCCTTCTCGCCCCAGAAGCTCAAGTAAGAGCCAGTGGAAGTGGGCGAAACGGTGACAGTGTTGGTGGTGGTGCTAGTGGTCGACAAAGTGGTGGTAGAGGTCGAGTCAGACCCCATACCGGAGCCAGCAGCAGCGTCCGAGGCCGAACCAGAAGCGGCAGGGGTGGCATAGACGGTCTGGGTCTGGTAGGCGGTCGAGGTCTTGTGGATGGTGGTGGTAACAACAGACTTGGTCGAGCCACCGCCAATGGTGTAGGTGAGAGTCACATCAGTGGTGAAGGTGGTGTAGGCAGTGACAACCTCGGAGCCAGTGGCACCGGCAGCGGGAGCGGAGGTGACACCAGATCCATAAGCACCAGTACCGAAGGCAGCGTTGGTGTTAATGCTAGGGTAGGCAGAGACACCAGTGCTCAGGGGAGCAACAACCGAGCTGGCAGCAGCGCTGGTCTCGACAGCGGCGGCAGAGCTCTCGTATGCGCCAGTGGAGAGAGGGATGGCAACCGAGGAGGCCTCGACGGAGGAAGAGCCGGCAGTGTTAATAGGAGCAACGACCGAAGAGCTGGAGCTGGACAGAGGAGCGTAGCTGAAGGAAGGAGTGGTCGAAGTCTGGTTGAAGTTGCCATAGTCCTGACGCTTGTACTGAGCGGCGTTTGCGCCGACAGCCAAGGCGGCGGCCACGAGGGAAGAGCTGAAGTGCATGATGATGGGGATTAGATGTCTCGGAGTTGGTAGAACGGTTTAGGATGCGATTGCAACGTCGAAGTCGTGAGAACTCGTGGGTATGCTGTATGTGCTGTGGTGGAGAGAATGTGGAGGCAAGAAATCAATTCCGCGCTCAAAGCAAACAATCAAAGAGTGACTGGATCTGAAAAAGAGTGTGTTGTCTAAAGGAGACGTGAGGACCGGACGAGAAACGCTTGGTAGTCTTGAAGGTGAGGAAGAAGAGGGAGAAGTGAATGGGGAAGCGCCTTGAGAAAAGGCGATTCTGATGGATGCCCCGTGTGGCACACACACCGGTGGACCAGTGCTGGACCTACAATCTATCCTAGCCTGCAGAGAAGCATAATCACAGTCAATCTACTGGCGTAGTGCAGGATGCAGTCTGCGGTCAAGGTGTGCGTTTCATCGAATCAGACCGTTGCTGGACGGACCACTTAGCGTGGCGATCTGCGGCTAGCGCCTTCCCCTATCGCTTATTCGTGAACGGGTACCTGACAGCTTGCAGCTTGGACAAACTTCTGCAGACCCTTTTGCCCGGCTTATTCGCGATACACTGCGACCGCCGTTCTGTTTAGAACATTGTGTATCGTCCATACTTAGAAAGCGCCCCCTATTCTTGTAGAGTTGAACGACTCTGGAACTGTCGCCGTGAAAACACAGTAACGCCTGTGGGGTTTCCCTCTTCACCTCTCTGGTCGACTACCGAGAATTGAAGCAGCATGCTCATTTCCTTTGGCGCTCGTTCCTTGGCAAGCTCTCCCTCAACCAACAACAATTCACTCGTCGGCCTTTCTGCGCCGATCTAATCATTTCGGCTGTCTGATCCCGCTGTGTGTGACACACTGACTCTATCCACAAAGCAAGCCAATAATCAGTCGCAATTCTTGCATGAGTCGGTGTGGCGGTCCGTTGCCCGGGTCTCATAACGATTACGAACAAAGGCCTCGACCATATTGGTACGAGGCGTCGCAACATGCAGCAAGCTATCGCGTTGCGTTATGTCTGTCATCGTTCTGCATGTTGGACAAAGAATCCAACGGTTAGGCGACTAATTTATGTACGTAGAACGCTCATCAATGCCGGAACCACCAACAGAGCCTCGCAGCAGCGTGAGCTGTCAGAAACCTCGACTTCAGACCGCAATTTGCCAGCCCTCCCAACAACACGTGCCTACATTGATCTGTTTTATTCTTGTTCGCAAAGCACTCCAGATTTCAGCACAATCTCGGCGAACATGATTGACCGTGTTGCGCATAAAACATGATCGATCTGATCTGAAATGAGGTGTTCGGATCTTCGCCATGGGGTCGATATGCTATAGGCGTTAAGTTTCGAACTAGAATCCTATCGGTATTACGAAGCCTGGGATGATTTTATCCTGTTTAATATAAAGAGGTTCGAGGAGACGTGCTCACCAACTTGCCATGTCGTCTGGCCATCCCAACGCCTTTAGTGTCTCTTTAATCGAAGAATTGTTAGCCCTCGAGAGACCCCTGCCGAACGCGCGACGGTGGAGATACCCTTGATCTTTCGTGTTTCGTGAGAGGGCTACATTTGACAGACACGATTGCTCGGGAGATGTGCACACGCGGAAGCTGGTGGCCTGAAGGGTCGGACAACATGAAACGAAGTCATGAGAGACTGCCTCGTACCAGCCAAGCCACGGTTCTCTCAAGCCGAGACCAACAAAAAAAGCCCTACTGACGATATGGGAGTCCTTGTTGGCGAGTCTCTGGGTCAACATCACCTGGCCGCCTGAACCTCCATCCAGGCAATGTTTCCTTCTTATAATGGCGATGATGCTGATGACGCTGATACAAGTGAAGACTATGGAGACTTGGAGCCGACGAACCACATCTGAGCTGACCAAAGACAACAAATCTCAGCTCTGTGTGTTGTGATTCGGCGTGCTGGTGCTCAGTATCTTGCAACCGGTCTCGTACAATTACACCTCCAGGGACCGTCAGAGCTGCCCATAGACATTAACAAACATGTGTGAGTCTGAACATACAATTGTCGGTGGGGACCGGGAGGATTACACAGAAAAGAAGAAGATTTGGTCCCTGTTCTTGCGCTGCGGTAAGGATCGACCATTCGTAGATGGTTGTTATTGCGCAACGGATTGGTTTGAGACAGTGTTGTGCATGTGGTTTCCACATGTCGCATGAACTATCGACGCATCGATGCATGCAGTGGATGTTGTGTTTTGAGCGACGACGCTGAGCTCACAGGCGGTGAAATGCTGACCTTGGGCACTGGGCTACACTTCGCACAACTGTTACGGCAGGGAGCGTCTGGCGACAATTCTGCGGATAATCTGTTTCGGCGCCTATGATTTCGATCTTGGAGTTCGACATTCGTACATTCTTGAGGACAGCAGTTGCAGAGTTGACGGATGTTCTGATTCCGGTGCATGCTCCGCATTCTGATCTTGCTCGGCATCAACATGAATCGTGTGCCGTCTGTTGGCTAAATACAAGCCATTCTGTTGATCCGCATAGTAGAGCGGAACGAAGCACCAAAGGATTGTCCGCTCTATATGTCGGCCGAACTCGTCCGTCGTGGCATGAGATATGAGCGGTATCAACAGCATAAAGATGAGTGATTAGACGGGATATTCATGGTGCACAATGGATAAAAGGAGCCGAAAGGCGCACGAGTCGAGTGGGTATGATCAACTGGCGGGGACCGTGTAAATGCAAGATTGCACCTTGCGTACGTATGATTGGAGCAAAAACTGTGGGGGCTTGTCGGCAAGGATCTGGGGAACGTTTTTTTGAGTCCCAAGGCCGAGGGGTACAATGCGGGATGGAGTCCAGGACGGCTTTGACGGCCATGTTCGTCTGTTTGACGGAAAGATCTTCTGTAACGACAAGTTTAGGTCAGACTTGCCGTGCATGACGGACGCCTATCCTTGGCTGGCCGTGTCGACCAAGCATCGCGATTCTCTCCGTTAATCTTCCGTCCTCTCGACTGCCTCCTACCCAACTTGCCAGCGAAGACATGGGAAGCGACCTGGTCCTCTCACCACCATCGCCCAGTCGCCTTTGCTCCTTCCCTTCGGCTTGATCTTTCTCCTTCTCGATTCATCCTCACACCGCTGTCCGTATCCCGTCGTCGAGAGACAGGCCAGAAGAACCAAGCCGTCCATGGCTACCAGAGTCCAGGTCGAGACGTCGACCATGTCCTTTACGAAACCCCGACCCATCGTTGCTGTCGAAGAGATCCGAGGCCATGAAGAGCCGAACCTTCTGGTGCTATACGAACGAGATCAAGAGCAGATTGTTGCAGAGATAGCCGGCGTGCTTGGTCAACAGTGGCGCCTCACCGGCCCCGAAGACAACGATGTTTCCCCCATTGATGGCACTGTCATTGGTATATCTGATGCCCATGATCTCTCTCGTGTCCAGCGATGGCGCGGCTCCAGCACTATCCTGGCGACCCACTGTCTGGACGAGCCCAATCCTGCAGTTGGTTCCCGATCTTCTGTCTGTGACTACGAATACTTGTACACGACCAAGCCTTTCTTCAGGCGGGATCTGGCTAGGTTTCTATCCTTCATTCTAGGCCAAATCAATCCGCACAAGGACCTTGCGAAGAAGGCAAAGACAACTCTTATTTCCACAACCTTTCCTGATGTCCATGCCGCTCTACCGAACCTTGACATCCTCTCTGTTGGTGCCGATGCCATAGAGATTCGTGTCGACCTGTTAAAAGAGACAAAGCCTGACGGCTCTTTCAGCGACGTCCCCAGCCTGCAATATGTCGGCGAACAGCTCATGACTCTGCGCCAGCGAACAGAGTTGCCTATCATCTTCACCACCCGCTGCACGAAAGAGAACGGACGTTTTCCGATGGATGATCCCAAGTTGTTTTATGACTACTTATACCGAGCCGTTCAATGGGGCTGTGAATACATTGATGTCGAGCTCTGGCTACCTGAGGACTTGAGGCGCAAACTCGCTTCTCAGAAAGGTAATAGCAAGATCATTTCCGCCTTCCACGACTTCTCTGGAAATTTCAAATGGACCTCGCCCGATGCTCAACGGCTGTTCGAACAGGGTGCTGTTTATGGAGACGTTGTCAAGATGATTGCTCTTGTTAGCACCATGCAAGAGAACTACGAGTTGGAATACTTCCGATCCATAATCCAAAGCACCCATCCTCATCCACCCTTCTCTGGATTGAATATGGGACCCATGGGTCAGCTTTCTAGAGCCCTGAACAAAATCTTCACGCCAATCACACATCCACTGTTACCCATCATTGCTGCACCAGGACAGCTCAGCGCCGCTGAGATCAACTCTGCTCTTCACTCCATGGGTCAGATGCCAAAGCTTGACATGTACTGCTTTGGTAGCATGCGTGCCACAGGACAAGCCATGTTTTTCGAGAAGTGTATCAACGAGTTGAGCTTACCGCATCAGCTTGTTTGTGTTGAGCAAAGTTCACAGGACGGGCTTTCTACTGTAGTCAAGATGCCACACTTTGGGGGTGCCTTCATCAATCCACCCATTGCAGCATCAGCACCTTGTCTTCCTTCAATCTCAGATGCAGCGGCATCGATTGGTCAGATTGACACTGTGGTCGCCCTTTCAAACAGTGATAAGACAAGTCTCGTAGGAGATAATGCAACGTGGAAAGGAATTCGAGCAACCCTCTGCCGCGACTTTGTTCCCTCAGCATACAGTGGACAAGCTGCATTACTGCTAGCCAGTCAAGAATCTCAAGCAGCAGCGGCGATATTTGCTCTTCGCAGTCTCAACATTGGACCGATCTACACTATTGGCTTCAAGGTTCAAGGACCACTGTCTGGATTCGTAACTCCATTCAGAGGATTGGAAGACGTCAAGAAAGTCGAGCAACCTTCAGTCATCATCTCAGCGCTCCGAGCAGACAAATCACTTCTGGTATCGCCCCTACTGAAGCACTATGGTGGCCACAAGCAAGAGCAGCGAAGAGTAGCAAAGGTCTTCCTGGACCTGAGCAATGGACCTCGAAAAGGCGATCCAGTCGCCCTTGCCGAAACACAGGGCTGGAGCGCATACGGTATCGCCGACGTCAATGCGTGGACGACTGTCGAAACACTGAGGCTTCTTGTGGGACAAAATGTGCCCTACGATTTCGTGCGGCTTGCAGCTGGGCGAAGTATCTATTAGAACTCGATGATTGCATGTTTGCTAGGCGTTTTGGTGCGAGGTCTATAACCCAGGCTTGTCATTTCTTGTCTTGTTTGCTTCCTGTTCCCTTTGCTGACCACTAGACTCGGACCGAGATGTCCTGCTCTATGCTGGACACCGTTCTTATATTCGATGGAAGCCATTGAACGAGTCGAAGACTTTCTATCACGGTTAGATTTCCACCCACAATATGCGCATCTCGACCTGACCCCATGCTGTCCTTGCCCTTTACCTATTACCTATTCTTAAAGACCCAAGTGATCATGTGCCATGAGAGAGGCGGCAGCAAAACGAGACGCTGGACCCAAAGCAACAAATTAACCGAGGCATTAGGGCTCGATATCGGTGGAACAAGTGGGCCCGAAGCTTGCTCGGCTGGTTGAAGACCGATCTCTGAACAAGATTCGAGCCGAGTCTGGGGATCTCTTTGCATCACACACGGCGGCACACGAATTCAGCGAATGAGGGAGAGCGTGCAGTATACACACGGGCGATAGAAGACATGTGTCCGGGATCAAAGCAGTAGGTTCACACGGGGTCGTCCTCGTGAGGATGATGAGATCAATTTATCGTTTCGGGGGCGGCGTCGTCCTCATGCATTGTTCCCCGCTCTTAAACATGGCCTCCGCGACTACGGGGCGTGACCCTGGGGCTAGAAGAAGCTCAAGAACCGGGAGTCACTGCGCCCGTAAAGCTTCTCGATCCCATACCGAGTCATCCTCCTACCTATCTACCTGTTCCAACCTTCGTGACCATCGGCATCTTTCCCGGCGCGAAACGACAACGCGAGTGTCCATCTCTCAACTTTCCCACTATATCACACCAACTCTGCATACTCGAAAGAGTGCTGGCATGAGGCACGCTCGATTCGCATCTCGTTGGAGCTGAGCCGGTCGTCATTGTGCCATTGGATTGTTACAATGTCTCGGCCACAGATCGGTATAGACCGCCTCCCAGTACGGCGTTCCAGCAATGAGCCAAAGGAAGCCATGAACTGCAAGAGTTGTCGCAAGAGAAAGGTGCGTTTGACATGGTGAAGTCACGTAGACGCAGAAGACTCAGACCCGGCAAAGATCAAGTGCAACCGGCTGCGACCGTCTTGTGAAGCCTGTCAAGTCTTCAATTGTGACTGCATTTATGGTACGTAGTCTTCCACGACACATGTGAACAATTTATGAGACTGACTGGGTTTGATATGCANNGATGCGGTCCCCAAGAAAAGAGGTCCCAAGACCGACGTACTCGAAGCCCTCCTGAAACGTGTGAATGGACTGGAGAAGAGGTTGAAAGACGAAGGGAAAGATCCGGATGAGGACATACAAGAAGCAATAATCGCGGAAAGCGTGAAGGATGCAGCGGACGAGAAGTTATCCAAGAAGGCTCCTTCTCCACCAGATGCTGTGGTGCCCCAAACAGCCGAAGCACAGCAAATGCAGCAGCAGCGACCACAACCCCCGCAGCGTCATCCGAGCATAGGCTTCCCAGACCAATTGATGCGGTAAGCTTTCATCGTGACTGCCTTTTTCCGCGAAGACCTGCTGAGAATCGAAATTAGCCAGCAAGCCCCATCTGCCCTCCAAAACAACACCCTTCTTGATGCATACTTCAAACGGATACACAGCAAGCCATATTATATCCTCGATGAAGCTGCCACTCGCCAGCGATGGCAGACCGGACAGCTTCCCCCAAGCGTCATCAATGCCATCCATGCCGTTACTGCTAGGTGCGTCCAAACCCATGGCGAGATCTGCCCAACTCAACCCCTCTGACAAGGTATANGATTTGCACCCCAACATCTTGGTGGTCACAATGCTGCAGTCCGCCACAGCGAGGAATGCGCAGTGCGTGCGCGGAACTTGATGGATACCGACGATCCAACCATCGAAAACGTACAAGTCCTGTTGCTACTCTCCAATGCCTTCTTCCAGGCCGGCAAGGGCAAAAAGTCATATATGCTTCTTGGTCAGTCCCGCCGTACACATCTCAATTCAAGACTTGCTGACTGTGACCAAAGCTNNAGTGCCATAAGCATGGCATTTGCGCTCAGCTTGCATCGTGAACTTCCTGCCGGCCTTCGCATCTCGCCCAACGAACGAGAAGGTCGTCGAAAACTGTTCTGGACCTGCTATATCATGGACAGCTTCCTTGCCTCGGGATCCAAGCGGCCTTCTCTGATCGCAGACGAAGCCATCTTCTTACGACTGCCCGGATGGCAATCCGATTCCACCTCGATACCATACGAAGGCAACTTTTTCTCTAACGGAATAAATCTTCCCATGTCTGCGGGACCCGGAAGACTACATCAAAGTGGTGGATCCATGTTGATCGAAATTTCAAGGATATTGGGCATCACAAATCGCTATCTTGCTGCAGGCGGTGTGAAAGGCGACTCACACTTTCCATGGCATGCCCAGTCGAACCTATCCAAGATTCGGCAAGATCTTGATACCTGGGCTGCAAGCGCACAGGATGCTTTCCTGTCAATAGAAGCATTGTTTGGCCAGACGGAAAGCCAGACACTGGTTTTGAGCAAGTTGGTTTACCATCTCATTCATTGTTTGATTTATCGGCCCTTCCTACCCATCGACCTTACCGAGCTTTCAGGTACTGGACAGCATCAATCCTGGCAGATCGAAGCGACGAATCTTTGTTTCCTGCACGCAAATGCCATTGCAGAGCTGACCGAGATTGGCAAGCATTCATCTATAACTGATTGGCCGGCCTATGTCGGATACTGCCTTTGTACTGCTGGCACCATTCACGTCCATGGCGCACACTACCCTAGTCGAGAAGGAGATGTCTTCACCAGGAGTGCCGAATTTCTGTCCAAAGAGATGTCTCAGCTATCGGAAATGCGTATCGTCTGGGCCGGCGTGTTGCACCAACGGGAGACCCTGCAAACGGTTTACGGCTGTCATTCTCAGCTGGTGAAATCCTTGGCCACCAATCCCATGCGATTCTCGCCTGTCTTCCAGATGGAGGACTTCTTTGATCGCTACCCTGGACAGTTCATCGATGGAGCACACGTCACATTCGCTGATATCACTGTTGAAGCCTTGCACGAGAGTCTGCCAGCCTACAATGGCTTCAACAATAGCAACGGTGGCACTTGGCAGTGGGCACCACAATCCCAAAGCGGACCTTCTGTTCCTTCTGTCACTGCGACGGCCAAAGCATCTGTCAATACCAACAACGACCATCATGTTTCTACAGCAAGTCGCAAACGCCGCCGCACGAACGACGCTGCCAGTCCTCCAAACCTACCCGTCGTGATTCACGACCCAGCCCTCAATCCTTTGTCGCCAGACTTCGCAAATCCCTTGACCTCACCTGATGCTACTGCTCACACCCATCCGCCACAAACGAAAGCAGCAGACGAAACCCAAATGTTTACCCAAAATCCACTCTCGCCATCATTTTCCTTTTCGCCATGGCAATCCCACCTCTCGCTTCCCATGGACCCTAATCTCAACCTAGCACAATTCGATAACCTCTTCAGTATACCGGGACAGAACACGCACTCGAATACGACCTTTGACCAACAGACTCCAGGAGGGCTTTCGGCAAACGGTAGTGTGAATACAGAAGGAGACAAAGATCCGTTCATGAGTCTTCTAGAGCAATTGGCCGAGAACGAACAAACTGGTCATGGGGGACCCAGCGATCTGGACTTTTTCTTGTCTTCGAATGGCGGGCAGGGTGGGTTCTTGATGGGTTCGCCAGAAGAGTCAAAGAGATGATAGATGTGGGATATGTACAATAGTTTCGTTTGTTCTTCCAAGCGGCGTACCGGGGGCCAAATATGAAAGCGACTTGATGCCGTTGATGAAACAAGGGAAGAGAGCAAGACGCACAACACTACTTTTCGATATATGTATGTAATCGACACGATTGGAACTGGCAAACAGCAACATCTTGGTGCTCAAATACGATACGTAAGATGTGACATTCGAACACAATTCTATCCCATAACTCCTCGCTATGCTCCCATACATTTACCAGGACAAACTCAAAATCCAGTGTAGTAGATCCTACACATCTATATTTAAAACTAGCAGATTTAGGCATGTACTTTCGACTGCGTATATACAGTCATGTCGAACGCCTCTTCTTCTTCTTTCTGATCAGTCGTCGACAGATCCACCGACGTATCCCTGAGATTTTGCTTGAAGCATCTGCCGGGGTGGAAGATGTTGAGCAAAACAGCAGCTACAGAGATCATACTGTGTATCTAAGTATCAGCGATCGGACTGTAATAGAAAGCGGATAAGACTTACACAGAATCCAAAACAATAAACTCTCCCTCTCTCCTCATAATAGGTGAACCCCAACCATCCTTGAGCTCAGCAATACGATACGCACATCTAATGAAGATGAGTATAAAAGCCGTGACCGCAGAGCCAATGAATAAGCGGAAACTGGTTGCTTGCCAGAGGTATCCAGCAGCAGGAGTTAATCTTTCCTTTGCTCCAGCAACCTTCAGAAAGAAGATGCCAGCCAACACGGCAAAGACTGCTAGAGTGATGACCTGAGAACTCAAGCCCGCGATCATGACATCGACGCCTAGATCCAGTAGTTTNTTGTTTGTGCCACTAGCTGCAGCGGCAGAGATGGCGCCACCGGCGCCTTGGAGGATTATGGCTAGTAGATCGCAAGATACAAAGATTGGTGTGTAGAGAGAGGGTTTTAGTGGTGAGAGGCGCGGTTGGAGTGATAGCGTTAATTGCTTGAGGAGAAGGTATATTCCAGCGGTTAGGAAAGCGGGAGCGAAGGTAAGGAGGACGATGTTTAGTTTGAAGCCATTTGGAGAGAACGGGTCGTTGGAGAGGATGAGGCGGGATGCATAGCCTGTTTCAGTTAGTCATACTGTCTTCAGGCCTTCTCGTCGCGTATAGAAGATGGGAAGGGGAGGTGTACCGATGCTTTCTAACGCCGTGCCTAGGATGAGAGCGATGGAGAAGCCGAGCCATTTACGGTATAATCGGGCTTGATAGCAGAATACTAGACAACTAATCGCGAAGAGAGTGACAAAGAAGGCGTTGGCACCAAGATTCGGCGCGTAGCCATAGATAGAGTATGATGCCGGGCATGTATCTTTGGTGCAGTGAGCAGGTCGAGTGGCAGCTGCTCGGATGAGCATCTCTGACGTTGATGATGGCATTTGAAAATGTCAAGCCTCTTGCCGGCCTTGGGAAGCAAGTGGAGGAAGTTGATGAACGGAGTCGATGATTCTTGGTCGTGATTGTTTTGTGAACGAAAGGAAAGGTTCGTCGAAAGGAGAGGTCGGCAAGAATCAGAGGTAGAAGGAGAATTGTACAAGACAAGATCAACAGAGCATAGCACCTACTCCGTATGTTCAGAAGTCGTTCTTTCTCACCTTGGTGCAGCACGTCAATGCCAAAAGCTTCCAGAAGTCGAGGAAAGAACGATCGCAAGGGCTGCCTAGTATCTATATTGCTCGCACTATGTCCGAGGAGTGAAAACGGCAGATATTAATGATACTCTATGCCGCCACGGCTGCGCAGGCGGAACGATGTACGAAAGCGCTCTCTCCGTGATCCATCTAACGTTCACTATCCTCGTCCCTGCACTTGCCGCACCTCCAAGCTGTGCATCGTGGGCCGAGAACACAAGAGTTCGGGGACATGACACTGATGACAGCGATTGACACTGCGTAGCAGGTGTAAACGAGATGAGAAGACCCGCAGGTCGAGCGCTAACACATATAAAGACGTCGTAGGGCTGAAACCTGCGGGCTTTAGGGTTTGCCAAGCTGAGATTGAGATGCCGGAGCTAGCATTGTTTCGGCCTGTCTAGCGACTCGTCAGCTCCAGACATTTTTGCTGAGTGGTATATGATGTGTAGATATAAGGGCGAGCAAAGGAGACACAAGCGCGGGATTGGGATATATTGAGGTTATACAAGGAAACAATCAAAATAACATGAGCCTTCCTTTTGTCCTAGCACCATCATCTCTTCTATATTGTCAGTACGCCGTACACCACATGTCTTGCGTCAAATTGCTTTTGGAAGTTCAGATCTAGTTCTTAATCTCAACATTGATGGTCTGTTGCTCTTCTCTGGCTTGCTCGTCGGCGCGAAGAGCGGCTTGCACCGAGATGACGTTAGGAAGAGGAGGTAGCAGAGAACGAGTGGCCTGGCGGGCGTTCTGAGCCATGAGAGCGTCCATGATGACGAGAGCGGCCATGGCCTCGACAATGGGAATAGCACGGGGAACGACGCAAGGGTCGTGACGGCCCTTTGCCTCGAGAACACCCTCGGTCTCGTTGTAGGTGGCAGTTGATTGCGACTGGCCGATAGTGGCAGCGGGCTTGAAGCCGACAGTGAAGTAGATGTGGGCACCGTTGGTGATGCCGCCCTGGATACCACCAGAGTTGTTGGTCTTTGTGGTCAGGCGAGGGCGAGGAATACCGGCCTTGGCAGCACCCGAAGCAGCGGCCGAGCCCTTGGGAGCAGGAGCAATAATGAAGGGGTCGTTGTGAATGCTACCGGGGACTCTTGTGCCGCCGAAACCAGAACCAATCTCGAAGCCCTTTGTGGCAGGAATGCTCAGCATGGCGTGGGCCAGCTTGGCCTCCATCTTGTCGAAGCAGGGCTCACCCAGACCGGAGGGCACGTTGCGGATAACGCAAGTGACGTTACCACCGATACTGTCCTCCTTTTCCTTGTACTTTGCGATCAGGTCGGCCATGCGGTCATTGGCTTGGTCGTCGGGGCAGCGGACGGGGAGGAACTCGTCGACCTTCTCACGGGTAATCTCATCGATCAGCTTGAGGAACTCGGGGTTGGTCGAGGGNGTAGGGTGGTCTGCGGTGGCAGGGTAGAGCTGCTCGTGGCCGACGGACGAGGTGAAGGCGACAATCTCGATGCCGTGGGCGAGCTTGAGGTACTTTTCAGCGATGGCGCCGGCAGCGACGCGGCCNTGGGTGGTGTCAGTAGGCGCTTCTGAGAGGAAGGGGAGGGGTGTGGACCGACCGATGGTCTCGCGAGCACTGCTTCTGCCGCCTCCACTGCTGGCTTTGACGCCGTACTTCTCCAGGTAGGTCCAGTCGGCGTGACTGGGGCGAGGGTACAGGTCCATGGTGCTGTTGCCGTAGTCCTTGGGTCGCTGGTTCTCGTTCATGACGCGCATGCCAATGGGGGTGCCCAGGGTGACGCCAAACTCGGTGCCCGACTGGATCTCGACCTTGTCCTTCTCATTGCGCGGTGTTGTGATGGCGCTCTGTCCCGGTCTGCGTCTGGTCATCTGAGGCTGGATGTCGGCCTCGGTGAGCTCCATGCCCGGCGGCACGCCGTCGACGATGCAGCCGACGCTGAGGCAGTGCGACTCGCCATAGNNCTATTGAGAGCGGTTAGTCGGAGGGGCAGAGAGTCTAGGACGGGTGGTCGCGCACGTTGTTACTCTGAAATGCGATCCGAATGTCGACATGGTGTGTGATGCTGTGGAGAAATGAACAAAGCAAAGCGACAGAACAAAAGCGAATGATCAATGTTTCGTCAATGGTCGACTTATTGCTCATGGCTCCGAAAAAGTCCAGCCCGCGATCGGCGTCTGTCAGCCATGAACTTCCAAATCGCGGCACCTCGAATCCACTTCCCCTCCGACGTCACACCAACAACATCATTGGACATGGATGATCAAAATATTGACACCTCCTTCTTACCATGTTGTTCGCTTTTCCGTCTTGTCTAGTCGGAGGCCTATCATTCTTTGTGTCCAGCTACCAGCGTGCTTGAAGCCTCGCGATATCCCCGCCATCTAGCGTATCTCATCGTGTTCCATCTGGGCATCTTCTGCTGGTCAGATATAAAATCGTAATCATGGCGCTCTCACGAGAGCAAGTTCATCTCGGATCTTTGGACCTTCCTTCTCCAACCCGTCAACTCTGCTTCTTCTCTACTGGCTGTCTGGCAGGCCTCGCCAGTCTTCCCATGGCATTCCTGCCTAAAATTCCTTCCATCGGGACAGCCACTCCTCCTGTACTTCGTGCCGGTGTTCGATTTTGGACCTTCGACCAGACCCGTCATATACTGGCACCCTTCCACCTCCCTGTGTGGCTGACAGGCGGACTAGGAGGCGCAGCAGGAGGCTTTAACGAAGTTCTGCTGCACTCCCTGACCCAGTCGAGAAAGTTGCCTGCTGCCACTGCTCTAGGTGCCCAAACACTGCGTCTGTTCCTTTGTTTTGGCACGTACACTNTTTTGAGCACTACCTTTAGTGCCACCCTGCCGCCAAAGCCATTCTGGAAGTGCTGGTTGATGGGAGCCACTGCTGGTGCCACTGGAAGTGCTGTTGTTGCTGCTCTGGAAGGTGCAAGAGGTAGAGTCCTGTGGGGCCATGCAATCCCTAGAGGAGCAGCAACCATAGGTACTGTGATTGCCGTCCATGTTACCAGTTGCGCCGCCCTGCTCGATACTGTGGATGCTGGAGACTGATATCTTTTGTTCATGGACCGAAGGGTTACAAAGGGGCCACTACGACAAGGACACTCTCGCAAAGACAGAAGGAAGGTCGTATCTCGGCTGCCAGGCTACACGTTGCGTCAACGCAACACTATCAACACAGGACGTTAGTCTCGGAGAACACGCTTCTTTGAAGCATGGTCATGGACGCCGTTGTCGTATTCGGGTGCCTCTACATGCAGTGCTTGACGAAGGTGCAAAAGGAGCCCTGGCTTCTCCTGTATGCACTCTTCGACATGTGCCTTGGCTTTGTGTCCGGCCACTGGATGTTTACAGTGGTTGCGTCTGACAATGGTGATGGTCTGGGTGTGAGACATAGACTATATACTCACAAGACCGTGTTAATTGCTGGGATGAACCTAGGACGACTTTTGGGGGAAACAAGCAGTGGCTTAAAGGTTGTGTACAAGGGTTGACAATACTGCCTGGACCGAAGGGCGATCAATATGGCGAGAAGACGAGTGGTTATCGAGAAAAATGGTCAACGCGACCAAGATACGCGAAGCATGGCTACTGTTGGACTCAAACTCGACACGGCGAGAGGAGGCATGAGTGCACAGAGAGAGTTACAAACATTGAACGCGTCACATGCGTGTCTGTGTTGTTAACAAAGTGATATCAAAACATTCAGGGGTAACTTCACAGACCTTTACTTCACTCCACCACCTCCACCACCACCATGATAACTACAAAACCAAGCTACATAGACCATGCTGTCGACCCCCTCTCGCCAACCAAGTCCGGTCATCGGACGCGGTGGCCCACTTGGTTGGCGCCAATCCGGCAAAGTCCTCGCTCATCCAAAGGTCCTGGGTTCAATTCCAAGCAAGGCCAGAAAGACAAAGAAATGATAAAAGGGCAGGCAAAGAAAAAAAGAGCAATAAAAGACAGAAAAAACAAGAACAAAGCCGTCCTGGAAAGAAAGACAGAAAAATAACCACAAGTGAACTGCCTCTGAAATGCAAGTTTCTTCCGCCGGGAATCCGGTGTTTCTTTTGCTACTTGTGGTAGAGCATGGGATTTTCTCTCTGACTCTGTGTTACAACCCCAATCTACCAAGCCGTCTCAGTTCTTCCCGAAAATCAAATGCTCGACGATCTCGAGTCCTCATCACCCAGCTCCAAGAGCACAAGTCTTCTCAATCTCTACCACTATATGTAGTAGCTGAAGGGCTACACGTTATCACTCAAAAGAAGAAATTCGAGGTTAAATGTACCCCTAAGCACATTGTGAAAGCCTCGTTACAGAACCGCCAACACATTGCGTCAACGCAGCATTATCAAGCGAGACAAGCAGGCGCTAGGAGAGCAAAGCTCTACCATGTACGGTCACAGACGCCGTTGTCGCACTCGAGTGCCTCTACGTGCAGTGCTCGAAGCGAGAACGTGAGCTGTAGCTGCACACAAGAAGTAATTCTGCGCGTAAGCTCTGTGTTGCATATCGAGTTTTATCATGCTGGTCTCAAGGTCATGAACTTCGATCGTATATTCCAAGTACCATGTGTTTGCAGTGGTTGCAACAAACAATGTCGGTGGCATTCTGCTAGCAAATACGAGCAACAACAAAATGTGGTATCGAACCATTCATCGGCATGGTTTATATACCCCTAGCCAACTCTGCAAATGCTGCGATCTTGTTGCATGTATAAACAAAGAATCTAATGACTCGTTGACAACCTGCTTTCTTATTAGACAAAGGCTTCTACAAAATATAGATATGTCTATAATACAGCTGTCATCGCCATAGCTTCTTTTGGTAGAATTGATCTTGATCAAAATACGATCAGTAGCTGATACCCCCACATGCAAAGATATATAACATGCATAGCTATGACAATTCACAATACTGTCAACAAACAGGGCAATTTCTACTGAGAAGCGACATCCCATGAACTCTCCTTGGCCACATCCCAAATTCAAAAGATTGTGCATTTTGATAGTCAGTCATCAAGACGATGGAAGTTACAGACTTCTGCACATCGGGACGATGGGAATGAGAAGACCAAAAACAAAAACAACTGTCGCAGCCGTGAATCGAACACGGGGCTCGTGCATGGCAAGCACGAATTTTACCACTAAACCACTGCGACTATCGGACGCGGTTATCACGTGATATTGGTCAACAATAAAACATCCAATATAGTTCCTGTGGAACAGGAAGAAGATGCTCGATACATGCCGTTATGCTTCCGCCCTAATCTTGACATTCAAAGGAGTACAAGTACCACTCCAGAACGAATCTTCACAGAAAAACAACTTTTCACACCCTACTACCTTTGATGAACAACATGCTGTCCTTCTCCGTCGCACCCATCACCCTTGCATCCGAAATAACCACTCTGATCAACACAGCCTTCCGCAGCGAACCCACAGGTCAAACCTGGCTCTTCTCCTCTCAAGCCAAACGCATCGATATCCTTTCCCTAGAAGCAACTCTAAACATCATCACCTCCNCTGATAGTCTCTTTCTCATCGCCACACTCCCACCCGGCTCTGAGATAGTCGCAACATGCTTCTTGCGTAAACCTGCAAAAACAATGGTACCGCATATAAGCGACGGAGCAGCTTGGTTAGGTTTACTCGCCGTAAAGCCAGCGTATCACGGGAAGNGATACGGTAAAGCGATGGTGGTGGAAGCTGAAAGATTTGTGCGTGAGGAGTGGGGCGCAAAGCGGCTGGAGATGGATTATGTGAATACGAGGGTTGAGCTGGGTGCATGGTATCGACGTTGCGGGTATAGTGCAACTGGCAAGAAGAGAGACTTCCAGTATGGCGACAAGAACAGAGAGATTCTTGCCGAAGGGTTGGGGTTACTGGTTATTGGCAAAGATTTGTGATGAGTTGAGGATTTCGTGCAGGCGTTAGTTGGTACAAAGACAAAGACGACAAGAAGGAATACGAAGAGCATGGAAGAAAATACTGGGTATCTGATACTGTAGCAAATCCGAAGAGAAGGACAAAGCACTTCTGATGCCAAAGAGATAAAAGCAATAGCAGTAGAAGAATCGAAAAGCCAGAAGACCAAAGACTCCAAAGAAAAAAAAACACCCAAGAACCCGGAGCAAAGGCCCGTAACTACTCACACCTCAACCTACACAGCAGCATTCGACGGTCTTCTACTCAGGCTAGCGTTCGACGTCCTCCGGCTGCTACTAACACTACTCACGCTAGCCGCCCTGGCAAGCCCAACCCTCTCCTCATAGATCCTCTTAAGATCGTCCACCGAGCTCTTGCGCAAACCAATCTTCTCAACAACAGGTGCAATCCTATTAGGATCCGGTTGCTGGGCCGCGATTGTAGTATTGTGCGTAGATTCAATGGAGGCCATGCGTTTGAGCAGGCCTGGTGATGGGGTTCTGGCAAATGTGGGTGCGGCAAAGGCGGTAGCGGGAGATGGGTTGGAGAGAGAGGGTGCGCGCGAAGTCGTGCGTGAGGATGCTGCCCAGGTGGGTTTGACGAACATGTTGTTCTCTGGCTTTGGTGGTGAGGGGACACGCGCGGATACTGAGCGTTGAGGTTGGGCAGATGGTGGGTCATTGCTTGTTGGAGAGCCTGGCGATGCTGTTGATGATACTGGCTTTCTCTTTACCACGTCGGTTGCTAGTGAGTTCCTCAACTCTTTCATGAGATCGTTCTGCACTGGAGGGGCTGGCTTGGGNGGAGCATTGGGATGGGATTCTGTGTATGGCAAAGCATTCCTGACGTCCGTGAAGCCTCCCAATGGACTTGACTGGCTTGCATGTGACTGCGAGACGGAGCGGCTAGGGAAATTTGCATAAGGCGGAGGAGCGACACCTATTGGTGCAGGCTTGCGTTTGATGGGAGAAGCCAGACTATCAGTTCTTGCAGGAAACGTCGACTTGGACTCCTCAGGCTGCCTTGTTTTCGAGAATGGGCGAGGGGTGAGAGTCGGTTTCTCAGACTCATCGTCCTGGAGAAGGATTTTATGTGATCGCTCTCCAGAGTCATGTGATGTTGTATCCCTGTAGTGTTCCTGCAAAGGATCTTCGTAGTCCTGGGCAGCCGGCGGTGGCCTAAGGGCGGCGACAAACGAGTCTGGGGCAGTCTGACAAGCGTCTCGCAGGCCATGCGACCAATACTCGACTCCAGCCTCAAGTACTCGACGAACGACAGAGGTCATTTTGGCGTCAGCTAGTTGATCCGAACCGCAGACAAGAGCCGGCGAGAAGCATATGGCCAAGTTGTCTGGTGTCATTTTGTTGGTTGCCTGGTAGCCTGTGACGAGAGAGAGCAGGGGAAGAAGGTGGAGTATCAGTATCAGTCGCGCTGTCTGTGAGAGGAACGAGGTATTCGAGGTTGGTGATAGCATCTCGATCAGGTCTTCCAGCTCAATATCGGCATCGGGACTTCCGAACTTATATCTCAGTTCATCGTAGCAAGTCTCATGGAATATGGGCGTCTTCAACTCTCGATACCAGAGTTTGATAAGACCAGCTGCCAGATGTACGCCATACGCATCCGACTGATGAATGTGTCTGAGAGTCTGATGGTCCACATCAGGCTGAGTGTAGGTGATTCCGCCCTCCTTCCAGACAATGAATTGTTGACCACGATCGTAAGCCTCTTTCAAGATGCCAACCAGGATGGACTGAGGAGGGATACGGAAGATGCCCTCTGTCTTGATATTCTCACTCTGGCACAGGAAAGTTGTCGTTTCTCTTAGCACACGAGGCAGACGTCTCTGGCCGTACAGATTGCGAGGCATAGGGTCGTTGGCGCAAAAGGCTCTCCGGCCACTAACATACGGCGAGTGGATGTCGGGCGACAAGCGGCGGTCGTGAAGGTAGACGTTGGGTGGGATGAGCAGCTTCTCGATGGGAATTTGCAGAGCCAACTGCGAGAGAGTCGAGACGTGGACAATTTTCTTGCGAAACTTGGACGAGACCATGGTGCCAAAAACCTCGATGAGTACGCGTACCCAGCTGCGTTCGTGGACAACATAGAGCCTCTGCAGTCTCTTGCGAACTGCCCTGCTGAGCACGTGGTAAGCCTGAAGGTACCAGCCCATACCCGGGCCACTCTTCTTCTCGGACGTAGCGCTCTCAGGCTGTCCACCAGCAAAGAAGACGATCTCATACTCCTCGCCTGCAATCAGTTCTTCCTCTCCGGGTAGTCTGGCGAGTACGTAGGGTAGAAGGGCATCGTAGTCGACTTCGAAGGCATCGGGGAAGGCGGCGGCATTGAGGATGTAGACGGGTAGACCGGATTCAGACGGCAAGGGCGAGCGATAGAGGATTGCTGCGGCAGTAGCGGCGTAGCCATCGATGTATTCGGAGGAAGAGCGTGGNGGAGGAACTGCACTGAGCGATGTGCTGCGAAGTCGAGTCGCGCCTCGCGCAAAGGCCTTCATGCTGAAACAGACAGTCGGCCTGGAGTCAGCCCGCCAAACGACTTGTTGCTTCCAGTCCTTGTATGCTTCCTTTCAGTCTGGAGACACGGTCGAAGGATTCCAGCAGAAGAAGCACACTTCAAGTGTCGAGTGATAGGCAAGGATGCTGGTTACGTATGCAAGCAACCCTTTGCGTGTTTCGGTGGCAGCGCCTCGCACCCGCCGAGTCAAGAATCTTGTAGTCTATTGTTATCGATCTGGCAATGGCATGTGTGTCACCCTGCCTCGTCCGAAGATGACCAGTTCACGGTACAAACACGCTGAATCGATTCTCTGTTGCGACAGGAGTGGCTTCGCTTTTCTTTGTTTGCGCCTCGTCAACAATCAAACCTTCAGGGTCTCCATGCACCAGCCCGCAGTGGGGTCGACAGCTGAACCAACATCTCCCGGCCCAACTTTCGACTTGAATCATCGCCTGTCATCATAAACACGATCAAGAAGTCATGACCTCCTCGTTGACGGAACATGGCGCATTGCGATAGCTCTACATGTGTTCAGCTGCGTTGCTTGGGCGTTGTCTGTTTGATGTTTGACCTGGAACCTGATTCTAGATCAAAAGTCCTCCCACAGTTCTTATCTCTAGTTATTCCTCCCTTACAAGTCAACCGGATCTTGATCTCTCACACACGAGTCTTCCTATCAAAGAGTCCAAATTGGGAGGATGTCATCGATCATTTGTGATGTCCATCAGGGTTGCAACTAGTTGCCATTACCAAAGTCTGGAAGCACGGAAGCCATCCGCCTCGTCCGGCTGCTATGCCGTCGTCGAGAATATTATTACTGGAGACACCGCGCCCTAAATCACGCCTTCTGAATCACATCTCTTCGATTTTGTCCGACCATTGAGAAAACTTATAAACCTTTGTATTCGTCCACAATATGTGTCGTATCTCACCATTATCTACAACTTTGCTGCAGCCTCGCCAGCGCCCTTGGATTCCTCTTTCTCGGCTTCAGCGGCTCTGGCTTCAGCCTTCTCTCCGACACCGGAGCCGCCCATCTTCGCGACAACACCTTTGACGACCTCAAGAGTTGCTGCTGGGCCACCAGGCTCAGCTGCTAGAACCTCGCCGTCTTTCTTGACAACGAAAACTCCACGTGTAGTGCCCTTGGGTGCCTTCTTCAGCCCGATTGCTCCAATTAGCGAGGCTGAAGGGTCACATAGCAAAGGGTATGGAAGCTTTTGCTTGTCTTTGAAAGTCGTATTGGCCTTGGGCGAATCAGTACTCAGACCGTAGATGCTGAGTCCAGCTGCCGTCAAAGGCTCATACGAGTCCCTGAAAAGGCAAACCTGGGTCGTGNNCCTATGGAGCAATCATGTCAGCAACCAGCATTGCGACTCAAGGGACCGAGCCAGGAAAGAAGCCATGTCTTTTCTCAGGGTCAAAGAAGACGTACATCCTGGTGTGCTCGCCTTGGGATAGGTGAAGAGCACAATGCCTTCTTTGCTCTCGTCGACCAGCGTCTTGAGCGTCACCTTGCGACCGTCGTTGGTCTCAATCTCACCACCAAAGCCATCGAAATCAATCTTGTCTCCAGGTTTGGGTGTGCCGGAGGCAGCCTTGGTTTCTGGCTCGGGCGCGGCAGCAGGCACAGCACTCGGCTCTGGCGCAGCAGGCTCGGCGGCAGGCTCAGCAGCAGTCTCGGACTTTCCATTCGCTTTGGTTGTCTTTGTCTTGCGCTCTTTCTTTGGTGCTGGCGCCGGAGCTGGCGGGGGTGTCTTGCGCTTGCGTAGTTCAACCATGATGGAATTTGGAAGACAAGCGATGAGGTCGCGACGAAAGGCACTGGTCAAGTGGTGGGTTCGCACGTTATTTGTTGCTAACGACAGAGTGTTTGCAGTATCGTCAGGCAAGAAATCGTCAGCAAGAAGTTCGAAGGAAGCTCGAGGGAGAGCTCTCGAGCAGTTTACGCGCCAGCTCTGGAGAGCTTCGCGAACCCCGCCTTCGGCAAAATCGACCTCGACCTGTAACTCGCGGCTTCCTTACCAGCCGGCTCTCAACTAGCTCACTCCGAACACTCCGACTCCCGACCGACCAATTTTTTCAGACTTCAAGCACATACGGCAACCGTGCAACCTCAGGCGATGGAATAATCTCCGGTGTTTCTTCTGGCTTGCCAGAAACGACTGCCGCGACGAGATCGGACTTTCCTATTCGCTTTGACGTCTTGGCTGGGGATGCCTTCACTTTGCATCCCCTTCATGACTCGAACGAAGATGCCTGCTATCGCCAGCAGACATCATGCCAGCATTCATACCGGTACTCGAGCAACAGGGGTAAGAGACAGTAATAGCTATGGCATCACAACTGCTCGCAAACCCATGCCCATGACGCTGGAAAGGTTGCTGCTTTTTGATGTTCGCTCTTGCCACTCGGCTACCAAGATTCAGATCCACCTTGCAACGTGGATCTCTAAACCTGTCCTTGACAACAACAAAGGTAAATTGACCACGGTAGGTGTTTACTGTTCTCCCCATCGGCTACACCAGACCATCTCTTGCGCCTGCATTTCTCGTCTCCTTCCAGCCCCTTAGGCCGCTTCCAACCTCGACTTATTGGTGGCCCAGCTGGCATCGCATCTGAAGCTTGGACCACCATCTCCATCAAACGCTTGACTAACCCGCAAACTTTTGATAATATTCAAGTAATAGAAACTGCTTGTTTCGGTGCTTTGGGTCCAGAGCACGAGACTTTTCACAAACAGGTTGACCATGTGTTCCGAGATCGCTGCTTGACGTCTCGCGCATTCAGACTCATCCTTCTGCTGACCTAGTTTTTATACTTTCATCATCCGCCTTCTAACCACCTTTCCCGTTTCCTTACTTTCTTCGCCCACTACCAAATTTGCTACCTCCAGCGACGTTCAGGACTTCCCGACTGATTGTCCTGTCACGAAAGACCTACGTCGCAGCCGCCAACTCGACCCTTGATATCTGCCACCATGGCTTTGGAAGAAGAGAAAAGAGGCGGATACACCGCTGGCAGCGTCAGCTCATCATCGAACACAGATTTGGAACAAGTGCCGCCGCCAAGACTTCCGGAAGAGAAGGATACAATCCCCGAGGCAGATGAGACCATGACATTGGACAGCAAGAGGGAGGGCCTGATGGTGAATCCGTTCGAGAATGACGCCAATGGCGAGACCGAGTACAGGACATTAACATGGCTCAACGCCGGCTTCCTCCTTGTTGCTGAAACCATCTCGTTGGGTATCCTCTCTCTTCCTGCTGTCGTGGCCAGCATGGGTTTCGTCCCTGGCTGTATCCTCATTGTCTTCTTCGGTATCCTTACGACGTACACCGGATATGTCACCTACCAAGTCAAAATTTCATTCCCTGGTATTCACAACTTCGCCGACGCTGGTCTCTTCTTCTTTGGAAGATGGGCCAAGGAGGTTTCGNAGGCCGCCCAGATCATTCTCCTGGTCTTCATCATGTCCGCTCACATCTTGACCTTCTCCATCATGATGAACGTCCTCACCAACCACGGAACCTGCACCATTGTCTTCACCGTTGTTGGTATGGTCATCTCCATGATTCTTTGCATTCCCAGAACCATGAAGAACGTTGCTCTTATGTCAGTTGCTTCTTGCTTGTCCATTGCGACTGCCATCTTCATCGCTATGATTGGCATAGGAGTTGATTCTCCTGCTGGCGCCCACGCTTACGCCGTCACCCCTTCGAGCCAGACTGGATTCCGTACCGGCGTTGTAGCTGTCGCCAACATCCTTGTCTCCTTCTGCTCCAACATTGCCTACTTCGGTTTCATCTCTGAAATGAAGAAACCCAGAGATTTCCCCAAGGCTTTGGCCATGCTGCAGATTTGCACATGTTCTCTTTACCTCATCGTCGCTGTTGTCATCTACCGCTTTGCTGGTACTGATGTCAAGTCCNCCGCCATCGGCTCTGCTAGCCCCATCGTCCGCAAGGTCGCCTACGGAATTGCCATTCCCACAATCGTCGTTGCTGGTGTCATTTACGCTCACGTTGCTACAAAGAACCTCTACGTTCGCATCTGGCGCAAGACCAATGTCATGAACGAGAAGAGTTTCCGCTCGCTCGGCAGTTGGTACGGACTCACCATTATACTCTGGGTCGTTGCCTGGGTCATCGCCAACGCCATCCCCGTCTTCAGTCAGCTTCTCGGTCTCCTTGGCTCTCTTTTCTGCACTTGGTTCTCCATGATCTTGCCTGCTGCCTGGTGGATCATGATGAACAAGCGACAGCTCACCTCGAACTGGAAGAAGATTTCTCTCACCATTGTCAATATCGCCATTGCTCTCATCGGCCTCGCTCTTTGCGGCTTGGGTGTCTGGGGCAGTGCTGTGGACATTTCCGAGAACTCGGGCAGTGCCAGCGCCTTCTCTTGCGGTGACAACTCATAGACGTTTGAGTGTGTCGTCATTGTCTATTTTTGCATTGAATGAGCATTTCTGCATGGCGTTTTGGGAAAGACATGCATCTTGTAGTCACGGTCTACGTGTAACGTTACAGCATGAAGAGGGAAAAGTTCATTGGTTAGGACAAAAGCATTGATACGAATCCTATAGAGAGACCGACCTATACAGAAAGGTCCCTACGAAACAGAATTACATGCTCTTCACTGAGCCGAACTCCACTTCAAACATTTTTTCCTTCTCTTTCGCTCTTTTGATGTTCTTCTACTGCAATGAATTATGAGTACACACTTCAGTGCTAGCTCTTGAGTTTAGCTGTTGTGCTTCCCGCCAGATCAGACCGTTCCATTCCTGTTCGCGCTTGACCACCGCTTCCTTTTCACATGTACTGTATGGCTTGATCTGATTGCTCCTTCTTCTTGTGTCCTGTATGCATCGCCCTTTCCTTGATCAGCTTTGACTGAAGCGCTCCTTCCTAGGGTATGTCTTGCGTGGATCGCTCCTTCCTCTTTTGTGTTGATTGCATCGTTCCTTCCTCATGGATTCTAGATGTGTCGATCCTTCCCTATAAGTTTTGTGTGTATCGTGTCACTCCTTCCCCTTATGTTTTAACTGCATCACTCGTTCCATTCATGTTTCAACTTCATCATTCCTTCCATTCATGTATCAACTTCATTGCCCCTCCTGTTTCTGACGCAAGTCAACTCGTCTCTTTCTTTCTATGCAACGATTCAAGATCATGCTACGAACACAGTGTATGTTCGACAAGAGAGAGGGGATACCGGATGCACAGGCTCAACTGCGTCTCCGTGGCTGTAGATATCCTTGCTTCCAAGATCGCTAAGAAACAACCCTCTCAGTTCGAGAATTGCTGTCTGTGCGAGAGGTGCTGGCCTGGCATGCGAGGTACATTAGACTGTAGTGCTGACCTCTGGCCTTCTCATAGAAAGATTCAGATGCTTTGAGATGTACGGGTAAAAAAAAATATCCTTGTAACTTGAGATAAAAATGATCATCATCCATCAAGTCCGTCTGACTGAGCCTCAATCCACGTGCCTTTTATATAATCCACGCCAGACAAGATCAAAAAGGAAGTACCTTGCCCAACACTTACAAACTCTGGTGAGCAAGTTGGACGAGAAGTAAATCAGTGTATACAACGAAAAGACAAGGAAGGTATGCATACAGAAAAACCACCCACCAAAGGAATGACGAGAATAATTGATTGTAGAGGCAAGGAGCAAGGACTGAGGAAAGAAGCAACCTTGGAGGAAGGTGCGACTCACTATCAAGGAAGGTGCGACTCATTCTGCACAAGGAGGCAACCGCGAAGCAAGAAAGAAGTGATCGTCCATTTCAGCCAAGGAAGTCGACACTTTGATCTCACGGAAGGAGGAAGGGACGATTTACAGACCCTGAGGCGAAGCAAGACATGAAAGTTTGTGCATATTGAAAATGAAAGAAGAAAAAAATGAAGGCATTGCGAAATGTGGTATCAATCTTCGTAAAGGTCAAGCAAGCCATCGAACGCCGCAGTGTATCCATATATCCTCCCTTGCCCAAGCAAAATCATCCAAAAAGAGTGCTCAGTGACCTCTTGCGCCCATACAACGAAGGTAAGAAGAAGAAAGAAAGAAATTGTGAAGACATTGAAAGAGAAAGAAGCAAACAACAAGGTCTAATGACCTAAGCATCGCCAGCTCTGTTGACATCTCGAGCGACCTCTTCATACCAAACAGCATGAGATGCCCAGTCGACCTCTGCCACCTTTCTCAGCAGCTCCACCATCTCACCGACTTGCGTCACAAACTCAGGCAGCCCAGCGGTCGCCAATGCTTCTGACGCACCACTCGCGGCCCTGACTCTCTCACTCGAAGTCTTGGCCACAACGCGTGAGAAAACATGGCTACGCAGTCTAGAGCCCAAAACTTTGGCTACAGGGTCTGTGAAGCGTTGAGATGAGGCCTGGGTGATCACGCGAGAGGTTGCTGATTGCAGGGCGGTTTTAGTCGATGGTGGCAGGTTATGTGCATTCTCGAGGACGCCAAAAGCGCGCGAGGAAAGGCTTGCGAGAGCATCTTCCGACGTGGTCTCTGAGGGTGACTCTTTGCTGAAAAGATCCCAGAGACGAGATGCTTCGGCTTTCCAAGGACTGCGCACATCGCGCTTGAGCATGTTCTTAGCTACTAATAGAATTGCACCGATCGTGGTCATATGCAAAGCCTTTTGTTTGATGGTGCAAAGACGATCTACATCGAGGGCAAGAGTCTCGGGAACATCGGTAATGCTGATTGGACCCTGTCCGAAGGTGAGATCAACCAATCCACGAGTATAGATATGGTGAGCTGAAGGCCTGTCTGCAGGATTGCGGACCTGCTCCGGGTCCCGTCGATCGGCTTCAGTCAACATGTTTACGCTCGCGTTGCGCCACCAGCGATTTGTGGATGCGAGCGTGATCTTGCCTGAGGCAAGGTCTGCTGCAAACATGCGCGACTCGTATCCAGCAGATTCTCGGATGAGTACTGGAGCCGCATTCATCAACAAGAAGTTGGAGTAGTCGAGCGACAGCAGATCAATGAAGTGCAACAGGCGGAAGAGCTTCTCAATCATAGCACCCATATCCTCATCATTGTTTGACTCAAGATCCTCAGCCAGGATCTTCACTTGCGCATCACGGAAAGGTGCGCACAGCTTGGGCAGAATGTTGGCCATGAAGGAGAAAAAANNGTTGGCATACGAGAAGATGCCTTGCTCGCACTGTCGATATATCAGGTCCGTATCCAGAGCACCAACAATGAAATCGTGCATGGAATTGCCAGGCTTCACGATGTGCACAAGCTTGGCTCTAATCTCTTGAGCCAGGGCGACTGTCCACGGGGTCCCCAAGCCGTGCTCAACTCCGGTTTGCATACCATCACAAAGCTCGCGGTTGACAGCATCGCGGATATCCGAATGAGCACCGGAGGGAATGCGGAAGTCTTTGTCGATGGCAAGCTCATGAGTCAATACACGATTGCTTGGTATCGGCGAAAACAAACGTGCGAGGCTCAGTCGAACATCATCTTGCGATTCAGCCTCGCCTTGAGCTGGCTCTTGTGAGCTGGTCTCTGCAACCATAGGTAGAGTCTCAGTAGACTCGGTTTGGGCAGCTTCAACATCGGCGGCAGCGCGAGGGCGGACTTCGGCAGCAGATCGCCTCTTGACGCGCCTCCTTCGGCTCTCGCGAATGGCTTTCTTGATGAGGAAGTCTGCACGGTCGGGGCCTGCTAGCTTTCGAATTTTGCTAAGAAGCATGACCTGATTGTCGCGAATTCCTTGACGGTAGTCTTCGGCGACTGCGCCTTGGGTATCGTCTTTGACAGTCTGCCAGATAGCGTCAAGCTCGACAAACGAGGCGACCATAGTCTCAACCAGAGCCGACGAATCTTGAGCTCTCCACGCATCGAATGCGGAAACATAAGTTGTGTACAATTGTGATAAATCCTGAAGCCTGGCTATAGGGGCTTCGAAGCGGCTTGATTGCGAAAGCATAGACATGGTAGACTCGAAGGAATCAACCAACTCGCGGGCTTTGGCCATGAGATGCTGCTCCTGTGCACCATTTTTGCTGAAGACGGAGGCCGGATGGACGATGACAAGATAAGCGCTAAGGAAGGTACGGGTAGCCTGAGGCGATGGTGTATCTTCAAAGTCTTGTAGGGTAAGTAGACGAAGGACTCTAGTGGTTGCTTGGATGATGGGTGTCTCGGAGAGCAAAGCGCCTACGTCCTCAAAGGAGCGTTCTTGAATGGCTTCTTGACTGAGATGGAAATCTGCATAGGCGCTCACGATCAACCTTCGTTGTCGCATCCGCCATGCTCGTTGTATCCTCAAGACGGCCGTCTCTTCATGCAGCTTTGAATTCGTGTCGTCGTCGGCTTCGGAAACATCGGCCAGCTTCTTCTCCTGCTCGCTAGCTCGTCGCGTTTTGCGGGAGGTCAAGTTGCGCTTGTACTCTGCCCTCCTTCTGTCGGCGTCCGCCAATCTCTCCTCCATGTCCAAGCGAGCCTGTTTCTCTTCTTCGAGTTTCCTGGTCTTGATCTCCTGTGCCTTTTGTTTTGCCCTTTGAACCTCCTCAGCGCATGCTGCTGCGACCTTTGCAAGGTGGTTCTCGCGAGCCATCTGAGCAGCTAGGGCTCGCTCCTCACTAGCACTGGCATCTCCTCTCGGGGCAGCCTTGGCCATGGCGGCTCGTAGGCGGACTTTCTCGGCATGGGCGGCGCGGTCGGCGAGTCGTGCTTTACGGGCTTCGATGATGGACGCTCTGCGCAGGTGTTGTGCTATGTAGTTGCTCTGACATGACGAAGAGCGACGTAGCGAACGTGTCGAGGTATGCGATTGGATGGAGGATAGCGAGTTGCGACGGGATGAAGCGGCCGAGGATTTGTATTGACGAGACTTGGGGTCGCGGTAGAAACGAGCGGCGATACGAGCAGGTGGTGCGTAGACTTGACCAGCATCATCTGACATGATGACCATGGACGTCGTTTCGAAGTCGTCTTCTTCGGCAATCGTGTTCTGCTCGTCGTAATCAGGCAGGTCGCTGCTGACTCGGTCGTCGTCGGACATATTCTCTACGGCAATGTCGGCAGAGTCGAGCGACATTTTGTCTACCAGGCTCATTTTCAAGTCGTCTTCGGTCGGTCGTGGTCGTGGTGGGGGTAGCCTTGTCGCATGCGGCGAAGACAAAGAATGGATTCTGACGTGAACTCGGAGCAAGCACACAACAAGTCGAAGCAGGAAGCCGTTTCTTTTGAAGCCGAAGAGACGGGCGGCGAGGTGGTGAGCGCACACTCTCGGGTCTTGTAGCGATTAGATGGCGATTAGGGACCCCTCGGACGGCCGCTAACTCTTCCCAAAACGACCTTCACCCTTGATGACGTTGGACGAAACCGCTGGGCCTTTGCATGTGATCAATCAATAATCCTCCTCCTTGGACAAGTGATGGC